CCCCGCCCCCCCGCCCACCCTCCCCCTCCTTTCCCTTTGGCGCGGCACAGCTGCCTTGCTTCTCGAGGGCGACTCAGCTAGCACTGGCCTGCGCGCGCGCGCCGCAGAGGCTCCACTCTGGCGTCGACTCACGTTGCACACACGACACCAAGCCCCTGCTCTCTCCTCTCTCCCACCCCCTCGCCCGTCTCGCTCTGTCCCGATTTCGAGCTTCAGCAACCGCCATCTACATACGACCCTGTACCTCGCTCGCGTGCCCGTCTTGCGGGGGGGTGAGCAACGAGTGCGTTGCACGTAGTGTCTAGAGTTACATATTGAGAGGGGAGAGGGGGCAAGCGAAGAGCGAAAAAGGTGACGATGGTGGAGGAGGGGGGGGGGGCATGGCTTTGCGTGCGCCCTCACGCACGCCGAGTGACGCCGCCGAGGTAGTTGCCGGCGCTGGATGCGAGGGCACTCCATGCCGGCGCGCCCGTCACGCTCGCCGTCATCTGTCCGCCGACGAGGCCGAGGAAGCCATTCGAGTTGGCCTGTTCGATGCGTGACATCTATTTGAGATGACAGGGCGAGGGGGAGGGAGAAGAACGGCATCAGTCACTTACTCTGTCTCCCTCAAGGCCGCTTCTTGCGAGACCACACAACTCACCACAGTCGGTCCAGTCTGCGGCACCTCGGCCAAGCCTTCCTGCTTGACCTTTCTGCGCGCGCTCTCCATGATGGCGCTCACGTCGCTCTTGTCCAAGTCATCGCGTGCGCGCATCAGCGCCTCGAGGAAGCCGAGCTGCGGCCCGTGCGCCTTGGCAAAGGTCCAGTAGGTGAGGAACACCATCGTTGCGGAGGACGTGAGGAGCGAGATGCTGGGCGGCACGTTGACGCACATGAGTCAGCGTGGAAGGGGGGGGGGGGGCACTCGTGTGGGTGGTGCAAAAGTGCCGACTCACATCATCTCCAGCACCTCAAACTTCTCCCTCACTTCCCCTTCGTTGCGGAACGACGCAAACATGGCCACGGCGCTGTCTGCATCGGCGCGCATCTGCTCGCTCGTGGCGGGCATGCGCAGCTTGGAGGTGCGGCGCAGGGCGCCAATGTAGGCCGTGAGGAAGCGATCCATGAGGTCGTCGCAGAGCACGTCGAAGAGCGTGGGCGAGAGCCGCTCGGAATAGTCGTGCGTGTAGTCGCGAATCGTCTCGATGATCGTCGTCGTTGTGCCCTCGGTGTAGAAGCTGGGCAGTGCGCAAGGATCAGTGTTCAGACAGCGCACAGCGTTGCAGCGCAACACGCCCGAGACGCCCGGTGACTCACGCAGGAAAGACGAAGAGATCCTTCAGCGCAGGTCTCAGGTCCGCAAAGACGAGATCGACGAGCACCTGCGTGCATCGCTTCGAGACGTCGAGGTAGCCATTGATGGCATTGTCGATGCCCTCCTTGATGGGCGCCTTGTACTTCTCCGACACTGTCGGCTCGATGCGCAGCAGCAGTGCCTCGCCGTAGTCTGCGCTCTTCAGCTGGTCGTTTGCCAGCGCAATCACATACTCCACCAGGCCTTCGACGACGTCTTCCGGCGTCTTTGCCTCGCGTTGCTTCTTGAACTCGGCCTCGAGAACACGCAGCCACGTGGCTTGCGAACTACGCATCGCCTCGCAGGCATGCGTCACTGCGCGCGCCAGGATCGCAGCTTGTCCCGAGTCAGCGGCGAGGTCGAGCTGCTGGTTGATCATCTCGAAGGCAATGTTGGCGCACTGCAGGCCGTACGCGCCGTCTGCATCTTCCTCCGGCGGGTTGCTTCTGCCGACAAACTCGCGCACCTCGTCGGACATGAGGTTGGCCATCCACTCGTCGATCTTGCGCGTGATGAGGTCGAGGTAGTCGTCGATGATGGACTGTTCTCGTCCCGCGAGAAGACTCGGCTCAAGCCAAGTGGGATCGGCCTTGAGCGACTTCTTGAGCGTCTTGACGTACTCTTGGCAGAACTGATAGAGCGTCAGAAGCGCAGAGGCTTCCGGATCGGTGGCGAGGATGCGCTCGCGCAGCACGGCGCCCAGGTGCTTGTGGTAGCTCTTGACGTACCAGCGGAAGATGTTGTAGTCCTCCGGAAAGGCAGGCACGACGTGCGCCTTGACCGCCTCGAGATCCTTGTACACCCAATCGAGATGATCGAGAAAGCCGAGCGAGCCGCCATCGGCACCGAAGCGCGCCCAGCACTCGTCGAAGAGCTCCCGCGTGGCCTTGTCCATGGCCTCGAGCAGCTTGGGCCGGTAGAGCTTGATCACTCGGGCGTTGGCAATGACGCTGCGGAAGCGAGCGGCGCCCTCCAGGCCCGCCTTCTTGGCCAGCCGAATCGCGGCTGCCTTCTCGTCCGCGCGCGACTCAACCTCGATGGCGCGCAGCAATCGCACCACCACTCCTTCTTGCCCGTCCCTCGCGAGGTCGAGCACGCGCGCTCCAAGCGCCCACAGATACGCCTCAAACTCCTTGACGAGGCCGTCGAGCGGCGTGAAGAACTCGGCCAGCGTGAGGCGCACGTCCGAAGAGCACGTGCGTCCTAGTTGGAGCGTCTCGTTGCGGAACGTCTCGAGCTTGGAGATGTGGAAATGCAGAGCAAGAAGATCGGGCGCTGCGCCGTAGAGGTCGGAACGTGCCTCGGCGAGCCGATGGGCAATCGCCTCGATGCGGCCCGGCAGCTCCGAGAGCTGCTGCAGCATCGTGGCTGACTGGACAAAGTTGCGATGGATCTGCGAGACCTGTTTGGGTTTGCGGGAGCGTGGGACATCAGCCTCGGACTGAGGAGCCTCGCGTAGGTGCAGCTTCCCCGCTGCAAGCTAGCGCGCCAGTCTCGCCACCCCCAACTCACCTCGCTGATGCGTCGGAATGTGCCGCCCTCCCTGCCCTTGCCGTCCTCTCCACACGTCTTCTCCACGTCGGCGAATGCCTCTCTGACGCCTGCCACATCGCGGCGCGTCGCCTGCAGCTTGAGCAGGCCGTCGCGCGTTGCCTCGAGCTGCTCCTTTGCGCCGGCCTTGAGCTTGGCATCGAGCGAGGCCTGCTCCTTGAGGAGCTTCTTGCGCAGCGCGGGCAGCTTGGTCAGATCGTCGGGCGACTGTGGGGAAGATGGGCGCGCGCGTCAGGATAGAGAGAGGAGGGGAGAGCGCAGATGAGAAGCGCACCTTGAGCCAGTCGGCGACGATGTTGGTGGAGGGAGCGACGAGGGCGGAGCTGGGCCCGGCAGTGGCCGAGGTGGCCGCGGCCATGGTGTGCGAGGCGCTGCCGCGTGGGCGCGGTGCGGCAGCAGGCAAGTCGTCGCGCGTGCGGGTGTGGCGGCGCAGCGGCGATGCGCGTGGCGGACGCTGGGCGTGCGATGGAGCCGGTGCGGCAGAGGTGGAGAGGCGAGAGGGAGCGGGAGTGGGAGATGCTGGGCCGCAAGCAAGCGAAGGCGCGCGACTTGCTTTGGATGTCCGTGCGGGGCGAGGCAAGGCGCTGTTCCCACGCGCGCCAGGCTGCGCCCCGACTGCGAGGGCGCCGGCCAACTTCAAGGGCTCGCCTGCTACTCGCCCTGCTGCGCTCTGCTCCACCACCACCGCAGCACAGGCAGCTAGTCGAGTCTTGCTGCTCCACCCCTGTCTGACCGTCACTCCTCGCACACCGAGTGTCCGCCGTGGCAGCGCATCTCTGTCGCCACTCCTTTGGCCACGCCTAGGCGCGTCGCCTCTCTCGCCTGTCCAGCCCTCGTTCTGCCGTTGCCCGCCCGTTGCAGCGCAGCCGAGCTTGCCCTAAGGTCGGGCTGTCGTGCTCATTATCTCGCACGCATGCTCACCGCTCCATAATGCAGATCTTCGCTGCCCATCGTCACCTCGAGCAAGCGCACTCTGGCATGCCGCCGCGCCGCAGTGCGCCCGCGCGTGTGCCCGCTGGCGACTCCTTCGACTATCGTACCGCCACTGCTCCTCCCGATGCGCTGAGGTGAGGCCACACACCCAGCAGAAGTACTCTCCATACTTGTGTTCTGCTCACAACGTCTCACTCCATGCAAGCGGCGGTGCAGAGACGACGATGCTGGTCGACACCTTCATGAAGTCACACCTCAAGCGTCTGCGCAAGGACGCCGATGCCGCAAGTGTCGAGCTCGAGGCGCTGTTTACAGAGGCAGGTGAAAAGGCAACCGAGATGACTGGCGCTTCTGAGGAGCGTGTGTGAGTGCGAGACTTGCCGCAGCTGGAGAAAGAGTTGGACAGGGGTGTAGCTGACGCAACGCCTGTCTCGCCCTCGCTGTCGTCTCTTGGTGCTGCACACAAGCCAGATCTCACTCTCTCGCATCGACTTCGCAATGGCTTCGTCTCCGGCGCCTTCTCTCTCTGAGCTTGACTCTGACCTGGCAGCTCTGCGCGTGGTACGTGTCTACCTCCATCCTCGCCTAGCTCTCTCTCTCTGCGGCGTTACATGCTTACACTGCAGGGGCACAGCAACTGCACGACAACATCTGCCGCTCGTTCCTCGACGTCGTAGTGCATCTAGAGGAGCATGTGAATGACGAAGAGCTGCCTTACGTCGCCAACGATTGTGAGTGCTGCTCGTGCGGCCCTTGTGTCTTTGGGCTTTCCGACTCTCGGCCTCTCACGAGGCGAACGCCTTCCGCTGACCAATCTTTTTGGACTGAATAGATGAGCTGCTGCCCGCCAAGCTGCGCCATTGGCGTCGTGAGCTTGTGCGCAACCACAAGAGCGCCACCGCCGAGCGACTGCGCACGCAAAAGGTACGTGTTTGCTCCCTTTCCGCTCTTCGCCTCTCTTGCCTTGCCCAACTTGCCCTCTGTCTCTTCTTTCGCTCTCTCGCGCGCCCGCAAGGCGAGGTCACAGACTCAGACTGATGGGCAATCGCGCGCTCTCGCATCAGGCATACGTAGATGGCACGCAGCTCGTGACGCTTTACAAGGCCATCTTGTCGCTCGTGAGTCTGCCTCCGCCCCTTCCCCCCTTTCCCGCGGAGCGCTCTCCACATCTCAGAGCTTCGTGAAGCTGATAGGAAGAGCTCTGCAGAGCGCCTAGTGTGTCACCCTTTCCTCCGCCCGCGTTCTGGCCCTCGTGATGCAATGACGCAGCTTGTCACCGCTGCCGCTCGCTTCGAGGATGAGCCTCATGTTCTGAATTGCGCGAGAGATGCTGGGGGGGGGGGGGGGGGGGGGGGGGGGGAGGGCTGCGCTTTCCTCTCTGTTCAACGCCGTGCTCAAAAGGAAAGCCGCCGCTCCTCGGTCTGGCACGGTCCGGGGGCACACGTTTGCTTGCTTCCAGGTGGCCTGCGCCGCACACAACAAGCTCTGGACTTGCCCGCCTGCTCTTCTCCCCCTCATTGCGCTCTCCGCCTGTCGCCATTGGGGGTGCGGCGTGCGGCGTGCGCCTGTCAAGACTGTCAAGACGCGAGAGTTTCGGCATGCACGGCAACGAGGCCCGTTGAGGGCAGCGGCGGCAGCAAGGCTGAGTTGCACGGCGCTAAGAAAGCCCCTTGAGGCCGCAGACGCCAGAGGAAGCGCTGCTGCGCCCGAACGTGGGATGCGGGGAAATGTGGCCCTGCGCGCGTGCCCTCTGGCGACGGCCATCTCTGGCGCTAGCGTCGTTCGGGCTCGCCACGACGCCCGCTGCCGAGCCGCCGGCCGGCGAGGAAGCAGCAGCTGGCAGCATCAGAAGACAAACGGAAAGCCTTGGCCTTGCTGCATCCGCACCACAGCACGCAGCGAACCATCTTGAGCACGTTCACCGGACCAAGCAGACGCAGACGCCGCACGCCCGTGTCCATGTCATGCATCGCTCCGCTCACTAAGGGTGCAGCAGCCTTGCAGCAGCAGCAGCAGCAGCTGCGCATCTTTGGCCCCGCAGCCGCAGCGGCCCTCGCGGCTGCGGGCGCCAGCAGGCCAGGCGCGCATGCGTCAGAGCCGACCTCAACCAAGCTCCAGCTGCCCTTTTCTCGAGGGGTGAAAGGGAGGCGCGCGCGTGCCAGGGCCGCTAATTCGCTCGACGCTGGCCCCGTCTTCGTCTTCGTCAGCCTGCCGCCCGTCAGATTGGCGACCCCCCCACAGACGCGAGCCACGAGGGGGGGCCCTGGGGAGCCTGCTCGCGTGCTGGCGCTAAAGTAGCCTGGGCCCGCAGCTTCCCCTCGGGCCTTTCGCCGTCTCTCGTGCAAGGGGGACGCTGGCGCTGCTCCTCCAGCTTCCCTTGCCCGGGCCCGGCTGCCGCATACGAGCGCGCGAGCAGCTACATAAGAGCGGCAGCTTCCTGATCGCGAGTTGACCAAGTCGCCCATCGATTCCACTCCAGTCTCCCTTTCTCCCCTACTCCTCCCCCGCCCCCCCCTTCCCCTTCTAGCCGTCGCCATGAAGTACACGCTCTTCCTCGTCTCCGCCCTCTGCGCCCTCACGCTCGGCGCTCCGATTGAGCGGCGCGCCACGCCCTCTTCCGTCTCGTGCGGCGGGCGCAGCTACTCGGCGTCGCAGATCAATGGCGCCATCTCCAACGGCGTCAACGACCGTGCCTCCTCCTCGTCGTATCCGCACAGGTACAACAACTACGAGGGCTTCGACTTTAGCGACCGCTGCTCCAGCACGAGCTTCCAGGAGTTCCCTCTCAAGAGCTCGCCTTACACCGGAGGTGAATTTGCAGCGCGCGGGCGGAGGCACGGCGAGGCCAGGTGCAAGGGCAAGGGCGATGAAGAGGTCCAACACTTGACGTGCCCCCCCCAAGCAGCGTCACGCAGAGCTGCTCCATTGTGTTGCTAACCCCCCCCCCCCCCCCCCCCCCCCCCCCCCTCCCCTCTCAACAGGCTCCCCCGGTCCCGACCGCGTCATCTACGGCACCAACAGCGGCGCCTTCTGCGGCGCAATCTACCACGCCTCGTCGTCGGACAACTCCTTTGTGCGCTGCAGCTACTAAGCCACGCTGCAAAGGGCATCCCCACAGCAAGGACAGCCCCCTCGCGACAGTGCGCAAGATCGAGAGAGCGGGCTTTGCTTCTCTCTCTCTCTCTCTCTCTCTCTCTCTCTCTCTCTCTGTCTCTCTGCATCACACCATGCCCACCATTCATTCTCTTTGCACGTCCTCCCTCTTCCCCACATCCAATTGGCTGCCTCGCCAAGCGTTGCAGCGCGCTTCTTCTGTTCTCCCCCACGTCACGCACCCACCGAAGGCGAGAGAGCCTAATTGCCATCGTCTCCTCTTTTCCTTCTCATGGTTTCTCATCGATCCTGCGCAGTGTATCTGATGTGGGTTGCGTTACCCCCATGCGCATGTGTCTCAAATACTAGGCAATCGTGCACCCTGGCCCAACGCTTGTGCCGGCCTTAAGGCGTCCTGTCCCACTCCTCCCAGCTGCAGCTCCTCTGGTGCCGCCTTGGACGCAGGCGACGCAGCAGCAGCAGCAGCAGCGGGAGAAGACACGAGGCCCAACTCGGCATCCTGCAGCGCCGCGCGCTTGCCGGCGCTGTAGCCTTGCGAGGTGCCTATGATGAATGTCTGGTCTCGCGCGCGCCAAGGGGGGCGGCGAGTCAGCCATGAGGGAAACTGGGCAAGTGCGGGAAAGAAGAGAAAAGTAGAGGGGGGAAGGGGGGGGGACGTGGCAAGAAGGAGCAGGTGACGCTGTGAGAGGCCGGCGGTGGAGAAGATCGCGCAGATTGCGCTGGATGCACAATAACCCCCCCCCCCCCCTCTCTCCCCCTCTTCCCCTGCGATGCGCCAGAAAAAGAGATGGATCTCTTCCTGTCTCAGCACCGGGAGGCTGCGAGAGCTCGTGACAAAGTGTGAAGCGGGGGGGCTCAAGTGGTCGTCCAGAATGGCGCCAGCCTGCGAAGCTTGCTCTCATGAGGGGACTGCAGGAGGCACACCTCTCGCAGTCGGTCCCCAAGAAAGTGCCCAGCTCGCCTGCTCTCTGCTTCCTGACTCCTACCTGACCCCCATCCGGTGCTGTGCCTCTCGCTCATCCCCCTCGAGCTAGATTTTCCGTGTCCATCGCCGCTGGTCTGGCCACACCAGCCACTCGCACCCGCTCGATGCTCTCCGTCCCAGCGCCGCCCTCTTACTTCTCCCTGCGGCTCCCATCTGCCGTCCAGCTGGCCAGCGCATGCCCCCCCCCCCCACAATGCGACTCTCGGCCCTCTCGTCGAGGCTGCACGGCACATGGCGCAACACTCACCAAGCTGCCGACACAGCTGGCGAAGAGAATCATGGTGCGTGTGCTCCAGAGCTGCGGCGGCGGCGGGCCTCTGGAGCGCGGCAGCGGCAGCGGCAGTGGCGTGCGCGGCGTGCGCGATGGCCCTGCTCCTCCTCCTCCTCCGCCGCCTGCGCCGCTCCCGCCTCCTGGCGCACCGGCGGCGGGCCGAGGAGCGCCGCTGGCGTGGCTGGCGCTCTTGCTGCTGCCTGCGTCACTGGCGGCGCCGGCGCGAGGCTTGAAGGGCCGAGGCGAGGCGAACAAGGTGAAGGCCATTTGTCGAGCGCAAGGAGCGCACGGGCGCCTTGTTGAGGGGCAAAGAGCGAGGGGCAAAAGCGAAGAGGGCAACGGACCGGAGCCGGGGCGTGCTGGCGTGTGCGTCGTTGCTGTGCGGAAAGATGGGCGCTCGTGCACGATCGACGATGCAGAGAGCGTGCGCAGGTGCGTGGTATGCTTCTGCTTGCGCTGCCGACTCAGACTGGGGAGAGGGACTTGGAAGTGGAGGAGGTGAAGCTGCGCGCTGCATCGCTTCGAGTTCGCGTCAAGGCGCATGGCGGGAGCGGAGAGACGGACGGGATTATCCGGCGCGACTACAACCACCCTCGCCGCGCTTCTCGTCGCCTCGCCGAGGCTGTATTCAGAGATCAGCCGGCCCAGACGAAGCCGAGGCTCGGACCGCCGCCGGCCGGTCAAGGTGCAGCAGGTCTCGCTTCCCCGCATCTCGCCTCCAGCTCAGCAGCGCTGACACGCGCAGCCGACGGAAGCCGCGCCCGCAGCATCGCACGGCAGCGCAGCAGCACAGCAGCAAGGTACATGGCTTGCCTCGGCGCCGTGGCACCAATCAAGTTTGCCGGAGCGCAGCATGGCGATGCTCTCGCGTCTCACGGCACGCAGCGAGAGAGAGAGAGAGAGAAGGTCCCCTGTCATCGGGTACGCAGCCCCGGTGCCGAGCGCTCACAGCTGCAGAGTCGAGTTCTCTCCGCACCCGCACCCGCCACGCTTCCGTCGGGGGCGCTGCACGCCAAAGGCTACCCATCCTTGCTCTTGCGCCGTGCGACGTCGGAGGAGCTGCTCGCTATACCCTCGCTTGCCCTGCTTTGGTCCCTCTGCCTCTTGCCTGTGATGCTCGCCAAGCCATCGCTCTCAGGGACCTGAGCGGCCCTCTTGAGGACGTTTTCACCCGCAAGCGAAGCATCGAAAGCGAGAGGCATTTGGCGTGCTCTGCCCCCTCTACACGTCACGTCCTTGACAGACGCCAGCCCCTGAGGGCGGAGAGTTGCTCCCGCGCACCGTGCCGGTCCTCTCGCGTCGTTTCTCGCACATCACACGCCGCCGCACGCTGCCTGTCTTTGCCTTCTCTCAACAAGTGAGAGTCTCCAAGCGCTCGGCAAGCGCGAAGCGGCGTCACATCCCCTCGAGAGCAACTCGGCCCAAGCGCACGGCAGCGGCACAGCGTCAGAGCAAGCGGCCCGGCACCTGCGCGCTCAGACGGGGCGTCCAGGGTGCGAGAGCAGCCGGCAGCCAAGGGTATAAGAGAGCCACCCTCCTCTCGCTTCTTCCCGTCTCTTGCTTCTCAAACCTCAAACCTTCCGACGCGCTACTCACACCATGTCCGCATTCTCACCAAGCACTCTGGCGCTCCTCGCGCTCCCGCTGCTCCTCGTGGCGCACGTGCTCCACGTCCGGCACCAGCGCCACAAGCTGCGGCGCTCCATCGAGGCCCTCTTCCTCCATCGCTACGCCCTGTCGGCCGAGGATGAAGCACGCGGGCTGCCTCGCATGACGCAGGCTGGCCTGCGTGGCATCCGCGATGCCCAGGTGAGTAAACATTGCGCTCACTCCTTCTGCCCTCTCCGCCCTTCGCTGACCATCACATGCGCGCACAGTACATCTGGCACACTCTGGCGTCGTACGAAATGCCCTGGGTCTCCCTCAAGTCGCTCGAAATTGCAGTCTTTCGCACGTATGGCATCCCTACGATTTCGCGCATCCTGATGCGCACCGGGCAGCTGGGCGCAAAAGAGAAGAGCAGTCGTCGCTTCGGTTCGTCCTTCCTCCCTCCCCCCCCCCCCCCCCCCCCCCCCCCCTTGCTCCCAGCGAGAACTAAGACCTGCGATGGGGGACACACAGTCGACACAGGTCTCCTCGTCGCCTCCTTCTTCACGTATCCCATCCCGCGCCTCGACTTGCAAGACAACGACGTGGCGCGTCCGGGAGAGGAGGACTATCTCATCCCCGACGATCCACGCTCCGCAATCGCGCTTGCTCGCGTCAACTTTTTGCACCGCAGAGCCAATGGCATTCATGGACCGAAAGGAGCGGGCATCTCGAATGACGGTGAGTGGTGGCCGAGCGACGAAGCGCGAGGGGCCGGTGCGCTGCATGCTGATGGATGGGCCCGCTGGTGCAGATCTGGTGTACACTCTCTCTACGTTTGTCTTCCAGCCCGTCCGCTTGTAAGTCTTGCTTTCCCTGCCCGTCAAGAGTCACGCTTCGCCTCTTCCTTGTCGCTCATTCTCGCAACGCAGCTACAAGGTGATGGGCTACCGCGAAGCCACGCCTCTAGAGGAAGAAGCTCTCTACGGTACGCCCCCCCCCCCCCCCCTGCCTTCTTCCTCTCGCCTTTCCGAATCTCATCTTCTGTCTTCGCCAGCCGTCTTCTACCACGTCGGCCGCTGCATGGGCATGCATTCCATCCCTGCGACGCGCGAGGCGTTTGCCGCATGGGCCGAGGCGTACGAAGTCAAGCACCTCATCTGTGCCGAGTCCAACGTCAAGCTGGCCGAGCGCACCGTCGATGTGCTCCTCGCGCACGCGCCCAAGGCATTGCGGCCCGCGCTCAGTCACGTCATTGCGTGCGTGATGGACGAGCGTCTGCGTCTGGCCGTCGGCTTCGCCGCGCCGCCGACGTGGCTCAAGACGCTCATGCAGGGCGTCTTCATGACGTTTGGCGCCGTCCAGAGACATCTTTGCCTGCCGAGAAGGCATGCATGCGGCATTGCGCCGTACGCCAACGAGAACATCTCGGGCCTGCAAGGCATCGGAATGTGCCCTGCGACGGGCGCGATGGAGGGAGAAGGCAAGACTTGTCCTGTGGGAGCGAGTGAGAAGGGAGAAGCAAAGGCTAGGATGCATCCGCATTGGGCTGGTGAGTTCTCTTTGCTCCTGCACTACCTCGGCTCTCTCCTCTGACGCTCACCGCTTCGTCGACAGAGTCCGACCCTCACGTGAGCCCTACCCTTCTCTTCCGGCCCCGCTTACCTCCAGCTGACGCCGTCTCGCGCCAGTACATGCCTCCCGTCCCGCGCTACTCGCTCTACTGGTTCTACGAGCGCTTCTTCGTCGCCGAAGAGCAGAGGTGGGGCGCAAAGAAGTGGGCGGGCAAGGGCTATCGCCTTGAGGAATGCGGTCCGAGGGGGTGAGTAGGGGGCAAGACGTGGAAACTCGAGGACGCTTGCCTGGAGAGGTCGTGCATTGACGCCCAAGCGCTCTCCACAGCCTGGAGCGTATTGGACACGCCGAGATTTTGGCGGAAGCGACGCGCTTGCATGGCAAGCCGGTAAGTCTGAAGCGCGCACAGCACCCCCTTGAGGAGCCCCAAGCTGATCTAGGCGGCGTTCGCAGCTCACTGGCATCTGGGCCTTCGAACCTCACTCCTCGGGCCCCACGACGACGGAGGACAAGAGTGAATGAACGGCACCATGACAGGCTGCCTCTCTCTCTCGTGTCGACGCGAAGGACAAGGAGCTGGGAGCCCGACCCGACTCGCCCTCGAAACGACTCGCATGAGACTCGCTACTCTTCTCTTTCTCTGTGCTTCCGCCCCCCGACTCGCAGCTTCAACTTCGAAGTTCTGTCAATACTTATTCTCACGAGCACATAGCACGCCCTCCTTCTTGATCCTCTCTGTTGCTCGTGTGCGAGCTCGCTGGTCGGACTCTTACTGTGAGCTTTGAGTGTCGTTGGCAGTGGGAGAGCCCAACAGAGCGGGAAGCGCGCTGTGTGCTGTGCTTCTTGGCAGACCCAGATGCGAGAAGAGACGGCCCGCGGGCGAAAAGCCTGGCCGCGTTGCGCCGAGCACCGCGCCGAGAGCGTCATGCGCTATGCGCCGCAGATCCTTGACAGAAAGAAGGGTCCGCCGTTCCTGCATGTCCGCCGACTCGCTCGCGGCCAAGGCTAGTGAGCACAAGAGACAGGAGAACGGCAGGGGCTCAAGTCAGTGCTGAGTGAGAGGTGAGGGAAGGAAGGCTCTGGAGCACATCAAGAACCCGAGAGAGAGAGGGAGGAGCGAGCGAGGCAAGATCGGGCAGATGAGGCGCAAGTGAGGGCGGTGCGAGCGCACGCAGAACGGCTGGAACGGCGAGACGGCGTCTCTTCCCGGTCCGAGCGAGGGCGTGTGCGGCATGAGATGTGCGCAACGCCCAGCCATGCCTCATGCCTGCGGCTGTGCGAGCCTCTTGATGGGAGGCGTCGCAGCTGCCGCAGCGCTGGGAGCTGGCTACTCAGACTCTGACTGTACGGTGCGGTGGAGCGCTCGTGTGCCGAGCTGCAAGCTGCCGCTGTGCCGTCGCTTTCGGCGCCGCACCTTCTTTGCGCCCTGCCCTCTCTTTCATCACTTGCCTCGCCTGGCGCCGCGGCACGAGCTGAGACGGCGCGTCATCCAACTCCACGCTTGCAGGCATCTCATCGGCTGCTTGTGAGCGACCCTCAGAAGGCGCCGAGGTCTATCGCTCTCCCTCTCTCTCGCTGCTGCGCGTCGAGATACGCACAGCGAGCGCATACTCGACTGTAGCAGAGCGAGATCTTAACCGCTGTGAGAGGAGGCGAGAGCTCGGCATGTCGAGGGAGTGCGGTGCGAGGCGGCCGCCGCAAGCGGAGGCAGCGCCGGCAGGCGAGCAGCGAGATGAGAGAGCAAGGCGCGCCGCGCGCCTGCAGTTGCCGCCGCCTCCGGGTGCCGAGCGTCGCGCGGCTGCGAGGCGTGCGGCTGTGCTGCAGGAGACTGCTCGCGTGCCGCCGGGATGCCAGACGCGCCGAGCCCCTCTCTCGAGGGCGAGGGCGCGGCGCGCGGGGCTATCCTGAGGCGCCCTCAGCCTCTGCCGCTGAGCCGCGCCGGCGCTACGCCGCGACGTGCAACGGCCGCGCTTGTCTCCTCTCCACCAACTCAAGCTCCCACCGCTCCAGCTCCAGCACCTCTCGTCGTCACACGTCTTCGCCTCGCCTTCGTCAGCCACGCCACGCCACGCCGCGTGCGCACCGCCCATCACATTCCCTGCCATCGCTCCTTGCTGCTGCTCTCTCGACTCTCCGTCTCGCCCGTCCACTCGTCCCCCCACGCGCGCGCGCGCGCATCGAGCCCTCTTGCTTCGCGCCCACGTCTGCCGCTCAGTGCAGCCCACCGCTCGAAGAGAGAAAGAGAGAGACACCGCTTTCCCCTTCGTGCGCGCTCCATACCCTCAGCAGTGCTCTCTCCCCGGGCGCAAGCCAGCTAGCTCTGCGCGCTAGCACCTTGCCCGCAAGTCAAGTGCGCCCAGCATGTCCGGTGAGTGTGTGTCTTTGCCTCGAGGTGCAGACGCAGGCTTGGACGAGTGCCGCATGAGCATCGCCGAGGGCTCGTACAAAGTGGTGCGATGGCGAGGACCTCGCAGGCGCAAAAGAGGCGCAGCATCAGTGCGCGCGCGCGGCAGGGAGCAGCGGGGCAGGCATGACGATGCGGGGCGGCGAGATGCATGGAGCAGCAGGGAAACGCTTGCCGCACGAGGATGGCGCCAGCTGCAGAAAGTGGCGTTCTGCGGCCAGCACTGGCACACACACAGACGTGACGTGCGCAATGAGTTGGGTCGGCCGTGAGCGCATGCATGTTCTTGATGCGCAAGCGTGCCACTTGGCCGTCCCTCGTCTGGCGACACGTCTTGTGCATACATGACGGCTGCCAGGCTCCTCTTCTCCGTCGACTTGCCTTCTTTTGACCAGCCTGGCTTACACGCGCGTTGCCCTGCCCCCCGCCAGCGGTGTACTCGATCTACACGTCTCCCAACCATGCGCCGATTCCCAATCACCTGCCGACGCTAATCGTGACGCCTCATGGTGAGTCTCGCGACCCGCGCGCGCGCATTCTATTGCCGCATCCCTTGCTCACGTCGCTCGCCATCGTCAGGTCAACCACACCACACGCTGTTCGTCGCGCGCGCGCAGAGCCGCAACTGCCGGGCGCATCTTGTGCTCACACTGCTTCTTCGCACAGCTACTCCTACATCCACACGTCATTCAACAAGGAGACGTACCTCCTGACGCCGTGCGTTGATGGCGCATGCGTCTGCCGGACTTGTGTGTGCCCCGCCCGCTCACACCTTGCGCAGATCTCCGCAGGGCGACCTGTGCGTCGCCAAGATGGTGCCTCCTCCCGGCTCTCGCGGTCCGGGAGGACCTGGCACCTCTGATCCCGGGCACGCCGCCGACCCTACGCGCGACCGCTCGGTGCGCTGCGAGGCGTCGCGCAACCTCAAGTGGAGCATCACCAACACGGGCATCCACGCGCCCGTGTACAAGCTCACGCTGCCGAACCCGGATGCGCCGGGCAACGAGCAGCCGCTGTTCCAGATCAGCAAGCCAAATCCAAACGCCACGTGGTGGACGCTCTTCTACTTTACGTACGCCGGCCATCTCATCCCGCCCAAGCGCATCGAGTTTGGCAAGATCCAGAAGAACGCCGCCAGCGGCAGCGGTGGAGGCGGCGGCGGCACGCGCGTCAGCATTACGGGCAAGACGGCGGAGGAGAAGGCCGTGTGGCAGACGTTGGGCGAGGGCAACGAGGACATGGTCGAGTGGATCGTGCTCTGTGCCGCGCTCAACGTGCTCGACGAGGAGATCATCAAGGCGGCAGAGCGCAGCGGCCTCGGTGGCTCTGCGGCGCCTCAAGCGCGCGGCGGCGCAGGCGTGGGCGCGGGCGGCGCGGCGGCCAGAGCCGTGCCGTCAAGTCGTCCCGGACCGGCTCATACGCCCGTGCAGCGCCCTGGTCCGGCACCTGCGCCGTTCCAACCGCAGCCGCCTCGTACGAATAGTGGGCCTCGACCGGGCCAGCCGGATCCGCGCGCGTATCCGCAGCAACAGGCGCACCAGCAACAGCAGCAGCAATACCGTGGTCCGCCGCCGCAGCAGCAGCAAGGAGGCTTCCCGCAGCCTGGTCGCGGACCGCCGCCGCCTCCGCAGCAGGCCAGCTCGTACGGCGGCTCTGCACCGCCTCCGCGCGGGCCGCCGGGAGGAGGCGGCTCGTACGGTCCACCGCAAGGCCAGCGTGGCCCGCCGCCGCCGCAACACATGCAGCAGCGCGGACCGCCGCCGCCGCCGCCGCATCATGCGCAGGGAGCGGCGGTGTCGAATGGAAGGCGTTTTTAGAGGGAGGGGAGGTTGAGCGAGGAGGAGTAGCTCGAGAAGCTCAAGGAGGAGGAGTAGAGGGAGGAGAGAGAGCAGTAGCAGCAGCGCAGCAGCCACGACGGCCGCAAGCGCCGCCGCAGCAGCAACGACCACCGCAGCAGCAGCAGCAGCAGTTGCCATCGCCGCCACCACTGCCGCTGCATCAACCTGCCACGATGGCGCCGCCGCCACCTCCGCCGTCGGCATCGAGGTCGGCGTCACGCAAAGGGCCCGGCTTGCTCAGTCGCGCACGATCATGGGCGGCCAAGTGATGAGGCGGAGGGATGGCGCGTTTGGGCGAGTCGTTCGTGGGACGCCTAGGCCGGGACAAGACGACGTAGCCGGCGGAGACGGCACCGTACACGCACTGCAGTCTCGGCAGCGATCGCTGTCGGTATCGCTGCGTGTACGTGCTTCTTCCAACGGCTAGGTCTTCTTCTCGCGCTCTGGCGTCTCCGAGCAGATCTCTCTCGCGCATCTCTCTCCTCATCTCCATCGGTCGGTCGGTCATCGTCACTGCTCTTCTCTCCCACCTTCTTCGCTTCGCTCTCTCCTTCTCGACTCTCCTCGCTCAACACAACATGTCGCACGTTCATCAACTCCCGATCTCCGTCATACCTCACGCCTCATCGTGCACCTGATTTCGCGTTTGCTGTATCGTCTCCCCCCCTTCACCCCCGCCCGCCCTTGTCGCGCGCAGGCCGCGCCGCACCTCTCATCCCCACCCAACGTAGATCCGACGTCTGCGCCGCCCTCCTCTCCTCGGAGGAGAAGGAGAGGAGAGGAAGCGCACAGACCTCGTCCCTTCCTCCACTCGACGTTTCACAAGCTACGCTCCTCACTTCTCTTTTCCCGCTCTCCCTTCACACATCGACCCCTCGACCCCCACTCTTCTCTGCTTCGATCCCGTCCCCGCGAACCCGCGTCTCGTCTCTCCAGCCCACCTGTAATCTCACTTTCTCCAACAACGCCGCACGCCGCAGTCGGAAGCGTGAAGAGGGGCTGTGCGCAGCATAGGCGAAGGCTGGGGCAGCGCACACGACACACGCGCGCGGAGAGGGCACGCGCCGGCACAGCCTCGGAGGCGGCCGCGGCGCGTCTCACGGCGGACGGGTCACGCCGCGCTTAGAACGTCGCTGGACGCCGACGCGCGACTTGCCCTCCCACCTCCACACCGCACCTTGCTCCCGGCGCATCGCAGCGCATCGCTCTCTCTCTCCTCTCTCTTCCACCCTCTCCCTCCCTCCGCAAAGCGCCCATCGGCGCAGCGCAGACCTTCGACGATGCCGCGCTTCGGCGGCTCGCCCTCCTGCGCGCGCTGCTCCCGCGCCGTCTATGCCGCAGAGCAAGTCGTGGGTCCGCTGGGACGCCCATACCACAAGGCCTGTCTGGCATGCGTCGTCTGCGCGCGCAGACTCGACTCCACCCTCTTGGTCGAGCATGAGGGCGAGGCCTACTGTCGCAACTGCCATCGCGCGCATCTGGGACAGGGCAAGGGCGGCTTCGGGCTGGCCGTGCCGCTGAGGGCCGAAGTGCCCAAGGCGGCAGGAGGCACACCGACGAAGAATGCTACAGAGACGCCGCCACGAGCCAGTCTCGAGCAGAGAGGCAGCCTAGATCAGCAGCGCCGCAGCGTCGACACTACTCGACGCTCGCAAGACCAGCCGGCACCGGCGGCGGCACCGGCGGCATCCTACACGCGCGATGCACCCTCCTCCTCGTCGTCTTCTGCATCGCGCGGCGCACCTGAGCCGCCTTCGTTCGACCCCGATCGCGACGACACTCTGGACCTTTCCGCGCAAGTAGCGCACATCAACCTCACTCCTCGCTCCGCGGTGCGCTCCATCGACGACGCCATCTCGTCCGGCGCAGCAGTGCCCACGCCAGTCTCGAGACTGGCGGCCGCAAGAGCGCGCGGCGCAGGGCCGGGCCATCCTGCGAGCCCGCCGAAGCCGAGCGTCGCGCAGATGCCCAGTGCGCCCACTTCGCCGAGCAAGCCTAGCGCTGCGCCGCCGCGTGCACGCACGCCGTCGCCAGAGCCGGAAGCGATGCCAGCGTCTTCTGCGTCCGCCTTCTCGCCTCCTGCGCCAGCGCGCCCACGCTCGCCCATCGCCTCTCCCGCGTCGAGCGCACGTACCATCGGTTCAGTTGCCGTGCCTTCCTCTCCCGCCAGCAATTCGACAGTCGGCAATTCCTCTCCCGCGCCCACCATGCGCATCACCCGCGTCTCCGCCACGCTCACCAACGTGCCCGCTCTCAACGCCTCTTCGCTCCCCGCTCCCTCTCGCGCCACTCCGCGCACCGCAGGCGCAGGCGTCAAGACTGCGCCGAGCTGGACACCGCCAGCCACGCCGGCGCCAAAGGAGTTTGAGGCGCCAGGAAGAGGAGTGAGAGCGGTGGGATTGAGCAGTGCGGTCAGAGGAGGCAGTGGGACGCCGCTTTGTGCGCGATGTGGAAAGGCGGTCTGTGAGTTAGAGTCCTGAAGCCTCTGTCCTCGAGTTGGTGATGGGTATCACATCCTGCCAGGCGGCAGCCAGCATGTCCAGGCATACCTGACGCCCTCTCCCTGCCTCCCAGACTTCGCAGAGCAACTGCAAGCCGCCGGCCGAGCATGGCATCGCTTCTGCCTGCGCTGCGACGGCTGCAGCACGACGCTGGAGCCGGGCAAGCTCGAGGAGGGTCCGGTGGAGCAGGTGCAAAAGGCAGCGTGCAATGTGTGGTGCAGGACTTGTTACGCGAAGCGCTTTGGCCCGAGAGGTGAGCTGGAGAGAGGGGAGGAGTGCGACACGAGGCTGACGCAGGAAAGCAGGAATCGGAGTGGGAGGTATCTCGCTGCCCGAGCATCAGTAGCTCCTGGCGCCGCATGGATCTCCTCATCGCCTTCTCTTTCTCTCTACGGTCACGACAGCCTCCACTGTCGTCTCGCTTCCCTCGTCGTTGCCAGTCTCTCCTGTAGCCTCGCTCCCTCTTGTAGCTCTTTCGCACTGTAGCTCCTCGCAACTCCCCGCTCGCGCTCTTCGCCTCGCGGTCCTCTACGTGCAGTGGCCGCCTGCGACGCTCTCTCTCAATGCAAACGATGCCTCAGTAATCTCATTCTTGCATCGCATCCATCTCGTCCTGCAAAGGCGCCATCTTCGCAGTGCCCATCGCCTGCACCAGCCGCTTTGTCCTCGCCTTCAACACCTGATCCACCTCCGCTTGCAGCACGCCAATCGCCTCTGTTCCCAGCTTGAGCATCTCCCGAAAGTCCTCTCTCGCCAATCGAGACTCGCTCTGCGCCAGCGTCACCTTCTTCGTGCGCGGCAGCATCGCGAGCGTGAGGAAGGGCAGGCCGGATTCTTCGGCGCTTGTGAGGTCGAGAAGCACGCAGGAAGGCCGGAGATGCTGTCCGAGCGTCAAGGAGAGGACGGAGTCGGACATGGGCACGCCGGCGTCGAGGAGCGCCAGGGTGATGGCATTGATGGCGCAGGAAAGCACGCCTGGCAAGCGAGCGAAGGGTCAGCCGCAGCCGCAGTGAGAACCGGAGGAGATGTGGCCAAAGGGCCTTTCGGTGACTCACCGCCATCTTGCACCTCCACCACCACCTGCACGACAATCTCGGAGCGCGGAAAGAGCTGCCGATGAATGACGGGCTCAAAGGTGCTTTTGAGCGACGAGGCCAGCTCTACCAGTCGTCTGGAGAGGCGCGGCAAGCCGTGCATTGGGTCAGCTTCGGGATGCCGGGCGACGACCGCATGCAGCTTGGCCGCCCTGGCTTCAGGAGCAGCGACACGTTCTTCACTACTTCGTCTGGCCCGCTCCTCTCATCACGCGAGATGAGACTGTGTTCTGGAGCACTCACCGGTCGCCCTTCATTCGCCTCCTCCTCTCTCTTCCACTCCACGGCTCCACCTCCACCTCAACCTCGAGCGTTGCTTCTCCATGCACTTGTCCCTGTGCCTTCCTGGCCTCTCGTGGTCCATACACGGCACAGTAGACGCTTGCCAGGCCCATCTGCACACGCGCAGAGCCCGCCGGTGCGCTTTCCAGTGAGGTGGTGGAGGAGGCGGGAGAGAGGGAGAGCACGAGGGAACGCAGCTCGTGTGCGCGCCGAGAATCGAGGCGGAGACCCCCGGCGTTGAGTAGCTCGACGCGAGACTGAGAGCGGAAAGCGAAGCATGAGTGTATGCCGCTGTTCGCGGACTCGAAGGGCACTTGCCATGGTGAAGGTGCTGCGACGACGGACAAGGATGTGGAGTCGAGAAGGAAGCTGGGCCGCGCGCCTCGGTTTCTGGGCCTTGCGGCTGCCGCTTGCTCATCACGTGCAGCGCCGCCGCCTCAGCTTGCTCCACCTCTCGCCTCGCCGCTGCCCTCTCCTCTCCACACCATCATCATGTCTCTCAGCTCTCCCCACCGAGCACTCTCCGGCCGTCCCATCCTCATCGGTGTCGGCGGCGCCACCTCTTCCGGGAAGAGCACGCTCGCCGCTCGCTTGGCTCCGTTGATCAACGGCACCATCTTGCCGCAGGATGACTTTGCGCTGCCCGAGAGCGAGCTGCGGTATGACGAGCGCATTGACGGCAAGGACTGGGACGATCCAGAACATAGTGTGCGTCTGCCCGGCTCAGGACAGGGCACGCGCTAGGGTGTGTAGGCTGATGAGCGACGAACCATAGATCGACTACCCACGTTTCGCACGTGCCCTCAAAGGCCTCCACGAAGGCCAGCCGCCGCCTCCCTCGCCCAAGAACACGGCACAAAGCACGCCGGAGCCCTCTGCACGTCCGATTTCCCCTCCCTCACTGGCGGGCATTCGTGCCGCACTGGCGCAGCTCAAGGCGCCCGTCTTTCTCATCGACGGCTTCCTGCTCTACTACGACCGCGACGTACGGGCGCAGCTGGATGTGTGCCTGTTGTTGAGGGGACACGAGGAGGAGGTGCGGGCGAGAAGAGAGGGGAGAGTGTATGATACCGCTGGTGAGTGCTTCGACCTCTTTTGCCATGGCCTCGCGCTGATCTGGGTCTGCCGACGAGCAGAGGGCACCACCTGGAGTGTGAGTCGCCTCTCTCGTCTTGCGCTGTGTGCCGCATCTCACATCTTTCCCCTTGCCCTAGGATCCGCCGAACTATTTCCCCCTCATCCTCTGGCCCTCCTACCTAAAAGCGCATCGCCGGCTCTTCGAGAATGGCGATGTCGAGGCTGGCGCGCTCGCGAAGCCAGGCGCAGGAGACGAAGCGGAGCCTCAAGGTGCGGCTTTCGAGCCGCTCACGCTCATTGAGACGCGAGGTAGGAGCGAGGAGGAGGTGCTGGTGCATGCGTGTGAGGCACTCGAGAAGGAGCTGGCCAGGTTGGTGCGGGAACGCAGAGGCAACTGAGGCCACTTTCTGCGCGGCTCTGGCGCCCCCCGCACTTGTCACGCATCGATACCCAGGCTCGCGACGGACGCAATAGAATTAAGTATCGGTCCCACTCGGCATGTCTAAGGATGGTGCTTGTATGGCAAGGGTTGGCTGCGCCACGCTCTAGCCGAGGATAGGCACGGCAGAAGGCGAGGGCACAGCGACGTCGGGCATGGCGGCCACTTCTTGCAGCTTGGCCTGCAGCGCTGGCGGCGCGGCCTGGGCAAGAGCTGAGGGGGCAGGAGCAGCGATGATGAGCGAGTGTCTGCGCTGTGAGAAGCGGATGCGACGCACCTTGGATGGAGGGAGCAATGCTACGGAAGAGCTCAAAGACGGGCACGGGGTCCATCGCTGTACGACCAGAGCGGCGAGGGCGCATTCAGCAACAGCAAGCAAACGGAGGTGCTGCAAGCTGCAAAGACACTACTCACGCGACTCGAAGCCCATCTCCTCTTCCTCCTCGTCCTCGTCCTCCAGCTCCTCAAAGTCAGCCGAGGCGTCGCCGGCCTCGATGCCGGCGGCCTGAGCGCGCAGACGGGCACCTTCCTTGGCCAACAGCTCGAGATACTCGTCTGAGCGCGCAAACGGGGAGGCGGGGTGGAGCATCAGCAAGTGCCTCCTGATTTGCGCGTCGAGCAAGCGGCGCTCAACTCACTGTCCTCATCAAGCACATCCTCATCGCCAGCCGTGCTGACGAAGCTCGCGGACACGTCCTCATCGAGCTCATCGTCGTCGTCGGCAAAGGACTCCTCGAGGTCCTCGAACGCCTCGATCTCCTCCTTGCGTTTTTGGATGGCCTCGGGCAGGCCGCGCAGCACGTCGACGACGGCCTCGAGCATCTGCGGCAGCAGCGTCTGGACGCCAGCAGGAAGCTGACCCGCAGGGAGCGCCAGCAGCCCACAGAGTGCCACGACGAAGACCTTGCGATCGTGCACGCGCTTAAACGACGCCGCATCGGCGCACACGGTGCGCAGGAACGTGTCGGCCGCATTGTGCGACTGCAGCACCTGCAGTGCCAGCACGGGGTTGTAGCAGAAGGCATCGAGCGTGACGAGCGTGGCCCACTTGCGCTCCGAGGCGCTCGTTGCCGCCTGCGAAGGGTCGACGCGCGGAAGCACGGTGGCGAGCATGCTGGGCACTGCCTCGTCAATCGAGCCCTTGAGCAGCAGCAGGATCACGTCGGCCAGCTTCAGGGCCGCAAGGTGGTCTGCGGCAGAGTGTCAGCAGTAGCTACAGCGACATCAACCCGGCAAGCACAACGCACCGACGGCACCCAGATGCTCGCTCGTCATGGCCGTCTGGAAGATGTCAATGATCATGTGGCGGTACTCTGCATTCTGCGCCATCGTGTCCTTGCCGTACGAGACGATGTTGTCGAGCGTCGGCAGCATCTCTGTGGCGGGTAGCGCATGAGTAAGGGCATGCATGGAGTCGCAGCCGACGCGGACTCACCGCTGAGGTAGTCAATGCCCGACGACTTAAAGGCCTTGTGGATGAGCGTGAAGATCGACCACATGCCGTCCGAGATGCTGCAAGGCTTGCATGTCAGCGCAGCCTCGGGGCAGAAGACCAAGCGACACGCACCGCTTCTGGTTGAAGGTGAGCATGTCGGTGAGGTCGAGGCAGTCGTCGTAGAGGTCTGCAAGGCGCAGTGAGCCACGCGCAAAAGCAGCTCGGTGGAGCAAGGGACCACGCACCGACACACTCCTTCTCCAGCGTGTAGGCCACGAGCGGCAGGATGACCTGCTCCAGCTCGGCCTGCATCTCCGGCTTGCCCTCGGCCGCCGAGAGCACCTGGTACATGGTCTGCAGCGAAGCCACGGCCGCAAAGACTGTGTCACAGTTGTCAGCAGTGCGCAGACAGCGCGCAGCGATACGCAACGCACGCTTGTCCTCCTGGTTCTGGTTGAAGTCGATCTGATCCGGGTCCTCCTCGACATTCGCTCCCGCGAGGTGCTCGTTCAGAAGGCGCATGTACGTGTCGCGCAGGTGCGTGCAGAACTGCACGCTGAACGGCAGCAGCTCCTCGGAGAACGAGTCGACGATCTTCGACGTCGTGCCCGAAAGCACATCCAGGTCCGTCTCGTCGGAGAGCTTGAGCAGCTCCTGCATCAGACGCCCGGCGTTGGGTGCCATCGCGGCGTGCACATCGTCGTGCTCGATGAGCGCTCCAAGCGCCGCAGCAGCCTGCACGCGGACCGGCAGCTGCGAGTCGGCCAGGCACGTCATGACGCCGCGGAAGGCGCTCTCGAGGTTCTGTGCAGAGTGTCAGACGAGGCCGAGGTCGCGTGCTTGCTGGCCGCGCTCACCTTCTGGTCGCGCCAGCGCATCTGCGCCGAGAACGTGCGGATCAGGTCGGTGGAGCGGAAGCGCAGGAAGCGGTCCGCGCTGCCGAGCTCCGGAATGACGTAGGCGACAAAGAAGCCCTCGAGCATGTCGCCGACCTTGGGGTGCTTGAGCATCGTCATGTCGAGCGCGCGCGTCATGTTCAGCGCGCCGTCCTTCTCGCGCGCACTGCGCGAGGCCGGGAAGCCCTGCATGACGGACGTGATGAACTCGAGCTGCGCCATGAAGCAGCTCTCGGTGCGCTTGGCGCAGACGGCTGCAGGCGGGCATCAGCAGGCGTCGTTGCGTGCGAGGGCAACGACACTAACTCTGCAGGAACGTGCCGGCACTCGACGCCGGCGTGCCGTACTCCTCGATGGGATCGAGGTGCGAGCGGATGAAGTCGACCTCGTCGAGGTCCCATTGCTCCTCGTCGGCCTGCCCGTAGCACATGCGTGGGAAGACGAACTGCTGGACGAGCGTGTTGACGTGCGGCTTGAGCAGCACCCAGGTGCTCTTCGGCTTGATGCTAGGGAGTACGAAGCTTAGCAGCGCGGAGAGGCGCTGTCGAGGGCACAAGACTCACCACTCGGTGTAGTACATGAAGATGAAGTGCACCGCCTTGCGCGAGAGCCACGTGCCGGCAATGTTGGCCTCGGTGAGCCGCAGGTACACCTTGAGGATCTCGGGCGCGAAGCTCGTCACGAAGCGCTCGGCGAACGGCTTGTACTTGGTCAAGTTAGACGGCAGCTGCGAGGGGTTGCCGAAGCTGTGCCCGACGGGTGAGCGAGACTTCACACGTGGGGCAATGACCCTGGCACACTCACCGGCTGAAGAGCTTGTTGAGCGAGAAGAAGGCCCACTTCTTTGCTCGCCACCAAGGGCTCGCCTCGCGTTCCTCCTCGTCGTCAGGCAGCTGTGCCGGGTCCACCTGGTGCTGCACCACGGCTAGCAGGAACGTGCCCCACGGCACGATCGACTCGTTGGATTGCTGGTGCGGCGTGAGCTGGCTCACCATGCTCGTCTTGTACACCTTCAGGATGGCGTACACAATCTCGCCGGCCTCGGGCGACGAGGAGCCGGCAGACTCGAGAATCGACTTGCCCGTGGCAAGGATGCGCGGGAATGTCGCAGAGGCAATGGGCTCGAGCAGCGACTCTTCATCGCGCCAGCTGCGAGACGTGCGGCGTCAGTCGAGATGCCCGCCTGCCCTGCTCGACAGCTCCAGCATGACGACAGCCTAGACTCACCGGTAGGCACGCACCACCTCCAACAGCGCACGAATGCCTCCGTACACCGCGGCCTGCTCCGAGCTGCCGACGAGCTCGCCGATGCGGTCCATGAGGTCGGGCCACTCCTTGGGGAAATCGCACGCGACCATGCTGCCCAGCGCGCTGGCGACGTGCACGCGCAGCGGCTGCGGCACCTGCACCAGTGTGGGCAGCACGGCGCCGCGCAGCGCACTGCGGTCGTTGGCGCGAATGTGGACGCTGTTCGACGAGGCGGCACTGCCCTCGGGCACGCGCTTGACGTCCCACATGCGCCGCACGCGGTTCTTGAGGTAGCTGCAGAGCGAGTCAGCAGCCGCAGCGGCTGTCGCTGTGGTATCGGGCTCACATGGCGGCCGCCTGGCGAGCGCTCATCTCGGCCTCGCCGTTGGCGACGATCTGCAGGACGCTGGCGAGCATGCCGTCGTGCTTCTCGAGCTCGCGCAGCTCGAGCTCGGCCGCCTTGCGGTGATTTGGGTTGGCACTGCAAGGAGACAGCGTGAGCTACGGCGACTGCGATGCGAGCAGACTGGCCGCACGCACTCGAAGGACGCGACGAAGCACTGGTAGAGCTGCTCCATGATGGGCGCTGAATCGGAGCGTCAGCGTGTGTGGGCGAGAGGTGAGAAGCGCACGTGCGGATGCGCACAGTGCAGCGGGGTGCAGCGCAGGCCAAGCTTGAGTTGCTCTCAGGCGCGGGCGTAGGTCGGGTCTGGCAGCGTCGCGGGTGAGGAGTGTGTGAAGGATGAGAGGCGCTGCGGCGGAAGAGGCGAGATTGGGTGAGGGCGAGAAGGAAGCTCTGCTGCACGCCGAGCCGCAAGCAACACGACGGCCAAATTCTTGCTCTGCGCTCGCGCCAGGCACCGCGGCCTCAAAAGTGAGCGTGGGAGCGCAGATCGCATCGCTCGCCGCGCGCGCGCCGCACGCGCCTCCTCCTTCTCCCTCTCCCCTCGAACAGCCTCTGCGGTACATGGCGCAAGAGCTCAGCGTCATTCTGCTAGTCACATCGCCACGGTGCAAGCCATGAGAAGGTCGTGTCGTTAAGATGAAAGGGAAACAGGTGCAGCCCAGCGCGTGCGGGCGCAGAGGGGAATGTGGGGGAGAGAAGCTGTTGTGCGAGAACGGATCGGCGCCTGGAGCTCAGCGAGCCCAGAGGCTCTGGAACATGGCAGCGAGCACCGAGAACGCCGGCGTGAGCGCATGCTGCGGCTGCGAAGAGGCATGGAGCGCCGGCACGGGCGAGCCGCCGAAGCTGCCGCCCATGAGCGCAAAGCTGAGCGGCGGCGCCGGCGTGTAGCCCTGCCCGTCCTCGCCCGGATCTTCGGTGTCGCCCGAGGACGGGGCAAAGACGAAGCCCGAGACGAGCACCACATCTGGAGAGGGGGGTAGCGTCAGCTGGAGAAGGGCGCCGGACTCGGAGAAAGGCAGACTCACAGCTGAGGATGAGGATGCTGCCGCGGTAGTAGTTGGAGCGCGCCTCGGTGTACGTGTACGTGAGGAGGAACACCTGCGCAGCGGTGGGCTTGCATCAGCGCTGCTGCTCCTGCGTGCGGCGCGATGACAGAGCAGACTGACCGAGAAGATGACAGCGATGACGTCCCATCGCGGGAAGATGAGCGAGAAGGAGGTGAGGGCGCTGGCGGCGCGGTCGTGGTTGTACCAGGCGCTGAAGGCGACCATGGCGGGAATCTGGATGAGGCAGACCTGCAGCGCGTAGGCCGAGCCGATCTCCATCGAGAGAGCGATGTTGCCCTGGAGGATGCGGCGTCAGCAAGCGCTGCGCGAGAGAGCAGGGGGCTGCAGGCCTCACATTGATGGCGAAGCTCATGGCGTTCCTGCGGAACCGGGAGTCAGCAGAGTGTAGGAGGGGACACGGCGACGCTGCTGCCGCCGTGCTGCCTGCTGCACCCACATGAACTCAGTGGCGTTGGGAACGAGCGCAAACAGCGTGACACCGAGCAGCTTGATGTCGATGCCCGAGCCATCCAGCACGACGTCGACGGCATCGACGAGGATCTCGGCGATGATGGCGTAGAGCACGGTGCAGGAGAGGAGCACGATGAGCGACTGGTTGCGCGTCCACGACGGCGCATCGTGGCCGCCGTGGCCGCCGCCGTCGTCGTGCGCCTCGTGCATCGAGACATGGCGCGGCGCCGGCTCGTGCATCGTGCTGCGCGGAATGGCCTGGTTTGCCGAGAGCTGCGACGTCTGCTGCTGCTGCTGCTGCTGCTGTTGCTGTGCCTGCTGCTGCTGATGCTGATGTTGCTGGCCGTGCATAAAGGCACTCGTCGTCAGCGCCACGGCGCGCGCGTACTCCTCCTGACTGAGCCCCTCGGGCAGCTGCAGCGGCGGCAGGTCGCCCGGCGCGCCGCGCTGCGAGCGCAGAGTGCCGCCGGCCTGCGAGTTGGCCTGGCTGGTTGGGCGCTGCGTGGGCAGCAGCTGCTGCACCACGCTCGACGGCAGCAGACGCTTGTAGATGCTTGCACGCTGAGCGCCCGGAATGCTGATGGCGCCCGGCGCCGTCGATGCGCCCGTGTTGGTGTGGTAGACGTGCGCACTGGGGGCCGCTCCATGCGGCGCGGGCACGGGGTTCGGGTTCTGCCAGATCTGGCTGGCGTGCGTGCGCAGCGAGAACCACAGGCCGATGGCGTACGACAGCACGAGCACAACCGTGCACGTGTACATCAGACCTTTGACGTTCTCCTGGTAGAACGGGTCCGTCGCGGGCGGGATGTGCTCGTAGAAGCAGCGCTTGCACGACCACGTGTCGCCGGCGTGGTGGCCCGACGGGCAGCCAGTGCACGTGAGATGGAACTGGGCAGTCGCGTCATCAGCGCTGCAACAAAGACCCGCACTGGAAGCGACTCACCGTGCCGTAGATCTGGTAAAACATCGTGGGCGTGAGGATGCCGATGATGGCCATGATGAGCATCGTCGACGTGACGCCGGCCGAGCGTGCGTTGAAGCGCTGCTCTTTGCGGCGCGTGGCGCCCGAGCACATCGAGAGGCCCGGCATGAGCAGCACGCCTGCGAGGATGGAGCCGACGAGGGAGCCCTCGACGAGGCGTGCCTTGTTCTGCGTCAGGGCAATGGCGTAGAGGATAATCTCGACGATGGAGCCAAACGTCGCGTTGATGACGGCGCCCATGCCGATCGAGCTCTGGGCGCTGATGCTGGCCACCGCCATGCCGATGAAGTACGACAGCGGCAGCACCGAGCCGAGCGCGAACACAAAGAGCGCGCCCTGCGACGAGATGGCGGCGAGGAAGCCCGTGGTGATGTGGTGCCGGTGCACGTACGCCTCGACGAAGAAGAAGTCGAAGATGGTAAAGAAGACAAAGGGCAGCGTGTTGACGAAGAGGATGTTGACGCCGCCGACGGTGTACTTGTAGTACTGCAGGCCCATAGCGCGGTACGTGCAGAGCAGGATCTTGCTGCGCCGCTGCCGCTCGCCGTCGCGGCGTGCCTTGGGGCGCGGCGCAAACTGGCCGGGCCGCAGCGGGCGCAGGAAGTCCTTGCCGTCCGAGTGGTCCTCCTCGGCCGTCGCGCCGAACTCGTCGTGGTTCGCAGAGAGCGCATTGCCGGGCGCGGAGCGGAAGTGCAGCGCGAGCGGCTGCGACGACAGGTTCTTGAGCAGCACCCACGTCAGCTTGGCCATGGGGATGGTGAACACCATGCCCCACAGCGCCAGGCAGACGAGGCCCATCAGCGGCGCGACGACGAGCCAGAAGAGCAGGCCAAACGCCAGCGTGCCGAAGATGCGCCCGCGGCGGCCGACGTCGCGGCCTTGGTCGTCGTGCACGTACTCGTACACGTCCAGCTCCTCGCTGACGCGGTCCTCCTTGCGTGCGCCGCCGCCGCTGTTGCTGCTGCCGCCCTCCTCGCTGTCGGCTGTGGCGCCGTACGTCGCGGCGCGCGCCTTGCCCTTCAGCGGACTCGTCTCGCCCGGTCCCTGTGCGATTGCCTGCGCCGAGCGCGCGCTCAGTGTGGAACCTGGGCCCTCGGCGGCGTCATGCGCGCCAGTCTCGGTGCCGCTGCCGGAAGCAGAGCCCGAGCCAGACGCCTCACCCGACTCGGCGGCGCGCGAGCTGGCGCGCACTGTGCCGTCAGGCTGCGCAGCGTTGTAGTCCGAGTAGTCGCCCGAGCGGCCGCGGCTGTTGAAGGGAATGCGGTGTGCATGGTCGTGCGGGAATCGGGCAGCCACGGGCGTGAAGGCGTTCTCGTACGCCACTTCCGCATCGTGCGGCTGCTCGACCCACGAAACGCCGCGCTCGCCGCTGGTCGGCGAGACATCGATCTCCACGTACTTGCCAAACGGCCAGAGCAGGTAGCAGCCCAGCTCCCAGAGCACGCGTCCATAGCGCGCGCCGCCGACGGGGACGACCACGAGAAGCAGTGCGGCGGCAAGACAGAGCACGCAGAGCCAGGAGCCGAAGAGAAGCGTCCAGAGCAGATTGCCCGGCAGCAGGTGGCGGCCCGCAGCGGCGCTGGGTGTCGAGTGCAGTGCGCTCTCGGCGTTGCGCGTCACGGTGCGGCTCTTCTTGTAGAGCGCGGGCTTCCAGATCGGCAAGCCGAAGGGATGCTCGATGTTGATGGCGTCCTGGCGATCCTTGAGCGTGTACTCGACATCGTCCTCGCCGCCCGAGCCGCTGGGCGTGGCCTCGTCATCGTCGTCTTCCTCCTCCTCGTGGGCCACGTCGACCTCGTCGCCCAGACGCGAGCCAGCCTCGGTGCGAGCAGCCTCGGTGGCGAGGCCAGCGACGGTGTCGCGCTCCTCATCATCACCGCCGTCGACGACGCTGCCGGCCACGCTGGAGGCGGGCACCTCGGACGGCGCAGCGCCAGCGTCGGAGAAAACGTCGAGGCCGCCAGCGCCAGGCGCGCGCGTCACAGTCGAGGCGCCGCTAGCCTGCGCACCGCTCATGCGCCGCCCGCCGAGCTGCGACTGCGGCTGCTGCTGGTTGTGGCTCGGCCGGCGGATGTGCGAGTGCGGCGAGGGATAGGTGGTCGGGCCGCGGTAGATGCCCGGACTCAGTGCCGGCAGGCCGCCGGCAGATGAGAGCCCAGGGGACAGTGTGCCGGGCCCAACCTCGGACGAAGGCGTCGGCATGGCAATGTACGTCGGCCGGCCTTCGCGCTCGAGCGTGGGCGAGCGCGGGCCCTGGCCGCCGGGCGAGGCAGGCACATTCTGGCTGGCGACGGAGCCCTGTTGGGCGCGCAGCCGCTCGCGCTCGACGGCCTTCTCCTTCTTGCGGCGCGCAGCCTTTTCCTTCTGCCGTGCCTTCATGCGGCGGCGCACCAGCTCCTCGCCGCGGTCCAGGTGCTCCACCTCGTCGTCCTCGTCGTCCAGCGGCCCGAAGCGATCCTCATCCTCATCCGAGTTGCGCCGCGCCACACTGCCCCGCCGCGCATCGCGCACCACGCTGGCACGGCGGTTGCCGGCGCGGCTGGCCGTGCTGGCGCCGGTGGCGCGGCTGAGCGACACGCTGACAGGCCCTGTCTCGGCGCGGCCCGTGCCCGCCTGCTGCGGCGCACGACCGCGCAGCGTGGCAGACTGCGCAGTGCGACCGCCGGCGTCCTCCTCGCCCGAGCTGAACTCGGACGCAGAAACGGCCGAGACAGTGTCGATGTCCGACGGCGCATAGGAGGTGCTGCGCGCCGCCGACGAGGGGTCGCGGCGCACGCTCGACGAGCGAGGCGTCAGCGAAGCACTCGGACGCTGCTGCTGTGGAGCAGAGTGAGCTGTGGGCATGCACGCTGCTGAGCACAGCGTCACACTCACCGGAGCGCTGCCGCGGCCGATGGTGCTGCCTGCGCCGGCGTGGCTCGGCTCGCTGCCGTGCTGGCTCCAGCTGACGCTGGGCTCGCGCGGCATGGCGGAGAGCGTGCCGCGTGCGACATGGCTCTGCGTGGGCGTAGTACTGAGGGCCGCGTGCTCATCACTCGGCGCCGCAGCGGCGGCGTGGCGGCGCGAGTCCTCGCGCTCCGTCTCGTTGCCGGTAGAGGAGGTGGAAGAGAGAGTGCGGCGCGCGGACGGCGGCTGTGTGCCGCCAGGACCGCCGCCAGAAGGCTGAGGGCCGCTCATGGACGCAGGTGACGGCTGAGCGAGGAGCGCAGCGGGGGCGGCTGTGAGCGTGTGAGGGGAGCGGAGGAGAGAAGGAGTCGGTGCGCTCGGACAAGGCGAAGGCGAGGCGAGCGGACGGCTCGGCACCGCTCACGACAGGACGGCCCAGGTGACACTGCTCCCGTGCCCGCCCCTCCCAGGGCGCGCACGGAGCCTCAGCCGCGCCGAGCCACGCCTCGCGTTTCAGGCACCTCGGCAGTGTGCGCTTCTCCCCCTTCAGGGGTCGCGCGCGAGAGGCGCGCGAGCGGCGGAGCAAGCCCGACGCGCGAAGACGGCCGCTGCGCCTTGCAGCTGCGCCCAGCCGCAGCGGCCGCACTCGACTGCGCCGAGCAGCCATTCGCCCACGCCATACCATCCCCGCAGCGCAAAGGACCACGATGGACAAGCGCTGGCTTGCGAGTTGCGCCAGCGCAAGAGGCGTGAGGAGCGTGTGCAGCGCTCATGCTGCACGACTTGAGACGGCGAGCTCCCTCGCACGCGTACAGGGGCGGCCGCCGCTCTCGTCCTCCTGCCGCGCGCAGCCTGCGGCTGGCGGCGGTCCGGCGCCCGCGCTCGGCCATCGAGCTCAGTCAAAGTCTTAGTGGCACTTTGACGTCAGCGCCGGGCTCGTGCTCTCGCCGGCGCCCCTGAGCGCGAGCGCCGCGTCAATATCTCGCACAGCCCGTTCGGGCTGCGAGCTCACGGCTTCCGGCTGGTCACGCTGCTCCCGTCTCGGTCTCGACACGACATGTGCACGGCTGGATTGCATGCTGGATGAGTGGTGGGATATGATGAGAATTAACATGTGACGTTGAGGCAGAAGCGAGGCAGTAAGCAGGGTGGGAAAGCGAGGGAGTATAGATGCGAGACGTCAAGGCGCCAGAGAGCGGGTGCAGGTGGAGAAGAGGCGAGCATCACTCGACATTCGACTCGGACGCCACGCCCGGAGGCGAGCCGTTGCTCTGCGGCTCGTGCAGCTCTGGGATGTGCAGCTGGTCGTCCTTCACAGTGACGAGCACCTTGTCGCCGTCGCGCACAGTGCCCTTGATGAGTGCGCGCGAGAGAGCTGGAGAGAAGAACGAGCCAGGTAAGCGAGGGCAGCTCGAGATGCTCCGCTGGACTCACGATTCAGGAGATTGCGCTGGATGGCGCGAGCAAGTGGACGAGCGCCGTATGCCGGATCAAAGCCCGCCTCAGCGAGCCAGTCCTTGGCCTTCTGGTCCACATCCAGCACGATGCGGCGCGGCGCCAGGCGCTGGCCCAGCTCGCGCAGGCGGATGTCGACGATGCCGCGAATCGAGTCGCGCTGCAGGCGGTTGAAGATGAGAATGTCGTCGAGGCGATTGAGCAGCTCGGGCGGCATGGCGTCCTGGATCGCCGACATGACGCCCGCTCGACCTGCGCCCGTCACTTTGCCGGACTCGTCGACGGCGCCGGGCTCGTACAGACCGCCGGCGCCGAGGTTGCTGGTCAGCACGACGATGGTGTTGCGGAAGTCGACGCGGCGGCCTTGAGAGTCGGTCAGCGCACCCTCCTCGAGGATCTGCAGCAGCAGCATCTGCACCGGACGCGACGCCTTTTCGATCTCGTCGAACAGCACGATGGAGTACGGCCGGCGGCGCACCGCCTCCGTCAGCTGTCCGGCGTCCTCGTGGCCTACGTAACCAGGCGGCGCGCCGATGAGGCGGCTGGCCGAGTGCGACTCGCCAAGCTCGGAGCAGTTGATCTGCACGACACTTGCATCGTCGAAGAGGTACTCGGCCAGCGCCTTGCACGTCTCCGACTTGCCGCAGCCAGTGGCGCCGGCGAAGATGAACGAGGCCAATGGTCGCCGCTCATTGGAGAGGCCCGCGCGACTGAGACGCACAGCGTCTCCAATGGCGTTGAGCGCCTCATCCTGCCCGATGATGCGCTTGCGCAGCACATCCTCGACGTGCAGCAGCCGCTCGCGCTCGCTGCGCAGCAGAGAGCGCAGAGGCACGCCCGTCATGCGTGCCACCACCGACGCGACGGCGTCTTGCGTGACGCGCTCGGGCACCAGCAGGCCCTCCTCCTCCTCGGCCTTGGCGTTGGCGGCAGCTGCCTCCTCCTCGGTCGGCAGCTGGCTCTGCAGGCTGGGAATCTTGCCGTACTGCAGTCTGCGAGAGGAGCGTCAGCATGGTCCTCCGACGCCGAGCCGCTGTGTGACTCACTCTGCAGCCCGCTGGAAGTCGCCCGTCCGCTGCGCCTGCTCGAGCTGAATGCGCGCCATCTCGATCTCATGCTTGATGTTCTTGATGTTCTCCAGTCGTCCGCGAATGTCGTTCCACTTCGACAGCAGACCCTCAGACTGGCTGCGCAGCTTCTCCAGCTCCTGCGTCAGCGTCTCGTGCCGCTCGCGCGAGATGCTGTCCGTCTCGCGCCGCAGGGACTCGAGCTCGATCTCGATGGACTGGATGCGACGATCCAGCGACTCGACGGCCTCAGGCTTCGACTCTTGCTGCAGACGCAAGGCGCTCGAGGCCTCGTCTACGAGGTCGATGGCGCCGTCTGGCAGCCGGCGATCGCTCAGATAGCGATGCGCCAGCGTCGCGGCCGACACGAGCGCCGAGTCCGCCACAGAGACACCGTGATGCGCCTCGTAGCGCGAGCGCAGGCCACGCAGGATGGATACCGTCTCCTCTACCGACGGCTCGGAGATCTGCACGGGCTGGAAGCGGCGCGCCAGCGCGGCGTCCTTTTCTATTGTCGTGCGGTACTCGTTGAACGTCGTGGCGCCCATCAGCTGCAGCGTGCCGCGTGCCAGTGCTGGCTTGAGCCTGTGGGCATCGTCAGCAAGCAACGCTCGCACATCCTCCCCACGGACACTCACGTATTGCCAGCGTCCATGGCGCCCTCTGCCTTACCCAGGCCGAGCAGCATGTGCAGCTCATCGACAAACAGCACGACTTTGCCCTGCTCGTGCTCGACGTCGGCCAGCAGCTCCTTGAGGCGCTCCTCGAAGGCGCCGCGGAAGCTGGCGCCCGCGAGCAGCGCCGCAAGGTCGAGGGAGAGGACGCGCTTGTCCTGCAGCGACTCGGGCACTTCGCGGTTGATGATGCGCTGTGCCAGCCCCTCGGCCACGGCCGTCTTGCCTACGCCTGCTTCGCCAAGCAGCACTGGATTGGACTGGGCGCAGAGTCAGCAAAAGGTTTGACGGCTGCCGCAGCGGGTCTGCTCACCTTCGTTCTGCGGCTCAGAATCTGGATCGTGCGGCGAATCTCCGCGTCTCTGTCCGGGAGCATGAGCGCATGACCCATGCTGGCACACTTGCCTGAGACAGCACTCACCTGCCGATGACCGGATCGAGCTTCCCCTCCCGCGCCAAAGCCGTCAGGTCGCTCGAGTACTTTGCGAGCGTCTCGCCCGGCTTGGGCGCCTGCTGTCCGCCCATGCGGAAGCCATTGAATCCGCCGCCTCCGCCGCCGGCACCACCAGGCGGCTGCTGCGCCAGGCGTGCGCTGCTGGCATGGAGCGAGCGGCTGAGAGAGGGCGCTGAGGCATGCGAGACGCGAGGCAGCGAGAGCGCCAGTCGTGGAGCGCTGGCGGCGAGACGACGGCGCAGCGAGCTGGACGCCGCGGCGCGTCCGGTGGCGAGGAGCGCGGGCGGCGGCATGCGCGACAAAGGGCGTATATGCGGTGTGGTGGAGCTGTGGGTAGCGCAGGAAGTGGTTGGGAAGAGCGAGACGTCGTGAGCGGGCCCGGGAGATGTGGGAAGTGATGAGGAGTGGAAGGTGGCCTTGCGCACCTCTAGCGTCAGGGTGCTGGCAGGTGCGAGAAGCTTCGCGGCCGGCTCCACCTCGGCGCGCGCTTACGCGAATTCCCGATTTCCGTGCCGCACCTCGACTTCTCGCGCCGGCCTTCTTCGTCGGCTATAAAGCGTCGACGCAACCTCCGAGGCAGCTTTCACCGCATCAATCTCCCTCCTGCTACTCTGCTGAGGCTCAGCGACGTGCAGTGGCAAGCGCGCAGCAAGAGTGCCGCTGCCGTCTCGGCCAGGGCTGCGCATCACGCATGGCGAAAGGTGCGCGCAGCACGTGTGCACCAGACCAGCTTGTCTCGCCCGAGCCGCTCGCACGGCCGATGTTCGAGCATCATCTGGCGGATGCAAGCCTGCTCATCACACACGCTACTGGCTCATCATGACTCGTGCGCAGTCTCATCAGATGCTGCGCAGCGGGGTCGGGATGGCGGTGTGGCGCTGAGGTGCCGGCCGTGCTCAGCCACATCTGGGCCGCTTCCCACGCTTGCGCCGCCGCGCCGCGCTGCGCACCGCCTCCGGCCTGGCCATGCTGCGCCTCCGGCCAGCTGAGCAGCTGCGCAAGGCCCTCATCTCGACGGCTCTCGAACGAAGTCTGCTGCGCACAGTCGCAGCTCTCCCGCTGCGCACTTCTCCCCCCTCACGTCTATAAGAAGCGCCCCTCCTCGCCTCCCCAGCCGCGCTCTTCACGACACCATGACCACGCCCGCTCCTGCCCGCGTCTCAAGCCCCACACTCTCCGGGGTATCGACGAACTCGGACTCGTCGCTCTCCATCATCGAGTGCGATGCTCCGGCGCCACGCGAAGATGTGAGACAGGCGGGCCACCGATGCCCTCACTGCGGCGCCTCGCGCAACGCAGCACAGGGCATGCAGCGACCGTCGCCACAGCCGATGCATCATGCAGCACCGCCTTCGCCACCGGCTCCTCGGGCACCTCATGGACACGGGCTTCCGCCTCCGCCTCACGCCCATCGGTCATCGCATCTTCATCACCATGGAGCACGCGGCAGACACGAGCACAGGCACGAGCCTCGTGCGGACGAGCCGTGCGCCCGCTCCCAAGGCGGACCTGACCACGGAGCGCGAGGCTGCGGTCATCCGCACGGCCGAGGACGAGGACATGGACGGATGAGCGCTCATCCTCATCACCACCAGCGTGGTCCTCCCTTCAGTCCACACGACACGGCCGCTCACTGGCCGACGCACGACATGCGGCACCTCTTCGCCGCACTGCACGCACACGGTCCTTTCCATCGACACGCGCATCATGCTCCAGCATCGCATGGACCGCATCACGGTGCCCACCTGCATCGTCCATCGCCTCCTCCTTTCCCACCGCATCTCTTCTTCGGTGAAGGATGGCACGGTCCAGTGCATCTCGCGCCGCACCATCCTTGCGCTCCTCATGGCGAGGAAGGATGTCGACGCCCGAGCCGTGGTCATGGCGGACCTCACTTCGCGCAGCGTGGCTATCACGGACAGGACAGTCCTCACGGCCACCGAGGCCATGCGCATCGCCATCTTGCTGCGTGCATGTGACTTTTCTCGATTCGACCTTAAGAACACGACGAACAAGCAATGAGAAGAAGCGATACGCGCTGACGAGTCGCTTTGTACAACAGCAAGAGAGGAGAGCACGAGGCACGACACCGGAGAACTGTACCATAGCCACGAGCGAGCGAGCGAGCGAGCGACGACGATCAATGACGAACCTTTCAGCCTCTCATTCTTCTTCCTTCTCCTTCACTACTCTCCGCCTTCACTCACGACAGACACCGCATCAGTTGCGTCGGCAATCAGTGCACCGCTGATGTGGGTCGTGAGATCTCGGGGATGGGTCGGAAGCGGGACGAAGATGAGAGACCTGGAGACCCTGGCGAAGAGCCAAGAGCCATGCAGAGCGACGTGCGAGATTGGCGCTACGACATCAAGAGCGCCAGGAGCGGTGCTTTGGAGCATCCCTGGCTGTCTCATCGACGGCATACTCTCGCGACGCTGTGCCGCTCATCTTCGCTTCTGAGCCATCGCTGGTCCGTCTTCGTTCCGTCCTCGTGAGGTAGGTTGCAGCTCGGCTCGACGGTTAGGACGATCGACTCGACGAGACGTAGAACGAGGCATTCCGAGCCGCAAGGGGGCAAGGATCAAGACGCAAGACTCAAAGTATACGACGAGAAGTGCCGTCCGGGGCGCAAGGCGCAAAGCACGGCTCAAGACTCAAGGCTCAAGGCTCAAGACTCAAGGCTCAAGACCAGAACGACTCGAGACGCGAAGTGGACGTGCGCCTCAAGACGCAAGGCTCGAGACGCAGAGCAAGATTCAAGACCGAAGATGCGAGCATGGAGACGGCCTCGACACGGCGCGCGATCAAGACGCAAGAGGGGAGAAAGGGGCAAGATCGGCGACGTATGACGGCCAGGCGCAAGATGACGGCGGCAGGATTCGAGGCTGCAAGACGACAGGCGCGCGATCGAAGGCGAAAGAGCGATCGCGTAGGCGTCAAGTTCTCGAGACAACGGCCCACGATCAGGACGCAAGACGCAAGACGAAACGACTCGCAGCTCAACGCAGGAGGGCGGTTCGGCTCAAGACGCAAGGCTCAGGACGCTCATGTCGAGGCGCAAACGTTGAGGCGCAAGAGGCGAGAGGCTGCGGGTGGCGAGGCATGCGAGATCGCCTCCTCCTTCTACCAGATCGGCTCAAGATCACACGCACCGTGCTGCCTCCATCTCACGTCTGACTCGGGGCTGACCTGGCTGCCGCGAGTGCCCCACCCTCCTTCCATCGTGGAGCGCTGGAATACGATGCATTCGTGCCCGTCTTCCTCTCGTCCGAGTCTTCTCTCTTGTGTCGAGCGAGCAGATGCCCTTCACGGAATGATAGTGGCGCAGATACGCCGGCTGTGGCTCATGTGGCGGAACTCCATGAGGTAGATGCCCTACGACGAGCGCATCGCATCGCACCGCGGTCAGCTGGCGTGTCCTTCCCTCTCCGAGCTGCAGCAGCAAGAAAGGCCGCGGCGGAAGACTCACCTGCCAGGTGCCGAGCGCCAGCTTGCCGTTGGAGATCGGCACGGTGATGCTCGAGCCTGAGAGCGTGGCCTTCGAGTGCGAGGCCGAATCGTCGGGTCCTTCGTCGGCTGGAGGAGGGGGGAGGCATGAGCGAAAGGACTGACGATGTGCAGAGCGAAGCGACGACGACATGCATGCTCCGTAGAGAGAGAGCACGACGAGCGTGACAGGCGCTCGAGCAGGGCTCTCGCTAGCAGCAGCGGCATTGCGAGCCGAGCAGGCGAACAGCACTGCCGACGCATCCGAGCACGCCGAGACAGAGAACTCACTGTGGCGGTACGGCAGGCTCTCGGGCACGATCTTATCGAAGACCATGTCCATGTCTGCGGCTGCTGCATCAGCCTGGCGTGCGACAAGCTCGCAGAGATCGCGACGCACCCTTGCGGACGTCGCTGTGCGGTTCGGGCGACGACATCAGCAGCTGCGAGCAGGGAGCGCTTCTAGCAGGCGCACCTGTCGTAGTTCTCATTCAGCGACAGTCCGGCGGACGTGTGTTGGATGCTGCGTCGGTCTGCCTATCAGTCTCTGCCTCGCACACTTGCTCGCTCGCGGCGCAGCGCGCACGCACAAGAGCTGCAGCAGGCCGACCTTGCACTCCTTGACGCCGGCGCCGATGTGCTGCATGACCTCGTCGGTCACGAGGTGCACGCCCTTGGAGCGCGACGAGAGGGTGAAGGTCTTCTGCCACGGCATGATGTGTGCGTGAGGGAGACTAGGGGGTGGTGTTGGTGTGAAGGAAGAGGGGAGCGATGTGGAGGGCCCGTCTCGTACGTCCTCGACCCGAGAGCCGGTGCCGGCTTCCAAGCGAGCACCGTGGGAACAGCGCGGCTGCGCGCGCGCGCCGCGCGCCTTCCCTTCGCCGGCGGCGCACGATTCTTATTCTTATTTCTCATCGCGCGGCGCGGCGGCGCGCGGCGGCGGCCGCCCGGCGGCACGGCCAGCACAGGCAGCCGCTCAGGGCACACCACGCGGCGCGCGCCTCGCGCCTCGCTCCTCACCACCACACCCTCCGGCCTCCCCTCCCTCCCTCCGACACCGACATTCCGACAGCGCGCCCTTTCGCGCTCTCTCGCGGGCTTGCAGGCATCAAGAGCCCCCCGCGTCTCGCAGGCAGCCGCGTCTCTCGCCGCTTGCCAGCATCGCAGCGCCAGCGGCGCACTCGCCGCTCGCCAGCATCGCACAGCCAGCGGCGCACTCGCCGCTCGCCAGCATCGCAGCGCCAGCGGCTCATCGCCGCGAGCGCCTCGTCTTGCCGCCGCGCGCCCCCCTCCGCTGCGAGCGCCGCGACGTGGACCTTGCTGCCTCGGCCACGAGCGCCGCGACCTCGCTGCCGCGCGCTCCGCTTCCCGTCTCGCCCTCCCTCCGACACCGACACCGACACCGACACCGACGCCCCGACACCGACGCCTCTCGTCAGACTTCAGCACCTCTCGCCGCTCGTCAGACTCCAGCATCTCTCGCTGTCGCAGTCACGACATCGCCCAGACTCACTCGTACGGCACGCTCATCGCCGTAGGGTCTTGGTGTTCCCTTCCTCCGTCATCCGGCTCACTCTTACGCGCACGCTCATCGCCGTAGGGCCGTTCGACATCGCAGCGAGATCGAGCAGCAGCGTGCGTCGACATTGCGCGCCACGCAGCTCTCTCGCAGGCAGCCGCGCCTCTCGCCGCGCCGCTCGCCAGCATCGCAGCGCCAGCGGCTCATCGCCAGGCGCAGCGTCGCATCGCCAGCCGAGCGTGTCTGCCGCGCCGCATCTGCCGCGCCGCATCTGCCGCGCCGCATCTGCCGCGCCGCATCGCCGTCGTCTTCTCGCGAGCGCCTCATCACCAGCTGCGGTGCATCAGCATCGTCGCATCGGCCGCGTCGCTCGCCGCGTCGCGCAGGCATCGCGCGCGGCCGCGGCTGAGCAATGATCAAGACCGAGCCCGGCGCGGCGTCGTCCTCCACACCGGCGCCCGGCGCCGCTTCGTCGTCGTCATCGTCGTCGACGTCAGCAGCGGCACTCGAGGAGCACGCACGCTCCGCTCGTCTGCAGGACATTCTGCAGAAGATCAAGGTCGAACCGCGCTCGACGGATCTCATCGAGGAGCTCATCCTCGAGGCGCTCGATCACACAGCGCACGTCAAGCATCCGCTCTGCGCTCGCTCTGCGGACAATGACGAGGCGCGCAAGCTGCACCGCGAGGTGCAGACGTGCATGCTGCGCGTGCGCAGCTTCCGGCCCATCGAGCAGATCGTCGAGTGGCTCAGCAGAGTTGAGCGCGCGGTGCTCGGCTGCACGGAATGCGCTGATGGATACGCGGTAGCGCGTGGAGAGATCCACAGCCGGTGAGTCTGAAGCAGGAGCGCACTCGCCGGTCAGCAGCGCGCTTGCTCTTCTGAGCACGCTGAGCACGCTCGCCGGCTTGCAGCAGCGCGCTTGCTCTTCTGAGCACGCTGAGCGCGCTCGCTGCGCGGCACTCTCGCTTCGACAGCTTCTGATCCTCGCCTGCGCCGCGCCGCCGCACAGCTATCTGCACGTATATCCGCCGGCGTCACACGCCAAGTTCGACGCATCGATGGCGACGTGGGAGAGCGACGTCTGCATCTCGCTGCTCGTGCGGCGCAACGTCACGCCAGGCGGCGGCCTCGGCATGCTGCCGCAAGCGGAGCTCTACTTCTGCACGCACGCGCTCGGCTCGCTCCTCGGCGCGCCAGGGACACGGCCAGCGAAGGACACGCTCCTCGAGCACTTCGGCTCTGCGATGACGCGGCATGCGCTGCTGCGCAACGTCTCGCCCGGCCTGCTGGCGCTTGCGCTGCTGCCGGGCAAGGCAGAGACCGTGCAGCCTGGCTCGGCGCTCTCTCCCCGTGACTGGGCGCGCGAGCAGCTCTCCGCTCTGCGCCTGCGCCCGGTGCCCGAGGAATTTGCGAGCACGCCGCTTCTGCAGCTGCTCGTCGACTTTGGGCGCACTGCGAGCGAGGACGACAAGGCGCTGCTGCGCAAATGGGGCCCGCCGTCATGCGCTCGCGCGCTGCGGCCTGCGGCAACGGCTGTCAAGCGCGAGCCAGGCCCGCCTGACGCGTCTATCTCGAGCGGCAGCGCCGCCGTCGCCTCGAGCAGCACCTCCACCACCACAGCTGCGCATCCCGTCGCTTCGAGCAGCCGCAACGGCAGCAGCAGCAGCAGCATCGCCATCGCTGCGCACGACTGGACCGCCATCGCTGCCACGCTCGCATCCTCGTCATCACCAATGTCCGCCTCACTCGCGAAGCCGCTGCTTGCCAGCGTCGGCGAGCGCGATCCGGAGCGCCTCCACGAGCTGCTACGCTGCTTCGCGCTGCTGCTCGAGAAGGAGAAGGCCGACGTGTGGGAGGGCGGTCGAGACTCGGAGCGTGCAGCCGTCGCACTCAGCGGCTTGCTCAGCAACACGGCGCTCCTGACGCTCCTCGAGCGCGAGCACAACGACGCAACGCCGCACGCCGCTCTCGCTTGGACGATGCCGCTGCTCGCCTCGCTCCGCGGTCTGCCTGTCAGCAGCCGCTCCGGCGACGTCGCTGGCGGCGCTCTCGATGCGCATGACGAGGCGTTGCGTCGCATCGTCAACTTCTGCCTCGAGCGCTGCCAGGCCGGCCACGTAGACGACGAGACTCGCTTGCGCGGTGCTGCAGAAGGCATCGCCATCCTGCGCACGACACTGCAGAGCGACGAAGCAGACGCAGCACTGCGTGTCTCGAGCCTGTACGCCTCGACGATCGCATCGCTTGCGCTGCGCGGCCGTCTGCCCGCTCGCTCCTCGCTTCTGCCATCGACGGCACCTGCGCGCGCTGCTGCACTGCAGCTGATGAGCGAGATCTACGCTTCCGACGCCGCACGTCTTGAAGAGGCTTTCTGCGAGCTCAGCACTCTCACGCGCGCGCATAACAAGGCGTGGAGTGCTCGTCGTCGTCGAAGCAAGCGCAGCGACGGCTCCGAGACGGTGCACAACCCCGACGGGCAGCGCACGGAAGACGTCTACGTCGCAGCCGCTGCCGGGCCGTGGCCCAGCCCGGTGCTGTGCCCGGAGATGTGGAACGAAGGAAAGGCGGCTTTCAACGAGGATGCCAGCCTCTTCCTCGAAGTGAGTGCTGCCTGCGCAGGAGGCGCGCTGTGCGTGCGCACGAGGCGCGCACTTCGCCGCTCGAGACTGACACTCTGCAGCCACTCGCTCGTCTATCCGTCTTCGTCGAACCGACGCTCTCTACGCACATGCTGCCCGAGACGAAGGGGAGCGCTGGCTTCGCGTCGTATCGCAGCGCGCTCAAGGCCAGCATCCTCTCGCTGTCGCGCGCCCTGCGGACTCAGCGAAGCGCGCTCTCTTCGGCGCTCGTCGCCGTCGGCGATGCAGGGCGCGAGTCTGCCCTGCAGAGCCTCTGCGTCGAGCACACCGCTGCGCTCATCACGGCGATCCTCTCGCCCGAGCAAGACGTGCACCGTGCTGCGCTCAACGTCGTGCGCGCCACCTTCGACGAAGCGTCGACTCGCGCCGACTGCTTCATGGCGCTGCTGCGCTCAAGTCCGGCACGCGCGCTCGAGGGACTGCAGGATTACCTCACGCGCTTCGTCGCCGCGCTCTCGCTGCTCGTCGAGGCAAACGAGGCCGCACGCTGGATGGTGCGCTCCTTCACGGACATCATCGACGCGCTCTGCTCGCCGCTCGAAGGCCTGCTGCGCAATGGCACGCCGCACTCGTACCTCGACTCGTCCGCCGCGCGCGATGCAATCGGCCGTCACGTCCCCTCTATATGGACGCTGATGTGCCAGAGCATTGCCTCGATCTTCAAGCACACGCCGAGCTGGAGCCGTGTGCTTGCGCAGGAGGAACTCGTCGCCTGGTTCCGTGACGTGCTGCTCTTCGCCTGCGACACGGTCGAGCACGCTGCGACGATCCGCGCTGCCGTCGAGAGCCTGCCGGAGCACGACGACGACGAGGAGGACTTCATCTTCGCTGCCCTCGCTTTCCCGCTCGAGGAGGCATGCAACTGGTGAGCTGACACGTGCGCCGCGCCCTCTGCGCTGCTCTGAACATCGTCGCAGGCTGCGCATGAACAACGAGGCGATCCTCAGCGAGACGCGCGCCTACATCGTCAAGGCGCTCGACCGCTTCAAGGACGACGTGCCGCTGCCGAAGACGGTGCAGCAGAACATGCTCGGCTTCATCGATGCGCAGCTCGCTGAGCCCGACGCGGACCGGCGCAAGACGCTGCTCAGCACGACGGAGCTGCAGGAGCTGCGCGGCCTGCTCATCCCGGCCGGCAGCGTCGTCGAGATCTCAGACGACGAGGACGACTTCCAGATTGTCACGCCGCCCGCTCAGTCGGCTCCGTCATCCGTTGCTCGCTCTGCGGACCACAAGGACTCGCCGACGACAGTCTCGAGCTTCTGGCAAGCGAGCCAGAGCGCTGCGCTGTCTGCATCGCAGGAGCGTAAGCGGCGCATGAAGCAGCAGAAGCTCTCGTGGGCAAAGGCGAAGCCCATCGACGTCGACGCTCTGCCGACGCCGCCGTCTCGTCCTGCTGCGCCCGCTGCGCCTCGTCCGTCGGCGAACAAGTACCAGCCAGCCGGTGCACGTGCTGCCGCGCCGAAGGCCAGCGGCGGCCTGCTCTCGACGATGCGCCACGACTTTGCCGCGCAGCGGCAGGTCATCTTCCGGCCGAACAACGTCAACCAGCGCCCGCGCCTGCCGTCGGACCGCGATCTCGCTGCGCCCATCAAGGCGCCCGCCGCGTACAGCACCGTCACTGGCGCTCAGCCGGAGGGTGGCCTGCGCAAAGCGACGACAGCAGCTCCTGCCAGCGACTCGACGAGCGAGTCGAGCTCTGACGACGAGGAAGATGGCGATCAGGCAAAGGGCCTCGCTGCGCTCACCGGGCGCAAGGCCAAGTCGCCGATCAAGATGCGCAGGGCTGCTGCTGTCACTGCTGCAGCCCCTCCTCGTCGCACAATGATGCTCCACGACACGCGCGCCGAGGATCTCGCACGCGAGCGAGCCGAGGCAGAGCGGAAGCGTCGTCTCCGTGCGCCAGCCGACTTTGGCCAGCTGCACCGCTCGATCCTCTCGTGGCCCTTCCACGTCGACGGCGAGGAGCCTCCGACGCTGCCAGGGCAGCCTCCAGCGCGCTTTCTGCCAGTGCCGGCTGCCGGCTTCACATCGGCGGAGCAGTACGCCAATGTCTTCGGGCCCATGCTGCTCCTCGAGTCGTGGGCAGAGCTGCAGAACGCCAAGGAGGAGATTGCGCGCGGCGCACCGGAGAAGCGGCCCATCAACGTCGAGATTGTCAGCCGCTCTTCGGTCGACGGCTTCATCGACCTCACTGCGAGCCTGCCCGCCGGCCTCATCAGCAGCGGTCCGAAGGGCTTCCGCCTGATGGACACCGACGTCGTCTACCTGAGCGAGCTTGCCGGCGCTTCCGCGGTCGCACCGCAGCAGGCGCGCACCGTGCTTGCCAAGGTCGAGGCCTTCCGCTCCGGCCACGGCAACAGCGGCGTCACTCTGCGCTGCTGCATCGCTTCGGATCGTCAGGGAGTCGGCTCTGCGCTCGTGCCCGGCTCACGCTGGCAGCTCGGCAAGCTCTTCGCCCTCACGACGCTGCACCGCGAGTGCGCCGCGCTTATGGCCTTTGCCGACTTCGATCTCGTCGGCGACGTGCTGCACGGCCGCGCTGCGTCACGCTCTCCGATCCCGAACGCCGACATCGAGGCCGTCATGGCGCAGCACGCCGTCAACAGGCCGCAGGCCGAGGCAATCATCGGCGCCATGAGCTCGGAGAAGGGCATCTCGCTCATCCAGGGCCCGCCGGGCACCGGCAAGACGAAGACGATCTGCAGCCTCGTCGCGCACTTCATCGCGACACGCCGTGCGCCTGCGACATCGGTGCAGGCTGGCCGTGCCGGCGTGCGCGAGCCGAAGAGGAAGATCCTGCTCTGCGCTCCGTCAAACGCCGCCATCGACGAGGTTGCTCGACGCGCGCAGCAGGGCTTCCGCAGCCGCGACGGCAAGATCGTCAAGCCCGTTGTCGTGCGCGTCGGCCGCGAGGAGACAATGAACGTCGGCGTCAAGCACATCTCGCTCGACGCACTGCTCGAGGCGCGCCTCGCTGCGCACAGCACGTCGGGTGAGACCGGCGCGCCGCAGGATCCCTCCGTCATCCACGCCGAGATCAAGTCTCTGCGCGACGAGAAGGAGGCGAAGCTGCACGAGCTCGAGACGGAGCGCGCCAACGGCGGCGGCAACGCAGCGCGCATCGGGCAGCTGCAGGCCGAGGTCAAGAACCTGTCTGCCCGACGCATGGCTGCGATGAGCCGCCTCGACGAGGCAAAGGATCAGCGCCAGACGCGCGCGCGCCAGGCCGAGGCCGACCGTCGCCGCGTGCAGTACGAGATCCTCGCCGACGCCGACGTCGTCTGCACGACGCTTGCAGGCGCCGGCCATCCGCTGCTCGGGCAGCTGCCCTTCGACTTTGAGACCGTCGTCATCGACGAAGCGGCGCAGGCGGTGGAGCTGAGCTCGCTCATCCCGCTGCGCTACGGCTGCCGGCGCGCCATCCTCGTCGGCGATCCGAATCAGCTGCCGCCGACAGTCATCTCGCAGCGCGCGCAGCGCCTCAAGTACGCGCAGTCGCTCTTCGTGCGCATCTTCGAGGCGGCGAGCAGCTCGGTGTACCTGCTCAGCATCCAGTACCGGATGCACCCGCTCATCTCGTCGTTTCCCTCGCGCGTCTTCTACGACTCGAAGCTCAGCGACGGGCCCGGCATGGCCGAGCTCACGGCGCAGCCATGGCATAAGGAGACGCTGCTCAAGCCCTTCCGCTTCTTCGACGCGTACCGTGGCGCAGAGCGCTCGGCGCGCGGACACTCCGTCGTCAACAGCGAGGAGGCGCAGATTGCAGCTGCGCTCTACGAGCGGCTGAAGGCCGAAGCGCGTCGCTACAGCAAGGACCTCGACTACCGCGTCGGCGTCGTGACGATGTACAAGGAGCAGGTCTTCGAGCTCAAGCGCACGTTCCTCGCACGCTTCGGCCCTGACGTCACGGACGTCGTCGACTTCAACACCGTCGACGGCTTCCAGGGCCAGGAGAAGGACGTCATCATCCTCTCTGCCGTGCGCACGAATGCCGTCGGCTTCCTCAGCGACCGGCGCCGCGTCAACGTCGCTCTCACGCGCGCAAAGAGCAACGTCTTCGTCATCGGCTGCGCAAAGCTGCTGCGCACCGACGCGCTCTGGGGCACGCTCGTCTCGCACGCCGACCAGTTGGGCGTGCTCTCATCGGTTGTGCCGACGACGTTCAGCATGCTCGCTGCGCAGGCCGCGCCGCGCAAGAGCCTGCCGAGCACCTCTGCCTCGCCTGCGCCTCGCAAGAGCGCCACAGCTGCAGCAGCAGCTGTGCCGACGAGCGCAGGCGCCATGACGCCGGCGCAGCTTCGCAAGCAGACGCCGGCCTCGAGCAAAGCGTCGCCTGCAGGTGTCAAGCGCTCGCGCCCTCCGTCGCCTTCCGGCACGCCGCCGGTCATTCCCGCTCCGCCTCCGCCGCCGTCGGCGTCGGTCCCGCCCGGCCCTGCTCCAGGCCCGCCTCCGAAGCGCCCGCGCATCGACGCTGCGCCGGTACGGCCATCGCAGCCGCCTGCGCAGTACGCGCAGCAGCAGTCGGCGCAGCAGCAGTCGCATGCACAGCGCCTGCAGCAGTGGAAGGCGCGCAACGTCGACACGTCTCGTCCTTCTGCGCCGCCCGTCATCCGCTCTGCAAACCCGACGCCGCCGCCGCTCTCGAAGAACCAGCAGAAGCGCGAGCGTCGCGCCCAGCAGCAGGCGCAGCAGCAGCAACAGCAGCAGCAGTACCGGCCGCCGGCGCAGCAGCAGCAGCAGCAGGCAGGACCGTCACGTCCCGCCGTCGCCCCTGCTGCTGCTGCTTCTCGCCCTGCCGGTCCAAGCGCTGCTGCGCTTGGCAGCCTCTTCGTCAAAAAGAAGCCTCCTCCGAAACGGAAGCCTGGCGCGCCCTGACAAGCGCGCATCCTCCATCCCTGTATCTCTCTCTCTCTCTCTTGCGCTCGTCATCATCATCATTCTCTGCCGCGTACTCACATCATTCATGTCTCGCTGTGGCGTCCCCTTCATCAAGCGCTCGATAATGCAACATCGTCCCTTTCATTCTCCTTTTCCTTCTTCGCTCTCGTCGCGCCATCGCACCCACACCTGATCCCCGACGCGCACCTCGCCCGTCGACTCCGGCACGGCGTACACGCCAAAGCACGGGCCCTCGCGCTTGCCGGGCGTCTTGAGGCGCATTCGGCTACGTCGGAGCAGCGCCAGAGGCACCTGCACGTCTTTCTCGGCCGTCTCGGGGTCGACCGACGTCAGGAGGCAGCGCTGGCAGCGCGCGATGAGATGCAGCACGATGCTGCTGCGCGTCGACGGAGGGAGCGAGCAGGTCTCGTGCGAGCATGCCTCGCGCGCAGAGTGATCGTTCGACGAGGCGCGTACGATGCGCAGCTGATCCCATTCATCCTCGTCGTATGCGGCGTACGTAGCGTCGGCGTCGAGAGAGGAAAGCACGATGTTGGGTCGGAAGCGCTGCATGCTCAGCTGCGCGTCGGCGTCGTCGAGGCGCGCAGCCCACTTGTCGCGATCGAGATTCCGAATGGGCGCGCCGCCAATGCCGTCGGTGTCGGAGCGCACGGCGTCGACGAGCTGTGTACGCAGCGCGGAGAGAGACTCCTGCGTTGCGACGAGGAACGGATATTCATCCTGCTCGCCGGCTTCAGTCTCGCCGCTCTCCCGCTTGGAAGGGAGAAGAGACGCACCTGAAACTCGATGCCTCGCTTGCCCTCCACCTCCTCCTTCCTCTCTCGGGCCCAGCTCTCCCAGTCGTTCGGCTTCCGGAAGAGCGGGAAGGCGGCACGCTCCTCACCGGCCGGATCGAATTGCAGCAAATGGCATTCGTAGCCGAGATGCTGGGCAAGCCAGGCGCTGGCGTCCGGCACGATACGTCCGGTGCCGCCGTCGCCGTACATGGGCACGCGCAGCGAGGCCCAGGTAGCGAGCGTGGCGGAGGACGGGTGCAGAGCGACGGAGAGAACGGAGGAAGAGTCGGAATAGCGCAGATGCAGTTGCTCAGAAGCGAAGTCGAGCGTGGGCGCGATGAGCGCAAGCTGCGAGGCATGCGAGTCAGCGAGGTCGGCGCTCCTGCAGCTGCAGATCCGCTGTTCTGTGCCCGTGTCTTCGCAGCTGTGTGCGACGTCGAGGACGACGCTACGTCATGCCTCTGCGCGGAAGCAGCGAGCACTGCCCTGCATCTGCATCGCGGTGTCTGCTGCCGCCTCCCCATCCCTCCATGTGCGCCTCCTTGCCTAGCTTTCCGCTCCCTTCGCTGCACTCACTCTCGGCTCCTCTCGCAGGCTAATGCCCTTCTCGCGCTTCACATCCCACACGATCCATCTGCGATCCATGTCCCACCCTTTCTTGGTCACGTCTGCCTCGTCGAGCTTCGTGCCCCGGCAGCTCTTCACCGGATACACCCACAGCTCGTCGACCTTGGCGATGCACTGCCATCGCTCCTGCCTCGCTCGCGGCTGCTTTGGCGCGGAGAGGGCCGAGAATCGAGGAGAGATGGTGCCCCATGCGTACGCTAGCAGGAGGAATGCTAGCAGTACGAGTGCGTGTGAGAGCAGCTGTGTACGGAATGCTGGCGAGAGGAGATGCGCCAGTGGATCGTCGGCCTGCAGCAGGCCGCGTGCCATGGCTGCAGGTGAAGCGCCGAGGCGGTGAGGCGTCGAGGCGAAAGAGACGAGAAGACAGCGGAAGCACGATGCAGAGGCGCACGCTCGGGACGCGCAGCCGTGCGAGGGCGCAGAGCAGAGGCGCAAGGGCGCAAGACGCAGGGCGCAGAGATGCGGGCGAAGGAGGATGATGAGGGTGATGAACATGCACGCGCCGCCGGCTCGGCGCGCCTCGAAGGCGCATGCGCATCTCATGACGCAGCCGCCGGCGGCCGGCCCGCCGCCGCGGCGCCGATCAGGCACACGCGCGCCTCGCGTCAGGGGCGCATCTGTTGGTTGCCGTGCCGTGTGCGCGTGCCGAGCCGTTGCCTTGGCCCGCCGAAGTGCGGGGAGCGCCTCTCCTCTCCACACAGTGCTCCCTTTCTCGCCCTCACCACCACCTCTCCCTCTCATCTTCCTTCGCGTATCCCTCATCCACGCTTCACCACACAGCGCAGAACCATGCCGCCACCGTCGCCGCGCTCCCTCTAGATCACTGCCATGCCTCCACCCTCCTCCGCGCCTCGCGCGCCGCGGCGCTCAGCGCCAGCACCGGCTCTGGCGGCGCGCATTGCGGCCTTCGAGGGCGCAGGCGCTGCTCCTGCTCCGACGTCGCCGAGGGAGCAACAGCCGCGCAGCGCTAGCGATCGGCATGTGTTTGGCAGCACAGCAGGCGCACGGTCGAGTGCGGGGCAAGAGGCGCAGTCGTCGGGCTCAGCGATGCGGCAGCAGGCAGCCAGCTCCACGGCGCGCAGCTCAGTCGCTGCGCTGCCCTCTAGCATCTCTATGCCCGCCGCAGCCTCTTCGAGCGCTGCTCCGTCATCACGCCCGCCTGCTGCGCCATCGGCCGCACCAGCGTCACCGGCACTCAGCTCGGACAGAAAGGCCGCACCAGCCGCGCCGTTCCTGCTGCGCGCCCACGTCGCTGCCTCGCCCGCGGCGCTCGCCTCGCCTGCAGCTCCTCCAGCTACCGCTTTGCCTGATCCGTTCGCCGACAGCGCACAGCCTCACGCGTCTCGTCCGCCATCCGTCGAGGGGGCGGCACTATCGGCGACTGCGTCCGTGCACACGCAGCGACCTGCTGAAGATGGAGAGCGGATACAGCGTGGTCGAGTAGGCGCCTGGGATTGGACGCCGCTTTCGTCGGGCGCACGAGAGAGCGCACAGCGACTGGAGGGACAGGCAGTGTCTGGCCTGCTGGAACGCAAGGCTGAGGAGGAGCCGCAGCCTCCGAGCGCCAGACGGCGAGAGTCGGAGCCTAGACGAGGCAACCGCATTTCAGTCCCTTCGCCGGACATCGACACTGCCGGTGCGCTCTTCTCGCGCATCGCGCCACCCCGTGCTGTTTCAGCGGCGCTCGCGCCACCAGCATCTCTGCAAGAGGCTCAGCGAAGCGCGCAGCGAGAGGCGACGTTGGTGCCTTCGTCCGAGCTCAGCACGGCCGAGGAGGAGACGCTAGTCGCCAGCAGTCTCAAGTGCAAGTCCTCGATGCTCGAGAGCACGAAGCTATCTTCTTGGAGCAAAACACATGCTCAGAAGATCGAAGAGCTGGACGGACTGCCAGTGCACTCGCGCTACCTCGGAACGCAGCTGGCAGAGAAGCTTCCTGAGGCACTGCTGCGCTTCGAGACTGCAGCGCACATCGACGGCCCAGCTACACGTCGGCCATCCGCCTCAGACCTGCCTCAAGCACACTCATCAGCCGCCGTCTTCGCGCGTACAGCGCCGCCGCTGCATTTGCCCGTGCTCGATGCCTACCTTGACGACGCCGCACGCTTCCCGCTGCCTCGCTTCTCCGATGCGCGCACACTCGCCTCGAGCGAGGAGGCGCGGCTCTGTGGCTATGAGCTGACGAAGCGCAAGCGGAGACGCACACTCGAAGTAGCGGGTGGCCAGCTTTGTGTGCCGGAGACTGCCATGCGAGAGAAGAGCGAGGCGGCAGGCGAAGCGTTGGAAGCGGAGGAGAAGGAGAAAGAGGAGGGTGAGGCCTCACCTGCCACCTCGCTGCTCTCGACTGCGACATCGCCGCGCACGCGTCTCGACATGTTCCCGCCGCTGATGCTGCTGCGCACCTCCTCGCTCGACGAACTCAAGTCGAACGCAGTCGGCCCGCGTGCGCCTCCCGGTGGCGTACTCGCCATGCTGCCCGGCGTCGGCTCTATCCTGGGCACAGTCGTCGACTTCATCATCGGCATCGAAGGCAGTGCTTTCGCTGCCGGCATCTTCCGCCTCGGCCTGCTGGCCGACTTTGCGCAGCTCATGGCGCTGCAGCTGCACTTTGACGAGCCGATCGGCACACCAGAGGATCCGACGACGGGCTCGCGAGTGCGCCGCTTTCTGCTGCACACGCTGCCATCCTTTCTGGCGCTCGACTTCGTCTCGCTCTTCGGCAAGGCGCTGCTCTGGCTTTGCATCTTCCTCTCGATCGCGCTGCTGCTGCTGTGGCGTTTCTGGCGCACGACCCGTACATTGAACCCAAACTACTCCATCGAGGGCTTCGGCTCGCAGCCGTGGCTCTTCACATCGCAGCGCATGGGTTCGAAGCTCGCCAACATCCTCGTCGTCTTCACTCTCTCGGTGCTCTACATTCCGCTTTCCAAGCTCGCGCTCGACACGCTCACGTGGCAAGCCGACTTCTGGCCCGCCGACGCACAGGCGGCGCTCGCCACTGGCGTTCCTGCTCTGCGCACCGACGCCAGCGAGACGACGCGAGGCACCGACGACTTCTGCTGGAGCACGACATTGCAGCGCGACGAATTCAACTTCGCCTGGCTGCTCATGCCACTGGCGGCCATCACGATGCTGCTGTACACCTTCGCCTATCCCTACCTGCTCGCCACGACGCTCAAGCGCCACCTGCCGCGCGTCAGCAACTTCAACGAGCTCGGCACACGCCGCACCGAGGCGGAGCGCGATGCCGAATACGTGCGCTTGCTGAATCGCGACAAGAGCCCGCTGAACTTCATGTACAATGCCTACCGTCGGCGCTGGGGCTACTGTGAGTCCTACACACCATGCGTTGCGAGCGCGAGTCTGACACGTCGTTGCAGACAAGCCGCTCTACATCCTCTGCTTCAAGTTCAGCAACATCGTCGTCGTCAGCCTCGTCAGTCCGCGCAACTGCCTCTTCCGGCACATGCCGACAAAGACGATGCTCGTGGTGCAGCAGAGCACACTCATCGTGCTCATGTCGCTGCTGCTCGCCGGACACCTCGTCACGCGGCCATTCGCTGACAAAATCAGCAATCGCTCAGAGCTTGTGAGTCGAGCGGATCCTTCTCGCTGGGGTAGATGGCTGACGCGCCGTCTTTCAGGTCTCACGAGCGGGCTACGTCTTCACGGCCGTGATCGGTCTGCTGGTGGCGCTGCAGGTGCAGGGCTCGACGGTGTACAACACGACGATCCTCTATCTCATCCAGGCGCTCTCCTACGCCGGCAACATTTACTTCGCCCTCGCCGGCGCCGGCTGGATGGAGCACCTCATCAAGCGCTGGCAGGCACGCCTCGACTTCAGCATCGACATCTTCTCGCCTGCGCTCGACGTGCCGAAGCACATCAAGCGACGCGTGTGGGAGGAGACGCTCTCGACGATCTTGCTCTGCGGCGTGTCGTACCACATGCCGCCCGACAAGGTCGTCGCGTTCGCCACCGCCGACGAGTGGCCGCCGTATATGCTCTGGTTCCAGGGCTCGGCGGCCGAGCGGCACGTCGAGAACATCAAGCTGCTCAAGGCCATCGGCATCGACGCCTACCGCTCCTGGGTCGAGGAGCTGCGATCCGAGCGTGCACAGCGCTGGGAGCGAGCCATCGAGACGATCCAGACGCACTTCGCCGGCCCCGATGCCTACTGGCGTCCGCTGCATCCGCCGTTTCCCGAGGGCGTGTCGAGCTTCTTCGGCAAGGTGTTTCTCGTGCCCTTTCCGCCAACGCTCGTCATGCGCTACGACCAACAGGCCGAGGAGACGCATCAGCTGCAGACGCTGGCTGAGCTGGAGGCGTTCGTGGCGCAAAACGAGAGCGCGGAGGTCCAATCTCGCCGCTCGGTGCGCATGGCTCTGCGTGCGCTGGACGGACAGCAGGTACGCGCGCCGCACGTCGAGAACGTCGCTGTCGGAGGTGCGGTGCGCAGCAGACCGCAACGGCGCGGGCTCGACTTCCTCGCACGACTGGGAACGCCCGCCGAGGCGAAGCGCAAGTACACGCTCGCCATGCCTGTCGCCTACACCGCTGGCGTGCTGCGCGTGCATCGCAAGAGCCTCGGAAGCGACGACGCCGACAGCAAGCCGTTCGCGTCTGGCTTTCACGTCACGCTCGACTACTCGGACGGCCGACGACAGGACCCCGAGGGGATCACGCGTGTGCGCGAGCTGCTCGTCGTCGACGCTTCGCTGGCCATCGGGCTGCACGATGACTTTCAACCCACTGCTGCGCTGCTGCACTTTCTGCGCGACAATGCTGCGCTCGTCGAGGCGCGCGTGGCAGGTGTGCAGGAGGCGCTTCAGGCGTATCGCTCGTCGTTCGCCGCCGAGGCGTCGGCCAAGCAAGCTGTGCTCTCGTACGCCTTCCTGACCGACATCTTCGATGCGCCGGGCCTCTCGCTCGCCGAGCTGCGCCGTGCCTTTTCGCGAGCGGCATGTGCGCGCGTCGTGCGCGAGCTGCCGCGCCGGTATCCAGCGAGCGTGGCGCTGCTGTATGAGCGCATGCAGCACCTGCAAGTCAGCGAGGTGCATCGCTGGTGGTGGCTCTACTGGGACGATCTCTGGCGCATGAACGCCGCCGACTATCCGGCGCTCACGAAGCAGCGCACCGCCTTCTCGCCGCATTTTCCCGGCAGCATCGCGTACACGCCCATGGGTCGCAGGCGCCTCGAGGCATACCTCGACGAGCATGGCCTGTGGCTCAAGCAAGGCACGAAAGGCTTCTTCACGCGCGGCACGCTCAACCGCCTGTACTTCCACCTCGACATGCTCGTCTTCGCTCGACAGGGCAGCCTCATGACGTCGAACCCCTTCCTCGATCCTCCGCCGTCCTCTTCGCGTCCAGTGCTGCCCGGCCGGCGCTCCGACGAGGCAGTGCATCTGGCGCTCGGCACGCTGCGCAGCTGCGGTGACGGCATTGAGCTCGAGACGCGCAGGTACGACACCATCGACGCTTCGCTGGCGCCCACGTCGCGCCTCACGGGCGCGGGCACCGAGTACGACCAGAGCGACATTCTCGATCGCCGCGCTTGGCCGTGGACGGAGCAGCGCCTGAGCGGCAAGCCTGGACTTCGCCCGTACGAGCGAGCCTGGTGAGTGCCGCCCGTCTTGGCCTGTCTGCGGCATCGCTGAGGCCCCAGCTCGCCCTAGGAACCGCGCACTAGAATGGCTGGCGCTCTCGCCGTTCAAGGCCAATGCCCATCTGCGCACCATGTTCCTCTTCCTCGACCTCGTCGAGACGCCCGATGGACCTCGCTTCGAGCTGCCGGCGGTGCGCCACACGCCTCACTGTCCGGCCTATCCGCCTGCCGAGACGGCCGAAGACGAGGAGCAAGAGAGCAGACGACGATTGCTCGACGACCACACTTGATGACCCAGCTGCGCCCTGCGCTGCACGATGCCTCACTTACATTCCACGCTCGCCTCCTTCCCCGACGCATTCTCCATACCCTTACTCATCAATCATCCCTCCCGGAGCGCCTTGCGCCATGCACTATCCACACGCTGTATCTGCCATGCTTCGAAGTCGTGCCATCTATTCATCATCGCTGTCATCTGATCACGTAACGCGTCGTCAGCCGCTGAGCCCGATCTGGCGCTTACGCTGCACTCACCAGCAACATCTGCCCCACCGAGCGCGATGCGTCCCTCGGCCTCGCGCAGCATCGAGCGCAGCCGCTGCCCCGCCTCACTGCCGGCGTTGACGATGACCTCTTGCGGCCGGTCCTTGTTCTTGTTGCGCTCGCGCGGGTCGGCGCCCGCCTCGAGCAGCTGTTGCACTGCGGTACAAGGGAGAGCAGCGTCAGCATGGGAAGCAATAAGACGAGAGTGCCGATTGGGGAGCGTAAATGCTGGACAGACTCGACAGCAGAACTCAGTCCTCAGCAGCTGCAGACCACCGATGTGCCGCGGCCATCCGCTGCTTTGCTCGGGCTGCCTCGGCTCTGAGCTCGGACGCGGAACCCAGATACTTCGACTGCCAGCAGCAGAAGGCAGGCTGCGAGCATGCAGGCTCCGCTGCGGCGAGAGCAGTGCTGTCGTGGGCTCAGACAGGGTCCCCTCCTCTAGTCGCCTGCGCCACTCGCAGCGCATTAGAGATGCGCGAAACGTTCCAAGAGCAGCTGTACGGCATAGGGCTCGCCGTCTCGACTCCGTCTTGCTGATTTCCCTTCCCTTTTATAGGCTCCACGCCGCTCGCCTCCCACGCTCAGCTTCCTCGGCCTCGCACTCACCGATCCATTCCCTGACCTCCTCCTCCTCGACGCGCACCGCCAGGTGGAGCGGCGTATCACCCTGGCGCGTCTTAATGTCGACGTCCACCTCCTCCTCGAGCAGCACCTCGAGCACCTGCGTGCTTGCGTTCTGGATCGCCAGATGCAGCGGCGTCAGGCCGAGGCCGTTGCGGCAATTGACGTCGAGGCCGGGCAGCGAGATGCACGCCTCGAACAGCGCGACGGCATCCGTCGTGCAGGCGTGGAGCAGCTGCTCGTCTGCGGGGCACAGGTGAGCGGCGGTGGAAGGCAACGGCAAGAAGAGACGCACTGGGCGAGGCGCCGTCTGCGTCCGACATGGCGAGCAAGGGTGTATGTGGTGGTGTGAGGCAAGGGAAGGCAGCGGCTCGACATCTCCGAGCTCGCTGGCGCGCGCGGCCGCCGGTTCGCACGCCCCTCTGCCGCACGAGCCACCTCGCGCGCGCGTCTTGCTTCCCTTCCACCACGCGCCTTACCCTCTCTCTTAGCTGTAGCATGTCCACGCAGTCTCCGCATCCATCCAACTCCGACTCAGACTCGGACGACGACGACTTCGCCGCTTCGTCGGCCTCTGAGCGCGGTGCTTCGCCTGCCGCTGGCCCAATCGCAGAGGCGGCGCCGCTCGAGGATGACGAGGCTGAAGCGCTGCGCGCTGATGCTGAAGAGGCTGGAGAGGTCGTGAGCGGCCGCAGGAGGAGACGGGCAGGAGAGGATGAGTGAGTAGTGTGCGTGAGACCAAGCCGCTGCCTGAGTTCTGACGCTCGATCGGGCACAGCGACGCAAGTGAAGCTCAGCTGCAGAGCGCGAACAGCGGAGCAGCGGCGTCAGACGCGCTGTGGGCTGCATTCCAGGCCAGCACAGAGGAGGAGACGGCCGCCCCGCCAAGCGTGGCGAAGCCACAAGAGATGGTCGCTGTGCCGCGCACCTTCAGATATGCCGGCACGACGGAGAGGTGAGTGATGTCGAGGGAAGCGAGAGGTGTGGAGGGGTTTGATGCAGGCTGCACGGCAGTCGGGTTGGCTGCTCCGCGAGAGGAATTCACGCCTCTCGGGTCACCTGTGCTGTCTTGTTCTGTCGCGCATCTCAGCCTACTAATTGCGATCCATTCACTGATCCACCTGCTCCCTGCATCAGCAAAATGGAGCTGCTACCTGCCTCACATCCCGATGCCGTCGCCTTCCTCGCCTCGCAGCGCGCTGCGGCTGGCGAAGCTGGTGCATCGAGTGCCGGCGCTTCGATGTCTGCCGCAGCCGGGCCCAGCTCCGAAAGTGCGCCTGCCAGCAGCTCCACGCCGAGCGCATCTTCGTCGCAAGCACAAGCGCCACCAGCTCGGCCGCTCGGCGGCGGGCCCCGCAAGCGCAAGGCGGGTGGTCTGGCAGCTGCTGCCGCTGCCGCGTCAGGCGGCAAGGTCGCCAAGCTGAGCACGCTCGAGAAGAGCAAGCTCGACTGGGAGGCGTACAAGTCCGGACAGACGGCCACGTCCACCTCCTCTGCGCTGCCTCCGACCATCTCGGCCGTCGGCGAAGAAAAGGCTGCGGGCGCAGGCGAGGCGCTCACCGAGCAGGAGAGGGAGGAGATGGAGGCGCAGACGAAGGGCGGCGCGAGGGGACTGGGCAACGTCAAGGGCTTCATTGAGCGCAAGGAGTTCCTGGAGCGCGTGCGCGGCCGGCTGGAGGGCTAGCAATGGAGTCGGTGCTCCACTCGACATGCTTGAGCGATGCAAGAGATGCTGAGCTGGTCTGGTCCGGAGCGGCGAGTGGAGTGAGAAGGCGGGGTGAGCGAAAGTGGCCGCGTGGGAGCGGCGCTCTCGCACGGCTGGCGCCGCAGCCGGCGCGCGCAGCAGGTGGAGCGGCGCGTCTCGACGCGTCGTGGCGGGCCGCAGCGACGCGTGTGTCGGTCTCGCTCTCGCCCTCACCCTCGCTCCCCATCCACTGCGCATCCTCCATAAACAACCCTAGGCCACCTCTTTCCATCCACCCACCTCGGCTGCTCGCAGCCATGGACTCCCAGTCGGCCGTCGATGCGCTGCTGCGCTCGCCGCGCAAGGCCGCCGCGCCCGCGTCGCGTGCGCTACAGCGCTACGACGTCGCGTCGTCCCCGCCGCCCTCGTCCTCGCCGCCTTCCTCTTCGCCTCGCTCATCTCCCTTCCGCTCATCTATTCGCGCCTCTTCGCCGCCCTCATCTCTCGCACCCACCTCGTCGCCCGCCAAGCACTCGCCTCTGAAGCCGACGCGTCCCGCGGCAGTCGCGCAACCAACACCAGCCGCCGCCGGCCAGGACCCGTTCGCCGGCCTGCGTGCCTCGCCCGTGCCTACGCTGTATGGCTCCTACACGCACGCGCTGCTCATCGGCCGCGCGCACTCCAACGTCGCCGCATCTGAGGTGCCCTCTGCATCCGGCCTCGGCGCCAAGCCGCTGCAGCGCGTGCCGCTGCCCGCCTCGGCGCGTCACGTCTCGCGCGTGCATGCCGTCGTTGAGTACCTGCCATTCCCACCTGCCTTTTCCGCCTCGCAGGGAGGAGACTCGCAGTCGCAGCAACAGCGCGGATGCTTCGTTGTGCGCATCCAGGGCCAGAACGGCCTCATCGTCGCTGGCACGCGTCGGCGTCAAGGACAGGTGCTGCGCTTGCGTCCCGGCATCACGACGCTCGACTTCTTCGGCTTCGAGGTCGCGTTTGCTGTGGACGCCCGTGCGGCGGGTGCGCCTCAGCCCAAGGCAGCTCCGGCTGCGCCACTGCGTCTGGCGCAGAAGCAGAACAGCCCCATCAAGCTGCAGCCGCATGCTGCGCCGCGCAAGCCGGCCGGCCTGAAGCAGAGTGCCACGCTGCCGACGCAGGCCGCACGTCCTCGCCCGCGCCCTCGGCCCACGGCCGCAACAGCAGCAACTCGCCCTCGTGCTCGCTCGCCGCCGCCTGCAGCACTGCGTTCCTCTTCGCCTCTCGCTGCTCCCGAGGTCGCCGCGCCGGCTTCGGCACGCGCTGCGGCAGAAGAAGCGGAGGTCGACACTGACCTGCCCGTCTCGCCCTCGCTCTCGCGCAAGCGTGCTCGTCCCGCCGCGCTCGCGCCCAGCTCCGGCTCGGAGCTCTCCGACGTCGAGATGCTTGTGCCTCAGAAGCCCGTCGTCAAGCGGCGCGTGGGCGGCAAGGTGGCGCGCTTCGAGGGCACGCCTACGCCCGTCGCCACGAAGGAGCCGGAAGCGGAGCAGGACGACTCGGATCTGTCTGATGACCCGAACGCTTCTCCCTCGCCGGCGATCGCCCGCGTGCGCCCTGCGCCAGCCGTTGCCGCAAGCATGCCTCCGCCGGCAGTGCCGGTCGCCGTGTCCGCCGCTGCCGCGCTTGCCGCGCGTGCTCGCGCCTGTGTCTCGCGTCTCGCCAGCTCGTACGACGTTGAAGCGCTGCTGGCTGGCGCCATTGTCTTCCACCGCACGGCGACGATCTCGTCGTCTGAGGCGATCCGTTCTGTCCTGACCTCGACGCCCGGCCTGCTCACTGGTCTCGTCGGCTCGCACGCGGCCATTGCTGGCGCCAAGGCGGGCGAGAAGCTCGAGGGCTGGGCTGAGGGAGAAGCGTGGGAGCGCTGTGTGCGCAAGGCGTGGAGAGAGGAGCTGGAGGCGACGCTGTTCGACAAGGAGTGCTTCGGCTGCATCACGCGTGCGGGCAAGGATGCCGGAGGCATGCCGCTCGAGCCCTGGGTGAGTTGCTCGGTGCAGCAGATCGATAAACGAGGCTGACTGGGCCTCCGACAGTTCTACTACGAGCAGTCCAAGGACACAGACCGCGAGCGCGCCGCCAACCTCGGCGCCTTTGTCAAGCCGATGCGTGCGGCGCTCAAGACGCACAAGCCCATCTTCTGGAAGAAGGTGCGCAGCTCGCGGCAATTGCCTCTCCTGTGCTGACTATATGCCTCTGACAGAGCGCGTACGGCCACGCCGCCTCCGAGACCGCCATGCCGTACCACGGCACCGAGTCTCAGCTCGGCTCTGCCGCTCCTCTGTCTGCCGTCGCGCCCTCTGCGCTCTCTTCCATCTCGGCCAACACGCCCGCGACGCAGAAGCGCGCCGGCGGCGGCCGAAAGAGCCTGCCGAGCCACTGGGAGGAGACGCAGATGGAGGAGCGCGAGAAGACGTGGGATCGCAGAGGCGACGAGGACTGGAAGGGCGAGTAGACGTGCCGAGCGCACCCGGCGCCTCACGAGTTCGCCGCTTGGTAGAAATTGCATCACTTAAGCTGAGAAAAGCGACCGGCAGCGTCGGGCGAAGCCGAGTGAGACTTTGTGCGGTGCTGCTTGCGCCTGCCCACCCGTCACTCGCTCAGGCCGACATAGCAGGGAGCGCCTTCGGTGCAGCGATATGAAGTCACACTGACAGCCGCGCGACTGCCTACCTCGCAGCGAAGCGGAGAACAGCGGGCGGAGGAAAGGCATAAGGGCATAGATTGCATCGAGCATCGCGCTCGACGCCGGACGAGATATCAGGCAGCTGAGAGGTGGTGTGTGCGGGCCATGGAGTCGGATCGGTGAGAACGAGAAGCAAACGAGGGCAGAGACGAGTAGTAGCGAGCAGGTCGTTGAAGATGCGGAGTCTTGAAGCCGCGGCGAGATTCATCAGGCGCGGTCGCTGGAGCAGTCGATCGATAGCTTGCCGCTCCAGCGGTAGAAGCTCGGAAGGAAGCGCCGCTGCACCGAAGGGTCCTCATGCGGCAGAGGCGCGAGGCTTGCCCTTGGTTGCGCCGAACTTGATGGGTCGCCTGAGCAGCAGCCTCAATTTTGGCGCCAAGACAAACAGGATGCCGGCCACATGACCGCCGACGCTCTCTGCCATGCCGGTGCTGTTCCAATACTCAGGCTGCGAGTTGTCGAGAAGTGCGGCCTCGTTACGGCTTTCTCGGACCAGGCAGTACAGCGTAAAGGCTAGCAGTGGGCTAGGACAGAGTGAGCATGGCCGCTTCGTAGGGGAAGCGCCGCGGCAACTTACAGCTCGAACATGAGGAAACCTGTATTTATATTTCGGCGAACGCCTCGGAAGTAGAACGGATCCGAGGGCACAGACAGAATGAATCTGGCAGACGGTCCCGGCGTCAGTGTGCCTCTCCTTCTTGACAAACGCAGAGCCGATACGCACGCAGACAGCATGGCGTAGAAAACTGGCAGACAAGAAGACGAGATGCGGTTCAGCAAGCCTGTGTCCGAGCAGCTCATGCGGTATCCCTCACCGCCGACTGAGCTGGTCAACAGTCGAGGCAGCTTGTCTTCCACGACGCCCATGTCCCTGGCGCACTTCCGACGATACTCGGCCCACAGCAAGCCGGAGAAGCTGCCCGCGAGTACGCCGACCACGTACAGGCACAGGAACGACCGGGCCGAGAAGGTCTTTAAGAGCTGCAGCGCGATCACCGAGTAGGCCTAGCGAGCTCGCATCAGCGACCGTGGGCGCAAGGGGAAAGTCAAAGAGTGAATCTTCTCACTATGGCGTGGAGTACGGGGTGTCTGCGCAAGACAATCTTCAGCCAGTCGGAACAAGAGACTGTCCCTTTGGCTATACTGCTGTAACATGAGAGAGCCCACTCACTGTGCGTCGCTCAAGCCGTGCGTCAAACTGGTGAGCAATCCCACCATCCAGCTGTAATCCCACTGGAACGGGCCCGCTTTGAAGTAAGAAAACCATGAAGATGAGGTAGCTGACCTTTCCCTCTGCTGCGAAGTCGAAAGCGACATCCCAAGCAGCCGATATGCCGCAGATGAGTAGCCACGGAACGCTAAAGGCAAAGATCGTTGGGCGCAGGTCCGCGATGCTCGTCCTGATCATAGCACGGCCCTCCGAGGTAGCGCACAGAGCGAAGAAGTTGCCCGCGCGGAAGGGCGGCAAAGGCATCGCGCGGTTGAGCAGCTTATCGAACGCAGTCGCTGGACAGCGCGAGAACAGCCCGAAATGAAGCCTCCAAGGCTTGCGCTGCTGCCAATGGAGATTCAGAGCTGGAGCCTTCATCCAACGACCACGTCAATACGACTGGTAGCGCTGCAGCAGTGAAGTGCGGATCGGCGACGCCGGTCTTGGCAGATGAGCGGTGCTAGCAGTGCTCCGTACCGGGGCATCAGACCGTCGAGCGCTGTTGAGCAAGCTGCGTGAAGAAGCAGAGGTGTGAATCGATCGCTGACTGAAGCGCGTCGACGGGCAGAAGCGGGGCCACAGCTGCTTTGCCGAGGAGCAGAGGCCTGCGGGAAATCCGAGCGAGCTCGACAAAGCGTGAAAGGGTCTGAGGTGATGGAAGAGGGTCAGCGAGGGTGCAAAATATTCAAGCAGTGCCATGTCTAACCGCAAAGGCGGTAGCGTGAGGCTCAGCGCCTCGAAGCTCGACGCTCGGAGGCCGGGAGCGTGAAGGGGCGCAACGAGCGTTCTGGCCGCAACGGCGCCGCCGGGCGAGCACAGCCGTGCGAATGGCAGCGGGATCATCGAGCGACCAAGGTTGATAGAGAGTCAAAGCAAGGTGCGCGAGCCGGAATCACTTCTTCACAGCGTCGCCTTAAGATGGCAGCCGGGAAGGGGCCCATGCGCAGTGCTGCGCGCGCAGTGCTGCGCGCGCAGCACGCGCTCGTGCCCGGCCGATGCCGCACTGTGACGGGCAGAGGACAGAGGAGTGCACTCGCGCATCACTCGCCTTCGCTGTCTCATCCACATCCTCTGAGCGCCTGCCGCTTGGCGCTCGAGACATAAGAAAGCGCGGCCCAACAGACGCCTCCGGGCCTTGTCGCCCTTGGCACGCGCTGCGCGCCGTGCGCGCGGTCGCACTGATCAAGAGCACAGCAACCGAGCGCGCAAAGTGAAACGCCAGCCGGGAGTGTGCGGACAGAGAACATGGAGACATGGAGTACATTTAGTGCGAAACACCTGCTCGTTATGTACACTCAAGCGAAGAGGGCTTAGACTGAGGCAGAGAAAGTAAGGACGGGAGAGTCGCAGCGAAAGAGCGAGCTGTCGGCGCTTCGCACTGCCGAGCAGGACGCGGGCAGGTTGAGCAAGAAGAGCGCTGTCTCAGTAAGTATCAAAGAGAAGCGGAGGAGTCTACTGCGATCTGGCCTTCTCCGGAGGGGTGACCAGCTTGATTGGCCGTCGAGGGAAAATCCGAATGGCGGGGAGCTTGCGGGGCTGCCGGGTGTGCGCTCGGAAGGCGTTCGCGGGTGCGCTCAGATTCAGGGGCCTTCGAAGCAAGCGTCGCAGCTTGGGCGCCAGCGCGAACAGCATTCCGGCAACGGCGCCTCCGTAGTGTGCGCTGTAGACAGTTCCGCGCACGTCAAACTTGCGTTTGATGCGCTCGAGATTGCTTGCTTCATTCGCTTTGGTCTGGCCCATCCCTGTGTCGACGCTTGACCTCGCCGCTGCGCTGTCGAGCGACTCCCGTGGCCATGTACGTTTCCCAGGTTCCAGGTGGTTGCCGATGAATATGGCTCTGTGTTCCATGGCGCGGGTGGTGAGACTTTGAGTATAGATGCGCCGTGATCAGATTCGGACGTACCCAACGATCAACCAGACCGGAAGCATGATGATGGTATTCGCTCTCGGCCGCAGAACCAGGGCTCTAGAGTCACCAGAAAGGTTAAGTATCGCGACCAGGCTTAGTGTCGAGGTCAGACTTACGCTCCGGCCAGAGCAAAATTAACGCCTGAAAGGAGGGTCAAGATCTGAGCAGTCAGCAATTACGCGAGCCGTTCCTGGGTCTGCAAAGGTCACTTACCGCTCAATCCCAAGGATTTGATACAGGCCAGATCCTTTCCCTCTTGTCTTTGACGGTTCTCGACGCTGCACTGCCACATCAATGCGCCCACGTGACGAGCAGTTGGCGCCCAGCGCAACATTCCAGAGTCAGCGCAGCAGGCACGCAGCGATGTGGCGTGAAGGGCATAGATCTCTCATTGTCGAGGTCGGGACAGAGACGGGCTTGGCGAACCATGAGTGGTGGAGAAACTGGAATAGCAGCGCAGAGCGCAGGAACGGGGCAGTGATCGCGTGGCATCAGAGCTAGGCCAGAGCGCAGACATGTGAGGTGGCATGGGCACGGTGAAAATGAGCGGCTCGGAGGCAGCCGGAGAGCCGGTCGATTGCGAGCTCTCGAGCTGGCGAGATGGACAACGCGCAGCGCTAATTGTTTCCGAAGGGTGAGGTAGGATGCGAGCGGAACAGACCGGACGTCGGTACAAATGGTCGAAAGGCGCGCAGAGACTACAATGGTGCAGCTTACCCGGGGAGGGGGGAGAGAGACGAGAAACGTCGGCGCAAGTGATGCTCATAGCTCGAGAAGAGCTTGTTCGGAATTGGCGACAGCGTGGCGACATCACGATCTGGCGGCTCGAGACGCCGTCAAAGCCGCCCTGACCTTGAACACCGGACGAAGGCGTGCGAAGAGAAGGCCCACAAGAGCGCCTCCGAGCATCGAACAGTCCAGGACCCTGCTGCAGCTGTCGGCTCGCTTCTTGAGCTCCTTGCGCTCGGCCTGATCGGGTTCCATAGGGCTTTGCGGCAAGATCTCAGGCAGGACCGCCAGAAGCACCATGCCCGCGGGGAGGAGTACGACGATCCTGGAAGCAGCGGGTCAGCAAGCAGAGCGGTTGACAAAGCGACCCATGGACCATAAGCGATGACCAAATGCGGAGCATCAAGGATAAGGAATGGCACAAACGATGGCCAGCGAGAAAGAGAGAAAGCCCAAGGTCAGACTTACCTCACGCATTCAACGAAGGCGATGGCGTAGATCGGCCACGGCGGTCGAAGCGAGAACAACAAGCTCACCGGCCCGACAATCGGTCTTCTCGGCTGAATCCGGGCAAGCCTGGCAAGATAAAGTGAGAAGAGAGAAAGAGAAGATATGGTGAGCACGTGTCCTCATGTGCCCGACAATCATACGTACGCCACTGCCATGGCACAAACAGCCCCTGCGAATGACATGTTCAGCACACGCGACTGCAGCCGCCAAATCTGCGTCCTCCTCACCGCCTGAGCCGCAATTGGATGGCACGTGTATGTGGTCTGGGCTCAAAAGATCGGGCCTTGCGCTGCGCTGGATCCACCACTGAGCCACGAGACCTCCAGCAGCACTGCCCAAGATCCCGAGGACGTAGAGCCACGCAAAAGCTCGAGGTGTCAGAAACCTCAGCAGAGACGCAGCGATGGGAACGTAGGTCTGTTGAGAAGTCGCGGTGTCAAGAGAAGCCCAAAGTAGACGCTTTACAGTCGACTCGCGCATGTGTGGAGCAGCGAAAGCCTGGAGAGAGGAGCGAGTGAGCTGATGCGCGCCGGACAGCAAATTTTCTCGCACACGACACATCCTCCAAGAGAAAGAGCAAGACCCCGCGAAGGAAAGCAGCGCAGAGGCCCCACCTGCTCGCCATCGGAAAAAGACGCCAGTCGGACGCTTGATGCTCACCACAATGGCGATGGTCCACCGAGTCCTTGAGTCAGAGCAGTCAAAGGGCCAAAGTAGAGTGGTCCAGACGTCCAGTCAGAGAGCGAAGACGTGAACCATGTCTGCATGAACTCCCAGTGGCTCCAATCTCGCCTGGAAATGCCTTCAAATGCCCTTTCCCACTCTTGACAGACGACGTAGTTTATGATCAACGGCAGGCAGAGAACGACGGTAGCCGGGCCATTACTTCGAAGAGAGCGAAGAAACAGGCGACGCCCATGCTCCATTTTCCAGAGCGTGGCCTAAGAATCGGAGTGAGAGGACGGCCACGGCATCACTCTGTCGAGCAGCTTGTCGAATGCAGACCGCTCCGCAGCGAAGAGCGCAAGGCGCGGTTGCCATCGCTGCCGGTGCTGCCAGTGCAGCAGCAACACTGGCGCTTGAGCCTTGGCGACGCACGGCGCGGAGGATATCTTGTTGCCCGTCGCTGAAGCCTGCGGAGGCTGCTGAGTTCCGCTGTGAGCGGAGCGCTTCGCGCCGGCTGCAAGCAGTCGCGCCTGGACCATGCGAGCGCTCGGCGCGCGTGCGAATGAGGCGGGCGTGGACGAAGCCACGCCTGGCGTCTTGCCGTGCGCTGGTACGATCGGCGCTGTTGAGAGCAGGCGCTCGGTGTGCGCTAACGAAGCTGACACCGGAGCCGCGACGCGGCGATCCGCAGCTGCCTTCCGAAGGCCAGCAGCCGTGCGGGCAGAGAAGAAGCCCTCGGTGAGCGCCTTGCCGGCGAGCGAGGTTGCAAGAGGGCGCAGCGGCGCCAGCTTGAGAGAGATCATGAGGGCGGGGTTTGCAGTGCGTAGGACGAGATATGTGCGGATGTGGGTGGCGAACGCACGAGCCGCGGCGGCTTAAGAAGGGTTCGGGACGACGAGCGGGCGAGCGCTTCCCCTGACGCCGCCGGCGCGCGCACCGCGTCTCGTGGGACAAAGCAGCGGCGTGCGCGGCGAGGCAACAACGGGCTGCTGGCGCGCGCCGCTGCCGTCTTGTTCACGACCACCACGAGCGCCGCCACCAGCACGCGAGAATCTGAATGGACGCGGGCCAAGGGACATAGGAGCCGCCGCGCTGCGCAGATCGCAGGCTGCTTCCGCACCTCGTCGTGCCACGAGCGCATCGTGCTCGCCCGCACCGCACAGGCTGCCGCTCTGCCGCTGCGCGCACGCGGCCCGTGCGCCTTGCGGCGCGCACGCCCGACTGAGCATGTCGGCCGGCGCAGATCTGCACTCGCAGTCGGCCTCCTTATCCTGCTCTCTTCGCTCTGACGCTCCTCTCTCTCAACCTCTCCATCCCTCCCGCTCGCACTTGACGATGCCGGCACTCCTGCGCGTCCCGGTGCGGCCGTTACGCACGCTCGCCGGCTACACGGGCCTCAACGCTCCGCGCCCCTCGCTGCTCTCTCGCGCGCGGCAGCTGCACCACTCTCCGACTCGCCGCGCTGAGGGAAGCCCTCGACTGGTCCACAAGACCTTCGCCTACCCGCAGCCTGGCGTCACGCCGCGCCCAAAGAAGCCTGATGACCCCGACAAGGACGACGAACAAGGGCCCATGGAGACGTCAGCCACCTGGCCTATCAACCGCCTCATCGCATACCTCTCGGCGCCTACACGTCTCATCTTCAATCCTCCGCCCGAGACGGAACCGGACGGCATGGGAAGCCGTACACAACAGCCGCCGCCTCCGCCGGCCGACGCCAGCGGCATGACGGCGCCCAGTCTCTTCCTGCACTGGCAACGGCGTGCTCTCGAGAGCTCAGGCTACCGCTCGCGTGTCTTACGCCGTCGTATGCCCCGCCCGCCCTCGCCAGCGTCGGGCGTCATCTTTCTGTGCTTCTCCCGCGTTGGCCGCAGCATGATCTTGCAGGCGTTCCGCAACAACTCGATCTCGCTCAAGGCTCTCTACCTGCCTCTGGCCATCAACTTCGGCGTCTGCGTTGCGTGGCAATGGACCTCGGTCTACAATCCCGAGGCATTCGCATTCATGCAGACGCACTTCATGACGTCGCTGGAGCACCTCCAGCAGGGGCACTATGCGGGAATTCTGACCTCTGCCTTCAGTCATTTCGATGGTTGGTGAGTGCGAGCGCGCCGACACGGCTTGTCGCCGTCTGTCAGCTTGTGTCGAAGCGACCCGTCCTTCTTTTGCCGGTCTGACTCCCTTGACCCGCAGGCACTTCCTCGCGAACACTCTGGTGAGCAGACTCAGTTCAGCTGGGACGAGCGTCGTGTCTCAGGTTTGAGCTACACCCCCAGATGTACGTGTCGTTCGCTCCGATGCTCCTCGAGATCATGGGAGCCCGCTCGTTTGCCGGTCTCTACATTGTCGGCGCTCTCAGCGGCAGTGCCGCCTTTTTCCTGTGGTCCTGTGTACCGGGTCGCCGTCCCGATGACGGCAGACCGACGAATGGCGCAAGTGGTGAGTCTCGCTGCGATCGAAACGCCTGACCGGGCTGACGGAGGTTCGTCGTCAGGTGCTCTGTATGGTATGATGGCCGCGTGAGTGCAGAGGAGATGCATAGTGCATCGCTTGACGCCTTGCGCAAGACACTCACGCCATCTTCACTGGCAGTCTTGCTGTGCTGCGACCCAACCTGGAGGGGCGCTTCCTCTTCATTTGGCGATTTCCGCTGCCTCTGATACCTATGTTCGTTCGGCCGCTCCCGCCTGCGGCAAGCCGTGAAGCTGACGAACGCTCTTCTTCATCCCCTCTTCTATCGCTGCAGGGGGCTGTCCCTGTGGGATGTCAGCGAGATGTATCAACACAAGTACCGTGGCGAAGACGGACGGGCCCCGCGATCAAACCACGCCGCGCACCTTGGCGGCCTGCTGGCCGGTGCGCTGTATGCTTTGCTCCTTCAGCGCCGCCGCGGCGCCGCCTTGCGGCCACTCAGCCTTCGCACGCGCGGACGTCTGGGCTGGGCTGGCTGGTTCAGCTGAGCTGCGCATGTGCACGCGCCTTGCGAAGTGCACAGCGGCCTCGGGGCCGGCAGATGCGGCTTGCGCCTCAGACAGCCTTCGCCTCGCCCTCGCCCGACTCGGCCCGGCACCGCAAACACGCGCGTCAAGCGCTCACATCCACCACTCCTCTTATACCTGATCTACTTTATAGCGCTGAATCATACTTTGTGCCCACGTACGATGCCGAGGGATGATCAGTGCGCCAGATCTAGGTCAGACGAGGTTTGCGCAAAGCCTCTTTGCTGCAGAACCGACGCGCACCACCGCACGAAGACACACGAGTTGCCCAGAGAAACGCAGCCCGACGGCCACAGCCGGGCAGAAGGTCGCCTCCGACGGGCTAGGACGATGCAAGCAAAGGCCTTCTCGATATTGAGCCATTCAGCGCTCTGCGAGAGGTGCTTGGCTGCGCTGTGCCGTGGACGGTGGCTTGTCCCAGTCCTCGGCGGTGCGCCGTGCCAGGGGCGCAGGTCACGCCATGTGGAGGCAGCGCGCGGCGCGCGCGCGGCCTGTGCTCAGCCGGGCGATCTTTCAGCGCGCGCCGAGCGCCGAGCGGCGCATGTCGCTCGACACTCTGCTTCCTCTCCTGCATCCATCCTCTCCTGCATCCATCCCCTCCTTTGTCGCACCCCGCACGCACCTCGCACACCATGTCCTCCGCCATTGCCGCGCCGCACCCGTCGCTGCGCACCTTTTCGCGCCCCTTTTCGCGCTTCGGCCTCGTGCCCATCGGCGGCCGCAGCACCGCCGCGCGCCTGAGCGACGGCGGCGTCTGGGTGCTCGCCAGCACGCCGCTCGACGAGGGCACCAAGAAGGAGCTCGAGGGGCTCGGCGAGGTCAAGTGAGTGTGGGAAGGCATTCGTGGCATGCGCAAAGCGTCTCGGTGCGGTGACGTTGCGAGCGGGATGCGTCAGCTATGCGCTCTGATGAGCATCGCCGGCGGCAGGAACCCGCTCGGCGGCGCATGTATGGCACAAGCCTATGCCGAGCATGCCGGAGCTGCTCTGTGCTTGATGGAGAAGTCCGCATGCGGGCTGTGCATGCGTCAGAAGGACAGCCAGGGAGCCGGCAGCCGCAGAGTCGAGCAGGCACGGTGATGCGCTGTGGCCGGTAGCCCAGAGTGCGTTGCGTGTCTCTCGATTCCGAACCGCTTCCAGTCCGACACCCTGGCGTCTGAGCATGCTGCGCTTCGCCTGTCGACGCCCGCTCACCGCGATGCGCTCAGGTACATCGTCGCCGCCGACGCCGTGCACCACCTCTACGTCTCCGACTTTGCCAAGGCCTACCCGACCGCCAAGGTGATCGGCGTCGAGGGCCTGGAGGCGAAGCGCCCCGAGGTCAAGTGGGACGGCAGTGCGTACCGCTGCTCGCGCTGCTTTTGCCGCCTCTAACACTCCCCCACAGTCTACGGCCGTGACCCGCCCGACACCAAGTACGGCTTCGAGGCCGACGTCTCGGCACGCTACTTCTCCACGTTCGCCAACAAGGACGTCGCGTTCTGCCACCACGAGAGCAAGACGCTCATCACGGCCGACCTGCTCTTCAACCTGCCGCCCACGGAGCAGGTGGGTGCCCGATCCTCGTGCTTCTGCAGCGCACCAGCTGACATCTCGCGCAGTACAAGTCGACGCCTGCTGGCCGCCCGACGTCCTGGATCCCCTTTGCGGGCACGTTCGCCAAGCACATGACGCCCGCGTCGGGCCTGCACCAGCGCTTCCTCTGGATGGCCGGTGCTGCTGCGGGCGAGGGCAGCGCAGCGGAGCGGCGCAAGACGTTTGCGCAGGACGCAGCTGCCGTTGCCGGCTGGGACTTTGAGCGCATCATCATGTGCCACGGCGACCTCATCGAGGGCAAGGACAAGGCTCGCAAGGCGTGGATTGACGTCTGTGCTCGAGTGAGTTGATGAGGCCTTCTTTGCGCTAGACCATCACTGATCGCCTCCACACCAGTACCTCGATGCCGACGGCAAGCCGAAGGTCTAGACGCATCCACTCCCATCCGGCCCGGCTGGCCACGAGCCGCTCTCGGCATTGTCCGCCGCGGCCGCTGGCAAAGCTGCCCGCTAGCACGCTTCGATGCGCTTCCTCCGCCACGTCACTCGTCTGGCCGTGTCACGCTCTTTCCGCTAATGAGATCCCCTGCGTTGTCGCACGCCCCACATCATCTGCTTGGTCCACGACTGCAGGCGGGCGCGAGAAGAGGAGCCGTGGCCCCGTGCACCCTCATTGTCCACTTCACTGCGCTCGCACTGCCACACGCGACGCGCAGAGAGTCGCTGTCATTACGTCGTCACCCACTCGTCTCGCTCAGGCCTTCTTGGCGCGCTTCTTGGCCGGCTTCTTGTCGGCCATGTCGTCGCTGCCGCTCTCGGCGCCGCCCTCGTCGCTCGACGCCTCGCTCGGCGAGCCGCCGTCGCTGCTCGACGCCGCAAAGTCCTCGTCCTCTGCTCGGTGCGGTCAGCAAGCGATGCGCAGGTCCGCGCCCTCTGCAGCACTCACCCTCCGAGTCCTCGTCCTCGTCCATCGCGTCGGCCGCCTTGGCAGACGCCTTGGACGCCTTGGCCTTGCTCTTCCGTTTCCGGCCGCCGTCCTCCTCGTCGTCGTCTGTGATGATGTCGGCCATCTCCTCGTCGTCGTCGCTCAGCTCGGCCATCACCGCTGCCGCCGGGTCGATGTCGTTCATCTCGCTCTTGACGCGCACCTTGCGCCGCTGGAAGTGCGCCTCGAGCGCGTCGTGCTCCTCGCGCGTGATGCTCTGGAACGTGTGCTCGGGGCCCGTGCGCTGCACGACCTTGAGGTCAAACGTCTTGCTCGACGACACGGCGCCGCCGACGCGCGAAAAGACGACCTGATGGATGTCGGCGTAGAAGACGTGGATCGGCTGCTTGCTGACCCAGATGAGCTGCTTGTCGAGCGGGTACAGCAGGCCGTCGGTCGCTTTGACGTTGCACTTGACGCACGGCGCGCTGCTCGAGGCACCGGCGCTCTGGAACGAGTCGGCGCCGGGTGCGATCAGGCGCTGGCCCGTGAGCACGCGGAAGAGCGTCGTGACGACCTTGAACGTCGGCTCCTCGTAGCGCTTCTTGAGCTTGCCCTCGTACTTGCCCTCCAGCGTCTCGTCGTCGAGGTTCAGCTCGGCGTCCATCTCCTCCTCGCGCACAAACTGCAGCACCAGGTACGGGTAGCGCGTCTGGCCCTGGCGGATGCCCGGCTCGAGGCCGACGACGAACTGCACGTGCACGTCGTCGGGGCGCGGCAGCAGGAACAGACGCTTGATGCTCGAGTAGAGCACCTTGTAGTCGTACGTCTTGCCGCGCAGGCGCAGGAACGACGGGTACATGTCGACGTCGAAGCGGCCGCGCGGCGTGAGCAGCAGCACCTCCTTGAACACGATGATGCCGTCGCCGGCAACCTGGCCAATGTCGGCGCGCGCCTTGATGGCCTCGTGGAAGGCATTGGCCGCACTCTCCTCCTCCTCGCCCTCGCCGCGTCCGTCATCCGAGCCGTCGTCGTCCTCGGCGCGTGACGCCGATCCGGGCACGTAGAGGCGCATCTCGACGAGCTGGTCGCCGTGGATCTTCTTCTTCTTGCCCGCGCCGCTGCCCGTCGCCGCGCCCGTATTGGCGGCCGGCTGCTGCTCGTCGGGGTTGAGGAACTCCATGCTCACCTCCGTCTTGCCCGCGATGTTCGAGTTGGCAATGTGCGCCACGGGCAGCTCGAAGGCGAGCTTGTCGCGCACCGTGAAGCGCACATCGTCGCCCACGATCTTGGCCGCGCCCCAGTTCCAGCCGCGCGCCGACACCTCAATCTGCTCCAGCACCTCGTTGAAGTTCTCCGACACGACCTTCGACAGGCCCTCGTAGTCGTCACGCTTGAAGCCGTCGAACGTCTCGCGCGACAGGCCGCCCTCGACGCGCGGCTTGTGCAGGTTCACGCGCAGTTGGTAGCCGCGGGCGACGCTGCCAGCGTGTCAGCCGCGAGGATGAGGAGAGGAGTGGCGCTGCGACGCAGCAGGCGTGTCCGAGACGACAAGTCTGGCCCGCATCGCTTGCTGCTCTGCAGGGTGCCAGCATCTCCCCTGCGCCCGGACATCGCCTGACGAAGCCGCGCTCGGTCGCGACGCTCGCCACGCTGGCAGTGATTCACAGTGTGTGCTGGTCCGTGCTTCACAGCGCTGCGTATTGGCGCACTCCAGCCCTGAATGGCGCCAGCTGCTGCGGCAGCGGCCATAGGCTCGCACGCTGCGCCGCTGTGCAGCCGAGACCGCCGCGCCTGCCACAGAGCAGCCAGCGATGCCCCGCCAACCGCACCACGCCGCAGCTCAGCAGCACCTCGCCCAGCCCGGCGCACCTCACTGCAGCAGCGCCCTACTCGGCCCTTCACCTTGCCGCTGCGACTCACCGGCACCAGCTGAAGCTCTTCATGGCGTCGCGCTCGAGGATGATCATCTCGCGCGTCTCGCTCGTGCCCTTGTCGGCCTTCCAGCCGACGCCGCCGGGCGAGATCTTGAGGCGGCCGGGCGTGGCGGCGGCGCCGGGTGCGCCCGTGGAGAGGTAGATGGACTCGTACTGCCCAGACATGATGGTGGGCGAGCAGGAGGCGGTGGTGGTGGTGGAGGGAAGGCAAGGGCAACGCGCGGCGCACATGCGGCACGCTGGACGCACGGCGGCGCGGGGCGATGCGCTCCTGCTCGCTGCTCCATCTTCCGAGCCGCCGCTCGACGCGTCGCTCACGCGTAAAGCACACCGACGCGTGCCTGCACCTGCTGCCTGCGCATCGGTCATCTACTCGACGCAACGCTGCTTGAGCGCTTTTGGAGGCACAATCCGGGAAAGCTCATTCACTGCCATCCTGGACTGTCTTGAGTCAGGCTCGTCTCAGCCGACAGGTGCGTGCAGTGAAGAGGCGCACGTCACGAGGCGCACGGGCCTGAGCTCCGCCGCACACCTCCTTGAGGCGACCCAAGCTCGAGATGCACACGTGCTTGTCGCGCTCTGTGCTCGTTTCGCATTTGGCTCAGAATCGTCATGCTACACATGCCGGCTTGGCGACAGTGTGCCTGCACAGAGATGGTCAGAGCACAAAAGCGGCGGCGCGAGCCTCTCTCGGCATTTCTTTCACCCTCCAGCTGCAGTCTTTCGGTGCGCCTTTCGAGACCTGTGCATCCGCCTCACGCTCCTCGCACCCCATCCGGCATCTAGCAGCTTAGCATCGGGCCGGCAAAAGCGATAAGACGACTCAGCCGCGGCCTTGCCGAGGTCTGAGCACAGAGTGACACGGATGCATGACGAGGTGCTGCGACCTGTCCCGCTGAGGCAGGCTCTGGGGCAGTCAAAGTCAAAGAGGCACAGGTCTCTCGAGCGCCGCAGCCCGAACATGGATATGGTCTCCATGCTGCTGCTGCTGCTGCTGCCGGCTGCAGTCAGAGTGCTGCCGGCTGCAGTCAGAGTGCTGCGGATGGAGGAAGCAGACGCCTCCTTTCTGCGATGCCGTGGGATCGCTGGTCCAGGCTGCGCTCGCCCGCGCCGATCGCGACCTGTGCGCACCAAAGCGCAGCTCGAGCCGCTCGTCGCTGCAAAGAGCGGCTGGATGCCCGCGAGAGGCACCGCAGCGACAAGGCGACTTTGCGCTGATGGCGCAGCGGATGTCAGCAGCCACAAACGCGGCAGCGCATGGATGCTGCGGCCGTGCTTCGGAGCCGGGCATCTCGGCAGCACCGCAGCAGCCGGAGCTCCATGATGCATGTGCACGCCCTCATGCTGACGCTCTCCGCTGCTGCACCCTCCGCATCGCTGCCGCCGCCTGCGTGCTGCGACGCTCGGCTCGCGCAGTGCCGCGACATCTCTCGAGATGCGTAGGTCCGCCTCACGCCGCCTTGACTTTGAGCGTTGCGTGTCTCGCCGTCGCTGTCGCTCGCTGTGGGGGTCGCTGCGCTGCACAAACAGAAGACAAAGCCGCGCTTGGCAGGCCAGCACGATGCTTTTGCTGCACCTGCGCTGGGTGCTGGCCGCAGCAGCTGCAGCGAGGTGCAAGAGCCCGGCTTCGGCCGCCGAGGCGCAGGAGGCGTAGGAGCGCCGCGGCGTGCGCACGCATCTCGGGCGCCGAAGAGGCGCAAAGTTGCTCTGGCTCGTGGGCCAGCCCGCACCAAGGCGGCCGGCCAGCGGCTGCGCTCCCTTCGCCGTGTCAGCATTTCGTCCTCGTCCATCGCAGACGCCTCCGAGCTGGCGAGCCGGCCTGACAACGCCTCCGCTCGCTGTGTACTCCTCGTCTTCTTGACTTGCTCTGCTCCGTCGCTTATTCTATCCCTCTGTCAGCTCGAGACTATTGGCGAGAGGTGCGGCTTCAGAGCAGCTGCACGGTCGCTTCGACGAAGAAGAGAGGGCGTCTCAGCGCAGACGCAGAGCGAGAGGGGGCCGAGAGCTGCCGCTGCGGTGCTCTTCGCGCGTGGCGCCGGCGCTGTGCTGCTGCGGTGCCCACGAGGACGGGGCGCGGCGCAGGACCCGTGGCAGCAGCGCATGCTCTTGCTGCCAGAGCAGCCGCGCAGCGCGCGGGCAGAGGAGCAGCGGGAAGGAAGCAGCGAGGCACTTCGGGACAGCTCTGCTGCCGGCCACTTGGGCCCTGCCCGCCGAGTGCTCTCGCGCCCGCACTGTGGGCTGCGGGCATCGAGGCAGCACTTGGGCCTCACGCGCTTAGCGCAGGGTGCAGCAGCGAGTTGCGCGCGTTGCCGCGCTGCGGTCCGGCATCCGAGCAGTCGGCGCTGCGACATGCAGCGGCATGCAGCACGCAACTCGTGCAGCTGCGGCTGGGGTGCAGCGAAGGCAGCGTGGCAGAGGCGCTGTCCAGCCCACAGGCCTGTCTGCCCTCTGCGGTGCTCTGCGCCGGCGCGATGCTGGCGCTGCGCTCTGCAGGTGTCGCGAGGCGCGCCCGCATCCGCCTACCGCTGCACGCTGGCCAGCGCGCAGCAGCACACCCTCCTCGAGGCGTGGCCGCGCGCGCGTGCCTGTTGCGGCTTGCTTGCCGCGGCGCTGTTGAGAGCGTCTCGGACCTCGCCGCGCAGCGCGCCGTGCCGCCGTGCGGCTGCGCTCTGCACCCCTCACTTCCTCATCCCGTCCTCGTCACTGCACCTCTCGCCTCCGCCCCGGTTCCCGGCTCTGCTCCCCCTTGCCCCGCCGTCACTCGCCTCACGTCTCCGGCAAGCTCTCTCTTGCACACCCCTGCGGCGCAGCTGCCGGCGCGCACTCGCCGTCCCGCTCCGCATCGCCGCCACCGCGCGTCCTTCGTCCCGCTCGCGACCCTGGTGCGCGGACCACACACCGCGACACGACTGCTGCCTCGTCCACGCGCATCGGCTGCCACAGCCTCGGTCGCAAGCTGCATCCTGGCCGCGTGAGCCCCGCGCTCTGCTGTCCAGTGCACAGCTCGTGAGCCGCCGCTGCCGCTGCCGCTCCGCATAGGCGCGTTGCCGCACATGGACAAGTCCAGTGGCCGCGACTCAGAGCGCACTGCATCTTCGACTCCCACCCCGCCGCATGCCGCAGCGATGAGCGGCGCCCCGGCGCGCTCCGGCGCCGAGCCGCGCACGCCGCCCGTGCCGTCGGGCAGCTCCAAGCTGGGCTCCATCTCGGCGGACTCGCCCGTGGCGCGCCCGCCGCACCAGCGCAGCGAGGGGTCACCTCGCCCGACGCTGGGCCCGCGCGCCCAGACCGCATTCGTGGCTAGCAGCAGCGCGCGCTCGCGCCTCGCCAGTGCCGAGGAGCGGCGGGGTGCGCCGTCGGACAGCATCGGCACGATCCTGTCGTCTGCTTCGCGGCGCGCCAGCACCGCCGTTGTGCGGGACCCGAGCAGCAGCTCGGCCAGCAGCGACGAGGCGGGCATCGCCGTCGTCACCGCCACCAGCCCGCGCTCGCCCGGCGCCGTGTCCTCGAGCGGCTCGGCCTCGGCCGGCTTCATCTACCCGATCAAGAGCGCAGTGTCGGTGAAGCCATCCACAGGCGACGTAGGCATGGCCTCTCCGCGTGGCCGGACCAACACCTCTGGCTCGTCGGACAAGCGGCACTCGCAGAGCTCCAACGAGGACCAGGATGTCGGATCGGCGTCGGCCGCGGCCATGCGCCGCGTCAGCTCTGACCCGTCGCAGGCTGGCGCCGGCGGCTCGCCGCTCGAGCCCGAAGAGGAGATTTCGGGCTACTTCGGCAAGATGCACCCGCGCGGCGCGTCGCTGGCCTCGATGTCCGACTCGCACGAGTCTGAGCGGCCTCGCAGCTCCGCCAGCGTCGGCGACGGGCCCTGCACTCCAGGCTCCGGCCGTCTCGGGCCCAAGAGCAGCGAGACGGTCAGCTCGGCCTCGGAGTGGGACACGCGCAGCGCGCTGGCGTCCAAGGAGGAGGCGGCACTGGAGCGAGACAGGGAGCGCCTTGAGCAGATGACGCAGACGCGCTTCCGGCACGTCGAGACGGCTGACGGCCACATGGTGGTCACTGGCCGCGACAATGAGCTCACGCGCTGCGAAGACGAGGTGAGTGCGCGGACGGCACGCACACGGAGACACCACGCGCTGACCGCCTTTCGCAGCCAATTCACATCCCGGGTGCAGTCCAGGGCTTTGGCTGCATGGTGGTGGTGCGCGAGGACGACGATGGCAACCTTGTGGTGCGCCAGGCATCCGAAGTGAGTGCCCTGCGTGCAAGATGTGGTGCGCGAAGCACAAAGCTGACACGGCGCAGAACACGACGGAGCTGCTCGGCCTCTCGCCAGCCTACCTCTTCAAGCTCACCTCGTTCCTCGACTGCCTCGACGACGAACAAGCAGACCTGCTGTGGGAGACGATCGAGTCGCTGGAGGACTCGGAGCACGACGTCAGCGAGGTCGCGCCACGCATCTTCCAGCTGACCGGCTGGGGCCAGCCGGGCGCCGGCGCCGGACACGCACGTGCTCGGCGGCAGTGGCAGTCCTGGTGTGCGCTGCATCGGCCAGTGCTCAATGCCGGCGCGATCGTCGACGGCCCGCCGATGACGATTCTAGAGTTCGAGCCGCTGGATGACCAGGTTAACCCGCTCTCTCCGCCAGTCTCGCGGCCCAAGGCCGAGCAGCGTCGCAGCGGCATGCGTGAGCGCAACAATGGCAGCAGCACTGCCGGAGAAAGCAAGGGCAGCAAGGGCAGCAAGGGCAGCAAGGACAGCAACGGCGGCGGCAGCGGCGGCACTGTCGGGCGTGCGCGCGGGCCCGACGAGTTCTCGGGCAGCACGCTCGAGGCGCCCGAAGAGGAAGGCACTCCCGCCAATTCGCCCACAGGCGGCGAGGGCAGGAGCACCAGCAGCGTGGCCACGCCACGGTCATCGTCGCCTCGGCCGATGATCACCACGATCGACTCGGACGGCCTCACAGTGACAGGCACAGCAGAGCATGTGCCGCTCGACACGGACGCAGGGCCAGGTGGCCTCGAGGGCGAGGCATTTGTGCCCAGCCACGAGGCGTTCCTTGAGTCGACAGAGTCCACGTCTCGCCCGATCAGGGCACTGCACCGCATGCACAGCGACCAGGACGGCAGCTCACGACGCCGGCCGCGGCCGACGCGCGGCTCGCGTGGCGCAGGCCCCGGCCTGGCGAACCGCGGCGAGGGCACCGGTGGCGGGGGTCCGCAGATGCTGGACATGTTCGGCGTGCTCTCGCAGGTCAACGAGCAACTTTCGGCGCAGTCGGACCTCAATGGCTTCCTCAAGGTCGTCGTGTCGATCATCCGCGAGGTCACCGGCTTCGGTCGTGTGATGGTGTACCAGTTCGACGAGGCGTGGAACGGCCAGGTGGTGTGCGAGCTCGTCGACTGGCAGGAGACGCACGACCTGTACCGCGGCCTGCACTTTCCGGCCACCGACATTCCGAAGCAGGCGCGCGACCTGTACCTCATCAACAAGGTGCGCCTCCTCTACGATCGCGACCAGCCGTCGGCGCGTATGGTCTGCCGCACGCAGGAGGATCTCGCACATCCCGTCGACATGACGCACTCGTTCCTGCGCGCCATGAGCCCGATCCACATCAAGTACCTCGCCAACATGGGCGTGCGCGCGAGCATGTCCATCTCGATCGTCGCCTTTGACCAGCTGTGGGGTCTCATTGCGCTGCACACGTACGGCTCGCACGGCAAGCGTGTCGCGTTCCCGATGCGGCAGCTCTGCCGCCTCATCGGCGAGAGCGTGTCGCGCAACATCGAGCGGCTGAGCTACACGCGGCGCCTGTCGGCGCGCAAGCTCATCAACACGCTGCCGACGGACCAGAACCCGAGCGGCTACATCATCTCGAACGCCGAGGACCTGCTCAAGCTCTTCGACGCCGACTTTGGCGTCATCGCCATCGGCAACGAGGCCAAGATCCTCGGCCCGCTGAGCGCCAGCCAGGAGGTGCTCGGCTGCACCGAGTACCTGCGGATCAAGAAGTTCCAGCGCGTCATCGTCTCGCAGGACGTCAGCAAGGACTTTCCCGACATGGTGCTGCCCAAGGGCCTCGAGGTCATTGCCGGCATCCTGCTCGTGCCGCTCTCGAACTCGGGCATCGACTTCATTGCCTTCCTGCGCAAGGCGCAGACGCGCTCGGTGAACTGGGCCGGCAAGCCGTTCAAGGAGGGCAAGGAGAACTCGGCGGTGCTCGAGCCGCGCAAGAGCTTCAAGATTTGGTCTGAGACGGTGACGGGCACGTGCCGCGCGTGGAAGGACGAGGAGCTCGAGACGGCCGGCGTGCTGTGCCTCGTGTACGGCAAGTTCATCTCCGTCTGGCGGCAGCGCGAGCAGGCGATGCAGTACAACCAGCTCAACAAGCTGCTTCTCTCCAACGCGAGCCACGAGGTGCGCACGCCGCTCAACCACATCATCAACTACCTCGAGATGGCGCTCGACGGCAATCTCGACGAGGACACGCGCGACCACCTGTCCAAGTCGCACATGGCGTCCAAGAGCCTGCTCTTTGTCATCAACGACCTGCTCGACCTGACGCGCCAGGAGCAGGGCAACAAGCTCTTCCTGCAGGAGCCCTTCGACCTGGCCGCCACCGTGCGCGAGGCCGTCGAGATGCACCAGTGGGAGGCGAAGCGGCGCAAGATCGACTTTAGCGTCGACACGCAGCCTGAGACGTGCATGGTGCTCGGCGACAAGAACCGCATCCGCTCGATCCTCATCAACACGGTCACCAACTCGGTCAAGCACACGAGCGAGGGCCACATTCACGTCGAGATGCGCAAGCGCGCCAGCATGGAGCTCTCCGAGCTGCCCGAGGACTGCGACATGGAGATCGAGCTCGTCGTCTCGGACTCGGGCACGGGCATCCCGCGCGAGAAGCTTGAGAGCATCTTTCGCGAGTTTGAGCAGGTCGAGTCGGTCATTGCCGAGCCCAAGCTCTCGCAGGACGGCAAGCCCGAAGAGCGGTCGGCCACCGAGGACCTCGAGCTCGGCGCGACGGCCGACGCCGCGGCAGCGCAGGAGTCGGGCAGCGCGCTGGGTCTTGGCCTGGCCGTGGTGGCGCGCATCGTGCGCAACCTCGGCGGCCAGCTGCGTGTCGACTCGACCGTGGGCGAGGGATCGCGGTTCACATACTTCCTGCCCTTCCGCTCCGCCGATCATCTGCAAGGCGTGTCCGAGCCACAGCGTGGCGGCGGCTCCAGCCAGGGCGGCTCCGGCACGTCGATGCGGCGCTCCAACTCGCTCGGCAGCGACGGCAGCCAGGCGTCCAGCAACAAGAGCGAGATCAACTCGCTCGTCGAAGCCATCTCTGCCAGCCATCTCGACTCGCACAACAGCGACGGCGCCCAAGCGGGACCGGACTCGGCGCGGGGCAAGGAGCCCGGCGGGCGCAAGAACGCCGGCATGGTGGGCTCGCTCTCGTCGTCGGCCGGCCGCTCTCGACCGGACCTGCAGCGCATGCAGTCCAGCGCCGACAGCAGTGGCAGCCGGCCGATTGCGGGCTCGTCCATTCCGCTGCGCTCGGTGAAGATTGACCCGCACGAGCTGGACTCGCTGCCGCAGTCGCCCCGCCAGGCGGACAGCAGGCGACAGCACGGCGAGCGGCGGTCATCAAGAGAGCACGATCGCCGGCGCAGCGGCGTCACGCGCAACACTGCGGAGGCCACTGGCGGCACCGCGGGCCCGTCAGCATCGCCCACGGTGCACGCGCAGGACCACGAGCCCACTGCGCACACGCAGAACGTGGAAGGTCCCACTGTCACTGCGGCGCCCGACTCTCCGTCGTCCGGCCTGGCGCAGACCTCGAGGCGTGAGCCGCCGCCTGGCCGCGTCAACGTCAAGGCTGTCAACCGAGACGCGGCGGCCAGTGGCCATATGAACAACGACTCCGGCTCGGATGCGACGCCGCCTGACGGCCGCTCGCCAGGCAGTGCCAGCGGCGGAGCGCGGCATTCCGGCGCACGCAGTCGGCGCCTCGCAGCTGCACAAAAGGCGCGCACCTCTCCTGCCGTCACGCCCGCGGCGCCGCCGCAGAAGCTCGCCCCGCTGCGCGTGCTCGTGGTTGAGGACGACCCGATCAACCGTGCCATCCTGGCCAAGCGACTCGGCAAGGACAACCACACCGTGCTGCTAGCTGTGAACGGCGAGGAGGGCGTGCGGGTCTTTGAGGAGCAGGGCGACTCTATCGACGTCGTCCTCATGGACCTGCAGATGCCGATCTGCAACGGGCAGGACGCATGCGTGCGCATTCGCGAGGCGGAGCGCAAGCGCACCGACTCGCGCACTCTCGCCGGGCGCCCTGCCGCGCACATCCTCAACGGCTGCATCCCGATCCTGGCCGTCTCGGCGACGCTGAGCTACGACATGCGCGAGGAGATTGCCGAGCTCGGCTTCGACGGCTGGCTGCTGAAGCCGATCGACTTTAAGCGCCTGCACTCGCTGCTCAAGTCGCTCACACACCCGGAGCACCGCCAGACGGAGCAGTGGAAGCCTGGGCACGCCTGGGAGAAGGGCGGCTGGCTCTCGGTGCCTCCGTCGCGCGCCCAAGACGACGACGGCGGCGACGAGGCCGGCAGCCCGGCTGCATGAGCCTCCGCCTTGCTGCGAACGCGCGCGGCAGGCCCTTCTGCTCCCTCGTCTCGACGAGCTCTCTCCCTCTCCGGCCGTCATTCTTAGGCCGCATTCCTGCTTCTACTCAAGCACCCAAACACACCTTCAGGCGACACTCAGGCGCCGCTTCCGATTTCGCCAAGCGCTTGCCGCATCATCCCCCCGTGCCTCGACCGCACAGCCATCCATCTCCAAGACTCCCACGTGCTCCTGCATTTTCCCGATCTCCAGCCTCTCCCTCTCTCACCGGATCCGCATCCTCGGCCCTGTCACTCGCACCCATACACACGCCCGTCTGCCAGTTGCTCAGCGCCGCTCTCTCTCCCTCATAGCCTCCCGTTCTCCTGCTTTCCTCCGCGGGTGCCTACACGCGCGCCTCGGTGCACACACTCGCCGGCGCCTCTCCGCACAGACGGCCAGCTCCGCCGCTTGTCCCTCGACCTTGCTCAGCCTGCTCCTCGGGCGGCGCGCAAAGAGAATCAAATAATCTGCCACATGCGAAGTGCGAAGGCGGGCCGAATGAGGAGTGCAGTGGAAGTCGCCGACTGCTGTCTGTCCCGCACTGATCGCCGAAGCGCCGGACATCGGACGGACGGCATGACTCGCCACGCGGCCTGGCAGAGTCATCTGACCGAGCTCGGACGGCAGCACCGCAGCCGTTCGCTCGGTCAGGAAGAAGCTCGGCCATGACGCAGGTCCCAGCCGTAGCGGCTCGGAGGCACATCGGCTGGCGGCGACGCTGCGGCACGCTGCGCTGCTGCGCCGTGCTCACCATCGCGACCGCAGGTTTATCCGTCGCTGCCTTATCGCCTCGAGCGCGTGGCCGATAGCGGCCAGCTCGGCCGGGCACCTCGGCCACGACCGCAGCAAGGGCAAGGCCAACCGAGATGCCCGAGCTGGTGCCAGAACAGCGGTACTCTGCCCAGCTGTGAATGCCTCGCGGGCGGCGTGAATGTCCCGGCAGACGCAGCGGTCGCCGCAGCGTGGGCCTCCGACGCCTCGTCGTGGCCATGCCGCACGCCCTCGACTCTGACTCCGACGCTGCTGGCGATCTGCGGCCGCTGTGCCTGCTGCAGCCACGTGCCACCGGGCTGCAAGCAAGGCGCATCTCAGCAGCAGGAGAGAGCAGCGGAGCGCCGGGCTCGTCGTCTGGCCCGAGAGTCGCCGTGTGCAGGACACGAGGCGCTCGCCGCTGCCTTGCCGGCCGGCGGCACCGGCGAGGCCTGCACGGCTCTGCCGCAGCGAGGCCTGACTGGCGGGCAGAAGGGGCCGGCACTCCGGCCCAGACTGGCAAAGCTTGGGCCAGCGGGCGGCGATGGGCGGCCTTTCTGAGCTGCTGCGGACGAGCCGGCGGCAGGACGAGGCGGAACGTCGCAGCGAGAAGAAGCGCCGCGGCCTGCTCGACGCCGTCGATAGGCTCGCAACTCCAACCTTGCTTCCGCGCTGCAGATGTTGCGACGAGGTGAAGCCGAGGCAGCCTTGGCCGAGGTTGCCAGCGAGCCCTCGGTGGGTGCCTCCTTGCCGCAGTCGCGATAGACGGACGTGCTCCTGAGGGGAAAGGAGCCGCGGCTGCGGCGCGGCGGGCACCTTTCGCGTTTTCCAGCTTGGCCGGCGTGCGAAAGCGGCGGCGGTGCGCCTCCGCGGGCGGCGGACCGAGGTGCGGCCAAGGCGGCTGCCTGCATGCCGCACGCAGAGGCGCCGCGACGCCGCAGCTCGCTGCAGCCCGAGCCTCGTCTTCTCACGCCTCTGCGCTGCATTTCTCAGCGCTGCGATCGCGGCGGCGCGGCACGCAGGCGCTCCGACTGCGCCGCCGTGCAGGGCGGAGCAACAGGCGCTGCGGTGCGCCTCTCCTGCGCTCCAGCTCGAGGGGCCGGCGTCAGGGCGCGCCCGGGTCCCACGCCGCATCCCGGCCGGCCTCCTCTGCCGCAACTTTTGCGTCCTCTCACCATCTCACCACCACCCTCACACTCTCTCTGCTCTGGACTCCGGACTCTTGCTGCCGCTGCACCTCTCTGCGCCCCTTCATCGCCGGCCCGCAGCTCCTCGCTCCTCGCGGACCGCGCCGCTGTGCACCCTGCCGGCCCTCCACTCGTCTGGACCCAAGCGCCAGCTAGGCGCTGCGCCGCCTCTCGCACACCGCCATCACCCTCGGTGCCGCACCTCCTGTGCGCATCGCTCTCGCTTCGCCCCTTGCCAGCACAGCGCTTGCAGCAGGAGCAACAGCTCGCCGTCGCGAGAGCCTGGTCTGCGCGCACGCCTTCACTCGCAACCGCGCACGAGCTCCTCTTCGCCCTGTGGCGCGCGCTCCCGACGCAGGTACCGCATTTGCACGCCTGCTCATAGGTCGTTACTGCAAGGGCAAGCCACTCGGCGCCGCCTTATCGTACGTGTGCTCACGTCAGCAGCAGCAGCAGCGTCTCTTCTGGTTGGAGGGTTCGCGACCTTGCAAAGGGCCGTCTTCACGCTTTGCGCCGGGAGGCATTCGCCAGAGCGAGGCGCGGACCCCTGTACCTGCGCTGGGCCATCAGCCCCCTGAGCCCTGCTGCTCGGGTAACGCGCGCCGCCGGCGGGTCACGTAGAGCGACGCACTCTCGCTTCGCGCTCAGGAGGGCTCCTACCGGCCCCAGGGTGTGCTCCGTTCGCTCTGCCGGGTGGCTAAAGATTCCGCACCATGCCGGCGCTCATCAATGACCTGGCGCTGCCTGCGCCGAGCGCCACACCGCCGAATCAACCACGACCATCCTCATCACGCCATCTCTCGACTCCTGCGCGCTCGCAGTCGAGGTCGCCCTCGCCCTTTCTGCGCGCCTCTTCCTCAGGGCGCATGCAGCCACACTCCCCTGCCGATCCTGGGCCGTCGCGCAGTGCCGGATCGACGAACATGACGCCAGCGCTGGGCGACTTTACGCCTATCAGCAGCATGGGCAGCCCCGTGCGCCGCGACGATACGCCACGGGCATCTGCTCGCGGACGCAGCGGCACAGGAGCTACGCCTGCGGACGAAGAGCTGGCGGCGATGCTCGGCCGCAGTCCCGCAGCCGCATCGCTTAAAGCTGCGTCCAGCCGGCCGTCCTCGCGCAACCCATCTCCATCCCGCCCGCCGCACCCTTCCAAACGCTCCTCGCTCCCGGCCGCTTCCGTCCTCGGCGGCATTGGACTTGGGCTCGACTCTGGCCCGCGACCCACGTCAGCACGCAAAGAGTCCTCGCGGCGTGGACCTGCTGCCACGCCGGCTGCTGCGTCTGATCCCAGCGGATCACCCGCCACCCCGACTGGCACGCCGGCTCCGCGTGCGCCTCAGCAAGCCAGCGACTCAACACCCCGGCAAGGCGCCGCCGCTACTGCAGCACGGCCTGCGATGCCTCGTCAGCGCACCGAAGCCGACGAGCGCGCACGCGCAGCTGCGCGCGAGGCGGAGCGCTTGGACTGGGAGCGCACGCGCGGCGCGGGCAGCGATGTCATGAAGCTCAAGGAGGAGGGCGGCGAGCGCGAGGGCGAGTGGCAGGAGTCGGACGTGCTGCCGACGCTGGAGCAGTGCGAGAGCTACCGCAGCGAGGTGAGTCGATGCGAACAGCCGAGCCTTTGGCCCATGCTGACACTGCTGCAGCCGGTCGAGGTACCCAGCGCAGACGTCTTGCTGTCGTGCGGCGTGTCGGACTACACGGTGCTGCCGCGCATCCTCGGGCGTGGCAAGTTCTCCACCGTGTTCATGGCATCCAAGAACGGCGAGCTCTCGGCAATCAAGCACACGGCGCTGTTCCCGCACCACCAGCTCATCTCGACGCGCCTGCTGCGCGAGCCGACGCTGCTGGCCGAGCTGCCGCCGCACCCGAACCTCGTCGCCGTGCAGGAGACTGTGCGCACGCCCGGCCACTTCTACCTCGTCGAGGAGTACCTCGGCGGCTATGTCACGCTCGAGGCGCTCGTCGGCCAGCTCAGCCAGGCACCGGCCGATGCGCCTGCAACGCTGCCGTTCGATGTGGCCTCGTGCGTGCTCGACCAGCTCATCAGCGCGGTGCAGGCGATCCACGTGCCGCTGCAGATCTGCCACCGCGACATCAAGCCCGAGAATATCCTCGTGCACCCCGACTCGCTGCAGCTCAAGCTCCTCGACTTTGGCCTGGCGACGCACTACAGCAAGAGCGAGCCGAAGCTGAGCACGTGCTGCGGCAGCCCAGCCTTCCACTGTCCTGAGATCGTGCGCGCGCTGGCGAGCCCGCCCGGCGCAGTGTCGTACTGGGGCCCCGAGGTCGATGCCTGGACGGTCGGCGTCACGATGCTGCGCTGCCTGACCGGCGCTCGCTTCCCTCTCGGCTCTTCGCACTCGAGTCTCCGGAGCATGGCCATTCGTGCGCAGCGCGCGGTGGCGACCATTGCGGACCCTGCGCTGCGCGAGCGTGTCGGCGCACTGCTCGACATGGACGGCACACGGCGCATGCGCCGCTTCAGCGAGATGGCCGCAGCCAACGAGACGCAGCACGGCGAGGCCAACCGCGGCAACAAGGCGTTCAAGAGCACGACGTTCATTCCCGTCGAGCCGACGCACACGATGAAGCTGCCTGTCCTCGTTGGGCCTGCTGCCGAGCGCGCAGTCGTATCGCCGGGCGCGATGACACCAGGTCAGAGCCGCCATGCGACGCCGCAGGGCTCACGCGCCGGCAGCCCGATTGCGACGCCACGTCCCGAGCCCTACACGGAGCCGTCGTCACCGGGTGCTCCGGCGCCGATCGTGCTGCTCAACCCGACGATGCAGCCGCCGCAGCGCCTGCTCAGCTTCATGAAGTACTGCTTCCGCTGCGCAGGCATCCTTTACCACGCCTGGCCCGATCCGCCAGTCGGCGGCGGCGACGGGTACTGGCAGAGAGCGCTGTCTGAGTCGGTGGGCGAGCTGCCACTCGCGTCGCCCACGACGCCGCTCTTCCCAGTCTTTGGCACCGCAGAGCGGCCCGACGGATACGCGCATGTGCACATCTTCGAGTGCGTCATCGAGTTGCCGGAGGAGCAGCCGCCGGAGGAGAGCGGCTTCAGCCTCGTGCAGAGCATCATGGCTGCCTTTGGACGGCGGCCCACGAACAAGCGCAGCCTGTCGACGCCGGCCAAGCCGCGCGTGACGGAGCGGGATGCTGCGAAGGCGCCGGGTACGCCCACTGCGGCGCGTGCGACACCCGGAGCCAGCGGCAAGGAAGGCGAGATTCGTTGCTTGCGCTTCTATGTCATCGCCCGCTTTCCGAAGCTGCCGTCCGGCGGCATGGGCGCTGTCAGCCGGCCGCCCTTTTCGCGCCAGGCGTCGCAGGCCACCTTTGGGCGCCGCTCTCGTGCGAGCTCCGCTGCGGGCTCTGCTGCTGCGGCCGGCGGGCTGCCGAGCGCGCCGGCCTCTGGCAACTCGAGTGGAACCGAGTCGCCGACGGCACGCAAGGTCAGCCTAGACGTCGATGACGCCGGACACCCGCGCGACGGCACGCCTAGAGGCACGCGCGATGCGACGCCCAAGGGCGTGCGCGACGGGTCAAGGGCGCGGAGCGGCATCCTGCGATCCGTTTCGTCTCCGCATCTACTTCCTGCAGACGCCGAGCTGAGCATCGAGACGCAAGTGGCGCTGCCTCCGGCAACTGGCCGCTCGCCGTCATCGTCGCGCGCTGCTTCCCGCACTCGCAAGGCCAGCCGCGCGTCGCGATCCCGCAAGTCCAAGGTCTTCATCCAGGTCACCGACGAGCGCGCCGTGGAGTTTGTGCGCAAGGCGCTCAGCGTCGGCGGCACGAGCGAGACTTCGGACGCCGACGAGCCAGACGAGCTCGCTTCGCTGCTGCGCGAGGCCGGCGAGCCAGGCAACCCACAGCGCAGCGACCAGACGCGCCGACGGCCGGGCGCCGCGAACCGCTCGCGCAGCAGAGCCTCCATCGCCACTCTGACGAGTCAGGATCCCGCGACGCCAACGGCGTCCAGGCCCGGGACGGTGCGCTCGCCCAGCCTCGCCGGCTTTCCCTTTCCCACGCGGGACGACGAGCAGGAAAGTCGCGGACGGCGGGGCCGCGATGCGGCCAATGGTCCGCGCGGCGGGCGCGCCCCGAGCATGCTCAGCAGCACGACGCTGCACGAGGAGGCCGTCACGCCGCGCGACGATCTGCGCCAGACGCTCGACGTGCTCGCTGCATCGCTGCGTCCGCTGACGCGGAGTAGCGACATGCCTCTGCGGCAGGGCAGCGCGAGCTCAGGCTCGTCGGCGGCAGCCTCTCCCGGCGAAGCGCACAGCTCGGAGCCTTCGCCCGCGCTCTCCGCGGGTGGTGTGTCGAGCGCCAGTCCGTCTCCCGCCCCCTCTCCAGGAGACACGCCCAGCTCGGAGGCTTCGTCGAACGCCGGTCGATCTAGCGACGGCGCCTATCAGCAGGTGCGCACGCTGCTCGCCGGGCTGTCTCAGCGCCTCGCTGCAGCGGAGCAGAGCGGCGCCTCTGCGCTGGAGGACATGATCTCGCCCGTCGTCTTTGCGCTCTTCTCGTCGCTCTCGCCGGCGCTCGGACTCGAGGACCGCGAAGTTGCCGATCTGCCGCGTGTGTCGTCTGCCGTGGCGGAAGACACGACGCTCAGCGGCCTCGCGAGCAGCGCGCTGCAAGTGGTGGCGCGCCACGCCAGCCCTCGCGAGCTGTACATTGCCGCACAGGAGCGTCTAGAGATGCTGGCGGACCAGAGCCGGCGCGATGGGGGTGCAGTCGCCCGTGGCGGCATTTGGTGTGCTGCGCTAGAGGTTGCCGGGATCGTTTCGTTCCTCGCCGCCGGTGAGTACCACGGCGAATGAGCGATGTGCATCGCTGACCTTCCCACCCACAGTCATCCCGCGCATCCGCACGCAGAAGCCGCACAACTTTGTCGACCCGCTGCTCTCGCTGCTGCCGCGCGTGCTGCGCAGCACCGTGGCAGACACGGGCTCTGGCGGCACGACGCGCACCGAGGCAGCCGTCGCCATCATGACGGCCGTCTGCCGGCTCACGTCGCAAGCGGCGCAGTGGGAGAAGACGGCGCTGGGCAGCGGCAAGGCCGGCGATGCTGCCACGCCGCAGAAGAGCCCGTCGGACAGCCTGCTCGCGCTGCTGTTCACCTGCCTCATTCTCCTCGCCGACGATCTGCCGACGCACGACCACGCAGCGCCGCAGCACACGCTCGCCGAGCTGCACTTCCGCGCCGCGCAGCCGCAATTTGTGCTGCCCGGCGACGCTCCTCGCGTGTCCGACGAGCTGCGCGTGCAGTCGGGCAGCGCGCGCATCAACGCCGCCGAGGTGTGGACTGCGCTCGAAGAGGCGCGCCGCACGCTGGAGCTCGACCTCGAGGTGCTTGCCTTTGCAAAGCAGCCGCCTACGCTCGACGCCGCCGAGGACGACCGCCGCAGCTCGACGGTCAGCCTTGGCGCATACCTGCTGCTCGTCCAGCTCGAGGCGCGCGCACCACGCGCGCCGTGCGCAGCCGAGCAAGCAGAGCTGCGCCTTCGCGAGTCGCTGCCGCTCGTGCACGCATGCCTTGGCACTGGCGCCTCGGGTGCTGTCGCCGGTCCTTCCAAGACTGGCTCGCCCGAGCTCTCGCCGAGCGCGGCGCGGCCCGTCTCGCTCCTCGCCGACTCTGCGCAGCTGTGGCTGATGTGGTGCCTCGAGGCGCTCGACGGGCGGCAGCTCGGCGACGAGCTGCTGCTGCCGCTCGTGCACGCCGTCTCGGCACACGCCGCGCTCAGCCCGCGCCCCACTGCGCGCCACATCAGCTTCCGTCTGCTGCGCCGGCTCATCGCCAGCGCGCCCTCGGACGCTGGACTGGACCTCGTACGCGACCTCGTCGGCGAGTCGCCGTATCCCCAGCTGCGCGTCGCGGTGCTCGGTCTCGTCCGCGAGCTCGCCGAGGAGCATCTCGATGGGAAGGCAAGTGCGGGCGGCTCTGATCTCGCTCCCGGCGAGGCACCCAAGCCGCACGCATTCGCCTCGCCTCGACTGCTCGCCGCGCTCCAGCCGATCGTCTTTGTCCTGCCCGACGCCGAGCACGCCGGAGCGCAGCCGCCCGCTGCGTACCTCTCTGACCACGCCGCGTGGCTCATCGAGGCGTGCAACCTGCTCTACTTTTTGCTCCTGCGCGACGCCGCAAACCAGGTGAGTGTGTTGTGCATGTGCGTCTTGCCCTTCTGACACGCCGCGCAGACGTCCATCCGCAGCCCCGACGTCGCTTCGGCCGTCGCCGCATCCCTTGTCGCGCCACTCCGCACTCTTCTCGCCGGCGCCGGCGAGCCTGCCGAGCCCGCCGTCGCCACGCAGATCCACTGTGTGCAGCTTGCTCTCGAGCGGGTCGAGCGTGCACTGTAATGCGATTTTCCTCACCGTGAAGGGCCACAGCGCCGAACGAGTTGTGAGAGGCAGTGCGTGAAGGGCGATATTCCACGCATGGATACGCCGTGTCGAGTCGGAGGGGTGCGACGCCTCGAGCGGTTAGGGTGTGCGGCGCGATGCGAGAGACCGACCTCCGGCTGTTGCCCCAGCGCAGACGGACCGGACCTGCAGCATCTGAGCGCAGTGGTCCGACGCAGTCGCTGGGCCCAGGCTAGCGATGCATGAGCTGACGAGTAGAGCGATCAGCGAAGATGGTCTTGATCTGGCCGTCAGCAGGGCTGAGCGCGGGTAACGCGGCCAGTTGACCCTCAGGTGCGAGCCAGGCCCGCCTGGGAGAAGACGCGTGCAGCAAGTACACGAACCGCTCAGCGACGTACTTCTTGCAGGTCAGCAAGGGCATGTTCAGCGGCTCGTACAAGGAGCTGAGCTGAGCCACCTCGAGCCTTTAATGCATAACGCGCGCGGCCGACGCGGCGGCGCGGACGCGTCTCGACTGGGAGCTGCGAGGGGGTGGCTCTGATGGAGCACCGCGCTTCCTCCGTCAGGCTTGCTTCGATCACTCTGAAACTCGGCAGAGAGATCGAGAAGGAGCACTGGAGCATAACGACCGTCAAAAGGAGGCGTCAGCTCCGACACCGGCGAGATCGGCACCGTGTGGCGAGAGGCCGCTCTGGGAGGGTTGGGGAAGGCCTGCGGGGCTCTGTGTGGCCTAAAATGAGCAAAAATAAAACCCCAAGCGGGAGTTGAACCCACGACTTCTGCCATCACCAAGCTTAGCCAGGCAAAAACGCCAACAAGCATAAATCGGAAAGCAACACTCTGACGACTGAGTTATTGGGGCAGGTGTGTTTGCACACAACCCATTGGGCGACAGGAACGCAGGCCATGGTGCAGCAAGAAAGCAGGAGTCTTCTGGAAGGTGAGGCTCTGACTGCAACAGCCGTAGAGGCTTGCAGAGGCGGTGCTGCCATTCAGAGCCTGCCTGTCATGCTTCTTCTTCCTTGTGTGCAGCCTGTCTGCACTGACAGTCCTGCCTGTGCTCCCCACTGCATTGGCAAGGGCCCATGCTGCGTTGCAGGGCTGTGCAGAGGCAGATGCCCCTGTGCACTGGTGCATCAGCTTGTAGGCCTCCTCTGAGCCCAGCTGATGCTGCCCACACTGTGCAACCCACAGCTAGAGTAGCTCTCTGTGCACATGCAGCACTGCCTAGCAGCTGCATGTTTGCTGCAGTCTGCAGCCCACACGCTGGCTGCCTCTGTGCACTGCTGTGCTCAACTGCCTGCACTGGGTCAGCACTGTGACACAATGCTGGCCGCTTCTCTGCAACCAGGCATTCTGCCTAGCAGCTTGCGCCCTTGTTCTGGCATGCATGCAACACCCTAGTGGCATGAGCAGGCAGATGCATCCATGCACATGCTTGTCTCACTTATCAAGCAGGAGACACTCAGCTTGCTCTGCTCATTACCATGGCTGGTAGCCTGGCTGGGAGGAGCAGGCAGCAGCAGGCTCAGGCAAGTCAAATCTTCCAAGTCTAGAGTCTCGGAGTCTGAGTCTGTAGTGTTCAGTCTGCAACACGTGAAGGCGCGCGTTGCATGTTGCGTCCTCACCTCCACATCCCGCCCGTCACGGCACCGGCCCCTTCTCCCCGACGCGCGTCCGCTAGGCCAGCATGTGCATCGTCTTCGTCTGCACCTCCTCGCCGCGCTACTCGCTCGTCGTCGCCTCGAACCGCGACGAGTTCCTCGGGCGTCCGACGGCGGCGCTGGCGTGGCAGGACGGGGCGCGCGAGCCGTTCGTGGCCGGGCGCGACCTCAGCGCCGGCGGCACATGGCTCGGCATCACGCGCAGCGGCCGCTGGGGCGTGCTGACGAACTTCACGGAGCCGGCGTCGGCGGCAGGCACGACGGTGCGGTCGCGCGGCGAGCTCGTCAGCGACTGGCTCGCCAGTGACGCCAGCGTCGCGGCTCATGCGACCGGCGTGCGCCCCGGCGAGTACGCCGGCTTCAGCGTGCTGCTAGGCGACGCCGCCGCGCCCGAGACGCCGGCCACAGTGTGGTACGTCAGCAACCGGGCGGTCAAGCCGTCGCACCGCGTCGAGGCAGAGACATTCGGCCTCAGCAACTCGACGCTGCTCGAGCCGTGGCCAAAGGTCGAGGCCGGACGCGCAGCCTTCTCGCGCGCGCTCGAGGGGGCGGAGGGAGAAGAGGCGCTGATCGACGGATGCTGGAAGGTCTTGAGGTGAGTACTTGCGGGAAAACGGCAGGAGATGGTCATTTGTGATAGCGGCTGTCCGACCAGGGCGCCACCTCACGCCGCCCGTCTGACAGCCTCCCCAGCCCGGCAGAGCCGACGCCACTCGACCGCACGTCGATGCGCTCGTCCATCAGCATCCCACCTACGCGGCTGCCGTCGAAGGATCTCACCAAGGGCGGCGACGAGTGGTACGGCACGCGAGTGAGCACGGTGCTGCTTGTGCGTCGTGCGTCAAGTGAGCTCGAGGCGCCGACGGCACGCATTGTCGAGCGCGACATCTGGATGCTCAACGAGCAAGGCGAGCCGGTCCGCGGCACGGAGAAGCGCGAGGAGGAGTGGACGATTCGGCGGTGAAACCTGCCGACGTTGCGAGCTGCCACTCGGTTATCGCCTCATGACAGCAAGAAGGGCTCTACGCTCCATGACAGCATCTATTCATCTACTCCCGCCGTGCCTGCACAACGAGGACATGCGTCCTGACGCCAGCTGCAAGCGCGGCCTCGGTCGCGGCGCCCAGCGCCCTTCCGATGCGGCGCAGCTCGCCGCGCTGCTCCGTGCGCGGTGCAGCGAGCACCAGTGCGTCCGTCTCCTCGCGAAAGGCGCGTGTGCGCTGCGCAAGCTTGCCGTGCCCGACGAGGAGCAGATCGCCGCGAGACTGGTCCAGCAAGGGAGCCGCAAATGCAAGAGTGTCGCGCACGACGCACGGCGAGGCCGGCAGCGTGACAAATGTGAGCCCATCTGTGCTGTGCGTCAGAGGCCGGTCGGGCACGTCGCAAGGCTGCGCCGGAGCCTCGGGAGCGCCTTGCGCAAAGAGAAAGCGGACCTGATGGGCATGCGTTAGCACAAGCACCGGCCGGCTGGCACGGCCACTCACGTCTTGGCGCTGTGCCGCGGCCTGATACACGGTGCGCAGGTTGACTGTGTCGTGCTCGAAGTCCTCTGCCAGCGCAGCCTCGGCGTGCGGCGCTTGCGGTGCCTGCGGTGGCTCGGCCCCGACCTCGTCGGCCGGGTCTTCTCCGCTGCGCATGTGCACGACGACGGCCTGAGCTCGTCCTGCGGCAGCCATGCGCCGCGCCAGCTGCACGGCAGCGCGGTCGTCTCGGCCTCCGAAGAAGGCAACAACGATCCGCGGCTGCTGCGACGCGGGCATGGCGAGAACGTCCTCGGCGGCGGCGCGAACCTCGCGAGAGATGTGTGCGCCCAGCCGGTGACTGCCGAGCAGCACGCCGCACGCATTGTGCATATCGCGAAGCATGCGGACGGGCAGGTGGTTGGCCTCGGCCTGCGCCCGCGAGCCTTCCTCGTCGAGGCCACGTCCGGCCCACGACATGAGCGTAAGCCCGCGCCCGAGCTCCGAGGTGACTTCGGCGTCGAGGCCGAGACGGGCATGCGCACGCTCGAGCGAGCGCGTCAGCGTCGGGAGCATCTCGTTGTTGGCGACCGTGAACACATCCTTGATGGCGTAAGTCGGACGCTCGTGTTGCGTCTCGTGCGCGATGCGCCGCTGCGCCGACAAGGAGGAGCTGGTGTGCACGCCCTGCAGCTCCGCACAGTGCTTCAGCGCGTCGAGCATCTGGTCACCGTGCTGCGTGTCCGCGGCGAGCACCTGCCGCAGAATGTTGGCAGTCGTGTGCTCCGTCGGCAGCAGGCGGACCAGGTCGAGGGTGACCAGCGCCTGTCCGTCTTGAGCTGCGCAGCCTAGCACGCCCACCAGGCCTAGCAGGCTCTCGACAGCCGCGCTGGGCGACGTGACCGCGGCGACGATGGGAAAGTCGGCGGGCCGGGGCAGCGCGATGCTGGGCTCGTCGCGCATCTTCTCGTTGATGCTGCCTTCGTCGTCATCTCCCTCGGCGCCAGCATGGCGGCCGCCGCTGAGATAGATGAACCGCGAGAGCGGGCGTACGAGCAGCGTCTGGCCGGGTGTCAGCGTCGCAGCACCACGGGCCTCCGCCTCACTCACTGTGCAGATGAACGAGACGAAGAGCATGGCGTACACGCGGTCGGAGATGACGCCGAGGCCGAGGCCGACGTTGAGAATGACGAGCTCGATGATGCCCTTGGATTGCTGCGTGGCGAGAGTCAGCCGAGGCGGATACGGCTGTGTCAGGCCACGCACCATGAGCGACGCCACAAACTGCACGCACGGACATGTCAGCTTCGCTCGCAGCAAGCACTCTCTCCGGCACGCACCATGGACTCGCGCCAGGTGAACCCGGCGACTTTGGTCGCGAGTGTCGTGCTGGCAAACTTGCTGACAAAGGTGCACACGACGAGCAGAATCGTCAGGCCCCACGTCGTGCCATTGTCCAGCAGCTTGAGGTTGACGCTGCCCGCCGCGAGCGCAAAGTAGAGCGGCAGCAGCACGCCCACCGTGATCGTCTCGATCGACTCGGTGACGCGCACAGCCAGGGCGCCGTGCGGCACGCAGATGCCAAAGAGCAGTGCGCCAAGGATCGGGTGCAGCCCGGCAATGACGGTGACGACTGCGCCGCGTGGTCAGTGCGGTCCCTGTCTCTCGAAGTGACAGCACTCACAGCTGGATGCCAGAGAGCCGACAAGCACAAACACAAGCATCCCCGTCGGCACACGGTTCTCCGGCCCGTGCGTCGGGCCGTGCAGGTCGAATGTGGAGTGCCTGATCCATAGAAAGACTAGCGGCCGCACGGCGAACCACAGCACCAGCGCCAGCGCCAGGCCGACCAGCAGCTGCGAGGGGTCAGCTCCACGCTGCGAGAGCACCCGACATGGCGCACCTGATAGAGCGCGTTGATCTGCTTTCCTCCGCCGGCAAGCGCAGAAGCCAGGGCAAGCAAGATGTACTGCGCAGCGTGAGCTTGACGGTGCCACGACTGGCCTGTTTGCACGACTCACGCCGATGGTGTCGTTGCAGGCGCCCGCAGCAATGGCGACGCTGCCGAGCGTCGTCGAGAGCAGGCGCAGCTCGGCCAGCACGCGCGACAGCACGCTCAGGCTCGTCACGGCCATCGTCGTGCCCACGAAGAGGAAGAAGGTGGAGAACTGCACGCTGCCGTCCGTCTCAATGTCGTACAGCAGCTTGGCGAGCCCGGCGGAGATGCCGAACGGCACAGCCATGCCCGGCAGCGCCACGAGCGCCACCTCCTTGGCGTACTGCGCACGGCATGAGCGTCATACGGTGCTGCAGCGCAGGGCAGCCCACGCACCTTGGCAATCAGATCCGTGTCCGTCTCGAGGCCGACGAGCAGCAGGAACCACACGAGCCCGATGTTGGACATGAGCGTGAGCATGCCCTTAGCCTCGGACGGCAAGATGTTCTCCGTGAAGCCAGGAATGTCTGCGGCCCGAATGTGAGCCAGTGGGGACGGGCGCGTCGCTACACCCGGGCTTCTGCCCGCCGCCCACACTCACTGCCGAGCACCGTTGGCCCGAGACACACGCCGGCCAGCAGCTCGCCGGCGACGCGCGGCTGCCCGGCGGCCTGAAAGGCATGGCCGAGCGCCGTGCAGAGCGCGATGATGATGAGCAGCTGCAGCAGCAGCAGCGCCAGCGTCGCATTTGTGCCCGCCAGCGACAGCGACGCGAGGTCCGGCACGATGGGCGAGGCGCCGTCGGGCAGCAGGCCGTACGGCATGGTGGCGCAGGAGTCAGGATGCAGGCATGGGCAGGAGCAAGGGAACCCAGGCGGCGAGACTGCGACAGCCGGAGCGGGCGGCGAGGCGAATGAAGATGGAGGAGAGAAGAGACGGGGTGAGAGCACGGCGTTGCTCTCTTTTTGAAGGAGTGCCTGCTCTAGCGCGGTGCTCAGGGGCGCGCTCCATGTGGAGAGAGGGCAGCGTGCCGGTGCCGAGGCCGGACCCTGAGCCGCAGCGGCACGGCGTCCTCACAAGCATCCCTCGCCCTCGCACGGTGCGCCGGCACGCCACGGGCGCAGACGCAGCATCAGCGAGCGCAACACATGAACGCCGCAGCGCCGCCGGCTCGCCCACGGCGCCGGCGGCCGCTCGGCATCAGCGCCGCGCGCCCGCCGTTGCTGCAGGGGCTGGCGCGTCGCGTAGCGCCGCCCCCGCACTCCTGCAGGGCGCAACCCAGAGCGCAGGGACAGGCCCAGCACCAGAAGCAGGCTCCCACTCGCTCAGCGCTCGTCACTCGACTCTGTGCTGGCAATGCGCTCAAGACCACGTCGCGTGCTCTTCACGCTCACGGCGACGGCGCTGGGAGCTGACTCCCGCGTGCAGAGTGCGACCGGTCCGAGCATGCATCACCTGGCCAGTCCGTGGCGGACCAAGGACTCTAGTCTACTAGAGTCCGAAGCCGGGGAGGTGCCCCTCCACCTCAGGCGCAGAATCGCAGGCCGCCAGTGCTCGGAACAGCCAGACGATGCCCGACGTCGCAGGTTCCTGCCGCTGGGCGCGGTGGCGCTCGGCAAGGCTGGCAGGTGCGACGCTGCGGCCTGCCTGCTGGGACAGAGGTGCCCGGTTGCCGAGTGCTCGCGCGCGCTAGTCACAGACGAGAGGGCACTCGAAGCGCTGCAATGCCTTCATCCAGCTGAGTTCGGCCAACTCGCGGGGCTCTCTGCAGGGCTGCAGGCCTCAGTGAGGCGCGACAGGCCACTCTATGGCATGACGGGCGCGGGTATGTGTACATGGGCTGCGGAGCGTGAGAAAGAGGACAGATCGGCGAGGCGTAGGAGCTGGCAGCGAGCTTGTTGCGGACCAGTGTGTGCGAGTCGAGGACGAGCGAGTGAAGGGACTCTAGCGTCAAGGTGTGGCGAGTGCGGCGTTCGCAAGCCGAGTGGCGCGAGCGATCGGGTGGCGGAGCCGACACTGATCTACACAGACGCTGACCGAGGCGCGCGCGCTCAGGCGCGTGGCGCAAGACGGCAGCGGCAGGGAGCGGCTGTAGCAGCGCTGAAGAGACTGCGGGGGCGCAGGGCCCTATCGCTGGCCGGACCACCACTCCTTGGCGCCCTGGCCTACGCGCAGCAGCAGCACCTGACTGTGCGCGCCGTGCTTGCCGTGGCTGCGGTGGTCGCGCTGTGCGCGCTCGGCGGCGTCGACGATGGCGGCGGCGACGAGGTTGAGCAGGATCCAGATGAGGAGCGCCCAGAAGAAGGCGGCGAGGAAGCGGCGGCCGGCGCGCGGCTGGCGGCGCGGCGGCCCGCTGGCGACGAGGCCGCCGGCGGGGCCGCGGCCAGGCACGGCGCCGGGCGGCATGATGATGATGCGTGCCGTGTGAGAGGCGGCGTACGGCACGCTGCCGTAGCCGATGGGCGCGTGCGGCAGCGTGTGGCCGGGTGCGGCGCTCGAGGAGGAGGATGCGTGGCCTTGTGGCGGCGCCGAGGCGGCCATGGTGGCCTCGTACGACGGCGCCGGCTCGTCGGTGGGCGGCGCGCCGTCGGCGGGCAGCGTGGGCTTCTTGGCGTCGATGGCCATGGTGTGCGGCGGTGGAGTGCGTGAGCTGGTGGAGGAGGGAAGGCAAGCAGCAGGCGGCGTCACGCCTCGCCGTGGCGTGCGCAGCGCGCAGCGAGCGTCATGCGGCGTGGCTGCGCAGACCTCGTGGGAACACGCCACGAGAGCCGCGGATGTGCTCCCGCCAGGCTTAGCGCCGTGCCATGCCATCCCCTGGCCGAGGTGGGCAGCGCATGCCTCCGAGCATGCCTGCTGTAGGGCGAGAGCATGCCCTCGCTGGTGTCGAGCATCGTGCTTCACATGCTGCGGCAGATTGCAAGGACTCGCAGCTCATTCACATCCGCAAGTCGCAAGGCCGCGCAGACTCCGAGGCCACGGCGCCTGTAGGGCAGCGTGAGTACGTCGCCATCCACGAGCATTCGATTTGACGAAGCCCGAGGCCGGTTTTGCTGCTGTTAAGGCGCGAGGGCCTTCCTGCCCTCCGGACCTGCCAGCTCCAACCGCTGAAGGTCAAGGCGCACGACCACGGCTGGGCCAGGCCGATGCCGATATAAGTCGCACCGACAGCACACAGGGGCAACCCCCGCAGCGTGCCTGGATCGTGCCCAAAAGCGGGGCATCCGCAGCACAGCATCTCCTGTTTGCGAGAGGAGCCTCGCAACACGTTGTCTCACCTCCATTCTGCGAGATGCAGCTGCTCCTCCTGGCGCTCGTGCCGCTGGCCCTGGCGGCGCCACTGCTGCAGCGCGACAGCCCGGCGCCGACTGCGGCGTCAGCAGCAACGCTGGAGATCTACGCGGCCCCCGCCGGCTTCTCGCGCGATGCGTACTGCACCAACCTCGCCGTCGGCTCAAAAGTCGGCGACGACGGCCAGGTGCTGTGGCTCACCGGCGACGGACGGAAGACGCAGCGCGTGTACGTAGCGCGCTCGCCGAGCCGCGGCATCGTCGTGGCACACCAGGTGAGAAGCGCAGCAAGCTAGGCAGCGCCCGCACTGACGACGCTGCCAGGGCACCAACACCTCCTCGCTCTTCTCGCTGCTCAACGACGGCGACTTCATCCGCGACGCGCGCGATACGCGGCTCGACTTCCTCGGCAGCGACGCCAGCGTCTCGGGCGGCTTCCAGGACGCCTGGCTCGACACGGCCGACGCCGTCCTGGCGCAGGTGCGCGCGGCACTGCTCACCTACCCTGGCAGCCGCGTGCTCGTGACGGGCCACTCGCTCGGCGCCAGCATCTCGTTGCTCGATGCTGCTTACTTGCGGCACGAGACGGGCGCAGAGATCGACACGGTGCTCTTCGGACTGCCGCGCTCCGGCAACGGTGAGGCCCGGTCTGAGCGCTCGCTGCAGCTGAGCTGAGGCACCCTCACCGCGCACAGACGCATTCGCAGACGGCATCGACGCTATCCTGCCGGCGCAACGCCATCTCTCGCACTGTGCGTGCTGCTCACTTACGGTCTCGCTGCGCTGAAACCGACGGCTCCACAGACCGCGACCCCATCCCGCACCTGCCCGGCAAGAGCTTCGGCTACCAGGCGCCGTCCGGCGAGGTGCGCCCGGGCGTGCTTTTCCCTTAGCCTGCCCGCTCACTGGCGCCCCACAGGTGTGGCTAGACGACAGCGGCAACTACGGCGTCGACTGCGGCGGCCAGGAGGTGCGCATGATCGGGCGTGCAGCGCAGCACTGGCTGACCTCTGCTGCCGCAGAACGACAAGTGCTCGAACAGCGTGCATGTGAGCGCCTGCGCTCGCCTCGCCTGACGGCGGCGTTCAGCTGATGCCCGCCGCGCAGTTCTATCAGTACGACCGCGATGACCACAAGGGCCCCTACGTGGGCGTGACGATGGGCTGTGGCGCGTGATATGTATTTGTGGATGCGATAGAGTGTGCGAGCAGGTGTGCCGAGCGGTGGTGCATGTGGTCGTAAGGCACGCCGCGCGACGTGCCGTGGCTGCTGTAAGGCTGCCGCGCGCGCGGCGGCGCGCGCCGGATCTTCTTGGCCGTGGCGCGAGCGTCGCCTGCGCGCGCCGCGTGCGTCTGCCTTCCTTCCTCCACACCTCACCCCATCGCAGCACACATGGGCAAGCGTGCTGCCTCTGCCTCGGCGTCGCCGTCGTCGCGCTCGCCGTCGCGCTCCGCCTCGCCCGAGCGTGCGCCCGGCGTCGTCGTCGCTGTCGATGCCGACGACGCTGCGCCCGCCGCCGGCGCGGCCTCCGCGCGCAAGCGGCGCCGCACGCTGCCGTACGAGGCCCTCTACCTCGCCGGCCTGCCCGACGCCTCGCGCTACTACAAGTCGCTCATGCACCGCGACACGCTTAGCTTCGTCACCCTCACGCCGCACTCGCACTTTCTCGTTACCGCCTCGGCCGACGGGCACGTCAAGTTCTGGAAGAAGCAGGAGGTCGGCATCGAGTTTGTCAAGCACTACAAGGCGCACACGGCGCCCATCACGGCCGTGGCGTGCAGCGCAGATGGCGCGCTGTATGCCAGTGTGGGCAAGGACGGCAGCGCAAAGGTGTTTGATGTGGCCAACTTCGGTGAGCATGCGTGTGGAGGCAGGAAGCAGCTGGTGGAGGCCTGCAGGAGCGACGCTGGCCCTCGCTGTGCAGCCTCATGCTGACCTTCGTGCGCAGACCTCATCAACATGCTCACGCTGGGCTACACGCCAAGGGCATGTGCATGGGTGCACAAGGGCGGCCGGGCGGGCTCGGTGCTGGCCATGTGAGTGCTGCCGTCTGCAGCCATTGCCGCTAGACTGACGCGGGGCACAGTGCAGAGGAGGGCTCGAACGTCATCCGCTTCTACGACGGGCGGGGCGACGGCACGCCGACGGCGGTAGTCGACTCGGTGCACCGCGCGCCTGTGCATCTGCTGGCCGTGAGTGCTGCCGCGGTTGCGCTTCGTCTGTCCCTGCCTGACTGTCGCCGCAGTACAACCAGGTGTATGACACGATCGTGTCGGCCGACATCTCGGGCATGGTCGAGTACTGGAGCCCGCGGGAGCCGTACGAGCTGCCGAAGGGCAACGGTCTATGGGAGTACAAGAGTCAGACAGACCTCTTCGACTTCAAGAAGGTGAGACGCGCCAGCTCTTCCTGCGCTGGCCAGCGCTCACAGCTGCCCCCTAGTCGAAGTCGGTGCCGGCGACTTTGACCTTCTCGCCGGACTACCAGCGCTTCAACACGACGTCGCCATCAGATCGGCAGATCCGCGTCTTCAACTTCGCGACGGGCAAGCTGCTGCGCAAGTACGACGAGTCGCTGAAGAGCATCCAGGAGATGCAGAGCAACGGCGCAGCCGCGACGAAGCTCGACGACATGGAGTTTGGGCGGCGGCTGGCGCTCGAGCGCGACATTGACGCGAGTGCCGACGGTGCGGTGGGCGACGCGGTGCGCAGTGCCGGCGGCGCCATGACGGCCAACGCCGTCTTCGACGAGAGCGGCAACTTCCTGCTGTACGGCAGCATGCTCGGCATCAAAGGTGCGTCCTGCGGCGGAGCGGGCGAAACCCAATGCTGACGTGCCGCGCTGCAGTCCTGAACATCGTGACCAACAAGGTCGCAATGCTTCTCGGCAAGGACGAGACAATCCGCTTCCTCAACGTGTCGATCTTCCAGGGCGCCGCAAAGCGGACAGTCAAGAGCATCGTGCGTGCCAGTCTTGCTGCTCGCGTGATGCCGCTGACCTTTCTCCTGCAGGCTCTTGCCGCGTCCGAGAACCCGCTGGCGCAAGAGAAGGACACGCTCGATCCGACACTCTTCTGCACTGCCTACAAGCGCGCACGATTCTACCTGTTTACCAAGCAGGAGCCAGAAAGGTCAGTCCTCTCGCTAGCCATAGCGACGCATGCCTGTCTGACACTTCCTGCTTCACAGCGATCCGCGGTCACGCAATGGAGCCGAGCGCGATGTCTTCAACGAGAAGCCAACGCGTGAGGAGCAGACTATCGCCTCGGCGGCGCCCGGCGCCAAGCTGCGGTCAAAGGTGGCCTCGACAGCCGTGCTGCACACCACGATGGGCGACATCCACCTGCGGCTCTTTGCGGACCAGGTGTCTAAGACCGTGGAGAACTTTGTGGGCCTGGCACGCAAGGGCTACTACGACAACGTGCTCTTCCACCGCGTCATTCCCAAGTTCATGCTGCAGACGGGCGACCCGCTCGGCGACGGCACGGGCGGCGAGAGTCTGTGGGGACGGGAGTTTGAGGACGAGTTCAAGAAGGAGCTGCGGCACGACCGCCCGTACACGTTGAGCATGGCCAATGCAGGCCCGAACACCAACGGTGCGTCGCAGTGCTGGCCGCTGCCATGTGCTTCTGCTGACGCACTCCCAATCCGCAGGCAGTCAATTCTTCATCACCACCGTGCCGACGCCGTGGCTGGACAACAAGCACACCGTCTTTGGGCGCTGCGTCGCGGGCCTGGACGTGGTGCACGCCATCGAGAACGTGCGCTGCGACAAGTCGGACCGGCCACGCGAGGACATCAAGATTCTCAACGTCACCATCGCATGAGGCTGCGCAATGTATCATTCTTCACCTCCGCTTGCTCAGCGCACCTGCTTGCACAGCACACGCCCCTGCCACGGCAGACCGGGGCCGTGCTTGCCGTCCACGCGAAATGCCGCGCCGGCGGTGAAGCCCTGCTGTTCGTAGAAGCTGCGGCGATGCGTCAGTGTCTAGAAGGTAGATGGGGACGACGTCGGCACGCACCGCACCAGCCGGCCGCCATTGCCCTCCCAGCAATCGGAGTAAAGCGAGTCTGCGCCGCAGTCGCGGGCTTCTTGCATGGCACGGGCGATCAGAGCAGCGCCAGCGCCTTGCGCCTCGACGCCCGTCCTCCGATCAGTGATGAGGAACTTCATGAAGAGCGACTGATGACCCTCAGGCAGCAGCGACGCGACGTAGCTGGGCGGCTCCGCGATGAGGCAGAGCGCGCCGGTCCGCGTGCCGCTGGCCGAAAGCGAGATGAAGATTCTTGTCCAGCCCGCGGGCAGCGGAAGCCTGCCGCCTTGATGTTGAGCCGAGACGTCTCCTGACCGCTGCACGTCCTTCGTCATGCTGACCACTACGTCGGGCTTGGCGCTGAAGCTGCAGTTGACGCAGCGTCAGCGGTCGTGCTCAGCCTCCTCGCACGGGCAACCCACGGCACGCTACCCCACTGTGCCTCGCTCCCGATCGATGCGAGGAATGGCAGGGCGGAGTCAAACGCCGCAAGGATGAAGGCGGCATCCTCCTGCGATGACAACGCGAGCCTGATCTTGACGTCGGCCATGGCCGCTTGTGGTGGTGAGAAGCAAGTCGCGGCGCGCGCGGCACGGCGTGCGCGTTCACACGACGCGGCACTCAGCACCGCACCTGGGCAGGCAAGAACATGACTCGACGGGATTGCGTGTGTGTGTGTGATCATACAGAATGGAGGATGGAGAAGGAGGGGATCGGGAGAATGTGCACCTATGCTGCGCGGCTCAGCTCCTCTAGCAGAGCATTGACCTCGGGCGCAGTGGCTGCGACGGCGGGCATCTCGTCGTCTCCGGCGAGGATGCCATGACGCTCAGACGCAGACAGCGCTGCGAAGCTCGCCAACAGGTCGCCTGAGCAGGAAGCGTGTCAGCGGCCGGATGCCTCGCGCACAACATCGGACTCACCGTCGACGAAGCCAGTCGGCGGCGCAATGCGATGCTCGGTGCGCAGCGTGCGCCAGTCCTCGGCCCGGATGGCGCTCGGTGACGCGCGCTGCAGCGCGGCACAGTAGTTGCGCTCGATCTCTGCAGCGATGATGCCACTGCGCTCGCCGAGCGATGCAAGCGTTCCAATGGCACCAGCAGCCGAGCCGAAGACGATGCGAGGCGTCACACTCAAGGCACCAGCGGACGCTGACGGTTGCGATGAAGCCAGGGATCTGGAATGGCCGTGTCAGCTTTCGGCCATGCACACACCAGCGGGAGCACTCACCCGCGTCGGAAGCGGTTGATTAGGTCGCCGTAGTGCCAGGCGGCGCCGCGCTCCATGACGTGGCTCCACTCCTGCTCGCCGCCGTCTTCGCGCACTTCTCTGCCCTGCTCGCGAGCGCGGTCGCGCAGGCGCTGGACACGCGCACGCTCCTCGGGGCTGCGCTTGCTGCGCTGCACCGTGTACACGTTGAAGGCGATGTCGGCGCCGATGAAGGTCTGCTTCTCGTCGTCCAGGATCTCGCCGGCGGTCGTCCAGTAAGGGTCGCAGTCACGCGCCACCTCGACGAGCGCGCCGCGCATCGTGGGCGTCGACTCGACGCGCAAGACGACCAGTGAGCGGAGCGCATCGCCGACGACAATACGAGAGTTGCTGGCATCCGGAGCAGACAGCGTCGCGGCGGTGAAGGCACAGCCCCACTGGCCGACTTGGCGCAGCGAGAAGGCGCTCTCCTCGTCTTTGCTCTTGTCGACGGCGAAGGTGAGCACCTCGGCGTTGACGGCTGCGACGAGCACGCCAGCGCAGGATTCGACCGCAAAGACGTTGCCGCGGACTTGCTGCCCGAACACCTGCTCGAGCTTCGACTGGCCGCCCGCCGTGCGAGCGACGCGGTAGCCGAGGAGACGTCCCTCGGTTGTCTCGCTGCGGTCGGGCATGGCGAAGCCCGTGCCGACCACAATGATTGCGTCCTTGCTCTCCTCGAACTTGAAGACGCCGATCGCGTTCGGCCGCTCGTCCCAGTCCAGCTGCACACGGTCCAAGACTGTGGGGGCTCGTCAGAACGTGGTCGCTACGCCTCGTCAAGCAAGACTTACCGTCAAACATCTCCGCGTCGAGCAGCTGCACATGGCCGTGCGGACGCTCAAGACTCTCGGTGCCCTCTGGCCGGAAGCGCCACGTCGTGGTGACGATTGATCGGCGTGAGGCAGAGGCATGCAGGGCCAGAGCGGTGGGATTGTCGCGTCCCAGAGGCACAGCCTTGACGTCGAGTGTCTGGCTCTCGCCCAGCTGCACGAGATCGAGCGTGTCCGGCCGCACGAGGAGCACCACGCCTCGCTGCTCGCTGCTGGATGCGGGCATGGACGATGCGTCGCGCACGTCGTGCATCGGCAGAGGCGAGACCGTCAGTTGCGAGCCGGAGAGCGTGATGACAGCTGGCCGGTCGGAGCAGGCAAGCACAGCCTTCGAGTTGCTGCCCGCCGCTTCGTACGGCTCAAGACGCGCCGGCAGTGTTCCGACACTCGTGACGCGAGACTCCAGCACTCCGATCGACTTCGAGATCGAGTCGGCGTGAGGCAGCGCCAGACGATGGACCGCAACCTTGCCGCTTCCGAGAGCGACGAGAAGGTGCGGCGCGGCTGGCGTGAACGCGTGCAGAAGGACAGATCGGGGAAGCGAGTCTTGAGGGCCGAGCAGCGCGGTTGGTGTGGCATCTGCGAGCGTTGGCAGTGACAGAAGGCGCACAGAGCGTGTCCACAGACCGACAGCTGCGAGCGTGCTCGGCTCAGATGTGAAGGAACGCAGGTCGAGCGAGCAGACCTCGGCGTCCATTTGGGCCTGACCACGCTCGGCGAGGACATTGCCCGACCGTTGCAGACACAAGAGCTTGCCACCGTCCAGCGCCAGCAGCACCTGGCCGTGCTCGTCGAGGACAGCTTGCAGGATCGGCGTCTTGGCCGGCGCTGCCATGCGCGCGAGCTCCTGACCAGCCGACGAGAGAAGCAAGACGCCCTCCGCACTCGCCCAGAGTACCGCGCCGTCCTGCAATGTCTGCACGGCGAGCGGCGCAGCGTCGGGCACTGGCCATGCTTCAGGCGACATGTTGCCAGCCTCCTGTCGCAGCACGTGTGCCTTGGCTCCGACGGCGAGGACGATGCGGCCTCTGGCTGTCCACACTCGCTCGATGTCTTGCGCTGACACGCTGCTGAGCGTCGAGCACTGGACACCACGAGTCACGACTCGTAGCGAGCCGGTCGGACCTGTGCCCGATGCGGTGATGACGCGCGACTGCGCGCCCTGGGTGTCGACGACGAGGTCCAAGATCGGAGCGAGATTGGGCATCTCGTGCAGCACCGTCAAGGACTGCTCGCCGTCTTTCACGTCGCCGTCTGGGCGCAGCAGCGACGCAGGCAGCTGCACGAGCACCGAGTCGCCACCAGCAGACGCGACAGCGAGCACGCCGTCGCCAGCGTACGCCAGCGCATCGGAGCCGGCAGGCGCAGGAATGTCGCCGAGCGTCAGCAGCGCGAGAGATCTCGGCTGCCATGTCGAGGAAGCCGTCGCGCGCGTGACCGCGATGGTCAGGAGAAGCAGCGAGCCGGCGTGCGTGCCGATCATCACTCGGACCTCGCCTTGCTCTGCCTGCTGTGATGCTGTGAAGACCTCCTGTCCGTCTGCAGCGGTGAGAATGACAGTGGCACGGACAAGCGTAGGCCGATCCAGTGCGACGCGCAGGAGTGCGGGCTGTGCGCTGAGCTGGCCCACGCCAGATGTCGAAGCAGCAGAGCTGCGGCGGTGAGGCCGCTTGCCGTTTGTGTTGGCCTGCTGCTCGGGGCTCGTGCCGAGTTGAGCCTCGTGCGTCTCGGCACCACGGCTGGCTTTGCGCCGCTTGACCGGTGAGGCTGGTTTTGCGCTGACGTCGGGCAGCCCAACGAGAAGGATGGCGCGCTCGGTGGCAACCAGCAGCGCGCGCAGCGACACAGGTAGGACGCCCAGGGCGTGCGCGCCGATGGCATCGGCAGGCGAGAGAGGCACGTGTGCCAGCCCGATAGAGGACGCTGAGTCGAGCACCTGCAGCTCCTCGGCGGTGCGAACGCGGCCAAGCGCGGCCGGGCCCTTGCGCTCTGTGGGCGCGGCTGCCGCAGCAGGTGGTCGGCTGACCGTCGCGCGCGATGCCGACCACGGCAGCGGCGGGATGCTTTGCGTCGAGCTGTTGAGCGTGTGGAAGGAGAGTACAGGCAGGCACTGCGGGCCCAGGCCGGGCAGCGTAGAAGGCGTCGATGAGATCGACAGCAGAGCTAGAAGGGGCACCTCATCCGTGCCGGTCGGCAGAAGAAGGTGCGAGAGGATGTGAGGGTGCGGCAGCCTGTGGCCGGAGTCAGTACTTTTGCTCCAGGGTCGCTACCAGTCGAAGACAGCTTGAGACCGCGTGCACTCACCGTGCGCTCCATGCATCGCTCAAGTCGCCGGCCACACGACAGATGCGCATGCTCCCGACCTGTGCGTGCGCCGCGGCCCACTCTGTCCGGCTCGGGCCCGCCGCGGCGAGATGTGTGCCAGCGCCCATCTCTGGCGGCGGACGTGCGGCAATGCCAGAGGCATCGAGCAGCAGCGCCCGGCGCACAGAGAGGCGCGGCGTGCTGTCGTGCTCGGACGGCTCAAGGCCCACGACAAGCAGGCGCGGCGTGGGCGCATCGGTGTGCACCAGCAGCGCAGCGAGCGAGTGCGAGAGGCGTACCGAGAGCGGACGTGCGGCGAGCGCCAGCGACACCGACGGCAGGCCGGCCTCGAGGCGCAGCAGCGTGAGCGATGCGTGGCCGAGGAAGACGAGGCCGGCGGCGGGCCCGAGGACGTGCGGCGGCACAAAGAGCACCGCCGAGCTGGCACTCGCCGGGTGCACATGGCTGAGCGCAAGCATGGTGGCGGGTGGTAGGCAAGCGGCACAGCGCCGGTGCAGAGACGAGACGTGCGGTGGACTGTGAGGAGATGGAGGTGCGGACAGGCGCTGCTCCACGCCATCATCGCTGACAGCACGCGGCGGCGGCAGGGTCGTCAGCGACCCCAGATCCGCACCCGCAGCGCGCGGTCCGTGCGGCGCTGGCGCGATGACTAAGCTACAGCTGGACCCCGGGCAGCCGCCGAATGGCCTGCTCGGAGCACAACAGCAGCATACGTCGATCTAGCACTTCGCTAGACGCTGGTGCAGATGGCACAAGCTGGTCAAAGTAGAGGAACAATACAGCTCGGTGGCCTGGGCATGCAAGAAAGCCGCAAGGAGGCCGGCGGGCACCAAGCTCCCACAGGGTCTTGGAAGCGCCAGTCACGCGGCGCAAGCCGCCCTCACAGCTTCTGGGCATGCGCTTTTCGACTCATTCTGGGAAGTCAAGTCAGGAATCGTGGGACAAAGCAGAAGCAGGTGATGCTGCTGACCAGTGCCTGTGCTGCCCTCGCAACGCGTGAGGAAAGCAGGCGCAAGCAGACGTGTCCGGCGCCGTCCCGACACGCTCAACTGCCCTGACAGCTCGGACGCATAAGAGCTGACTCGCACATGCTAGCCTCAGGCTCGCCACACTGCATCGATCTTGTCATGCCTCGCGGCGCAGCCCAGTCGCCAGTCGGAGCATGCATGATATGGCAGCCGCATCGCGAGTCTCTATGGCCGCAGCTGGATGTGTCTTCATTCCTCGTTCTCCTCCGGCTCCTCTGCCTCCTCGTCGTCCTCCTCGCCGTCCAATGCCTCCTCGTGCTCGGCGTAGAAGGCCTTGAGCGCGGCCTCGGCCTCCTTGTACTCGACCTTGACGTCCCGCAGCGTGCTCGTGAGCTTCTTCAGCGCCTCCTCCTCCGACAGCTCGGTGACGCCGTCCTTGTCGGCGGCCTTGCCGTAGTGCTGCATGTTCTCGCAGCTGTCCCGCACCTTGAGCACGCCGACGGCCGCCGACGAGCCCTTGAGGAAGTGGCCGAGCGTCGAGAGCTCCGGCAGGTCCTTCTTGGCACTAGACGTCGCACAGAATCAGCCGCAGCTCTGCCGGCGTCCACTAGCTGCTACGGCCTGCTCGCTCTAACCTGGCCCGCGCAGGAAGCTGACCGTCCTCTTCGCCATGCGACGCAGCTCGCAGCGCAGCTGATGCAGCGCAGCTAATGCAGCAGGTAGCAGGCACCGAGCGCGCCGACCCTCCTGCTGCGCCCCGCCGCCATCCACTGCCCACGGCTCAGCCCGCCCGCACACACTCACAGCGCAGCGTCCATCTTCGCAAACGTGACCTCGGCCTGCTCAAAGTAGTTCCAGACGATCTCGCGCGAGAACTCGCGGTCCTCCTCGTCGTCGTCCATCTCGAGCAGCTGGCTGAAGATGTCGACGTCGATGATCGACGGCGAGATGGAGCCGGCGGGGTCGAGAGACGAGGCCGCCGCGCCCGAGCCCGATGCGAGCGCAGAGGCAGACGCCTGCGGCGAGGAGAGAGGCGACTGAGAACGGCGCGCATCAGCACATACTCTCGCCTGGCTCCTGGCGTGTACGAAGCAGACGGGCGCCGCACATGCCGCCTGGCAATCTGGCTTCTGCCAGCCAGCGCTGCACCTCGGCGTGCCATACTGTTTTGTGAGAGCAGGAGCTGCGGCCTCTTTCACCTTATGCAGACCCGAGCTTTCCCGCCGCCGCGCGTCTCGCCGTCCAGCGTTCATGCATCTGCCGGCCCTCCCACCGCTCGACGCTTCTGCCGCACGCACCTTGTCCGCCATGATGGGCCACGCTTCAGAGACAGCAGAGCGCCGTTTTCACTTCAGAGGCAGCTCGGTGACTGGAAATCGAGGCGAGATGTCGCGGTGCAGCGCGCAGCAGGTCACGAGCGAGAGCAGCCGCGGGCGTGCTCGCGAGAGAAGGGCCGGTCGGGAAAATGTAACGAGGCAGAGACGGAGAAGTGACGAGACGATGTGCGCGGCGATGAGACGTGAGCGAGGCGAGACGAGACGGGCGACGGGCACGAGGCGGGAGCGTCTGGACGGAGCAGATGAGATGAGAGGCGGGAACGGTGCTTGAGGTGGGAAGCAAAGAGGCGCAGGCGGGCGAGCGCCGCAGCCTGGCGGCTGGCGGGCGGCATATAGGCTGCGCGGCTGCATGCGTGCCGCGCGACGCCGCGCTCCACGGCAGAGGCACGCACGCAGCGGCTCGCGCGTGCCTGTCCGCCCGTCGCACCTCCCTCCCGGCCGGCCGTGCCCAACGGCCATCGGGCCGCACTCAAAGTGCCTGTGCCGTATCATGGTGGCGGCAGCGCACTTGCAGAGAGCAGCCTCGGCGATGAGGCGTGTGCTGCGGTGCCTGATGCGGCTCGCGAGCGCAAGAGCGAGGCGCGAGAGGAGGCATGACGAGGAGGAGCTCGCTCGACTGCTTCCATCCTCGTTTGCTCTCTCGACCTCCTAGCGCCCTGGTGAACGAGGCTGCCGCCGTGCCACGTTCAGCACCTGCGCTGCATCAAGTCTATTTGCAGGTCGAGTGGGTCCGGCGCCATCCTTTGCGGCTCGGCTGCCGTGCTGCGCTCTCGTCGCAAGCCAGCATGCGGCACATGCTCTGCCGCTGTCGTGATGCGTGGGGCGACACTTGTGCTTGCCTTGCTGCCCACGCACTGCCGCCATCCCATGCTCGTGCGGTGCCGCAGCACGCAGCCGGACGTCTCTTCGCCGTGCTGTGCTGCGCTGCGACTCTTACTGTCTGGGGCGCAAGACACCGGTGCGACAGCGCATCTCGCGAGAGGCGCTTGCAGGACACCGCAGGCACACCACCACCGCCATGCACGCACACGCCACCTCCTCCTTGTTCTTCCTGCGGCCGCACGACGACGTTGCCGCTGCAGCAGCCGGCGGAAGCGTGGCGCAGAGCACAGCACAGATGAGCCGCTGCACGGCTCCGAGCCTCTCGCCGTCGCTGCACCAGACGAGCCTCCGAGCTCGCCGTGCCGTGTGCTCGGTACTCCAGCGTGTGCGCGACGATGACGTGGGGGCCGCGCGTCTCGCAGCTCGCGGGCTCACCCTCGCGGCTCTCAGGCACGGCGCGAGTGCCTCCGAGAGGCGCAACGCCACGTCCTGCGCAGAGATGGCGCCTCCCGCCGCCGCCACACGGCGCCGCCGCGCAAACGCCTCCGCCGCTGCCGCCGAGCGCAGATCGTCCATGTGCCGCCGCCGTGCTCACGCCTCGCAGCCATCCCGCCGTGCCGCAGCAGCACGGCAGCACAGACAGCCCACTGCGGCATCTGCGCCGCACTCCGCCACAGATCTGCCTGAGGCTGCACCGCAGACAGCGCCGCACTGCGCCTGCCATCGCCATACAGCTCCCGCACCACCCGCTGCCGAACACGGCGCCGGCTGCGAGCCTGCGAGGCCTCCTCGCAGCATGCTGTGCACGCTCTGCCACGCCCGGCTGATCATCTGGCCGCTCGGAACGTCTTGTTCTGTCGCAGCAGCAGCAGTATGCAGCAACCGCTGCTGTGCCGCAGCTCGCAGGCATGCGGCACGCAGGACAACTGCGGCCACGCTCGCTGCGGATGTCATCGTGCGACGAGCTTCGCTTGCGGCCAGCAAGGCCTTGCATGGTGCGAGTCTACGTGGCGCGCTACGCTGGCGGGCCTGCAGGCTGTTCGCCGTGGCACTCCTGCTGCTCGAACAGCTTGCGTTTAGGCTTCCCGCCCTCTGCGCAAAAGCCGTCTTGGCTGCGCGTGCTCGAGCCGTGCCCGGAGGCTTGGGGTGGAGGCGTGACGGAGGCGTGAGCGCATCACGCGCCTGCGCCGCCTACGCCTCCATCACGACGCTCTCATGAACGAGGAGGAAGAGTGATGGGACGATTGCAGGCTAGCTGTGGGTCCCCGGTTGGCCGAAAGGCAGTCGCCGTGCCTTGTGCGGGGACGAGCGTGGGGCAGGCGCTCGAGACAGCCGGGAGACGCTGCACGCTCGAGAGGCCTCTGCGCTCTGCGGGCCGGACGCGACGCGACGCGGTCCAAATCTGCGAATGACGTCTGCTCGCTTGTGGCAGCCAGAGCACAGCAGCTGCTGCTGCACCTGGCAAACCGCACATCAGCTCGTGCAGAAAGACAAGAAAGGCGAAGCGGCAGCAACTGACTGATGGAGGTTGAGAGGGGGAGAGCACATCCAACGCAGACGCCGCTCGACGCCGGAATGCTCTCGTGCTCGGAACGGGGCGATGTGGTCCGGAAATAGCCCCGCCGCAAGCCGCTGCTCTTTCACGGCGCGCAGATCTGCCTCCACCTCAGTGCTGCAGCGCGACATGCCCGCCGCAGCACGGAGACGCTCCAGCACCAGCCGCAGCGGAGCGCCGCTTTGGTCTTGCCTCGCCTTGCCTCGCCTTGAGCTTGACAGCCGCCGCCGCAAATGAGGGACAGGCGAGGATGGACGGTGTGTCCGCCTCGTCCGCCGCCTGTCATGCTGCGGAGAAAGGGCCGGTGCGGCGGCAGTGCGCCCCGCGCGTCGCGTCTCCCGGTTCTTCGCATGCGTGGGACGCCTGCTGCAGGAGAGCAGCGGCATCGCAGCTGAGAAGGAGTGACTGCTGCTCGGACGCTGGACAGAACAGCGGCAGCTGCAGGCAGGCTGATGCCTGAAAGCCTGAGGTGCGAGGGCAGCGCACGCCATGCTCTGGCCGCGGATGTTGCGTGCGCGCGCGACAGCGAGGTGTGCAGCCGGCCGGGCCGTGACGTCGCTCGGGACGGGGCACATCGCCGTGCCCGCGCGGGTCTCACCTCTTCCTCTCTCACCACCACATCAACGCACAACCAAAGCAACAAGCAGCCATGTCCATCCTCTCCGACCTCAACTTCGGCCTCTTCACCGCCGGCGCGCCCAACTACTCGCTGCACGCGCTGCCCGTCGTCCTCTTCTTTGCCGCGCTGCGTGCGTGCTGCTGCCGGTGCTGTGCTGGCTGCCTTGCACTGACCTCTCCGTCGCAGCGCACTGGTGGGCCATTGCGACCGTCGAGCGCCTGCAGCGCGACCCCAAGCACCCCTTCTTCCGCGGCGGCTGGGACAACCAGAACCCGCGCGCCTGGGTCGCGCGCCTCAACGCCCACGTCGCCGCCGGCAAGCGCCTTTCGCCGCTCGAGCAGCGCGTGCTGCGCGCGCAGAGCGCCCAGCAGAACGGCTTTGGTGAGCGGCAGTGGTAGAGATGGCATGTGCGGGGGAGGTGGTGGGCAGAAGGCGTGTGCCTGACAAGTGCCGAGAGGCGAGAAGTTGTGCCTGGCAGGCATTGCTCCTGCCTGGTCTGCGGCCTCGGCTTGCTCTGGGAGAGTCCAGCGTGCTCACACCTCTCTTGCAGAGTCCTTCGCACAGATCGCCGCCGCCATTGTGAGCACACTTCTGCGCCGGTCGCAGGCTAGCGCTGACACCGCATACAGCTGGCCGGCAACTTCGCACGCCTGCCCTCGCACGAGCTCAACCGCGTGGCGGCCATCTACCTCGCGACGCGCCTCGTGTACAACTACCTCTACGTCACCACGGGCAGCAAGTCGTTCAGCTTCGTGCGCACCATTGTGTTCAACGTGAGTGCGCTGTCGAGGGTCTCGCCGCCTCGTCGCTCACAGAGCCCTACGCAGACCGGCACCTTCGTGCTCGTCCGCCTGCTCTTCCGCGCCGGCAACGCGCTGCGCTACGCGGCCTAGGCGAAGCTCTTATCCGCTGCTCCACTCTCATTCGCTGCTCCATCTCCATCCTCGCATCTCACAAAGCACAGCCGCATGGCAAAAGCAATAATCGCCGTTACTGTACAGGGCGCAGGGTGACCAGCAGGAGTGTGCGGGCGCGCGAAAGATGAGGAGCACGGGTGATGGATGAGAGGAGTCCGGGCGCAGATGAGGAGGGCATAGGAAGCGGCGGCGGGCTCAGCCCTTCCAGCCAAAGATGTCGAGGCCGAGCTTGCCGCCGTCGCTGCCGCTGCCACGGCTGGCGATCGTCGACGGCGTCGGCTCGCCGGCGCGCGAGCGCGGCTCGAGGAGCAGGCTGCGGCGGTAGAGGTCGTCGGCCGAGCCGCCGGCGCTGCTCTGCTGCACCTCGGCGAGTACATTCTGCAGGTAGCTCTGGCACTCGGGCACCTCGAGCAGGTTGTACGGCACCTGGAAGCGCTGCAGCTCGCCGATGATGCGGCTCATCTTGACGTACTTGTCGAAGTTGATGAGGCGCTTCTGCGGGTCCTGCGGCGACGGCCGCGTCGCTGCGTTGCCCTCGTGGCAGAAGGTCAGGTCCGTGAGGAAGAGGCCGACAAACGGCAGCGCCGGCGGCAGCGTGGCGCGCAGCCGCGCGCGGTAGCCGGCAAAGTTGCGCGTGTGCTCGACGGTGTGCCGCTGGTGGTCCATCATGGCGCGGTACTTGGCCGGCAGGCCGTCCCACGTGCGCTTCAGGCGCGCGATCGTCGACGAGTTGAGCGCACACTGGATGGCCATGAGCGTGTTGAAGTTGTTGAGGCCGAGGCAGCGCTGTGAGGGAAGGATGTCAGCTGTGCCGCATCTGGGGAACATCGCGCGCAACTCACGTCGCCAAGCTTGATGAAGAACTTGACAAGCTGCGTGCGCTTGCGCGCGTCGCCCTCGCCCAGGATGCACTCGCTGATCCAGCCGGTGATGTGCGTGCTGAGCGAGCTCATGCTCTTGACGTGCACGGCGGAGCTGACGCCGGCCTTCTTGCTGAACTCCTGGCCGAGCAGCTCTTCGGGCAGGATGGAGCAGTAGATCTTGCTCTCCATGATCGTCAGCTGCCGCGCCAGCTCGGTCGGGTCAAAGTCGACGACGTTGAGCGGCGGCTGCGGCACGGCGCGCAGCGACGAGAGCAGCGCCTTGGACACGATCGGCGCCGGCGGCATCGGGCCCTTCTTGCCGTAAGCGCTGGCCGAGTACATGCTCGACACGTCTGTCATGCCCGGCGGCATCGCGCCGTTCTTGAGCCGGTCCGTCGAGACCATACGCTTGAGCGTGCCGGGCCCGCGCGCGCCGGCGACCGGAGCGCCGGTCACCTGCGCCATCACCTTCTTGCACGGGCCGGCGATGATGCGGCGCTGCGCCAGCTCTGCCAGGCGCTGGCCAGGCCGCTGCAGCGAGTGCGTCATCGACGTGCGCGTGAACTCGACGAGGCGGTCGAGGATCGCGTGGTCCGTCGGCGTGTGCCAGTGCGTCTCGAGCCACGTCTTGAAGAAGTTGAAGATGCGCAGGCGCACCGGTGCGACCTTGCGCTCCATCCAGCGCGCAAGCTCGTCGCCGCTCAGTTCGAGCGACGCCGGCGGGCGCAGGTTGTAGCGCGCCTCGAGTGCGTCGAAGAGCTCGAGCGGCGTCGTAAACAGGCGGAAGCACAGGAAGAAGGCGTTCGAGAACGTGGCGTCGACGGTGGTGTCGTGCGGCGTCATCTTCTCGACGAGCGCGGCGAGCGTGGCGCCGGTCACCTGTCCCTCGGAGTTGTAGGCCACGTCCGAGGGGTCGAAGTCGGGCGCCATGAGGCGAGCCTCGAGCAGGGAAGGGGGCATGCTGCTGCTCGTGCTGCCTGCAGAGAGCGGCGAGAGCGCGAAGCCGGCGCTGTCGGGGACGCTGCCGTTGCGGCCACGCGTCGACGCCTCCGAGGCATCGCTGCCGCGACGGGCGCTTGGCTCGCTGAGCGAGGCAAGCAGCAGGCCCTTCGGCGTGTCGCGCACGACTGGCGCGCTGAGCGGGCCCAGCTTGGCGGCGTGGACGTCGTCGAACGGGAAGGCGTCGTGCTCGCTGCGGTCCATCGAAGGACGAGCAGAGGTATCTGCCGTGGTGTCGGAGCGACCCGAGTTCAGCGTCGAGCCAGACGTGCGCGAGTGGTCGCGCGACATGGGCTCGCTCGAGTCGCTCGCGTCGCCGCTGTTGGAGTCCGCAGACGCGGTAGGCGCGTGACGCTCCATGTTGCGAGGCGGCCGAGAGAGGGCAGCGTTGGCGCTGAGCGGCGGCGGATTGCTCGGGCGCCGAGCGTTGCCAAGCAGCGGCTGAGGCCGGCGCACGCCGCGCCGCTCGAGAAGCGCAGACTTGGGCATGTCGTCGGCCGACGAGGCCGCGTCATATGCGCGCAGGGGCTCTTGGCGGCTATCGATGCTGGAGGCGATGGCCTCTTCCTCCTCGTTCTGCTCGTCCATCACGTCCAGATCAGGCGCTGCGCTGCCGTTCTGCTCGTACTTCTCCCGCAGGCAGCTGAGGCTCGAGGCCTTCCGCCCGAGGAACGAGAGCGTGTGCTTACCGCGACGGGCACCGGTGCCGCTCTCGCCTGCCTCGGACATGGAGAGATCCTCCTCCATCGCGTCGGCGAGCGCCTCGGTCTCTGCCTCGCTCTGCTGTGCGCGTGCAGCATTGTGCTTCGCAGAGCCCGCGAGTGTGAGCCGCAGCGTCGAGTCGGCGCGGTTCAAGCACAGCCGCACGGCGCCGACGCATTCGCCACCTGTGCGCAGCACCGCAGTTGCGGCGTGCAGCAGACGCGACTTCTCGTCGTCCTCGTTGATGCCGGCCATCGACGGCGAGCTGGCATTGGCCGGCGCCGAGGTGATGACGCGAGCAGCAGTGACCAAGGCCGTCGTCGCCTCGTACAGGCCCTCGCGCGTCTCCCACAGGATGGCAGTCTGGCGCGGGAACGCAGCCTGCAGCTCGGCGCTGTTGTTGACGGCCTCGACGACGAGCAGCAGGCTGCGCACGCCGTCAACGGCCTCGCGGGTCATGTCGATGAGATGAGCGTAGCTCGAGGCGTGCGAGTCGCGCGTGTGGGTGTGCACGTGGCCGATGAAGGCAGCGGTGATGGACAGGAGCTGGTCGTTGGCGGCGCTCAGGCGCTGCAGCACCTCCTGCGGCGAGCAGATGCTGGCTGCGGCGGCGGCGGGCACCTCCAGCGACTCGCAAGAGCCGGAGCGCGAGCCGACCATTGAGTCAGAGCCGGAGCCTGATGCAGAGCCAGAGCCACCACCGCCTTCTTGCGGCTCGGAGACGAGCGAGTCAGACCGACCTCGTGCCTCGGCTTGAGCCTTGATGCGTGCAGCAGGCGACGGCTCGCCGTTTGCCGAGGTCTGTTGCGCCTGTCGGGCCTGCTCTTCGGCTGCGGCGCTCGGTCGTCCGCCTTGAGCAGCAAATCTGGCGCTGCGCGGCGAGAGCTGCCCCGATGTGTAGGCCGTCAGATAGGCCGAGCTGCGCGGCGAGTCCGGCGTCGGCGTCTTGTCCTGCTCGCTGCGGTCCGGCGGCGCGACTGCACCGCCTGGCTGTCGCGCCTGCGAGCCCTGACGCCCGTCGGCATACAGGTCATCATAGACGGACGAGCGGCGATCCGGCACGTTGACGCCACACTCGACCGCCACCTCGAGGAAGCGACGGACATGGCGCAGCACACCGTCGGCCATGCCCAGCATCGCGTCCATGTCGGCATCGCGCCCTGCGTCCTCCGCCACTGGGGCAGACGCTTTCCGCGCCTGCGTCACGAGACGGCTCAGCTCGGCGAGGATCTGCTTGCGCTCGCGTGCCAGGACCGGATGTGCCTTCAGCACGGGCGACTCGCGCGTCAGGCAGTCCGTGGCAGAGAGCACCGACCGCACAGACGAGATGACGCAGGCCGTCGAGGGCTGGAAGTGTGCGAAGCGATTCGCACGCACGGCGTTGTGCAGCAGCGCGATGGCGTGGAGAATCGGGTCGAGGATGCCAGCCGAGCCGCGGCGCTCAAGGAAGTCGGCCTCGGTCGGCGTGGGCGACCTGGACGGGTAGGACATCTGGCGGTGCTGCAGGGCATGCTGCGCCTGCGGCGCCAGATGCCGGTGCTCCGTGCCGCGACTGCGCGGGCGCAGCGTGCCGTTAAGGCCCAGGCCGCGGCCTGCGCCCTGGAACGACGGCTGTGGCGTGGCCTCGGCGTCGCGGTCGTACGACTGGCCCTGGTCCGAGCTGGATAGCTGCATCGAGGCGCCGCCCTCAGGACTGCCAAAGGGCAGCGCCTCTTCGTCAATGTAGTTGCTCGGGAACCAGCCGCGCTGGCCGTTGAGCTCGCCGTCCCACCAGCCGCTCATGTCGCGGTTGAAGACCTTGATGACCTGGCCGGCAGCAAAGGAGAGACACGTCGAGTTGCTGGACGTGAAGTCGTGCAGCGCCACAACGTACTCCTCGGCAGCCATGCCGGGCCCGTCATCTGACCCGTCGTACTCAGCTTCGTCGCGCTCCATGGGACTGGCAAAGCCAGACGCAGCCATGCCGGCGGAGCGCTGCTGCTGCTCGAGCAGTATCCGCGAGGTGCTGGCGATGCTGCTGCCGCCCGCGCCGCTGCGCGAGCCATCGACGATGGTGGAGTGTGAGGATGTCGACGAGCCTGTCGACATCGTGTGGGCGCTCTCGGCGCCGATGGTGTCGAAGGAGGCGCGCGGAGCGCCGTCCTCGTCCCAGTGGGACTGCAGCGACGCGCCACGCGTCGGAAAGCGCGAGCCAGCAGCGAACGACGCAGGGCCGGATGCGCCAGCAGCGGGCATCGTCGCCATCATGTCGCAGAGTGCGAGCGTGAGGCGCGCGAGTCGGGCTCAGCAGGCGTGCAGCGCTGCAGCGGCGTTGCGGGCGGCGCAGGCGTCGGGAGACAGTGGGAGAGAGCTGTCACAACGACGCAGCGTGACGCATGTTCCAGCGGCAGGCAGAGCAGCGCAGGCCGCGCGCAGAGACGCAGGCCGAGTGGAGTCGGTGAGCCAGAGCGGCACGAAGGAGCGTCGAAGCGAGAGAGCGTGGAGCGCGGAGCGGCAGCGCGGAGAAAGGCGCCGAGAGAGTGGTTGTGGGAGAGGTGCGCGCGAGAGGCGAGCGTGGCGTGCAGATCGTCCAGGGCAGCGGTGGCGCGACACGCAGCGACGAGACGAGCGAGAGCCGGGATGGGTGAGAGAGAGGGTGAGACTGGTGTCAGCGATGGGTCCGGGTGGCCTTGGCTGAGACGGCGGCGCGGGTGCGGCTCGGCGGCCAGGAGATTGGCAGCGGCAGCGGCAGGCGGCAGAAGCAGGGGGCGCGAGAGACCTCGGAGCGGTGCAGCAGCAGGCAGCGGCGGCACGCAAGGCACCGCAGCGCGGCGGCAGCGCAGCGAGGGGCTGCCGCTCGCAGGCGCAAGGCGGAATCGCAGCGGCGGCGCAGCGCAGCGCGCCTGCCTGCAGCGGCCGCGCGCGGGGAGACGCGCGGCACGGGAGCAGTCTCGCAGCCGCAGCCGCCGGCTCGCGCGTGGCAGACAGGCACGCCGCGAGTATGTCCGCGGGGGGCGATCTGCGAGAAAGGCGCGCCGCGGCGCCAGCCCCTCGGACGCGCGTGCGACACTGCCCGCGTGCCGCTGCCCGCTTTGAGGCCCCGCCGCCGCCCCTGTTCCACGCCGCAGCGCCACACCTCGGCGTGCGCGGAGCGTCCTCGGCCACGGCACGGCACTTCGCACGCGCGGTACGGCGCCCGGCGACGTCCCAAAACGGGGCATCCGCGACATTTGGACCAGCGTCCACGCTCGCTCCCGACGGCGCTCGCAGCGCATGTCGCAGCAGCAGGTGCGTCGGACAGCTCGAGCAGGCGAGCGCAGCAGACACCGGCAGCAGACCTGCTGGTCGGCCGTGCACCAAAAGCCGCCCCTGTGCGTGCTGCACGTCTGACACCGGCGATGTCGACGCCGGATGCTGCGCCGCGTGCCGGCGCTGCTCGTCTAGCCTCGCCGTAGCCCACGACAGGCACGTGAGGCTAGCTCGGCGGTCACTGCGCCCGCGAGCGAGCGCACCGGCGCCGTCTTCGCATGCCAGCGTCGAGGGCCGTCGGCATCGCATGCGTCGACGGCGCCAGCTGCTCGCGCGAGACCGGCTCGCGCAGCTGCTGCGGCTAGCCGCGTCGAGATCTGGCGGCGAGATCGCGGGCGACGATCTCGAGCATCTTCGCTGCGAGGCACACCCAAGCGGCACGGCAGCGGGCGTCCTGCGTCCGCAGCTGGCTGCTGAGGCAAGCTCCGTGGCGGCTGCGGTACGGACCCGAAGATGAGACACGGCCGTAAAGCGCGTGACATGCCCCATCCCCCGCACGCTGCACGCTGCGCGACCGCACCCGAGAGAGCGCGAGCGCGGGAGCATGTCGTCCGCCGTACGCCCGGCCTCCCAGCGGACCGAAGCTCGGAGCAAGCGTCGCCGTCTCTGCTCCGCTGCGTCTGCGTGCTGCACAGCATGCAGAGGCAGACGCAGCGGCCAGCGAGGTGCAGATGCAGGGCCGAGGAGCTACACCCACGCCTTGTCACGTCCTCGGCGCCGGAGCCCAAGCCACACTGCCCGGCGTCTTCTCCATCCCGCTGCGCTCCGCGACAGATTCGCAGGCCCGCCTCAAGGGTCCACTCACGATGCGAGCGCCAGGAGCGGCGACGTGGCTGCAGCGGGCCGCCAGGGCGCGAGGCTGAGAAGGGTGCAGAGGCCGAGGTGGGCTGATGCGCAAGGGGCGCCAGGGCGCGGCGAGGAGACGGAGAGGCGAGACGGGCGCACGCGGCAAGGACGGTGGAAGCAGCAGCGGCGCTCAGAGCGACCAGTACGTGGAGAGCAAGGGCGAGAATCAGGGAGCGAGGGATGCGACGTTCGGGAGAGCGGGTGGAGGGGAGTGGTGGGGAGCACATCCGCGCGAAGGACGCTGCGGAGGAGGATGCAGGGCCCAGCGGCCGCCGAGCCGAGGCAGGGAGCGCCCTCTCTGCAACGGGGCCGCGCAAGGGGCGCACCTCTGACCGAGATCTGTGCTCGTTGGCCGCACCTTGCTAGCGCTGCGGCAGCGAGCATGGCGCCAGAGCCGACGCCATGGCGCGCCATCCCAACGGTCCTCGCCGCGGCCTGGCTCAAGCGCGCCTGCAAATCCTCTCCCTGCCATGGGCCGAGCCCTTTGCTTGCTCCATTCGCACCCGTCTGATGAATGATGAGCGGCCGCCGCAAGCGCCTCATCGTCGAATGACGGCCGCATCTTGGTCGGGCGTGATGAGGCCGCAAATTGATTCGCTCCCTCATCAAGCAGAGAGGAAGACGCCCCGGCGCGCAAGCGCGAAGAGGCCGGCGCCGGGCATCTGCGTCTGCACCCCACACGCAGTGTGCGTCTCGCATGGCCTGCACTGGCGATGCTGAGAGCTCGAATGGAGCTGCTGCTGCAGCGAGGGCTGTGCAGCGACGGCATGGTACAGCCTCCTGCTGTGCACCGACGCTGAGGCAGCAGCGCCACAAACAGACGCCGGGCCCTCGTGCGGCACGGGCGGTGCAGGCCCGGCATCGACGCCTCGCCGCCGGCGCTTCTCGCCCTTCGCTGCAAGATGCGCTCGGACAGCCCACAGCTGCAGCGCTGCTTTCCGGCCCTCCATGCTCCTGCACCAGCTCGCAAGGCTCGTGCGAGCGGAGCCGTGGCGGACGAGCACCAGGCCCGGGAACGTTGGTGCGCTTGGCCGCTGCGTAGGAGCGCGCGGCGCAGGGTCTTCGTCGCGGCCTTCATGCGATGCGCTCGCCGCCCTCATCCCGCCGCTCTCCTGAGCGTGCTGCCTCGTCCGAGCTTGTGAGAGCGAGGGCTCGAGCACGTCGCCGCGCGACGAGAGCTGCTGGCTCGGCGGCGCCTGGACAGCAGGCCGTCTCCGGGGCCTCGGCAAGCGTGCCGTTCCCGCGTGCCGTCCTGCGGCTCTGCGGACGCTCTGCCGACGTCGCATGAGAGCGCGGCCTCTGGGGGCCAGCCGTGCAGCTCGCCGCTGCGGAATGAGGGTGCTGTGCAGCCAGCCGCTTCTTCACCAAGACTGCTGCCTCTTGCCTTGCACACTCAGGTGCTGCCCGCGTGATCGCGCATGAGGCCGTCGAAACGTCTTGTTTTGGCCGGAGAGCGCGGTTGGCATGGGAACAGCGAGGGACGCGGTGCTCTGCGATGCTGCCCACGCGCCGGCCGCTGCACGTCGCGGCATGTGCGCGCGCCATCGCTTAGCGCCATCGCGGACCCTCGCTGCCTTCCAGCACGGCAGCACGGCAGCACAGCAGCAGTCCAGCGAGAGGAGGCTGAATTTGAGCACCCGGTTAGCCTGCCCACGGGCGCCGTAGCGCGACAGCGGGCATCTCGACGGCGCGCTGCGCTGCTCGGCTCTGCGGCACGACTCGTCGGCGTCCGGTGCCGTCGCTGCGTCTGTCGTCCGGCCATGGCGCATCGCTCCGCTGCATCGTCGTCGTCTCCGCTGCAGCGCCGTCTGGCCGCTGCATCTCATCGGCCGCACCCCGGCCAGACGAATTCGCGAGGATCGAAGATGCGAGATCGTCGCATGGCGCCTCTCGCACGCACCTCGGCGAGGCCCGACGGCGCAGCGCACATCTCACGAGGCACTTCCAAGCCGCGAAATGCTTCCGAGCGGCCGTGGGAGCGCAGCAGCGCCTCCGCTCCGCTCATCTATGCACTCTTAGAGCCCTCCGTAGCTTCATTTGGCCAGCTCATCACTGCCTAGTGGCCGCACTCTGAGCGCCCAATGCCCGCGGGAGCGTTGCAGAGACCCGTGTCCGCCTGGCAGCCGTCGATCTGGAGGGGCACGTCCTTTCGGAGTCGGACGGACTGTCTGTGCGCTGTGCTGCATGATCTCCTGGGCCGCAGCCCAGACGCTCGACTCTGCGGGGCTGCAGGCTCTCCCGACGGAGCTGTGACATCTGTCATGCCGTGACAGCTGCGGAGAGAAGGCGGCTGCAGGCATGTCCGCCCGGCCCGTGAGTCGCAGGCGTACATCGCTTCAGTGCAGACACATCGAGGATCAACGCCGGCAGCTGCTGTCTGGATCACCTGCTATCGCCAAGCAGACACACCACGATGTCGATGCAGACGTGATATTGAGGAGGCACATCACGAGGGAGTCGCAGAGAGCACAGGCAGTGGTAACGAGGGTGTATCATAAGAAGCGGAGCAGGGAGGCAGGGCGCAGCAAGGTCACCGTCATGCGGGCAGCGCAGCGTGCAGTCGTCGTGCCGCATCGGCAGCCTCGGCCTCGTCGCGCGCCGCAGCGTCCTCCTCATCCGGGCGCACGGCCGAGGCACCCGTGTGCCACGTGTTCGTCGAGCTGCGCGACAGCGACTGGCTGCCGGGCGCCGCGAGCGACGCGGCCGTGGTGCTCTCGGCGAGCGGGTGCGGCTGGCGCAGGCGCGCGGCATCGGCGTCGGCGTCGGCGAGGTACATCTGCCGCTGCTGTTCCTCGTTGAGCAGCCCGATGCCAGACAGCGACGTGTCCGGGCCGCCGCGCGACATGTCGAGGCTCGAGTCGAGGCCGGAGCGCGTAGATTGGGCCATGCTTGGCCGCGTAGCGGGCTCGCCGGCATCACTGCGCATCATGCGCGTGACAACGTCGTCGAGCGGCGCAGCGCGCGAGACATCGCCCGTGTCGTCGCCGACTCGGCTGGCGTCCATAGACGTGTCGGCAGTAGAAACGCGCACCGGGTTCGAGGCACCCGCCAGCGCAGCGCCCTCCGTGCCCTTCGTCGTGAGCGTCGACTCGCGCTTCGGCGGCTCGGGCCGGTCCTTGCGCTTGTGTGCCTCGGTAGCCGAGCGCAGCAGCTCCGCCAGCTCGCGGCGGTGCGGGTGCACCAGCTCCGAGGCAGGCGTGGGCAGGTAGGCGCCGCTGTGGACGCCTCGCCGAGCGAGGCTGTTGGAGCGCGCGAGCGAGGCGTCGCGCGTGTAGAGCGGCACAGATGCCGTGCCAAAGACGAGCTCGGGCAGCTCCTCCTCTTCCTCCTCCGCCTGGTCGCCGCGCACATCCTCCACGCCGGCTTCGACGGCCTGGACTGTGCTCGGCTCGACCTCGCCGAAGTAAGCCTCGCGCCGGGCCTCTGCGACGCTCTTGTGACTGGCGAACGAGCGGATGGACGCTGGCCGCCCGGGAGCGCGTCTCTTGCCCTTTCCGCCGTCAAGCTCGCCCGTCTCGTCCATCTCTGCGAGCGGATGACCCGCTGCGAAGTTCGTCTGCGAGCCGGCGGAGCGCAGCGCAGAAGTTGTGGCCGTTGTGCGCGTGGCTGAGCGGCGCGAAGGGAAGACGGTGCGCGGCGACGGCATCGCGATGAGCACCGTCACGTTGACGCTGACAGGTAGACGCTCGGTGGACGAGCGCGCGGTCTCCTCGGCAGTCGCGGGAGCAGCGGCGCTACCAGACGCGGCGGCGTTCTGTTGCGCAGCAGCCTCGGTGTCCTCGCCCGTGTGGCGCCGGAACAGGCCAGGAAGGCGGTGCGTCAAGCCTGGTCGGCGTGGCGCTGCGTCTGCGCCGTTCGCAGGCGGAGGGTACGAGGGCGGAGCAAAAGTCGTGGCGGCAGCCTTGTCCTTGTCGCCCGGCTTGTCGACGATGATGGGGTAGAGCGCCGGAGGGAGCGCGGCCGAGACGGGCTGCGAGCGGGGCATGAGCAAGACCGCTGCTGCGACACGGAAAGACAGCACTCACCATCAGCGCGTCCCAGCCGTGCGTCTTGACATCTCCGGCGCCAATGCCGCCGCCGATGGCACTGCGCTCAGCCTGCTTCGTGCCCACGGCGCGCACGTCGACGATCTTGGCCTCCCACAGCTTCGGCGGCACGAGCGTGTCCTCCTGCGCAGCATGGCCGCCGCCAAAGTAGCGGTCCATCGGGCCGCCCTCGGGCAGCAGCCCCATGCGGCGCAGTCTGCGGTTGCGCACGAAGATGCGCAGCAGCACGAAGGCGACGACGAGAACGAAGAGCGCAATAGCTGTGGCAGCGCGGCGTCAGCTCACGCGCACGAGGTACCGACTGGGAAAGAGGTCGACCGACCTGCGATGCCAAAGACGAGGAAAGGCATGGGCAGGGTCGGTCCAGTGAAGCCGGTCCCGGAACTGCCCGGGAACTGGCGGCGCCGCAGGGCGCCGCCAGGACCACGCCCATGCCACCAGCGTTCCCGATCGACAGCCGCTGGCCGGGACCACGGGACATGAGCGGCATGGCCGAGGTGCGGGGACAGGAAGCGCCACACAGGCCTCGGCAACGGATGCTCACCAATGACAAAGGTCTGCAGAGCTGAGCGTGAGCGAGATCAAGAGGTCGAGACTGGCAGTGGCACTCACAAATACGGAGAGCGGCGTGGCGCGCTGAGCAGTGCCGCCGCCGGCGAGAGTGTTGGTGGCGCTCGGCACCGACTGGCGCTTGCGCAGCACGTGCGACGGCTGCCGCAGCGGCTCGGACGGCGCGTCGAGGCGGCGCGGCAGCGGCGAGCCGGGGTTGCGCTTCTGCCATGCGGCCTCGATGGCGCGCACCCAGTCCTTGGCCGTGCTGCCGATGCTGCAGTCCTTCCACACGCCCGAGTCGCGCACGCAGACGGTGTGGCCCTCGATCTGCAGCGTAGCAGAGAGCCTGGCGGAGGGGGTTAGTCCCGCGCAAGAGTGTGATGCATGACGGGCAACGCACTTGATGCCGCTCTCCACGGCGCGCTCGGCGCTCTTCTGGAGCAGCTCGCGGCCCATGCTGCCGCGCACACATGCCTTGACGCCGTCGTCCTCCCAGTGCACGCCCTTGGTGGCGCGCAGGCAGCGCTCGGCGTCGGCCTCGGGCCCGATGCGCGGGCCGGCCTCGTAGTTGAGGCAGTCGATGAAGTCCCAGGCGGCGCGCTGGCCGCGCTCCTCGCCGAGCAGCGCGCGCGAGACGTGCGCCACGCACAGCTCCTGCACGTTGCCGGCGCACTCGCTGGCGCCGTGCTTGCACACGGGGCCGTCGCGCGCGCGCTCGGCGATGTAGGCGTAGTCGACGTCGACAAGGCGCCACACGCCGGCCTCGTCGACTGCGCGCGAGAACGTCGAGGCAAAGGCGAAGAAGTCGGGGCACTTGCTCATGAGGCCGATGCGCAGCGGCACGCGCGTGGCGGGCTCGGCATCACCGGCGTGCGGCGCAAGGAACGGCTGCTGTGCGGCGTGCGCGAGCAGGCCGGCGCTCGCGGCCAGCAGCGCGGCGGCATGCGCAACGAGACGCATGGCGCAGTGAGGGCCCGCGGCGTGCGGGGTGGTGCTGGATGGACGCGGCGGCGAGCAGGGTTCGTGGTGAGAGGCCAGCGTGGAGATGGCGCGAGGCCGCTGCGGAGGCGGCCGGCCTCGTGCTGCTGCCGCGCTGCCGTGCTGACGCTGCTCCGCTGCTGCTGCTGCCTTGGCTCTCTTGTGCTGCCGGCGTGCCGCGCGCGTTGCGAAAGCCGCTCCGCGCCGAGCCGCGCGTCGCACGTCACGCGCCCGCCGCCCCGCGCTGCTGACATGCGGGCCCGCTGCCCTCTGGCCTGATCTTGCGCACGCCGGACGCCGGGGCGCACCGGCGTCGGCCGCCAGTCGCCGTTGCCGCTGCTCCTTCACGCCAGGCCGATCCTCGCCCCTCCAGCGAGGCGCTCTGCTCAGCAGCGACACCACGGAGCGTGGTCCCTCGTGCGAGGAAGGAATGTGGGACCGCACTCGATTAGCTTGCACCTTGCGTAGATCGAGGCACGGAGCAGAGAATGCCGAGAGGGGCGCACAGTGTCTTCGATGCGCTCAGGGGCGGCACCCGTGCACAGCATGCAGAGCGGCGGTGTGGGCGCTCCGGGCCGCCTGCCTTGCTCCGGGCCGGCGGGCCGGCGGGACGGACGATGAGATGGAGTCTGCGCTTCTGACGAGCAGCGGATCTGCTTGCCGCAGCGCCAGCGGGTCGATTTGCGTTGCGCTGCTGCCTCTTTGGCCATGACCGCGAGGAGACACCTGCGTCATTCATTCTGACAAGCTCGGCCTTGTGCTACTTCGAAGCACGAGTGAGTGAGCTGGGCGGGCATGAGGGCCCAAGAGAAGAAGTGTGGGGTGAGAGAACACAGGTGGGCCCCGAGGAAGTCCCGGAACATCAGCAGGGACCTCCCATGCGCTTTGTCGCGGAACTTCCGCTGCCCGGAAGGCACAGGCATACGAAGCGTGTCTGAAATGCACAGCGTTGCTTGCAGCTGGAGTCACATGGAATAATGAGCGCAACTTTGCAGCTCAAAGACGGCCCGAAGCGATGACGCGAGCGTCGAGTGATGGGGTGCATCGGGACGCGTTCCGAGCGAGCATCTCTCGGGCGCCGTGGCTGCCCGGTCCGTGCGCCGCCTCGGCGAGCAGGCAGCATCCATCAGTCATGCTTTGGGATGAGCGCGACGTCATGCTGCGGCGGCCTCTTCGCCTTCTCTATCTTGCCTCGCAAAGCGGCAGCGCAGCCTGCAGAGGCAGCGTGCAGGGCCAGGCAGAACTGGGCCACGTGCCGGCCAGCGCAGGCTCGACGCTGGCGCAGCGCCATGGCGTAGGGTCGCTGCGCCGCGGCCAAACGCACCATGTGCCGCAAGCCGGACTGTCTTCTTGAGCGCAAAGCTTGTCACGGCGAGGAGCTGTCTGAGAGCTCGGTGCCGCTGCTGCAGGGCGGAGCCGGGTGGAGCAGCGCACGCGGCGTCGGCGCAGCACGCGGGGCACGGCGTCTTGTTTGCCCGATGCTAGCGCGGGAACGCTGCGCCAACTCGCCTCGTGCGCTGCGCCCCGCCACACCGCCAGACCGCCGCCGTCAGGCCGCCATGCGGTGCGCCGCCTCGCACGTCTCGTGGCGACGGCTCACGCCTCACAAGCTGAGGCGCTGCCGTCAGCTGCACAGCGCCATGACACTCGTGTAGCGGCATGCTGGACCAGCTCGCAAGGTATATAAGCAGCGCTCTCTTCAGCTCACCCATCCCTCTCCACAGATCTGCGATCCAGTCACCCCTTCTCAGCTTGCCTCTCTTCTCTCAACGCCTGGCGCGTCCATTCTACTCTCTCTCTCACTCTCATTCCTCACCCTTCCACCATGAAGTTCTCCTTCTCCTGCGCCGTGCTCGCCGTGGCGCTCGCCAGCGCCGCCATGGCTGCCCCGCTGCCGGCCGGCCCGGCTGCCGACGTGCTCTTTGAGCGCGGCACGCTCGTCAAGGGCCCTACGATTGATGGTAAGCCATATCGCAGCCTGCAGTCGATTTCCGAGCTGACCACCCTGCAGCCGATGGCAAGGTGACCCCCGGCTCCATCACGCAAGTCGACGGCCCCGACCGTGTTGAGGGTGAGTACCAGCGCTTCACGCCTGCAGGGCATCGTCGCTGACTCTCCTCCAGCTCCCGAGGACCACCAGAAGCCGCCGTCGCCGCCGACCATGTCCATCCTGCCAGTCGCCTCCGCCACGCCCTCGCCGCCGCCCAAGCCCGAGGAGCCGGCGCCGAAGCCTGTTGCCAAGACCAAGGAGGAGAAGGAGCAGCTGGAGAAGAAGCTGAAGCAGGCGGCGAAGGAGCAGCTCAAGGTGGCCACGCAGAAGGCCGACGAGAATGCTCACAAGGCCGATGCCAAGGCCGATGAGAAGGCCCACAAGGCCGACGCAAAGGCCGAGAAGGAGCACAAGGATGCCAAGCACGACAAGGCCGATGAGGCAGAGCCGGATGCTGCACACGTCGAGGGCGGCAACCGCGGCCCCAACGGCGGCGCGGCGACCCTGTTCACGCCCGATGCTTGATCGTAATGGCAGACAATGTAGCATTAACGCGGAGTCGTGCGGGCAGTCGTGATGACGAGAACGTGAAGAGTCGGTGATAAGTTAGGTGTGCGTTTCGGCAGGCATGCGCGGACCGCAGCTCATGGCCCTCGGCGGACGTTGGGGGAGATCGGCGAGATGCCGGCGACGTTGGCCGACGTCGCGGCGCTCGTCTGCTGCTCGGGCGACGTCGTCATCGTGTTGATTGGCGGCAGCTCGCGCCGGTTGCCGGGCTGCGGCTCTGGGGCGCGGACCGAGGTGGACGCAGAGCGGACTGGCGTGCCCTGCGCAGCCATCTCCTGCATCTGCATGTCGCCGCCCTGGCTGGCCGGACGCAGGTGCCGCGTTGCAGCGGTGTTGCCCGTCGACGGCCGGCGCGTGGCGGCACCGGCACGTGGCGGGCTGCGCGCAAAGGAGAAGTCGCGGAGCCCGAAGCGGCCGCCCTCGCTGCGCTCGTCCTGCGACTGCGAGAAGGTGCGGCGCTCCGACGGCGCAATGACGGTGCCCGAGACGCTACCGCCGTCGCTGAAGCCAGCCTGTCGCCGGGCCAGGGCTCGCTCGTGGCGCGCCATGATGGTGCTGGACAGGAGATCAGCAAATGTCACACACTCAGCAGCCGAGCGCTACTCACTCTGAGCGACCCAGCGTCCGGCCGGCGAGCTCCTCGATGGCCTCCTCGTCGTTGGCCTTGTTCTTCTTCTTGTTGACGGACGCGGCCTTCTTGACGGCGACGAGCCGCTCGCGCACTGTCCGCCGGCGCTCCTCCTCGAGCACCTCGGCCTGCAGCGCCTGCCGCATCGTGACCGTGCGGCTGACGCCCGTGTGCCCGCTGGCGACGCTCTCGGCGCCGCCGCTGCGCATGTTGGCACGCGTGAGGTGCTGCGAGCCGCCGCCAGCGACCGGCCGCGTGCGGCCCGTCGAGGGATCGGCGCCGAACTTGACGCCCGGCGTGGGCGTGGCAAGCAGCGCGCTGACGCTTTGCTCCTGCTGCGCCTGCAGCTCGCCGCCGGTGCTGCCCGGCGCCGGCAGCGGCGACTCGGACATGCCCGCGCCGAGCTCGAGGCTCGTGATGGTGTTCGAGTGCGTCATCTGGCGCTGCTGCGTGATGCTCTGGCGGCCCTCCTCGTCGGCGTGGAAGGCCTGCATCTGGCGAGCGCGGAGCGACGGCGAGCGCAGCGGCAGGCTCATGCCGCTGACGGCGCTGTTGCTGCGCTTGATGAGCGGCGACTCGCCCACGCTGTCGCCTCGGCCGATGTCGGAGATCTCGTCGCGGCGGATGGCCCGCTTGTAGTCGTCCATGACGTTGCGCGGCAGGCTCGCCGCAGGGTCGATGACCTCCTCGGCGTCCTCGGCCTCCTGCAGGCGCTGCGCGAGCGGGCCCGTGATGAAGATCTCCTCGTCGCCCTGCAGGTCGGCCACGTCGAGACCGCGCCCGGTCTGGCTGCGCATGTCGGTGATCGCATTGCCGTCGGCGTCCTTGATATCGTCCTCCTCCTCATCCTCGTCCTCGCTCCAGTCGCCGACGTGGCCGGCGCCGCCCTGCGAGCTGACGAGCGCGCAGCCGTGCCACTCGACCGTGTCCATGAGATCGAGCGGCGCGAGCGGGTTGCGCGGCAGCCACAGGAACGGGTCGAGCTCGCGCGAGTAGAACGGGTTGTTGTACCGCGCCTGGTTGTTCGGCGTGTCGTCCCAGCGCAGCTTGGCGTGCGGACGCACGAGCGGGCCCTGCTCCATGTCCGAGTAGTCCTCCTCGTCCTCGCTCGTGTTGCCGGCCGAGGACGTGGCGGACTCCTTGGACGGCACAGCGGCGTGGCCCGGGTGCAGCAGCGTGTCGAATCGCCCGCGTGCAGCAGGCGCGTCGTGCGCAGCCACAGACGAGTCACCGTTCTTGCACTGCATCGCGCCGAACTCGTCGACCTCGCCAAAGACATCCGACTGTCCGCCTGCGGCGTACGCCGCCGGCGAGCCGCGCACGATGGTGGTGCTGTACGACGCCTGCCGCTCGCGGTGCCGCTGGCTGCGGCCTCGGTGGTGGCGCGGCGTGCTGTGCTCGTGCTCGACGAGCTGCTGCTCTCCGTCGGCAAAGGACTCGTCACCGACGTTGTTCTCGTCATCCGGCACCGGCGCGTGGAACGCCACGGCGTCGAAGCCCGACAGGAAGGGTGCCTCATCGCTGCGCGAGCTCTTCATGCTCATGCCGCGCTTCAGCGTGCCGCTCCGCACGACGCCGTTGCGCCGCTTGATCGCGTTCGAACGGCCGCCGCGGCTGCGCACAGCGTCGTACGCCTGCGCCTGGATGTCCGGCAGATGATCCTGCGATGGGTCGGCGTGGTTCGAGTGCCGCGCAAACTCGATCTGCGCCTTGGCCGAGGCACTGCGGTTCTTGGCCGCCTGTGCGGCGTTGCGCAGCGCCGACATGGGCGCACTCGTCAGCATCTTGGCGCCCGACGTGTGGCCCCGCGCCTCGGCGCCGGCAATGTAGCTCGGGTTGTCGTGGCCGTTGGCGTTGAACGAGTCGTGGATGCGGTGCCAGACGCGGAACATGGTGGAGCCCTGCGGCGTCGGTGGCGCGACGGGCGGGTAGCGGCCGCTGGCGCGCGCATCGAGCGGGCTGCGCGAGTCGGCCGTGTCGAAGCGGCCGGCCTCGGCATGCTCGATGCCCCAGTCGCGCTGCGCGCTCTTGGTGAGCGGCGTGTTGGTGCCGATGCCGCAGAGCGCGTTGGCCTCGTCGTCCTCGATGGCGCGGCACTGCGACTTCCACAGGCGCGTGCCGAGCAGCTTGATGGCGACGGTGATCGGGATGAGCACGGCCGTGAGGCCGATGTACACGGCGCGCTGATTCGTAACGCTGAAGAAGATCGTGATGACGACCTGCGCAGTGACGAGGCCGTCGAGCGAGAAGCGCAGCAGGCGCACGAAGTACACGGCGCCCTCCATCTCGTTGAAGCGCCGGAAGTATGTGTACGCAAAGTTCTTCTTGAAGACGATCATCGCGACGAAGAGGTAGATGAGCGCAAAGGGGATGACGAGCGGGTTGAGCAGGCTGAAGATGAAGACGATGGTGAGGATGAGCAGGTGGAACGGCAGCCAGTAGTAGCGGTTGAAGTTGCGCGGCAGCGTCTTGAGGGCGCGCGAGCGCGGCGTCGCCGCCTTGCGCGCGCCGAGGTGCTGGATGAGCGGCACCATGAAGCCGAGCAGCTCGAAGCCCGTGTGCAGCGCCATGCCGAGCATCAGGTACGACACGTAGAACGGCGCCGCCGTCGGGAAGCTGAATGCGATGTTGTCGAGCACGCGGCCCGACGCGCCGACCTGCTGCAGGATTGTCGTGACGGCCGTCACGCCAATGCAGAAGAAGATGACGACGTTGCAGATCTGCAAAAGACATGAGCGTGCGCTGCTGTGGCGCTGGCATGGCTGGCACTCACGACAAACTTCCAGTAGCGGCACAGGCACTGGTCGTAGAGCGTGCTGAATGTGACGAAGCCCTGCGCGCGCTTGCTGATCTGGAAGATGAGCTCCGGCACGGCCATGGTGATGAGCGACACGAGCAGCGTCGGCAGCGTGACCGACACGAAGCCCTGCACGTTGGGGTTGCGCTCGAAGAAGGCGCGCAGCGGCGCAAAGACCTTCTCCAGGTTCTGCACGCTGAAGAGACCCGTGGTGAGAATGTTGATCGGGATCACCCAGAAGATCGTGAAGCCCCAGAAGAAGGCGTTGACACCGACGCCGCGCACGAGGTCGCCCGTGAAGCTGGTGCGCATGAGGCGCTCCCAGTCGAGATCCTTGACCTCGGGCGCCATGCGCACCTTGACGACGATCTGCGTCTTGAGCTCGCGCCAGACCATGCGCGCCTGGCGCGGGTCGCGGAAGGTGACAAAGGCCGTCGACGTCGCCTCGTAGCTGCTCGGCGGCTTGCAGCGCATCTCCGTCACGAGCGCGGTGAGGAGATTCAGCTTGGTGAGGAGGTAGTCGATCGTCGGCACCGTCTGGCCGCGGAAGAGCGCGCTGAGACGCGTCACGGGCTGATACTGGTCGAGCAGCTCGCGCGGCACCTCGGCGAGCGCCTCCCAGACCGTCTCGTGCATGACGTTCTTGTTCTTGCGCGAGGCATTGTCGAGCGAGTCGGCGCGCTCCTCACGCTCGCGGCCGTGCTGTCCCCTGTTCGTGGGCGAGAAGCGTGCCAGGCGCTGCGCGAGCTCCTTGGCGCGCTCGCTGTCGCCGTGCGCGCCCGAGGCGGCGTGCTTCTCCACGTCGGCGATGATGCCGCCGGGCGATCCCTCGCGCTCGGCCACCTGCGGGTCCTTCTCCTCGCGGCGCAGCCAGGCCTGGAAGTTGGCGAGCCTGCCGCCGCCGTGCTTGGACGCGCCCGTGCTCTTGCGCATGCGCTGCGTCGTCTTGCCGACGGCCTGCATCGCGTTCTTGGCCAGCTTGACATGCGCCGCCTCGAGCTGCGAGAGCACCTCCTGGCGGCGCGAGAGCATGCTCGAGAGCTCGTTCATCTTGCGCACAAGCACGACGGTCTGGACGGGCGAGCGCTGGTGGCGGTACGGATGCGGGTCGGGGCCCGGGCCCCGGTGCGTGCGCACGCGGTCGTGGCCGGACTGGTCGCCGCCGTCTGTGGCAGAGTCCACAGCCGACAAGTCCGCCTTGCGGCTCTCGGACGCACGCAGGCGGTCCACTGCGGTGCTCTGCGCGTTGCGCTCGGCCACGTCCTCGGCGCTGATCACGCTGAGGTCGTCGTCGGGCCGCAGGAACTCCTCAAAGTAGCGGCGGATCGACGCCTCGTCGCGCATCGTCGCCGGCAGGTTCATCACCATGAGCGTGCGCTGCCGCCAGCCCTCGCTGTCATCAGCCTGGTCGCCCAGGCCCTGCGCCTCGCTCATCGACGCCGGGAAGCCCTGCGACGTCGCGCTGTACGGCGCATGCTCGCTCTCGTGCTGCTCGTCGCTGAGCTTGTACTTGCGCTGCTCGGCAGACGTCGGCGCTGCCGCGGCCTTCGCCTCGAGCGTCTCGGCGCGCTTCTTGCGGATGTCGTCGACGAGCCGGCTGCGGATTGTCAGGCTCCCGCGGCCGAGCCACCAGAGCGCGTAGAACCAGGTAAAGGAGATCCACCAGATGAGGCACAGGTGGATCCAGAGCAGGCTGCGGCCCTGCACGTTGGGCTTGCGCTCGCAGGTGATTGGATCGAGGTCGCACGCGGCCTGGTCGACGGGCGATGTGACGAGCCAGGAGAGCGAGGCGCGCGACATGTCGGTGATCTGCACGCCCTGCGAATACTTGAAGTGGATGGCAAGCAGGATCGGCGCCGTCGTGCACGTCTGTAGGAAGGTCCACCAGACTGCGTGGCGTGAGCGAAGAGAGATGTGTGGCATCGCGGCCGGACTCACCGAGGGCGCGCAGGAAGCGCACGTAGACGACGGTGTCCATGCCCGTGTGCTTGGCGTAGAACCAGTCGGTGAATTTGAGGGCCTGCAGGGGCCAGGAGAGCGGGAGACGCGCCATCGGCGGCGACGGCGTGCTGCGAGAGGGTCAGCGCGGTCCAGACTAGAGCCAGAGCAGGCCAGAGCGGCGCCTGCGACCGACCGAGCGGGACGTATGCGCCCTGCAGCCCACTAGAGCGCTAAGATGGTAGAGAGCCACTCCTCGCACGGCACTCACGTTGCGTGGAACATGCGGGCCAGATACAGATGGCCCATCTCCCAGTCCTCTGGCCCCATTTTATCCCTCGCGCCTATCCCATGCTCGTCGACGCCGCCGCCGCCCTCGCGCTCGCGGCGCCCGGCCTTCCAGAAGTGCACGAAGCGCGTGCGCGGCAGGCGCCGCAGCTGGCGCATCGTCTCGAAGCCGACGAGGCAGATGGAGCCGACGGCGGCAAAGATGGCGAGCGTCGTGACGAGGCCCGAGAAGGACGTGTTCGTCTTGCGGCTGAACTGGTCCGCCATGCTGGGCGAGGCGGTGGGGCGGCGGCGTGTGAGAGGATATGGGCCCGCACAGCGGGTGGTGTAGATCGGTGTCCGCGCGCAGCGAGAGGTGGCCGCGCCGCTCGCGAGGAGATGCGAGGTGCTGGCGGCGCAGTGGAAGCTGCGAGAGGCCCGAGAGCCGGAGCACCACGCGCCTGCGCTGCAGGGCGGTGCTGCGAGCGGCGGCGACGACTGCTGCTGCTGCTGCGGCCAGGTGCGGCGGTGCGATGGATGCAGCAGCGGAGGCGCGGAGCGGTGCGGATGTCGGGAGGGTGTGGAGTGGAAGGCAGGGGCCAGCCGGTGTCGCGGCGGGCGCCATAGAGCTCGCCGAGGGCGCGCCAGGAGCTTGACACACGCCAGACGGCGGCTGTGCTGCGCCGCCGCGCGCCCCTGCGGCCTGGGCTGGCTGGCTGGCTGCACAAGGGGCCGCCGCGCATCGTGGCGCGCCCGTCAGGCCATCTCGCAGCACCCGTTTCGCCCGCCCGGCCTCGACCTCGCCCGCTGCTGCTGCCGCCGCGCTGCGTCCAGCGGCAGCAGACGGCGACAGCCGCCAGCGCCATCGTTCGTCTGCCGCAGCAGCCGCAGAAGTCACCTCTCGCCGAACGATCGTCCGCTGCGGCCGGGGCATGCAGCGTGCGCGCGCCTGCGCCTGCAGCTGTTGGTCTCCGCCCGCCGCCACGCGCGATGACGCCCTTGGCGCTGGACCCGTCTCTGCGCATGCAGGGCGCAGATCGGCGCCTCGCGGGGTCCGGCGCAGACTTAGAGGCCGGAGCCGCGCGCACACCTCACACGCGTCCATCCGCGCCCCTGAGCACCTCGCTCCTCCAGCTGCACGCGCGAGTCGAGTGCGCCTCTGGCCCTCCCTTTGCGCATCAGAATCCCGGAAATACGCTGCAGCAGCTGGTCAGAGCATCCGCTTGCTCCTTCGCTGCCGATCGGCGTGTCGACTGGGGTCTTAGCTTGGCTGCGGCGCTCGCCGCCTGCATGCCGCGCGCACCTCCCCAGCAGAATCCTCCGGCACACAGCCAAAGCATACCTTCACAGCATAGCATTCGTCGCAACAAGTAGCAGCGCCTCGCGTCTGCGCCTCACGCCCAAGACGGAGGTGCGGCTAGGCAGAGCGTCTTGGTCTCAATCGCGTCCAGGTTCAGGGGCTTGCGACAAGAATAACAAAGTGTTGCTGCGGTCGGCACTTGATATCCGCAGCACGAGGAAATGCGTGGCACCTTGACGTGTTTGCTTTTGAGCTGACGAGAGAGTGCACACGCCCCGTCGCAGAGCGCCTGCAGCAGGCGTTGCTTCATGCTCGCCGCCGACGCATCATCGCAGGCCAGCAGAGATTTCTGAAAGTCCGTGAAGGACGCATGTGCTTGCAACAGGTGCAGTCGCTTGACAAGGGCATCTGAGCTGAGAGTCACCAAAGCACTACAGCCGACTCACCGAGAACAGAGCGTTGTGAAATAAAGGAACCAGGTCCTGATAGAGCCAGACATCGCTCGTCAGGACATTCCGCAGCACAAAATCATCATCGACGGCAACGCGCTCTTTCAACACTTGTACGATCTTCGTCTTGAGATCAGCCAGCTCGAGCTGAGCCAACCAGAGGGCGTGAGCTACGTCGACGGGACAGAAAGCGAGCGACCACACAGTGCTTCACCATGTCTGTGACCGCATAGAGCTGCAGCAAGCAGTGAGACGGCATAGTGTCATCAGTGCCGCTGAATTGTTCCACGTCCCGATCGTACTGCAAGCGGCAAAGGTAAGCCAGAAGTAGCAGCGCTTCGCCTGCGCTGGCGCTCACGAAGAAGCGAGCCAGCGCCCGCAGGGCTACCGGCTCGCACTCAATTGTGACCTCGACGAGCTGCGGAACTCTTGTGAGCAAGCCAGGGTCGATGCTCGTGGCTCAGCAAGTACTCTTACTCACCTTCGAAGCAGCTTCGGCCGACTGAGCGTCGCTGGCGCCCTGCGTCGTCACGGTCTCGAGGAAGCCCGACGACATCGAGACCCTGAAGTGCTCGAACGCTTTGAGCACTGCACTATGCACTAGGACAGTCTCGCGACGCTTGTCGCCCTTGCCGAGGAGTGGAAGGAGGCGGACATCGGGTGCTGGCCACTGTGCTCGACGGAGGAGCTTGATGGACCCGATCAGGTGCAAAGATGAGACGCTGCTTGCTGACTCCAGAGCGGCGCCCAGGGCGTCATACTCCTCCAGATCCTCGGACGCGTTCATGCCCGGATGCTCCTGGCACAGGAGGAGTTGAGAACTGCGTGACGTCTGCTCGGCTTGGGCTCTTCGTTTTTTGTTCGTCATGACACGGATGGGGTGACGGAAGAGATGATGGTGCCACCGAGGTCATCGCTCTTTATGGCGGATGGGCTCGGTGGGACGAGTGGAGCTGCCGGATGCGCAGACAGCCCCGCTCACCGCTTCATCCTTAGCGCCGATTGGTGTGGCCGTCTGCCTCCCTTCAAGCACGGGAGTGCCCCTGCTTGCTTCCGAGAGCAACCGAAGCCAGTTTGCCTGTATTCAGGCTAGTGAGGCGGACAGGTGTACCGGCGAGCGAGTTGAGGGACCCCTCCAGGAGCTCTCGCGCGGCGACGCCAGGCTGTTCTGCAGCACACATGCACGTTCGCTTCATCGACGGGCTCAAAGCTGTCGATGTGCTTGGACGTGGCAGACCGGCCAGAGAGGGTGATCGGGAAAGGGGTTGCGGAGTCGAGGATCGGCTGTCCAGACTTCTGACTGTGGCTCAAAGAAGGCTGTGGCGACCCTTGACAGGCGGGTCATGCCGGACGTCTAAGCCTACCTGCGGTCAGACGCGCAGGGAGAACGCAGTGCACCTCAATTCTCGTCGTCGCAAGAGCCGCGCCACAAGCGGGCAAGATGAGGCGAAGCCGACTCGACTGAGGTCGTCACGCCAGAGGAGGAGGACACTCTAAGAAGGAAGAATCATCGTGGCATGCATTGCTTCAGGCCGATCACGGCTTCACACAGCCGGTCGCGAGTGCTGCCAAGAGGCAGGCGCTTGCATACAGAGCGCTTCTTGCTGAAGCTTGAATGATTCAAGCGAGCCTCGGCCCTGTCTGCAGTTACCAGGAAGTTGTCTGCTTGCGACGCAATTGTACAGGCAACACTTCTTGTAGCCCACTGCTTGCTCATGAGTTGCCTTGAGCTGACGCGACAGGGCGGCAGCTCCATCGCAGAGACCATGGAGAAGCCGGTGCTTGAGGTTTGCGCCAGTTGCGGCGTCGAGCAGCAGCAGCTCTTCCCAGAAGGCGGAAAACTCGCTGTGAGCCTTGAAGACGTGCAGGCGCTGCGGGGGCTGAAGTGAGCACTGGCGGATACAGAGCTTTTTCGTGGCACGTTTGCCGTCGACGCACATCGAGCAACGAGCCATAGAAGATTTCTTCAACATCGACGTGGAGGTAGACCGCACTCGTCAGGATGTGCTTTAGGACAAATGACTCGTCTCGGCTGGCTAGCGTTCTGAGCGTAACGAGCAGCCGCGCCTTGAGAGCGTCGAGCTCAAACTGATAACCAGCGTACAGATGGTATGAGCATGGGATGCGGCGAGCGTGAAGGCTGCAACTCCTACCATGTCAGCTACGGCAAACAGCTGCAGATAGCAGTGAGGCGACAAGTCCAGACTCTTGCCGAAACGCAGCACGTTTTTGTCGTACTAGCATAGCCCACTGTCAGCTTCTGGCCCCGCAAGCATGCCCTTGCTGTCTCACGACGTATTGCGCCAACGACTGGAGAGCCACTGGCTCGCAGGGCACGGTGATCTCTGGCAGCTAAGGGCGGGGTCAGTGGGCGTGGAGCGAAAACGATAGCCCTTCGAGAGCTCACTTTCTGAAGAGCGTTGCCCTGGACGCCAGCGTCACGCGGCAAGCCCTCGGCGAACCCAGATGAAAACGTCCGTCGGAAATGCTCAAAGCTCATAAGGACGTGACGGTGGACCAGAATGGGCTTGAAAGGGACCTGGCAGCTCGAGTGGAGGAGAGGCAGGAGGCAGACGTCCGCTGCCGGCCAACCAGCGTCGTTGAGCGTCTTGACAGTCTCGAGCAGCGTCACAGCCGAAGCGGTCTCCGGCGAAGCGAGAGCAGCTTTGAGAGGATCAAAGTCGGCAGAGGTCGTGCCGGCGCCGTCAGGCTCGCTCTCCTGCACCTCCGAGCCCGGCCGAGGGCTCAGGGTGCGCACACGCTTGTGAGCGCTGGATGCTTGTGTGGGCAGCATGGTGTGGTGGTGAAGGAGAAGCTGTCGACGGGGCATCACCGCTCTTATGAGCCGGAAAGCACGGAGACTCGCGCGCCGTGGCGAGGCATACGTCTCGTCAGCATCTCTTCTCTAGCCTACTGTAGCCTCTCCGCCAGCTCATCAAGGGGTAGATCGGTCGTCGCCCTTGATCAAGCCAGCGCTCAGCCCAGGAGCAGGAGCGGTATATACGTACAGCGCGCTGTGGACGTGCACGGAGCCTCATCAGCGGCGGCGGCCTCACCCGAAGCAGGACAGGGGCTGTCGCGCGAGCTAGCGCAGAGATCGATCGAGCCAATCCCCTCTCTGCATAGCTGCGATGCGCTTGATGAGGTTGCGCTCCGCCGTGAAAGACTTCTTCACTCCACTGCCGCATGTGCAGCTCGCGTCTAAGCGCCGGAGGAGAGGACCCGCTGCGAGGACAGACGCACAGGACTGTGCGCGCGAGGCCGCGCACGGTCAGTGCTCGTCGCTGACATGTTCAGGGCTGGATGGGTCTACAGTAGTCCGAGTCCACTTTCCCGGCCGCAAGAAGAGGGGGACACAAGAGCGATGGCACGAGAGGTGCTGAGAGCTCCGAGCGGGTGCTGTTCCGAGGCGACGCCGACGCGTCCTTTCTATCCCACGCCTCGCATCCTGCACGCGTGCCGCCCGTTTAGCCCTGCTCGGCTCACATGGGCACATCAGTCATCAGCAGGCGCCAACACGCAGAGCAGATCTGCGCATTGCACGTCATGTCATTTGCGGAGCACCTTGACGAGGACACCGCGAGCGTGGTTGTCCGACGTTGAGGCATGCGTGCGCACCACCTCGGCGACCCTCACATGTTCCAGGAGGGAGGCGCCTCTTTGCAGAGAGCAGTATTCACTGCTATAGCCGACAAACACTTGCTCTGCTTCCCAGTAGACGGGCACCGGAAATGAGAAAGTTGAGACTGGACGTAGGCCTGGCTGCACTTGTTTGAACAGCACGGCTCGTACGCCACCCGGTCAGCGAGAGGGTTGGAGAGTTGCTGCGAAAGACTGGCCGCGCCATTGAAGAGCACCTCGAAGACACGTTCTTTGCGTCGCGCGACCACAGACTCAGCGCTCTGCAGCATCTGAGCCTGGAACTTGGCGTATAGCTCGTGCTCTTTGATTCGATGAAGACGCTGTCCCATCAGATCCGTCAGAAGACGCACAGACTGCATCTCCTCTTTGGGTGAGCTCACAGAGACCAGACACGCGTGGAACAACTTGAAGATGTCATCGTACAGGCACACTTGCTCTGAAAGGATATGGCGGAGGAGAAAGCCGTCATCGGCTTCCAAGCGCTGGCGGATTGCTTCGATCGTTCTCTTCTTGACGCTGTCCAGTTCGAACTGAGAGAGGATGTGCCATCAACCGTCAGAGCACCTCCTCAAGCTCGCGCAATCGGTCAAGCGTACCATGTCAGCCGCAGCGAACAGCTCGAGGTAGCTTTCAGGTGCGGGTATGAGGGCGCGCATGAGTCGCTCCTGGTCAAGGTCGTACTGGCAGTCGGGTTTGGTTAGCGGTGGCGACGCCTCATCTCAGTTCGCGGCTTACGAAGTACCGGCCAAGCGCAGTTAGCGCCTTCAAGCCACACGGAGCCCGGATCTGCGCAGTGTGAGACCAACAGCGGTCAGGACCTGGCTGCGGGCGCTCAGGGCTCAAGACTCGCCTTGAGGCCGTCTTTGACCTGGCTCTCCGCGAAGCCGGAGCGGGTCGAAGATTGAAAGTGTTCAAATTTGTCGGCCAGCACAGTGCTGTGGACCAGGACGCCTGGACTTCCGGCAGGGGCGAGGAGCGGAACAAAGCAGACATCGGGCGCGGGCCAATCGGCCTGACGCATCATGGCTGCCATGGACTGCAGCAGCGGCGACCGCTGCGCGACTGCCCCGAACGCGAGGGCAAAGCCGTTGGCAGGCTCCGTGTCGCTCGCCTCGGACGCAATCGACTGGGACGACATGGCGGCAGAATGGATGTGGTGCGAGGACAAGGTGTGGGGCCTCAGCGATGCTCCGAGCCAGTGAGCCGGCGCACGCAGCCATTCTGCGGCGGCCCGGGCGCCAGTAGCAGGCACAGGGGCGGGTGCGCTGCCGATTCGAGGTGCCACGGGCGCGTCCCCTTTGTCCCACGCCTCTCGCGCGCGCTGCGTTTCCGCTGCGCCGCCGCCGCCGTCATTTTGCGAGTGCTGGCTGACGAGTCGGTATCTGGTGCAGCCGACGCAGTGCATTTCCCGGCTACCCAGGATCTAGTGAGCAGCGTGAGTCAGGGCTTGGTGCTCGAGCTGCCAGGGAAAGATGCGGGCAGCGAGCGGGAAAGCCCTCTCGGTGCCTCGGCCGCGCGGCGGCGCGCTCGGGCCCCTCGCGCATGACGCCCCCTTCCCTCTATCCCCCGCGGCTGCGGCCGGCCGGGTGCCGCATCCCGGCACGCAACGCTTCATGGCTTAGCCTCGGGGATGTGCAGCAGCAGCTGTGATGCAGCGGCCGCGGGTGCAGCAGCGCACGAGATGTGGCCGCGGCATGATCTCGCGGCATGAATCGCCCAGGCACCCGAGTGGCGGCCGGCGCCCTGAGTCGAGGAGACTGCTGCTCCACACGTGCCGCCGCACCCTGCGCCCTGACTGCCACCACCATCTCCGTCCGCCATGTCGTCGCCGCGCGCCATCCCCGGCGCCGCGCCGCCGCCGCAGCCGCACACGCCGACGTCGTCGCGCTCCAACTCGCAGCACAGCGCCGTGCGCCCGGCCCTCGATGCGCACTCGCGCAGCAACTCGCACAACAGCACGGGCCGCCTGAGCATGAGCTTCGACGCCGATGGTGCGTGTGGATGATGACTGGAGAGTGCTGCGCTCATCGGTCTGCCACAGGCATCCCGCACTTCGACGCACCCGCCTCGCCGCTGCGCTCCGCCTCGCGCTCGCTGCGGTCGGCGCGCAGCGGCTCGTCGTTTGGCGCGCGCAGCCTCGACGGCAGCGCCCGCGGCGACGGCGGCGACCTCGACCTGGATGGCGCAGCGTTGGGCATGGACAAGCACGAGGCAGAGCGCGTGCTGCGCCTGCAGGAGGAGGAGCAGGAGGCGGCGACGCTGGGCCTCATCCGGCGCCTCGAGGCGGTGAGTGGAGTGCGCGTCGTGAGAGAACGCTGCGAGGCGCAGCGGCGCGTTGGCCCGACGCGGGCGCAGCTCACGCTTATCGAGCCCGATCTGACGCCTCATCGGCCAGCTCAACACCGAGCGCGCCTCCATCCAGGCCGCCCTGCAGTCGGCCACGCCGCATGATGGCATCGCCGCACGCATGCTGCGCTCGCCGCGCTCGGCGTCGCACCTCAACATTGCGCAGTCGAGCGAGGCGCCGTCGGCCGCTGAGCTCGGCAATGCGCTGCAGCACACCTCGCTGCAGGCCCTGCAGACGCACGGCAGCGCCGCGCTGCCGCCGCTGCTCGAGGGCACGACGAGCATCAGCGGGCCGCGCACGCCGCGCACGCCCGAGTCGATGTTGCACATGCAGCGCAGCTCGACGTTTGGGCCCTCGTACGTGCACTCGCCGTCGTCGCCCTACTTTCCCAGCGTGCCGTACCCGACGCCTGCCTTTCCGCGCGCTGTCGGCGACCAGGCGCGCCAGATCGCCGAGAATGCAGACAGCCTTGCGGCGCAGGTCGAGGAGCTCGTCAACACGTCGAAGAGCTTCACGCAGGTGTGGGAGTACGCCGACGCGATGCGCGACGAATGCATCCGCCTGCGTGGCCTGGTGAGTGAAAGCATGCCCGGCAGAGGCGACACCGTTGACGCTTTCCTTGCCTCTGCAGCTCGGACTGCCGACGAGCATCGCGCCGCTGCCGGTGCCGCACCCGCGCACAACGACCCGCACCCGCACGGACTCTGTCGCATCGACCAGCTCGACGCGAGCGCGCGGCCGCACGATCACGTCGCCCATGCGCCTCGACCCGCCGCCGCTCGGCGCGACGAGCCCGGGCCTGCCGGCGGTGCGCAAGCTGCGCGTGACGGACGGCGGCGAGCTGGTGCCTGTGCGCCGCGACCAGAGCCAGGAGACGGCGCAGCAGGAGGACGCAGAGGAGATGGACGAGAGCTTCGAGTAGAGCGAGCCGCAGGCCCCAGTAGCTGCGCCCCGATGACCATGTAGAGAGCCGCGTCACCTCACCAATCCACGTCACCACTTTTCCGCCATGCCTGTTGATGCTCTATTGCGCTACTTCCACACGCCGCCCGGCACGGCCCAGACGCGCACCTCGCCGTCGTCGCCGGCGCTCGCGAGCATGTCGGCCATGCCGCGCTCGCCGAGCCGCACGCCCTCGGCATCGAGCTCCTCGAAGCGCCCCGGCGCGTCGGACGAGATGTCGGCGTTGGCGCTGGCCAGCGTCGCCGGCGCGAATGCCACGCAGTTGACGTCCGAGTCGCCGTGTGCGCGGTCCGTTTGCGCGATGAGCGTCGTCCGCGGCGTGAGACTGTCGGCGCTCTCTGATGGCAGCTGGAGACAAAGCGTCAGCACAGCGCCACTATTGACCTGCCCCGCTGGACACGCCTGCCACTCACCACGCTAAAGACGCAGATCCGCCCGTCGCCGCCGGCGCTCGCCAGCCGCCCAATGCCCTCGCCGTGGCCCCACGAGACGCTGTAGATACAGCGCTCGTGCCAGCCCTTGAGCACCTCAACGCACACCCACTTCTCGCCTGGCCGCCCAGGCATGCGGCCCTCGACCTTCAGGCCGCGCGCCTCTGCCTCGTCTGCGCTCAGCCGCCGCCACAGGCGCACGGTGCAGTCGGCTGATGCGCTGGCCAGATAGGTGCCGCAAGGCGAGAAGGCAATCGACCAGATTGTCGACGTGTGGCCCGACAGCGTGCTGAAGCAGTACCAGTCGTCGGACGGGTCGTCGAGGTACAGCTTGATGTTGTCGTCGTAGGATGCAGAGGCGAGCAGCTCGTCGCGCGGGTGCCATGCGACGCACTTGACGTCTTGCGTGTGCTCCATGAGCACCGAAAGGCACTCGAACTCGGCGTCCGGCTGCACTACAGGGCAGAGTCAGCATTGCGGAGCACAGAGCGTGTGCACCGCTCTGCACGGATAGAATGCATCGGTAGGCCAAGACCCGTAGATGCCTTCCGTCAAGCAGTAGCATTCGCCGGACCCAAGAGCCTGACCTCTGCCGGCACCCTCGCGATGTAGCACCGTGCGCCGCCATCGCTGCCGCCGCCGCCGTCGCCGAGCACACCCATCGCCGCACCTGCACCTCCACGCGACTCACCCTCCCAGACCCAGACGCTCTTGTCCCGGCTGCAGCTGGCGAGCGTGTCGCCGTTGCGGCTGAACTTGACGTCCTTGCACTCGCTCTCGTGGCCCTCGAGCGTGCCGATGCAGTCCCACTCGGGGCCCTCCTCCGGATACGGCCCGAGCTCGAGGCGCAGCGCATCGAGCTCGCGCCCCTCGTTGCGCGCCTGCCGCGCCGTCGCTGCATTCACATCCGCCACGCGCTCCCAGATGCCGACAGTCGAGTCAAACGACGCGGTGGCGAGCGTGCGGCCCGACGGCGCCCAGGCGACGGAGCGCACGGTGCGCGTGTGGCCCGTCGGCACCGTCTCGCGCAGCGAGAAGCGTGGGCGTGACGATGCAGCCGAGCCGCTGGCGGCGCTGTCGCCGTCGGGCAGAGCGAAGCTGTGCAGGTGCACGTCCTTGTCGCTCGAGCACGACGCGAGCAGCGGCAGGCGCGGGTTCCACGCCAGCGACCAGGCGCGGTCCGTGTGGCCTGAGGAGTGTCAGGCGATGCGGCAGAGCGGGCGGCGACACGGCTGCTCACCGGTGAGGTCGGCGAGGTGCACCAGTGCCGGTGCCGGCGTCTGTGGTTCGGCCATGCTGCGTGTATGCGAGGTGGAGTCGTGGCAGGAAGAAGCGGAGCCGCACCGCGCGCCGCGGATGCGAGCCTTTCGCGCTTCCGCCTTCGCCGCCGCCGCCGCCGCCGCCGCCGCCGCCGCACGCTCCCGCACGAGACGCGCAGCCGCCTTCGGCTTCTTGCCGCCGGGCTGGCCAATATGCGCTCCACACGCATCAGCTCGAAGCATCAAGGCAATCGAATGCCGCATACCGCAATGCCGGTCTCCTCTGGCCCAGCCGAAGGCCAAATGCCTGCGGCGGATGAGCGGTGGAGCAGCGTCGGGCGCGCGGATGACGTGCGGCGGCATGCATCCGGGGGCCGCGAGCGGCTCTCAGGCCGCCAGCGCGCGCTGTTCCCACGGGCCCCGCACTGAGCTCAGCACTTCGGGCCTGCGCTGCTGGCCAGGGTGCATTGCCGCCTCGTTTGCTGCGCTGGCAGCTCAGCGTCCCACCACCACCACCCACCCGCACAGCACACCATACTCGCCACCCTCCGCCGCACCCTCGCCGCCAGCATGCCGTCCGCCAGCAAGCCGTACATGGTGTGAGCCGTGCCGCGCTTATCACCTCCACATGCGCTCACCCTTCACACCCGCAGCATCTTCAAGAACAGCGCGCCCAAGTCGGCCATCGAGCAGGAGATCAAGGCCATCGAGGAGGCCGGCGGCACCCTCAAGCAGCGCTTCGACAGCGACATCATGCGCGGCTTTGCCGCCGCCGTGCCCGAGACGTACGCCAAGGGCCTCGAGGCCAAGAGCGTCAACGGCCAGCACGAGCACATGTGAGTGCGCAGAGCAGAGGGAGGTGTAGAGCGTGAAGCGGGTGGGTGGTGGATGCAGCGTGCATGGAAGAAGCGGGCAGTCGGAGTCACCATGTGCAGTGGCCACCTGTGACGCTGCTCGCTGCGTGTCGGCCGCACTTCGCGCCGGCGTCGGAAGAGCAAGCGTCGTTCGGCGCCGGCTGCGGCAGCATCGTCGCTGGCTCGTGCGGCACGGCGATCGCCTGGCGAGCGATGTGTGCGTCGCGCCTCGGATAGCGTAGCTTGGGCTCCGTCTCGTCTCGTCGCTGCCTTGGCTGACCGCTCTCCATCGCAGCGAGTACATTGAGCCCGACTCGGAGGTCAAGACGATGTAGGGCGCCGGTGCACAGTCAATGAGAGCCACATAGACCCAGCTCTCCTCTCGTGCCTCAGACAGCTCGACGCGGGCACACCGGAGCAGCAGTGATGGTGGCACGTCAGAGGTTCATTGTCAGGAGAGCGGACAGGTGGCTGGGTGGGGTAACGTGAAGCGATCGAAGCCTCGGCAGCGACGAGCGAGGGCTAGGGCCATGGCAGAAGCATCGGGGCGCTGAGCTTGCGGAGAGCCAAGCTACTTGGAGGTAGAGGCGCGCGCGCTTCACAGACCAGGTGGAGCGGAAGAGGGGGGAAAGGAAGGTGTGACGGAATGCCGCAGGCTTGAGTGGCGCACGAACTGGGCAGCTGTGGTGACGGTGACGAAGAGAGCGGCAGTGGCGAAGAAAGTGGAGAGGCAAGAACGACGGCGGCAAGCGCGATGACGAAGGTGACGGCAGGCCGGCGAGGGTGAAGCGGCCATGCAGGCTCCTGAGAAGTGCGAGACGACTCATCGACGAGCCGAGAGAGAAAGGTGCGGCGTGACGGCCGGGCGAGGACTGCCTCGTGCCGCTGAGGCCGATTCGTGTGCGACCGGGACGGCCGATCAGGTAGAGGCTGCTTCCGCTGCCGATGCACGCTGAGGCACAATCGCATGGATCTCGGTCATCAACGCCGCGAACTGCTGCTTGGCCACGCCGAAGAGCTGATTCGTCGCGTTGAAGTGCTCAACGCTCGTGCTGAAACGCTGAAACTCTGCTTTGACGCGCAGCACAGCGTCGATGGGGCTTTGCTCATCCGCGCTGCCGCGCTCGTCGAGCGTGCTCGCGCGCTGCGAGATGGCGTCGCGGTGCTCTCGGTCGTTGTGGGCGGCTTGCGTGCTGGTGTCACCGTGAGAGAAGTTGCTGGCCGTCGGCTCGCCAGACACAGCCGTGGAAGCAGGAAGATCTGCAGCGTCTCCTCCCATCTCGCCACCTTCCTGGCCGCAACTCTCGCAATCTTCATCGTGCTCGTCGACCGTGGCGTGGAGAGCGCCGGGCTCCTCCGACTGCTCGCCGTCCGCCGTCTGCGGGTGAAGTCGCCGCTCGCGCGCTGCCGCCTCGATCTCGCGCTCCAGCGTCTCGTTCTTGCGCATGAGCGCCTCAGTCTTGAGCTGCGCCGCCTGAATCTCGCCTTCGGCGTTGTCGATGCACAGCAGCTGCTGCTTGTCCAGCAGTGCCATCGCCTGCAGCATCGTGGCGCACTGTGCGTGGACGTTGCGCAGCGCGGCCATCTTGGTGTGCGCCAGTGCGGCCCACTCGGCGCCCGGGTGTGCGTCGATGCGCGCCTGCAGGCGCTCGATGAAGTCTGCTGCCGTGCGATGGAGCAGCTGTTGCTGCTGCAGGTACGGCGCTTCCTGCTGCACGGCGCCGCGCAGCAGAGACATGTGGAGCTTCGCGGCAGCGACTGCGGCGTCCATTGCCGCTGGCGGCTTCTCAGCGAGGTGGAGGAAGCTGAGCGAGGTGGAGAAGGCGAGTGGGCTTGAAGGGCTGCGGACTTGATGGATGAACGGCCTTGCTGGGGTGTGGTGGTGAGAGACAGAAGGCGGCGTGCCGAGCGCTGCGCCTTCAGCAGGCTCGGCGCGGCGCAGCGTGCGCGTCCCTCGGCCGCCGTCCCCAGCGCATGCAGACCTTGCCTGGACCCCTCGTGGCGGCGGAACAGACGCTGCTTTAGAGCTAGAAAGGTGAGAATGCGCCCTCTGCGCCTCTTAGGCCACAGAAGAGCGCCTGAGTCTTCAGTGAGAGCGCCTGGCGGCGCAGAAGAGCCTCGAAAGCGTGTCACTTTGCGGCGACAGCAGCCGCACGCGGCGCACACCGCCGTCTCAGCATGCGCTTGCACCGGCACCGTGCAAGTGCCTCACGGCTGCTGTGCTGCTGACGCAGGCTTCATCACAGCTGGAGTAAGCGAGTACTCAGATCCCGCTGCTCGACCTCTGCCTCGGGTGCGGCTGTCGGGGCAGCTGCAGCGGGCCGGCCGGTGCGGCGCATACACGTGCCGCGCGCAGGGCGTCAGGCGCCGCCGCGTGCCACGAGCAGCTTGCCTTCCCGCCAGATCATCGACTGCGCCCAAGCGCACCTAGCACTGCATCGCCAAGGCCTTACTTCATACTCCTTTCACCTCGCACCTGCGCCATGAGTGCGCACTCATCCTCCTCGGACGAAGCGCCCGTGGGCTTCTATGCACGCCGCGACGCCGCATCCTGCGAGGTGCGTACAGCACAGCTCCCGTGTGCCTGGTCCTTGACTGATTTTGATTGAGTCTGTAGCAGCGCCAGGTCCATCTGCGCCAGAGCTTCGAGCAGACCATGGCAGCAGCAGCGGCGCGCATCGCGACTACCACTGCGGCGGCCTTGTGCAGCTCGGCCGCGCCGGCCGCGAGCAGCTCACTGCCCGCAGCGCCGTCCGTGAGAGGCTACGAGCCGGACATGACGCTCGAGGTGTGCATTCAGCGTTACATCGCGAATCTCTATGGCTTCCGCGACACGCTCTTCGGACGCGAGCTGCTCCGCAACTGGGCCGTCAAGAACTGCAGCACGGCGGTCGGCGACGTCTATCCGTCGCGCATGCACGCCGCCGACTATCTGGCTTACTCTCAGCGCCGTCCGGACAGCCTCCTGGTCGACGAGCCGTGGACCGCCGTACAGGATCTCACGGTACAATACCTGCTCTTGGAGAACACCAGCTTCGATGCGCCCGACTTCGTAAAGGCGGCAGACAGTCACTCCTGCCTGAACGGTGAGTGCCCTCTGGCTCCTCCACGCGACCGACGCACCTGACAGACGCATCAGGACGCACGCTCATGTGTCTCTTCACTCGTGCACCCATGATTGATGCACGCACAGACGTAGGCAGTGGAGATCTCCGCGCCGACATGTGCGCGCTGCTCGCCAAGTCGAGCGAGCAGTCGGACCGCGACGCAGGCGCCTGCATTCTCGACGGAGGCTCGCTGGAGCCGTACAACCACGGCCGCTCGGGTGTCATCGCGGCTCTCGACGACGCATTCGCTGCGCTCTTCCTGAAGCTCGCTCTCGGCGAGAAGCGTGACAAGTGTGCAGCCCATGCGATGTCGGACTCGCCGCCGCCGGAGCTGCCCGCCTGGATGTCTGACACGGTCGCCGGCGCATACGCCAGACCCATCTCGCCGCCGCCCGAGCTCTCCGCAGCCAAGTGGGCCTGGGTACGTGTCGATCGCAACTCTGACTCGCCGCCGCCGCCCGAGCGCTCTTGGGCGGAGGCTACCTCGGTCGCCGCTGGGCTCGCGCTGTTGGACTCGCTGCCTCCGGGCTGGGCGTAGGCGGCCGGCGGCGAGGACTCGCATGTGTCGTCGCTGGGCGCCTCAAGGCCCGTCGTGCTGATTCACGTCGACATGGCGTCTGCTGGCACCTGAGAGCAAGGCGACGCATCCCTTGAGCCCCACGCCAATGCGCTCACCGAGGCGCGACGAGCCTCACCTCTCACCACACCACACTCTCTTAGCTCTACTGCCTTTCCGCCTTCTCACACTCAGAGCCCAGCCGTCCTCCTGTACAACATGCGCCTCCGTCCTGCAATGAACGTCTCCCTTCTCGCTGCGGTGATGCCAGCATGCAGCTAAGCGCAGGGCCGCACATCGCCCTGCATGCGCTTGCACCGCGCTCCGGTGCTGTGCTGCGGGAATGGAACCGATGCTCGAGCGCTGCACACCCTCCGTCATCCCGGCTAGTCGGTCGGTGTCTGTGAGCGTGCACAAAGTGTGGCTGATGGAGGCGACGGTGCGTCAAGAGGCGGCGCCGCGTGCCTGCTGCTGCGGCGTCTACCCGCGCCGTTCACAGCAGCAGCGCCAAGGATCAATAAGAATGTCGGCGGAACTCGGCAGGCGCAAGCGGGGGCAGCTCAACTGAGGCAGAGCAGAGGTTCAGCACGCGGAGGCACAAAAGGCCAGCATGCCTGCTGCCGTGCGCCCGTTCTCTCTCCACCACCACCACACCCTGCTCCGCGTCCAAGCACCACCGCCGCCTCTCTGCGCCAGTACCACGTCCGCCATGGCCACCAGCCACGAGAAGGCCGAAGTAGCCCAGCAGGCGCTTGCGCAGCACCAGTACCTGCAGGCGCTCGCGCAGCACGAGCAGCACTTGGGCCAGCACAAGCAGCAGGAGCAGCTGCAGCTGCAGACGATGCAGGAGCACACGCAGAAGCAGTGAGTCGGCGTCCGTGGCGCCCGGCACGCCGCCGCCTTGGCTGAGCACTTGACAGCAGGTCCGCTCCGGGCATGAGCGAGCCCAACGACAGCGGCCGCTCCTCGCCGCCGACCCGCGAGGCGCAAGGCAGCGAGCAGTGAGTCACTCTCCTGAGCAAACTCGCCGCCGACACCAGCTCATGACCATCGCAGCTCCGCCACTGCGCTTGGTGAGACCGGCAGCGCCGCCGCCGCACCCAATGACGGCAAGCGGTGAGCAGGTGCCTGTGCTGCCGCGACACCTCCGCTGACGTTGCGCAGCCCCGTCGACGCGGCCGCGCTGGACCAGCACCGCCGTGCCCTCTTTGCCGAGCTGGTGCGCGCGGATCCGCCGGTGCCGGAGCACGTCATCCGCATTCGCATGCTCGAGGCCGACATGCGCTTCATGGACGAGCACGACGCCTAGGAGCCTCTACGAGCAAGCCGCGTCCGGCCCGCTGCGACAAATGCATCTGGCCTTGACCATCCATGCTGCACCTGTCTCGAGAGCCACTTTCCGCGGCGAACACGCTTTGTCTCACGCTGATGAGCTGCAGTCTGGTGCCGTGAGCAGCGGGGTATGCCATTCGTGCTTCTACTTCTTCCGCATCATGGCCGCCTTGACCTTCTTCGGCATCTTCGTCTTGCGCTTCTCGCGCGCCGCCTCCTTGACGGCAGCCTTGCGCTCCTGCAGCAGGCGTCAGTCGGCGTAGCAGCTAGCACGGCAGGGCGCACTCACCTTCTTGGCGTCGCGGTCCTCGTGCCGGTGGCCGCGCAGCACCTTTGGCCGGCCGTCCTCCTCCTCGCCACTCTCGCCGTCGCTGTCGCTGCCGTCGCTCTCGTCGCTGCTCTCTGTGGCCGCGGCGGCCTGCTTCTGCTCCCCCTCCTGCACGCCCTCCATGCCCGTGATGCCGGCGTAGATGAGCTCCTGCGCGCCGCCGGGCTTCTGCAGGATCGCGACGTCGCGCTCGGGGTCGTACACCTCGTCGAGCGTGCGCGGGATGTATGCGTCCTTGAACACGGCCTCGTCCTGCGCCGTGCCTCGTGGCCGCTCGGTGCTGGGCGCCGGGGCCTCGGCCTTGCTGGAGCCCGAAGCCTCTAGCGGCGCAATGGCCTCGCCCGCTGCCAGGCGCGTCATGAGCTGCTCGAGCTTGTCCGTGAGCTCGGCGTCGCTCTCGCCGGGCGCGCGCGGCTGCACCTCGATCGAGGCGAAGGGCCCGCTGAGCACGACATGCGATGCTGCCGGCAGCACAGTCGGCTCGTCGGCGTCCTGTCCGAGCAGCGCCTTGGCCATGGCGCGCTGCGCATCCGTCATGACCGCCGGCGTCTCAGTCACGACGGCCGACTCGGCATCGCCGTCCTCCTTCTCGAGGCCAGCGCGGCCGCCTCGCCGGCCGCCGTGGGCGCGGGCTTGTGGCTCGCGCGTGATCCAGTCGAAGGTAGCGCGCAGGCCGAGCGTCGCGACGCCGCCGCGCTTCGAGAAGTAGTCGTCGACGTGCGCAATGTCGGCACGCAGGAAGTCAAACGCCCGCGGGTGGTCGTGCTCGACGGACTGCGAGACGTCGATGATCCACAGGTGGCCTTGGTGGTACCTGCGCAGCGGGTCAGCAGCAGCGGTGCCACAGGCAGCAGGCGCACTCACAGCACATTGTACTCGCTCAAGTCCGCATGCACGAGGCGGCACTCGTGGTACATTGTCCGCATGCCCACGAGCATCTCGCGGTACAGGTCGCCCCAGCCCTCGGGCCCGCGCTCGTTGTCGATCTGCTCCTCGGCGTCGCGCAGCCGCGGGCTGGCCCAGCCGTCCTGCCCGCCGAGAAAGTCCATGACGAGGACGTGGTCGCGCAGCTCGATGGGCCGCGGCGCACGGATCGACGCCGAGACCAGGCGCTTGAGGTTGCGCGCTTCCTTCTCCGCCCACAGCCGCACCATCTTGCGCGGGTTGTGCCGCGCGTAGCCGTGCCGGAAGCGGAACTCGCCCGAGACGTAGCGATCGCGGTCCTTGAAGACGAGGATCGACGTCTTGTAGATCTTGAGCGCCACGTTGCCGCCGCGCGTGCTTTCCGGCGAGCCTTCTGGCGGCGGCGTCGAGGCGTGATACACATTCGCCTCCTTGCCCGTCGATACGCAGCCGTCGATCTGTGCCAGCAGGCCGCGCGCCAGCATCTTGAAGAGGATGACCATCGTGCGCGGGTCGAGCACGCCGTCGGTCGTCGCGCGGTCCGCCTTGTCCTTGTTGCGCTTCTCGCCTGCGCCCGCAGCGCCCTTGCGCGGCACACCGCCTGACACGGCGCCGCCTGCCGACGCCGATGGGTCGTACGCGTCGAGGATCTTGAGGCGCGACGAGAGGTGCGACATGTTGCTCAGCTGCGCCTCGGTCTTGTTGGCGTGTGCGCCGATGGCCAGCGCCGCAGCCGCAGAGGTGCTCGCCTCGCCGCTGCCTGCTGGCCGCGCTGCCTCTGCGCCACCAGTGCGCTTCACCGGCGCTCGCCGCGCCCGGTTCATCGCTGGCAGCGGCACGTTGGCCGCCGCCTGCGAGGCAGCACTGCCAGAAGCATTGCCCGAGCTGGCCTGCGCCACGGATGCCAGCTGCCGCGAGCGGTTGTACAGCTTGGTGAAGTCTGCGGCGGGCGCATCAGCCGCTGCGCAAGCCTGCCAGCGCCCTCCACCTGCTGCATGAGGCGCACTCACCGCCACGCGCCATCTCCCAGTCGGCATCCTCGACGGTGCCCATCGCACTGAGCCCCTCCTCCTCATACTCGTCCTCATCCTCCTCTTCATACTCCTCCTCGTCGCCGGGCGAGATGCCGTGCTGGGCATACCACGCGCTCAGCTCCTGCTCGTACTCGCCGGCCGACGCGGCGTCGTCGTCTATGCGCGGCGCAGACGGCTGCGGCGCGCCAGCCGGGGCTGCCGTGTCGTCGTCGGGCGCATCGTCGAACTGGTCGGGGTGCGGCGCTGCAGTCATGGTGGATGAGAGGCAAGAAGAAGCGAGGGCGGCACGGCGCAGCTGGCCGAAATCTGGCTTACGTCAGCAGGCCTGTGAGAGGGCGCACGACGCGTGGGAAGCGCGCCTCGCCTGCCTGATCTGGCTGCGTGTCGACGCCCGCCAGCCGCATCAGGCCGCCGTGCGGCACGCTGCGCTGGGCCACTGGCAGAGCCCGGGCCGGCGCTCGCCGCAGCGCCTGGAAGAAATGTCTTGAGGCGAAACATGCTGCTGTGATGGCCGCCTGGCCTCGCCAGCGTGACCTCTCGGCGCCAGGCGACGCGCGGCGGCTGTGCCCCTGGTGCGCCCGCGACGCGACCGTGCGCGAGGGCGCGGCGCGCGCGCTGGGCCGGCCGCGCACGGCGAGGCGGCCGCTCGCTTCGCATCTGTCCTCCCCTCCACCACCCGTCCTTGCTGTCTGCTGCTCTGCGCTCATCATCTACCGCTCAGCACGGCACGCTCAGCCCGCCCAAGCCAGCCTCTCGCTCTCGCGCTTCACGCTGCGCCGCCAAAATGGACGAGTGCGTAAGTGGATGCGCGCCCTGGCGCTTCTGCAAGTGCTTCCCCTCGCGCGAGGCGCCTGGCAGCGTCGAGCAGTTTGATCTGGACGCTTTCTTTGAAGTCTTTCAAGAAGACGTTCACAAGCGCTTGGCCGCAATCGCGCTGCCGATGACGGACACCGTCCTCATCTCTCGCGACCACGAGGACGATCCGCGCTACGCCATCGAGGTGCACGAGTCGGTGCTGCGGGCGCACGACTTTTTCGAGCGCATGCTGCACGGCGGGTATGCAGAAAACGCCTCGCACGTCAGCAGCCCTGCGCTGGGAGAAGCGTCGCAGAGCGCGGAAGTGCCGTCTGGCAAGCGCAAGCTGCCGGACGGCTTTGATGCTGTCGAAGCGTCGAGAGCTGCAAAGGCACGCACGAGGAAGGACGTGCAGCAAGACATCGAGGATAGCGCTGCTAGCGCAGCGGCGCTTCACAGTCAAGATGCTTTCATCGAGGCTGCGCAAGAGCCTGCGCCGTCGGCCACAGGCACAGCTGCTCAGCTCGATGGCCGGAACAAAGCGTGTGCGAGCCCCGCAGCAGAGTCGTCGACTTCATCTGCAGGCACGCAGTCAGAGAAGGTGAGTCTCGGGTCTCGGATGGGTGCAGCGCTTGCTGAACAAGCTCTCCACGGCTCAGAAAATTATCCGCATGGGAATGTCCCATCCAGCGCTGCTATTACTCACCGACTGGATGGTGAGTCGCGCGCGAAGGCTTGGCTGAACAGCACTCACCTGCTGTGCAGTATACTGGAGAAACACCTGAGCTCCGCGAACTAAGTCTGAAGGACATCGTCGGGCTCTATGCTGCTGCGCAGATGGTGGGTCTTGGCTCTGCGCCCTCGAGCTACTCCAGCCACTTAGCCGTCCCTTCAGCTCGGGATGGAAAAGCTCGAGACCGACATGGTCGAGAAGGCTCTACGTTCTGGATATTTTCCGTTCGATACGCTAATAAGCAGCACGCTCAGCGAAGAGGTAGGGCGCCATCCGCGACTTCACGATGTCTTCTGCCATCACTTGACATACGTACGTTTCGATGAGCGGGCACAGATGAGCGGTGCACTGACGTGCTGATGCAGATGACGGTCCAGCAATGCTATGCTCCTGATAAAGTCGTGGAGACAATGGTGCAACGGGTGCTCGACAGCAATGAGGAGGACTCAGAGTACACCGCTGAGGTTCGACGTCGCTTCACTACCTTCCTCTGTCGAGGCCCCCGGTGAGCAAGGTGGCAGACTGCTGGCATTCCACGCTGACGTGTCGAAAGGCTCCTCTGGAGTGCGGATGGAGGCAAAATGACACAGTTGCGCCAGGCGGCGCAGACGTGGTGGAGGGACTCGTCGGCCAAGTAAGTGGCAAGGCGCTGAGCACGAAGCGTACCCTCACCTTTCACCCGCAGGCTCTTGGCCGGTGTGCCCGAGGAGGAAAAGCACCGCAAGCTCATGGACAAGCTGGTGCCCACGCCTGCGCCCGAGGGGAAGGAGAAGAAGTAAGGCCCACCGGCAGCGGCATGAAGGCTGCCTTTCAATATTGATTCGTGCCCATGCGTGCCTCGTGGCTGATGAGGGGTGAAGATCATATGCCGGAGTTCTCGCGCTCAGTGACATATGGCACGATCCGGAGATGCCTCACGCAACAGGGTGGTGCTCGAGCTCCAAGGGAGGGAAGAAGTCAGCGTAGCGCGCTGCAGCGTGAACGTCCTAGGGCTGCTGTATCTCAGGAGGCGCGCCTCTGACAGCCGGGACGCTGCTTCTTGCACAGCCGAGCGCAAGCGTTGCGATGTCTCGCTGCGCAGGGTCCTCTGGCCTGTGCTGATCACGCAAAGATCAGGGAGCAGGGTGGACAGCTCGGTCGAGCCCGCAAGGTCCCTTTCGTGCGGGAAAGCGCAGCCGCGAGGCGGCCCATGCGCGCGCCGCGCGCGGTCGGCCGTGCGTGATCAGGCCTACAGCCGCCACGCATCTGTCCTCCACTCCACCACCCCATCGCCTGCACTTCCAGGCTCAGCCGCACTCCTCAAGCCCATCTCTCCATCTCCGCCCTCTCTCTCCGCCGCTCAACGCTTCGCTGCCAATATGTCTGAGTGCGTCAGCTGCGCAGCGCTCAGCTTCACGCCTGCTCATTTTCCGCAGCGGAGCGCCTCAGCACGACCTCTCCCTCCTTCTCGCCGAAGCAGCTCCTGCGGTCACGGCAAGTCTGGTGCAGCACGCTCTTGGCACGACGGACGTGGTACTTGTGTCCCGCGATCACGAAGATGACGTCGCACGCTACGGCATCGACGTGCACGAGATCGTGCTGCGCCGGCACGAATTTTTTGTCAGCGCGCTGGATGGTGGCTATTCTGAAGGCGCCACCTTTGTCGATGCTCAGGCATCCACGCGCAAGCGCAAGCTGCCCGACACTTTCAACTCGTCTTCATCGTCCGCTCCAGATGCTGGAGAGAGTCCGGTGACTAGCTGAGAAGCTCTGACGTCGTGAAGCGAGCTGATCGATCGCGTCTCACAGGAAGAGGAGGTCGATGCTTCCAGCCAAGGTGCATTTCCGGCAGGCGCTCAATCAAAGGTCGCGCGTAAGAAGGTAGGCGTCTCCCGTCGAGCATACAGTGTCAAAAGCTCACTGCACAAATTCTCAGCTCATCAAGCTTGGCCTGCCAAACGCAACGCTTCTCATGATCACTGCCTGGCTGGTGAGGTCATGTGCTGCATTAATTCTCGTATGAGCTCACGCTTGCCCTCCCACAGTACACTGAGAAGCCTCCGGCTCTTGACAATACTGCAACTTTGGAGGAAATAATTGAGCTATATGCTGCTTCGCAAATGGTACTGTGGTCCCGCTTGCTCCTCGCCGCGTGCCGACACTCTTCCAGCTCCACCTTCCACGCCTGGAAGAGCAGATCATTGAGAGACTGAAAGAGCGTAAATTCAAAATGCACGGGCGTCAGCTGTTCAAGGTGCTGCGCTCGGAAGCGCTGGCACGCCATCCACGCCTCCGAGATGTTATCTTCCGACGTTTCACCTTCGTGCGTGCTGTGTCGCAGTGACGAGTCCTGCGCATCATGAGCTGAACCCCTGTAGCGTTTGCTCAATCGCGCGGTCTACCCTTCAAAACTGGACGATATTACTGAGCTACTGCAAAGCGAGCTCAGCGCGTCTCCGACCGATTCGCAGTACCGCATCGTTATGCGCGGACGTCTGTGCCGGTTCCTCATCCTATGTCCTTGGTGAGCAGAAGCGCTCGAGCGAGAGGCGCTGCAGCTCACCCGTGTCAGGTTCATGTGGAGCTCCGAGGGCAGCGGACAGCCCAACATCTACAGGGAGGCGGCGCGATCCTGGTGGACCGATGGCTCCGCTGAGTGAGTTGTACATCTTCATCGCCAAAGCGTAGATGGCTGAACCCTGCTTTCAGGCTTCTCAAGAACATGCCAGACAAGACTTTCCATATTCCGAAAACCTCCTGGGCGTTCGAAGAATGATCATATGGTGCAGTAGGATGGGCACCCGGGGTGAGCAGGCCGGAAGCGCCCCACCACCCGTTGCCCCACCTCTCCTCCTTCTGACCCATGCTTCACTAGGAGATCGCGGGAAGAAGAGCGTCGCCGAGTATCGTCGAAGGTTCTCTTCCGCTCGTTTGCATTGTGATACGCGCATGTTCTGTCTTTGCCTGTCCCGCTTGAGCGAGGAGGTGGCCAACCTGCGTCGTCAGCGCGTGGGCGTGGACGTTCTCCCGCAGGTGCCTGCGCGGAAGCTTGGCGTGCGCTGCCCTGCTTGTGCGTACTGAGGCCGCTCGGGAGAGAAGCGCTGACGGATGAGGATGTTGGCGTGCGCATGCGCGCCGAGCAGATGCTCTTGCGCAGCCAGGCCGCAGCTTCCGCACGGCGACGCAGGTCTCTCGCGAGGGAGTGTGCATGCTGGAGGAAGCAGCTGAGCGGAGCAGCATGCTGTCCGAGGCGAGCCTTGGCGATCGCTTGGTCAGGGAATGTGTCCTGCAGAAGCGCTTCGCCCGAGCCGAGACTGCCGACGATGTGCGAGCAGAGGCGGCCGTGGAGAGCGCCGCGAAGCATTGGCGTGGTCCACGCAGCCGCGGGGGGCTGGATCCCACAAAGACTGAGCTGGCGATGGCAGCAGGACGGCGTGGCATGGCACGAAGAGCATGTCAGTCGTCCACTTTTAGTAAGCTAACCGCCTAGCAGCGAGCGCGAAACGAAACCGCTGTGCTGCTTCTCTTGTCACGCTGATGACCCGATCCAAGACACGTGGTGCCGCTGCTCTCTGCTGTCGAACAGGCTGCGCAGGCGAGCGCCTGTCTCGTCGCTACGACAGCGAGCAGCGTAACGGCAGGGGCTGGGGCGAGGCAGACTCGCGGTGCGGCGCCCGCACGAGAGGCCGGCGTGCGACAGGCGTCTGGCGTGGCCCGCGCACCGCGGCCGCTTCGCTCTGCTCCACCACTCCCTCGCCCGCTGCTCGCGCCTCAGCCCACTGCGCGCCTCAGCATCTGCCAGCTCGCGCACGGGCCCCGACTGCTCTCGCCTCCACCACTCTCGGCGCAGCTTCGCCTCCATCACGCTCGCCCATCATCGGCAGCGCTCGTCCGTGCGCAGCCCAGGTACGCCGTGCGCCGCGATTCGGATCTGTACTCCGCGGCTCTGGCTTGCCTGACGCTCTCACGCCAGCAGATGGCGCCGCTTCTCGACTTTGAGCTCCTCATGGGCGAGGATCGCAAGGACATATGGCGCGATCTCTGCATCAAGGACGCGCAGACGACGGCCGACGTCTCTCTGGTGTCGCGCGACCATGCGGAGGACCCGACGTACTTCATCGATGTGCATTCGCTGGTGCTGCTGAGGCACGAGTGGTTCAAGGTGCTGCTTGGAGGAGAGTATGCGGAAGGCAACGGCGGCGCCGCAGCGCCGGCCGTGGGCTCCTACATTCCCAGGATGCCCGACGAGGTCAAGTTTAGGCGCCGCAAAGTGCGTCTGAAGTGAATGCCGAGGCAAGGGACAATGCTCACTCTCGCATCTCGCAGTTGGTTAAGCTCGGCGTCTGCCACCCAGCGCTGTACCTGCTTGTCCAGTGGCTGGTGAGTCGACCTCGCTTGCTCCGCCAGTTTACGCGCTGATGCTGCCGCCGCGAAAGTACACTGAGCGCATCCCGAGCCTGCACGAAAGCTCAATCGATACGGTCGTGGCGCTGTTCTCCGCGGCCGAGATGGTGCGTTCACGATGGCTTCGCGCGTCTTTTCTTCCGTCAATACTGAGGCTTGATCCTCACAGCTCGAACTGGACCTGCTGAAGACGCAGCTCCTAAAGGAACGTGCTAGCTGGCTGCTGGCCAACAAGGGTGTCGGACACACCCTCGCTACGCGCTGCTCCAAGAATGAGCACATCTTCAGCGCCCTGACATCCGTGGAACTCGCACTGCACGCACCGCTGCAGGATTGCTACCTCACTGGCTTCACCTGGGTGAGTGCTGCGGGTTATGTGGACGCCTACGGCCGCTCGAGCATCTGATCCCTTGACCCTGCAGAAACTCGCCGAACAAACAAGTGCTTTCGACGCCGACTTCCAACGCCGACTTGGCCAGTTCTTTGCAGGCGACGGCGGCAGGTCGGCTCACGCCGCATGCATGCGAGAGCGTCTCCTGCGCTTCATGACCCAGTGTCCCCGGTGAGGCCACCCAGCCCAGCACGCTTTCTGCCCTCTCTCACATGTCCCCAGTTCGGTGTGGAATGATGAGCCCGAGGCTCGCTCCGCCAATGAAGCGAGCATGACGACTGCCAGGGGCCCGGTGGACCGACGAAGCTGCCGAGTGCGTGTCGCAGGTATGCTCTGCGCTGCCATTGCTCAACTGACTGCTCGCGTCTACAGAATTCTGGACGCGCGCGTCCCCAAGCCTATGCCGTTCATCGACAGAAAGGCGCCGTACGTGTTCGCGACATCTCAGTACGAGAGTGACGACGAGGACGAGAGTGACGACGAGTGGGACTCTTACTGAGACACGAGAACGAGGACGCCAGCGCCACTCGGTGCCTGCGTGCTCTGAGCCTGGGTGCAGACCTCATTCGTCGCGCCTCCATGTCTCTGGGCGCGGGCACACGCGCTCAAGGCCGACGGGTGCAGTGATCGAGCCGACTCCCGCAGCGGCCGGTGGCCCAATGCATCGACTAATGTGCTTGACGAGAGTGAGAATGGCGCCGCGGTGCTCAGACGGTGGGAGCCTATAGCAGCACAGCGCGAGCGCACTCGAGGTACGCGCAGCACACGCTCATCTTGTCCATGCCCGCGCCATCGCCGTCATCTTCGTCGGACGCCTTCACCCCTTGCGCGTTGCCGTCGCACCACCGGTCACCAGAGCTCACGCCACTCGCAGGACCGCATGACGTGTGAACAATGAAGGGGCGAGGCTATGAGACAATGAGGGGCGGGCGGGGACACAGATCAGTACGAGACAAAGTCGGAGATGCGATCTGCGGGAGACAGTCAGCGCGAGCGCAGCCGGCACGACGGGCGGACGCACCCTTGACGTTCTGGCTGATGCACTCGGCGATCCAGGTGATGCTGCGGATCTCCTGCTCCTTGAGCTTGAGCCACGAGTAGAAGATGCCCATCTGCGGCAGCGTCAGCGAGGCAGCGAGCGGGCTGTGCGCAAGCGACGCACCTGGAACTGCGTGATCGTCTCGAGCTTGTTCACTGCGGCAAGACATCAGCTACGGGCCCCGTCGCGCACCATCATCGCACTCACGCCGTGTCTCCTCGCGGAACATCTTGTCCTCCAGCCCCTCTGCGCTCGTCTCGCCGGCGCCGGCGCCCGTACCCTCGCCGCCGAGGAAGCCGCGGTACTCGGGAATCATCTCGCACACGCCCTTGACCTGCTCGACGTCGTCTGCCCGCGCCAGCACGTTGTTGCCCGCCGGGAATAGCCGCCCGATGGTCGGGAACAACCGCGCACGCTCCTCCTTGGACAGCGACGTGCCAAAGGAGTTGAGCGTGATGTTCAGCACGCGGCGGTCCGCCTCGAACGAGAGCAGCGTCGCCATCGACTCGGCGGTGGTGCCGCTGCGGCTGTGAGTCAGCAGTGCCCACGACAGTGCCTTGCACGCGGCGAAGCGCCAACGCCTGTGACCTGACTTACCCCAGGCCGACGCAGAAGTGGTAGAAGTCCTCGAGGTACGCCTTGTACAGCGTGTTGCGGATGATCTCGATGTTCAGGTCGTCGAGGTCTGCCGCCGAGACGCATTCCCGGAAGTACGGCGCTGCGCACGGGCTGTCAGCGCCTGCGACGACTGGCACGAGGCGACCGGCGCCCGTGCACGCGATTGCATGCGCGCAGGCACGCCCTTCTGCTGTACTCACCCAGCGGCGTCTCGACCACCACACTCTGGTACAGCTCCTCCACCGTCGTCGCGACACACAGCGCCGGCATCGACTCGAACACGCCGAGCGGGTGGCAGCGCTCGAGCAGCTCGTGCGTGTCCTTCTCGTGCAGCGTGCCCGTGATGAGCAGGATGAGATTGTCGATCATGTATGCGTAGCTGCGCAGTGTGTTAGCGCTGCGTGCCAGTGATTGCCTCACGATGCGGCGGGTGGGAGTGAGGCCCTGATGGGGCGAGCCAGGCTGCACAGCAAGCTGCAGGCCTCAAGAGCAGCTCTGGGCTCCAATGCGGCAGCGCTCAGGTCACACAGCTCATCGCGCCTGGCTGCGTCGCATGCCTCTCGTCTCCGAACCTGATATTCCATCTGCCGCTCCTGACACACTGCACCCCCGCGCTCGACCTCGCACACTCCTGGCCGCACTCACGTGAGAAAGTCGAGGAACTTGGCCAGGTCGCCCGTGGCGTTGGAGCGCAGGTACTCGAACTCGGCGACCATCTTGCGCGTGGCGCGCTCGGCAATCGTGCTCGTCGAGATGGGCGACGGCACGTCGGCGAGGAAGTTGCCGTAGTCGGTGGCGGCGAGCTGCATGCGCAGGTCGTCGAGCGTCTCGCACTGCGCCAGCGACGCGTACGCCGAGGCGCTGAGCAGCGAGTTCTTGTAGCCGCGCACGATGCCCTCGAGGTAGCCCGAATGCATGTTGAACGAGAGCGCCTCCATGGCGGGCGGCGGTGTGTGGGGTGCGGGGGGAGTGGTGGTGGTGGAGAGGAGCGTGCGTTGGTGAGTGATGCTGCTGGCCTTGGCTGCTGCGCCGTGCGCCGCCAGCGGGCCGCGCTCACGTGCGCTCGGGCGGCGTGGGAACAGCCGACCGCTCCGCACGACGCGCCTCATGCTCGGCCTCCTGCTGTTGCTCTCGCCTGCATCCCCTCACCCGATGGTCTTCATCGTCAAGATACCCACCCGCCCGCGCGCAGGCCTCGCGCCCACCGACAGCGCAGACATGACGCCCGAGCCGCCGGCGCTCGAGGACGAGGGCGCCGCGGCTGCGACTGCGCCAGGCAGCTCGACGTCGCCCGAGCCCGCCGCACGCGACAGCGAAGCACCGCCGGCCAAGCAGGAGTCGGAGGACACGACGGGCCTCTCGCTCCTCGCCTCGCTCGCGGCCATGACGCTCAGCACGCCGCAGCCCGTCTCGCCGCCGCCAGAGCCCCGGCCGCCCTCGGCGCCCTCTACGCCGAAGCCTGCCGCGCCGGCCACGCAGTTCCCGCTGCCCTCCATGCCGGCGCAAGCGTCGTCGTCGCGCGAGCTGCGGCCTGCGCTCGACATCTACCTCGCGCCTGCCGTGCAGTCGCACCGCTTCGTGCGCTCGCGCGACGTCAGCCTCATCGTCGAGCGGCCAGAGCGCATCCGTGCGCTCTGCCTCGGCGTCGCGGGCGTGCTGGGCCGCATCGAGGCTGCTTCACCAGGCGGAGAGGCGAAAGTCAAGGAGGAGGACGAGCTGAGTGCCGCGCTGCAGGGCCTCAGCGTCGATGCAGCCAGAGCACCAATCGCCGTGCATCTCCACACGTCTGCCGCGCCCCTCTCGCCGCCGAGTCCAGCGCTCGTGGACATTCACTCTGCGCCGCTGCCAGGCTCAGAGGAGCCGTACGTCGAGGTGCTCGCCCGTCTGTGCGCCGCAGCGCCATCATCGCCGCCTCCGCCAGCTGCGCACAAGCCTGTACAGCGCTCGCCCGCCCGGCGAGGCTCCGAGTCGTCAGACGAGGAGCCGCAGCACGTGTCCGAAGTGCCGGCGCCGCTGTCGCAAGGCGACCTCTACCTGTGCGGGCCGTCTGCGGACTCGGATGATCGAGGCACTGCCGGAGCCATCGCCGCGTCATTGGGCGCACTCGGTGCTGCCCTCACACGAATGTACGCCACAGACGAGCAGCGACAGCCTGCACTGCTGCCGCATGGCAACGCCGCTGCTGCGCGTCGCGCCTTTGTTCTCGCCCGACCGCCGGGCCACCACTGCGGGCCAGCGAGCCCGAGCGGCTTCTGCTGGGTCAACAATGTGGCCGTCGCGGCGGCCATGGCATACAGGGAGCAGATGGTAGACCGCGTGATCATTCTGGACGTCGACTTGCACCACGGCAGTGAGTATGGCAGCGTGCGGGAAGGAGGGTGGAGCTCTGCGGCGTCTCTCGGCCGGGTCGTGCGCCGTCACCTGGCGAGCACGTGGTCTGGAGAGGCCTCTTCGATCGACGAGCCAGCAAGCTGACCCTTTCCAGACGGCACGCAGCAGATCGCCTGGCGGATAAACGCCGACACGCAGCGGACCGACCTGGAGCGAGCCGCGAAGCTCACTGCGCTTCGCAGCGCGCGGCGGACTGCCACTCGCGGCGGCCGGAAGAGCGGCGGCGGCGGTCACTCGCAAGCTGCCTCATCAGCAGAGCCAGCAACAGCCGAGGAGGAAGAGCAGGTCGGGCGGCGCGGCCTGCAGATCTTCTACGGCAGCCTGCACGACATTGAGAGCTACCCGTGCGAAGACGGCGAGGAGACGCTGGTGCGCGATGCAAGCACCTGCGTCGAGGGCGCGCACGGTCAGTGGATCTGGAACGGTGAGTCGGCCTGTCTGCGCATCCGCCGGCCCCACTCACGCCCGGCGCTAGTCCACCTCGATGCATATACCTCAGACGAGCACTTTGACTCCCTCTATACCAGCAAGTATACCCAGCTCCTCAGCAAGGCGCGCAGCTTTGCCCAGCGCACCGGCGCCGTGCCCGAGCGCACCCTCGTCATCATCTCCTGCGGCATGGACGCGTGCGAGCACGAGCATCCGGGCATGCAGCGGCACGGCAAGTCCGTGCCGGTCGCCTTCTACTCGCGCTTCGCCCGCGACGCGGCGGCGCTTGCCGAGGAGGTAGCCGACGGGCGCATCCTCTCCGTCCTCGAGGGCGGCTACTCGGACCGAGCGCTGACAAGCGCCTGCGTGGCGCACGTCGCGGGCCTCAGCGGCATTGCCTCGCCCGAGTCGTGGTGGGACGCCGACTCTCTCTCGGCTCTCGAGCAGCTGGCGAAGCGCGCTGCAGCGCCGCCTCCAGCAACCACGCCCGCCAGCATCGCGCGCCGCCGTGCCGACCCGGCATGGATCTCCGCCGCCGCCTCGCACTTCCAGGCGCTTGAGCGCGCCTGTGGGCGCGAGCAGCCCGCTGCGCGATCACGGGCGGCCCCTAACACGCCGGGTGCAAATATCAACAGCCCGCGCGAGACACGCTCGAGCGCACGGCAGGCCGTCAGCAGCCCAACGCCTGCCGGAGCGTCGCAATGACATGGCATCCCGCTACTCTTGTGCTCCGCAAGTGTGAGGTCCGGGTCTGAGACGCACCTGCGGGTGCGCAGACATGTCGCTGCTGGAGGTCTTTCACCGTGGCGCCCTAAGTATCTGGGCGTCTCGAGATCCTTCGTCACCTTCAGCCCTCATCATCAGCATGTCCGGCCAACCAGTCTCTCTCAAGAAGTGGCTCGAGGCGTTCGGTGTCACCTTCGTACCCGCCGGTGCGAACAGCGCTTTCAGAATGGCGGTGCTAGAGGCAGCCAAGTGCGAAGCCGCCTACGATCTTGTTCTCAAGCCGACTGCATCCGTTGTGGGGCCGTGCGAGACGGATCCCGATGCGTTGGGCCTCCTTCCCGCGCAGCTGTTGCAAAGCGATGTGCGCCAACACGGCGTGGCGTGCAGCAGCACGCTTCTGGCCCACTGGTCGCCCTACTTTTCTGCAATGTTTCGCGGAGGGTTCGCCGAAGCGGCCCAGCTTCAAAGAAGCACCAAGCAGCTCGCCATCTCGGCGAGCGAAGGCGCTGTCGGTGAAGTTAAGATGCCAGCATCCGCTCCGGTCGAGCTGCCAGTTTTTGACTTCGATGGCAACGACGTAGTCCTGCGTTTCGCTCTTGCACACTTGGTGCGTCTCACCACCCACGCTTCGGGAGATTTCGCTCTCTAATCAGCCTCCAGTGTGGCCGAGACGTCTCGGAGAAGGATTTCACCGCGGTGTGCGCCTCTAAGCACGTTGAAGAATCCGCGCATCGGTCGTTAGCATCAGAGCTGCTCCGTGTCTGCGACATTGTGAGGTCCTTGCGTTCACCACACACCACCGAAGTTGATCGTCCTGCGCAGTACGTTCTCTTCAACCTCAAGAGACAGATCGTTCCTCTGATTGCCAGCCGGCTTACGAAGGGCAACAATTGCTCGGAGCCGTGCTGGATCCGTCCCTCGGAGTGCTTCCAGCCGTTCTTCTGCGCCGAGCCGGCGTTGCTTCAGGCCTTCAACTCAGGGCTATTTACAGAGCGTCATGGCCAACTTGAACGGGTGAGATGGGCTGTCGCTGTCAGGAGAGTCGCCTCTGACCGGTCTTCATCTTCTCGGCCCGCAGGATGAGCGCGAGCTGCACGAAATCCTCGCAGCCTGGCCCGAAGCGCCGGAGGCTCACCATCGTGCCATCCGGATCTGCCTTGCAACACCCATCCTTACAGCTGCAGGAAGGCCGCACGCCCTCCAGCAGATCGTTGACGGCGTTCTGCCAGACGAGGACCACGTCTTACAGGCGGAAGTGAAGCTGCTTATGGCTTCACTCCCATTCTTTTGGAAGAGCACCAACGGCTGGGACAAGAATAGAAACGCGACGACTTGGCACTCGAAGCTACGAGAAAGCAAGTGCAGAATGACTCCGGCGCCTTCGACACATGCTTGATCGGTGCAACAGCGACCACAACTTGAACGTCCAAAGCTCGAAGATGCGCCCCCCCCCCCTGCTCTTTAGCTAGCTACCAGTGCCATGATATTGCTGTCTCTCTCGATATGTGTCAGGGCGACGTGCCATGACAGGAGCATGCGTCTTGCGTACTCGGCTGCCACTGTGAGAGAAGAGTGGCCGCCTGACCGGCAGACGATGATCGAGCTGCGCAGCTTCCATGTCGTTCGATTGCGCTAGAAGCTTCAACGACTCGCAGAGCCCGAGCTAGTACTTGCTTCCGTGTGGCATCGCCCCTGGTAGAGCTAGCAAGAGATGCTGGAGCCGAGAGAAGCTGTCTGCGCAACCGGCCGAGCGCTCGTGGTGAGCTCGGCTTCTGGCTCAGCTCTTGATAAGGCGGGCGCGCTGCTCGACGCTCCTTTCACCGCACCATCATCCCCTCAACACATCGAGCCTCAAGCTAACACCCGTCATGGAGAGCGGCCCGATCTCCGTTTTCGAGCTCTTCGACACGTTCGGCTTCAGAACGGACAAGTCCGCACGGGCAAGGGCGAAGCTGGACTTCGTGCTTCGACAGGACAGTCGAGGAGACGCCGCCTTTCTCTGGACTCGTCGGGACCACGGCAACGATAAGCACAGCGGCAAAGACATGCTCCTTCAGAGCCGAGCGCGAACCTCGGGTGTACTCTGCGACAGCACCGTGCTGCGCGAGCGATCGCAATTCTTTCGAGACATGCTCAATAGCGGCGCTGCAGAAAGTCTCGCTCACGCCCAGAGCGTTGCGCAGCGCACGCCGCCCCTAGCAAGCACCTTCTCGGGTGGTCTGCGAGCGCTCGTGCTCACGCTCTGTTTCTGCGTGAGTCATGGCCCGGGCGACCGTACTCAACGCTGCGGTATCCCGACTCAACGTTGCTCTTGCAGCATGTATCCCAAATCACTAAGCCTGTGATTGTCACTGACCTTCTCTCGCTCCTCAATGCTGCGGACTTTGTGAGGCCTCACGTGTGGTCGCAACAGCAGGCGATGCTGATACCCGTTGGCCCCCCAGTACGGCACCGACGGTCTCGCTAAAGGGGCACTCAATGCACTGTCCTTCTCTGATGAGCAGCCAGGGCTCTCGTCCACGCTGCAAGTCTGTTTCAGCGGACCACTCTGCCAAGAGCCAAAGTTCATTCATCAATGCACTTTCCCGCTGGCTCCATGGCTCTCGCGGTGGCGAGCTTGATGCTGTGAGTCCATGAAGGGCGTTATAAGGCTTGGACCCGGCGCTGAAGCTCGGTAATCATCAGCGGCTTGGGTTCTTCAAGATTCTGCAGGAGGTCTGGCCCACGCCCGATGCTGAAAATCTCGCGCTGCGCACAAGCATCATCGGCCCGCTGCTGCTTCTTTCCGACCGAGGTTCAATTGCTTTTGAAGAGTGGGCGGACCAGGCTTCTGCAGCCACCCGCGACGGAGAGTGCGTTCTTCTTGCCAAAGCACTGAAGGACGGCCTTGCAAAGCACAGCTGCTCGAAGGACTTCTTCTGCGCCCTCGATGACAAGCGCATCACCTTCTAGCAGCCGTGACCAAGCAATCCGATCTGTGTGCTTGAGATCTGGCGTCCCGTGAGGTACAGACAGCTTAGGGCCTATGAGCGGACTGTTCACCGAGAACCGACCTCTGAGAGGGGGCAAGGGCCTTAACACAGCAGCACCTGTCGCGGCGGCGTCCGGCGCATGACCCAGGGGCAGATTCGGGACGACGCAGCTGCGTCGCGCGCACACGTGCCGCGTGTTGATGCGTCGCGTTTGCGCCGCGGCCCCTGAGCACTCGGCTCGGACGCGGCCGCCTCTTGCCCGATCTCGGCGACGGTCAGCACTTCCAGCCGCGCTCGGGCCCATTAGGCGGCACTCCCGACCGACCTCCTTCTCCTCCCACCACCACCCGTCCGCGCATCTTCGGTGAGACGCTGCTTCGCTCTGTACTTCACTACTTCTCTCCTCTGACACGTCCCTGTCCTGCAGAAGCCATGGCGGACAAGCCAGTCTCCGTTCTCGATCTGCTCGCCGCGATGAAGATCGAGGTGACGGACGAGAAGGTGGCCAGCGCCAAGCTGGACTACGTTTTGTTTCCCAAAGAAAAGAACGACAGTGGCACCTTTGCGACGACTTTCGGCGTAGACCTGCGCGGGAGCACCTTGCTCTTGCTCAGTCGCGCGCGCAAGTCGGGGATTCTTTTCGAGTCTGCCGTGCTGAAGGAGCACTGCGCCTTCTTCCGCAATATGCTGTCGAGTGACTTTTTGGAGGGCACAGCTTATAGGAGCAGGAAGAGAGCACGCACGAGTCGCTCGGAACCTGCGTCCGGCACACATGCCGAGTCAGCATCCAGCATCTTCGAGAGAAGCGTCGTCACGCTATGCGATGTTGCGCAATACAAGGTGAGTAAGCATCGTCAGCGGACGGACCGAGCACTTCTGACTGCGCCTGGTGCACAGTACACTGGCAAGCTGCGCCAAAAGATGCCGATCTGGGACATGGTGCCGCTCCTTCGCGCGACAGACTATGTGAGATTCTTACCAGCCGGCGGTACCAGGACTTCACAGCTGACCAGCTTCTGGCAGTACGACATCAAGGACCTGGGCGGAGCTGCACTTGCGGACTGGAAGCTCTTGCAAGGTTTGAGTTCCGACCAGATGGCCAGAGCCATCTCGATGGTACTGGATCGAACCATCTGCGGGGAGCACCTCCTTCTGCAAGAGCTCAGCAAATACTTGTACGCGCTTGAGACCACCACGGCTGTGCGTCTACAGACGATGCACTTTACTAGTCTGCTGTCGCTCACTCCCTTGACCTCTCTTAGCAAAAGAAGAGTGTTCAGAATCTTCTACGAGAATCATGGCCCGAGCCGAACGAGCACAATCTTCTCGCACGCACGATCATTCTGGTCCCACTGCTCGCCGCGGACCAGGATGCCGCCGCAGTCGAGGCGTGGCTCGATGAAGCATGGACAGCCTCGCGCGAGGATGATGTGCAGCTCCTCGACAAGACGTTCGCGTCGCTGAGCTCGAAGCACACCGACGCGGAGCTGGCTAAGCTCCTCCGCGAGAAGCGCATCGATCCGTGATCGATCACGCTGCAAATTTCCCGCGTTCTCCACCACTATACCGCCAGCCATACTCAGTCGTCACCGTCCCATCTGCTTGTCAACAGCCGCCCTGATCACAAAAGATGTGTGATTGCGTGGGACGCGTGCGAGAGATGTAAAGAATGTGAAGCACGGGATCCAGGCGCGAGACGTAGGCGCGTCACAGTTAGGCGCCCGGCTTCGCGGCCGAATGCGGGAGCCAGAGCAGACCAGCCGGCTGTGTCTGAGCTGCCGAGCTCGCTTGGCGCTCGGCCGCAACCGCCTGCAAGCCGTTGAGCTGTGCGAGGGCGCGGATGCGCTCGCGCACGCGGTCGCCAAGCGAGCGGCGCGTTGCGGCCAGCGGCATGTCGACGAGCGTGGCGTTGCTCGGCGACACGGGCCGTGCGCTGGACGCAGGCTGTGATGCTCCGTTGTCGTACGTCGAGTCGACGGACGGCTCCGTAAGGTAGATGACGGGCGAGGTGGCCGTCTTGCGGCCGAGCAGCTCGGCGTTGGCGTGGATGCGGCGGTAGTGGAAGCGCAGCAGGTTGGCGAGCAGCAGCACCTCGGCGATGAGCAGCAGCGGGAAGAGCACGTGCCCGGCGATCTGCTGAGCGCCCGTCAGGATGGAGAGCGTGAGCGGGTAGACCGCGGCCGTGCAGGCGAGCGCGAAGATGATGCCAGAGAGGTGCAGCAGGGCCTGCCGGCGCAGCGCCTCGGCCGCGGCTGGTACCGGACCGGCCGCCGACGGAGAGGTGACGAGCGTCGGGCGATGCACGACGATCTCGAGATCGAGGGCATCGCGCCGCGGTGAGCTTGGCTGAAGTGCAACGACCGGCGGCGCGCAGGCGGATGGCAAGCGAGTCCGTGCCGGTGCGGTAGACGGCGGCGCCTCTGACGGCGGGCAGATGAACTGCGACGCGAGGTCGTCTGAGCTCGGCGACACGATGTCTCGCAGCGGAAATGGCGGAGAAGGCGCAGGAAGGATGCGCTCGGTCGACTTGTTCGAGACCGGCGTGAGAGGAAAGCCGCCCTCGCCGTCCAGCGGCGTCGAGCTGTTGGATCCGGGGCTGCGGTCCGGGCTGCTGGCGAGCCAAGACATGCGCTCCGTCGCGGGTGTGAACGAGAAGCGCGAGGTGAGCGGCGGGCGCAGCGGTGCATGCGGGCCTTCCACGGACGAGCGCAGCTCGCAAGAGGGCAGCGGCGGCGACGGCCGGGTCGTCAGCCACGACGTGCGCTCGGTTGCAGGGGTAAAGGAGAAGCGCGAGGCGAGGTGGACGGCCAGCGGCACCCGCGTCTCGCCGCCGTGCGAGGACGTCACGACGTCGCTCATCCATGAGCGGCGTTCCAGCGCCGGCGTAAAGGTGAAACGAGAAGAGGCAAGGACGGCATCGACGGCCGTCGGCGGCCGCGCGCCGTTGAGCGCAAAGACGTCGCGCACGTCGGTGCTCGGCAGCACCTCCTCGACGTCCTGCGGCAGCGAGTCGCGCGACGTGTCGAACGCATGCGTGTCGAGCCCGGCGTCGTTGAGAAACTCGAGCTTGTGGTCGAGGTCCTCTGCCGGGAGTGTGAGCGGGCGCCGCCGCGGCACCGCGACGTCACCCGACGCCAGCGTCGTGTCGGGCGTTGAGTACTGCGCGCACGAGGCAAAGTCGTCAAACGTCGGGGCGTACACGTCGGTCGAGCAGCTGGCGTCCACGCTGCCGTGCAGCGTCGCACGCCGGCCAGCGAGCTGTGCGCGCTGCGAGGGTGTGAGTGAGACGCCCACAACGCTGCTCTGCCGCAGCTCACCCGCACGATCATCGGCCGCGCCCGCGAGGCCGTCATGATCTGGATCGTCTTGGGGTCCGACGGCAGCGCGCCGAGGCGGTCGTCGATGCTGCCGTCGTACGTCATGTCGTACGTCTGGCCCGGCGAGTCGACCTCGGAGTGGAAGTAGGGCAGCATCTCGGGCAAGGAGCGTGGAGTGGTGGAGAGAAGGTGAGTGCGGTGGCGAAGGTGGGCGAGGGCCAGCAGGACTGCCAGCCGGCGCCTCATAACGCGCCCACGCCTGCCTCATCAGCCCGCTCCCAAGACGCCGCCATTCACACTCGCAGACGTCGATGCCGAACTCATGCGAGATCGACAGGGTGCGCCTTGTGCACGTTCGACGAGAAGCGGCGCGAGCACGGTGCCGAGATGAGGGGGCCAAGCCATCACGCTGCGACGGTCTGGCGTAAGAGGCCGCGAGCTCATCGATGCATGCAGGTCCCTGCGCCCGGGCCGCTTATTCATACCGCCCCGTCGCCGCTCGCGCGCCTGCTCGCTGCGAGCATGACGGCTCGAGGCGGGCCGTGCGCGGGCGCAGCGCGGCCGGTGCGCAGGCGGAGCGGTTGGCGTGCTTGGCCGTGCGTGCCGGTGCGCTTGGGCCGTGGTGGTGAGAAGGAAAGAGCCGCGCGCGGCGCCACAGCGCAGACACGACCGCAGCCGCACGCCGCAGCGCGGTCTCGCATGCATCTGCCTCGCCCGACCTTTCTGTGCGCTGCGCCTTGGCTGTGAAGCTCTGTTCGCACGATCCACGCTCTTGCATCATAGAGCTCGAGCACAGCGGCCGCCAAGGTGCGAGCACTCATGCGTCAAGGGCACCCTGGGCTCGGCTCCGAGCCTCGGCCGGAAAGGCACGTCACGTGGGCTTGCAGCCCCTCCTCCACACCGTCGGCGTGGCCTTAGCTGAGCGGCGGGTCCCCCTCGCCGCTCACGACCGCTCTCATTGCGGAGTCGGCTCGAGTCATCAGCAGGCAGGGCCAGCGCTGCGCACGCGGAGGTGGAGGGCAGCACCAGACGCGAGATGATCCCCGAAAGCGCGTCCAGCACGCGCATCGGATCGGCCGTGTGGCTTGTGTACGGGCTGCAGCGGCTCAGCCGCAGAAGAGGAGCCAAAGAGCTGGCGCTGGAGCGGCACGCAGGACAGCTGCTGCACCGGCGCTGCAAGGGAGCGGAGAGGAATGTGCTGCGAGGCCGAGGTCGGGAAGAGGCACGCGGTGCGCGACGCGTCTCGACGCGTCAGGAGCAACACCCCGCCTCTGTTTCTTGCCTGCTGCTGCGAGCGCGCTATCGCTCCGCTGCGACAGGCGGATGCTCTGGCTGCTGCAGGCTCGAGGCAGCGTGAAGCATAAGGTGGCCAATCTCGACGCTCTCGAGCTGGGAAGCGAGGCATGAGAGCAGGGCTTCAACCCGCTGCGCGGAGCGCCGGTGAAGCAAGCCCGTCGTAGGCCGCGATCGCAGCCCTTGCCGCGATGCGCTGCCCATCTGATGCTGCTCGGAGGCAGCAGCCCCAGCATCAGCGCAGCCGCTCAGACGTGAGAGCGCAAGAGCGCCATCAGAGGCAGATGATGCAGCTGGAGGCGGAAGGGGCAGGGGAGCAGTGTCGGCGGCGTGTTGTTCCGCACGACGGCTCCTTGCGGCTTCGTGTTGCGTGTTTGCCTTGCTCTGTGCTGCGCCAGCGGCAAGGACGAAGCCGAGGCATCAGAGCAGCACCGACGCTCCGGCCGTGCGGCGCCTTGGGCCCTCGCTGCCTCCACCGCTGCCTCCGGCGCGTCCGGCCGAGCTCCGCGCGTCGCGTCGCGCACTCTACGCGCGCGTCACTTGCGCTGGCGGCGCCGCGGCTCTGCGCGCCGTGCGGCGGGCGTGCTTAAGAAGGTCGTCGGCGAGCCCCTTCCTCCTTCCCCACCAACACCTCCCGACTCGGCCCTCCTCTCTGTGCTCCCTCTGGCCCTCGGTCTCACTCTCCACGCTTGCATCTTCACCTCGCTGCATCTGCCCGGCCACACCGCCACCGCCTCTCTCGCTCGCCGTCGCCGTCGCTGCTGCGCACTCCCGCCTCGTCGTCCGCCGCGCGTCCCTGCGCCGACCACCCCCCAGCACACACCCGCACGCACACGAGCTTGGCTAGCAGCCGCCCACGATGATCTTCGTCTACAAGCGCGGTGAGTCCTCCTGCTTCGAGCGCAGCGCTGCGGCACACACACGCCCTGCTCGTCGCTGACGCGTCGCGCCGCTCCCGCAGATGGGCGCAAGGAGGGCGTCAAGTTCGACAAGGTCACCGCCCGCGTCTCGAAGCTCTGCTACGGCCTCGACATGGCCTTTGTCGACCCCATCGAGATCACTCGCAAGGTGAGCAGCGCAAGGAGCGGCGCGACGCGTTGGCCGGCAGACAACCAGCCCAGCACGACTTTTTTCACCTGCTGACACGCGCCGCAGGTCATCGACGGCATCTACTCGGGCGTGACGACCGTCGAGCTCGACAACCTCGCCGCCGAGACGGCCGCGTACAAGACGACGACGCACCCCGACTACGCCGTGCTCGCGGCGCGCATTGCCATCTCGAACCTGCACAAGGAGACGTCGAAGAGCTTCTCCAAGGTCATCGAGAGCCTGTACACGTATGGTGAGTCGCGCTCTGCCGCCCAGCGCAGCGCCCATCGCTCACGCCTCCACAGTCAACCCGAAGAACAACAAGCTCAGCCCGATGATCAGCGAGGGCACGTACAAGTCGATCATGAAGAACCGCGACGTGCTCGACTCGGCGATCATCTACGAGCGCGACTTCCACTACGTGAGCATGCGCATAGCAAACGCGACGCGTCCGCGCGCGCGACCCTCCCGCTGACTCCGCCGCGCGCGCCGCAGAACTTCTTCGGCTTCAAGACGCTCGAGCGCTCGTACCTGCTGCGCATCAACGGCAAGGTCGCCGAGCGCCCGCAGCACATGATCATGCGCGTCGCCGTCGGCATCCACGGCGACGACGTCGACGCCGTCATCGAGACGTACAACCTCATGTCCGAGAAGTTCTTCACGCACGCGTCGCCGACGCTCTTCAACGCCGGCACGCCGCACCCGCAGCTCTCGTCGTGCTTCCTCGTGACGATGAAGGACGACAGCATCGAGGGCATCTACGACACGCTCAAGACGTGCGCCATGATCTCCAAGACGGCCGGCGGCATCGGGCTCAACATCCACAACATCCGCGGCACGGGCAGCTACATTGCCGGCACCAACGGCGTGTCGAACGGCATCGTGCCGATGCTGCGCGTCTTCAACAACACGGCGCGCTACGTCGACCAGGGCGGCAACAAGCGGCCGGGCGCGTTTGCCATCTACATTGAGCCGTGGCACTCGGATGTCTTTGAGTTCCTCGACCTGCGCAAGAACCACGGCAAGGAGGAGGTGCGCGCGCGCGAGCTCTTCTACGCGCTCTGGATCCCCGACCTCTTCATGAAGCGCGTCGAGCAGAACGGCGACTGGTCGCTCATGTGCCCCGCCGAGTGCCCCGGCCTCGCCGAGGTGTACGGCGACGAGTTTGAGGCGCTCTACGAGCGCTACGAGGCCGAGGGCAAGTGCAAGCGCACCATCAAGGCGCAGAAGCTCTGGTACGCCATCCTCGAGTCGCAGACCGAGACGGGCAACCCGTTCATGCTCTACAAGGACGCCGCCAACAAGAAGTCGAACCAGAAGAACCTCGGCACGATCAAGTGCTCGAACCTGTGCACCGAGATCATCGAGTACTCGGCGCCCGACGAGGTCGCCGTGTGCAACCTGGCCTCGATTGCGCTCCCGTCCTTCATCGACACGAGCACCAAGACGTACGACTTCAAGAAGCTGCACGCCGTCGCCAAGGTCATCTGCGCGAACCTGAACCGCATCATCGACGTCAACTACTACCCCGTCGAGGAGGCGCGCCGCTCCAACATGCGCCACCGCCCCATCGGCATCGGCATCCAGGGCCTCGCCGACGCCTTTATGATCCTCGGCCACCCCTTCGACTCGCCCAAGGCGCGCCAGCTCAACATCCAGATCTTCGAGACGATCTACCACGCGGCGCTCGAGCGCTCCTGCGAGCTCGCCGAGCGCGACGGCCACTACGAGACGTACCCGGGCTCGCCCGCCAGCAAGGGCATCCTGCAGTACGACATGTGGGACGGCGTCACGCCGTCGGACCTCTGGGACTGGGCCGCGCTCAAGGCCAAGATCGCCAAGTACGGCCTGCGCAACTCGCTCCTCCTCGCGCCCATGCCCACGGCGTCGACGTCGCAGATCCTCGGCTTCAACGAGTGCTTCGAGCCGTACACGTCGAACATCTACACGCGCCGCGTGCTCGCCGGCGAGTTCCAGGTGGTGAACCCGTGGCTGCTGCGCGAGCTCGTCGAGCAGGGCCTGTGGAACGAGGGCATGAAGAACCGCATCATCGCCCACGGCGGCTCGATCCAGAACGTGCCCGGCATCCCCGACCGCATCAAGGCGCTCTACAAGACCGTCTGGGAGATCTCGCAGAAGGCCATCATCGACATGGCCGCCGACCGCGGCGCGTTCATCTGCCAGTCGCAGAGCCTCAACATCCACCTGCAGGCGCCCACGTTCGGCCAGCTCACGAGCATGCACTTCTACGGCTGGAAGCGCGGACTCAAGACGGGCACGTACTACCTGCGCACGCGCCCCGCCGCCAACGCCATCCAGTTCACCGTGTCCGCCGAGGAGCAGGCCGCCGCCAAGGCAGCCAACGCTGCCGGCGCCAGTGCCAAGAAGATCGCTGCGGCGCCGGCCCTCGCTCCCGTGCGCGCGTCGCCGGCCCTCGCTGCACCGCGCGCCGCGGGCCCGTCGCTCGGCGCGCTTGACGCCGCCGTCGGCGGCCTGCCCATGAGCGCCGTGCCGTCGTCGTCGGTGAGCGTGTCGAGCTCCGACGGCGAGGTCGAGGCACCCGAGGCACGCGCACCGGCGCCGCTCGCCGCCAAGCCCGTCGCCCCGGCGCCCGTCGAGCCGGCCGCCGCACCCGCCGCTGCCGCCGCGGCCGAGGCACCCGTCGCCGACGAGGGCTTCGAGGCGGCCAAGGCTCGTGCGGCGCAGCGCGAGTACGAGGCCGAGAAGCTGGCGTGCTCGCTGGAGAACAAGGAGGCGTGCCTCATGTGCTCCGGCTAGACGTCTCTCCCCTCCCGGCCCTGCTTCCCGTCTTCGCTCCGCCCTGCATGCTCCCTGGTCCCGCCATTGTACACTATATCCGCTTCGTGTCTCCTCCGTCCCCGCGCGCATCGATGCCCGTCGTCGCCCCACCCCTCCTGCTCTGCCTCCCGGTCTCTCACGTCGCGCGGCCCGAGCAGAGCGCCCGCCGCGCGCTTGCGTGCCCGCTCCGGCCTGCCCACCGCTCCCGTCTTATGCTTTCTCTTATGACGACAATACAATGTGCATCGCATCGTGCTTCGTGCTGCTGATCGAGCCTGAGCTTGAGGAAGAGGGTCGGGCAGGGTGCTCGTCGGGATGCGGGAGCGCATGCGCCGCGCGCCGGTCCGGCAGGTCCGGCATGCCGCATGCCGCGCAACGCCGCACACTCCGCACTCACGCGTCGTGCAGCCTGCCTTCCGTCCACCATCTCGCAGCTCGCCCACCATGGCGGCGCCTCCACCCAGCGACGGCAGCAAGGGCAAGGGCAAGGCGCCCGCGGCTGCAGACGCGCAACCGCCCGCCTCAAGCCGCTCGTCGGCACCGCTCCTCTCGTACCTGCCCAGCGCCGCCGACCTCGCCTCGCTCATGGCCGGGCAGGGCAAGCCGGGACTGCAGCTGCCGCAGGGCCAGAGCGCCGCAGCGCACGAGCTCGGCGCCGACGCACGGAGCTCTGCAAGTGCCAGCGCACGGGCTGGCCAAGCCGGTTCGGGCCGCAGCGCGTTCCGAGAGGCCAACGCGGAGAGAGCCTCGCACTCTGGCGATGCAGAGATGCAGGCATTTGCCGCAGGTGCAAGCGCGAGCGCAGAGGAGGCCTGGAAGCCCGGACAGCTGCAGCGCGAGCTCTACGTCGGGCCATACGCATCCAGCTCGGCGCTCGACGCCGCCTTCCACCAGCACGTGCGTGCCTCTGAGGTCGAGCCGATGCGCTCCGCCACGAGGCAGCCGCAGCGGACAGCACTGGAGGCAAGGACTGCCCCACACTGCGAGCCGCGCTGCGATGAGATGCAGATGGCATGGGACGGAGCAGCAGCACCGGCGACGGTGTCCAGCAGCGCGAGTGCGCCCCTTGACTTCATGTCTGCGCTCGACGCCGAGGAGAGCGACGAAGTGTTGCATCCCGCGCCTTCAATACCCACCGATGTGCCGCCCGGGCTAGCGAGCGAATGGCGGCCACCGTCTCCGAGCCGGCCGCCAGAGATGACGGCCGAGCAGTTCCTGATGCACCGCGACTTGGCACATGCGCAGGACGACGACATCCCGACGCTGGCAGCGCCCACTGCGCGTGCCGATGCGCTCCACAACGTCATCGGCTCGCGTGCTGCCGAGCGCGTGCGGCCGGCAGACGACTTGCCTGGGCAGGGCGTGTACGCACCAACGCCCGAGGAGGCGTTTGCCGAGATACTGGGAGACGAGAGCCAGACGAAGCAGGAGAAGCACGGCGCCGTCAAGAGTCTCCGGACCTGGCTGGGCCCCGGCAGCTACGTCGATGTGAGTCGTGCAAGGCCGTGACAGCGCGATTGGGCTGACCGCATCTGCCGCGACAGGAGGTCTTTGGGTTCCCGCTCCTCTCGCGCACGCTGCGGGAGGCATCGAGGTCCGTGGCGCAAGACCCGGACCTCCAGGCGCGCGCTGTGGCCCGCCTCGAGGCGCTCACGCGGCACCTGAGCCTCTCTGGCTTGCGGCCGGGCGAGGCGAGCAACGCAGCGACAGCAGAGCGCTGGCTGCAGCAGCGCGTGGACGGTGGGGAATAGATTGTGCAGTTGAGCAGAGTGTACATGCATGTGTCCTTGCGCACCAGGCATCCAGTGAACGAGGCGGCTCTCTATCGTGGCATTCTAGTTTTCCCGACCGAGGCGGATCATGCCTCGGCCACACCGGCGACGACACTGAGCAGCATGCTGTCAACCTCGGGGTGCTGGTCGAGCAGGAATGCGTTCATCTTCTCGAACATGCCCAGCGACGCGCGCGAGCTCGCCAGGTGCCGGCTGCTCGGCCACATGCCCTGAGCGTCGAGCGCCGAGAAGTCGATCCACAGGCGCGAGGGATCGCGCGGCTGCGCTGACGGTGCTCCCTTTGCGGACGTGACGAGGTGCGTGTACGGGCGGCGATCTTGGCCTCGGGCACGCGCAGCGGCGAGCTCCTCGGGCGAGAGACGCAGCAGCATGGTGAGCGACCAGCTGTCGACGCCAGCGCGGCCCACCTCCTTGACGTGGTGGCGTTGTCGCCCGCCCGTGGGCGGCAGCACGTTCGGCAGGTCCCACTCGAGAATGTCGGCGTCGAAGGCCATGACGCTCCAGATCAAGCCCGGCTTGGTCACCTCGATCTGCGCAGGACGAGAGCGTCAGAGATGCAAAAGGAGGGCCCCAAACAGCAGCACGCACAGTGACGCGGCGTGTGCCGGCTGCCAGGTCCAGCGTCTCGTCCTTGGCCGTGATGAAGAAGCGGCTGCTCTTGGCTCCCTTGGGCGCCCAAAGCGACGGCACCGCGGGCGTGTCAATGTCGAACTTGTAGGGCGTGATGAACGCCGAGACGGGGTAGAGAATGTCGTATGCGCTGTTGTTCTCTGTGCAGAGCTGTCAGAGCAAGCTGGGTGCGAGCCCGGCATCACGCACCATCCATGATCTCGAGCTCGGCCACGGCGTGGTTGGGCGCAATGTGCGCGCGGACGTCCTCGACGAGCGCAGCAAAGTTCGGCGCAGCGTCGGCGTGGCCCATGTGCATTGTCCAGGCGCCGTCCGTGATGTTCTCGACCTGGTGAGCGAAGAGACGCTTGGGCGCCATCGGCGAGAAGGGCGTCATGGCGGGCGACGCGAAGATGGCGACCATGAGAGCGGAGATGGCCAGGAGGCCAACAATGGCGCGCACGAGGAACGCAGTGCCGTAGCGGTGCGAGAGTGGCAGCAGCATCGGCAGCGCCATGAAGGCGAGTGCCGCGACGATGGTCGCAATGATGTGGTCCGACGGCGAGATTTCGCCGGTGCGGCCTGCAGTGAATCGTCAGCAGGCATTCAAAGCCGCCCCACAGCTCGCACGCACCTGTCAGCGGGACGAACAGGTCCAGGAAAGCCACCGTGCCTGCAACACAGCGTCAGCACGGAAATTGCAGGGCCGTCCAGCTATCCTCACCCTCGCTGCCGAAGATCGCAGGCACAACCGCCAGGAGGAAGTAGGTGGCCGGCTCGACTCGCCGGTTCGCCGGATAGTGCTTGAGCTCGATGCGGCCGAAGCTCTGCAGAATGAAGTCGTTGGCAGTCGCGCTAGAACGGGCACGGGTCAGCAGGGGGCGGTGAAAAGTCGGACCATTTGCCTCACGCGAGGAGCGAGGTGATCGAGCCCAGCGCCAGAAGGTAGGCCGAGCCGATGCCAAATGCGTTGAGGATCATAAGGCCGAGCGTGTAGACTGTCCAAGCTCGTGAGTCAGCATCGCAGCATCAAAAGTGCTGTTCGAGACTCACTGGAGAACATCGCGGTGATGGTAGCGCGCTCGAGGTACGCCTTCGCATTGGCGTCGCGGAAGCACGAGCGGAGCGCCAGCTGCACTGCGAAGGAGCCGGCGATCGCCGGCGGGGCGTACAGTGCAATCGGCAGCGCTTCGTGCGAGTACCAGCTCATGCCCGAGTTGAGGCCGCGCGTCATCAGCAGGGCGACGGCGTTGGCGCTGACGAGCGAGACAACGAGTGAGAGGATCATGCCGAGCATCGCCGCCGTCGACGTGCCGAGCGCGTTGAAGTGCCGGTCAGCGCGCACCGTGGACGACATCAGGAAGTTGGCGTATGCCGAGAAGCCCTATATCGTGCCGGAAGTGTCAGCAATTGCGCCGTGGGCGGGTGGCGCAAGTGCCGCACCATGCTGAGCGCCTTCCACGATTTGTTGCTGATGTGCACGAAGAAGCGGCCGAAGATGGAGAAGTCTGCAACCATTCCAGCGTCAGCCAATCCCCTTGCGCTGCCCCCAGCTCCGACACGCACAGATCGGCGGCTTGCGGCGCGGGAAGGGCTTCGTATGCGCCAGCTTCGACTCGGGCGAGGCGGTGAGGTAGGACACAATGTCGAGCACATTGTCGCCGAAGTGCTGTGCCACGCCCGGCTGCACGTGTGCTGGAATGTCACGCCGCGTGTGGTAGAGGTAGCTGCGTCGTGTCAGCCGGAGGACGGCGCATTTCGGTCGAGGTGCGCCTCACCTGCTGCCGACGACGGCCATGTCGAGCATCTCGACGTGGCCGTACTCCTCGAACACGCGCGCGTCAGTGTCGCTGAGGATGATGCCCGATCCGAAGACATCGCTTCGCAGTGGTCATCAAGAGTCAGCCTCGCGCAGCACGGAGCGGCGAGGCGCACTCACTTGGCCAGCACGGTGCCGAACGGCCGGCGTGCCTGCGCGTAGCCGCGCAACAGCTCCTCGGACGAGGCTTGGAAGAGCAGCTCCGGGCCAGACACGCCGCACGCCTCGAGGTTGACGACGCCGCGGATCGAGCCACGCGTAGGCTCGTGCTGCGTGATGTACAGATGCGACGCTGTGACGCAGACGTGAGTGCCGCTCGAAGCGGAGGCGGCATACAGAGAGCTGCTCACCGTCTTGCAGCGACTCTTCGCCGTTGTTGAAGAGCAGCACAAGCGCATGACGCAGCGGCCCGACTGTCGGTGTCTCCTGCGACGTGTACAGCCGCAGCAGCTCGAGCATGATGCCGACGCCCAGCCCGTCGTCTGCTGCGCCCGGCGACGGCAGCGTCGAGTCGAGGTGCGAGTTGACGAGCAGCGCGTTCTCCTTGGCTGCCGGGTTATCGGCCGGCGAGACACGCACAATCAGGTTGGACATCGAGTAGTACTTCTTGAACACGGAGGCGGACATGAAGTCGAAGCTGCGAGCGGGTGTCAGCGTTGATGCGCTTGATCTCGCTGCCAGGCGTCTGGAGCCCCCAGCCGCTTCCAGCCGCTCGGAGCCAGAGCTACGGGAATAGCATTTCCTTCGATAGCCGCACAGGGTACAGCTTGTCCAAGCGCGGCCCGGCCATGCGGCCCTGCTGCAGTCCTTTGCGCCTCGAGCGAGCCGTGTCGCACGACACTCACCGGTGCGCACCGTCTCCAATCTGCGTCCACACTTCCACCTGCACGTCGCCCCACTGCGTCTTGTGAACGCCCTCGTAGGCGCGCAGCTTCTTCTCGAGCCACTCCTCGGCGTCGACGTGCTCCTTCGTGCCGACGATGCGGTAGCCGAAGTCGTATGCGAGCACGCGCATCGTCTCCATGGCGTTTGCCTCGGCGAAGCGGCCCGGCGCCTCGGCCTGCGGCTTCGGCAGCGAGTAGTGCAGGCTCAGCGTGAGCGCAGAGAGCGCGACGAAGAAGGCGAGCAGGTAGCCGAGCAGGCTCAGCGAGGGCCGCGGCGCCAGCGCCGGCGATGCCGGCTCGGTAGGCGCGCCCGGCGCCGGCTCTGCACCGGGCGCGGCGGCGACGGCACCTGGCGTGCCCGCCTTAGGTGCTGGCGCGGTGCCGCCTGTGCGAGCGACGGATTTGCGCTTTGACGGCATGCTTGGGGAGGTGGTGGGAGTGGGAGCCAGCGTGCGGGGTAGAGGCGACCCCCTTGGCTGGGCGGCAGCTTCTTCCGGCGCGCCGCCAGAGCAGGCACGTTGGCGCGTGCACGCAGCTCCGCCAGCAGCGCCGAATCTTCTCGCGTGCAGAACAATTCGCGGCCTCGTGCGACCTCGGCGTGCGCTGCTGCATCTCGCCCTTCCTGCCTCTCCTCCACCATCATGTCGCTTCTCCGGCCCACCTTTGCGCGCACACCGCTCGCCGGGCTCTCCCGGTCGCTCCACAGCAGCGCTGTGCAGCGGCAGGCGCCCGCGCCGCAGGCGACGATGCCGGTGTCGCAGGCGCTGGCGCGCACCGAGGTGCCGCGCACGTCTGCCGAGTGGGCCGCCGCCTACCCGCGGCACCCGCTGCTCGCCTTCTTCCACACCGCGCCCGTGCGCCTCGAGTCGTCGCACCCGCTGCATCCGTCCAACGCCCCCGGCGCGCCGCGCAACGCCTCCAAGGCCGCGACGGACGTGCAGCTGCCCGCCGTGCTGAGCAAGGCGGACCTCGAGAAGGAGCGCGCCAGCCGTTCGTGGGCGACGCCCGAGCTGCGCACCAAGAGCTCGTTTGAGCTGCACCAGCTCTGGTACCTCTGCCTCGTCGAGCGCAACGTGCTGGCCACGAGCTTTGAGGAGCTGCGCTGGACGGGCGCGCGGGCGCTGGCGCGCATGAACAACTCGAGCCTCGGCTTCCGGAATCGCAAGGTAAGCCTGCTACCCATCCGCCGGGCATCGGACGCAGCAGACGCAGTGACTCCGCATGTGCGAGCGTATCGCTCGCCGCTGATGCGCACGGTACTGAAGCGCCGTCTCGTCATCTGCCACTTCGTGCCCTGTCCTGCCCCGGGCCCCTTCGCTGACCATGCGTTGCCCGCTCTCGCTCACAGCTGCGCAAGACGATGGCGCGCATCAAGTTCGTGCTGAACGAGCGGCGCATCGCGCTCGAGGAGGCGCGCTTCCGGGCGATGCAGCGTGAGGAGGGCGTGGAGGACCTGGACCAGCAGTTGCTGGCGGCAGGGCAGCCGGACGTGGTGGCGGGCGGCGGCATGTTCGAAGAGCCGGCGCCGGAGACGCCGCCGAGGCTTTAGCAATGCACCTGCAGGATACATGAGGCTGTGACGGGGCATCTCTGCGAGCACGAATGGTGCTCTGCGTGTGGATCACGCTACGTGGTTCACACAGACCGCGATGAAGCCTGTCGCCGCTTCGTCACCGCTGTGTCTGTCTGAGCCTGGCGCTTCACATCTTACCGCTACAGGGCAGGCATGCGCAGCTTGTCGCGTGCCACTCGGCCTTTGGCGAGGCTCGGCAGCACGCATCTCGTCGGCGTGACCGATGGATTACTTCGCAAAGAGGCCCTTGAAGCCCTTCATGCCCTCCTTCTCCTTCTCCTTGACCTCCTTCTCCACACGCTCACGCTCGCGCGCCACTTCCGGATCCTGCAAGCGCGCCTCGAGTTCTCTGAGCACCGCGAGCGCTTCTCTGGAGCGTCCGAGCTCGCGGAAGGCCTTGGCACGGCGGAACGAGGCCTTGGCGTTGTTCGGGTTCGACTTTAGCGCATCGGTGGAGAGCTCGAGAGCGCGCGAGGGCTTCTTGAGCTGTGAGAGCTGGTCAGCGTGCCGTCTGGAGGACTCTGAAGCGATGTAGATACCTGGAGATAGCAAGCTGCCATCTGCACGGACTCGTAAGCGACAGTCCGCGCGCATGCGACGCAACGCTGCACTCACGTTGCTCTGCACTAGCGACAGCTGCTTCTTGTCCTCTGATTCAGCAAGCCTCAGCGTCAGCCACAAACGGATCTGTCAGAGTGCAGGCCGTGGGCATGTCGCACCAGTCACCACGTCCTCTGCGCCCTCGGTCTTTTCGATCTGTGCTGCACTCGGGCCCAGGAACTGGGACAAGGAAGCCGCTGTGATGCCTTGCAGCGCCTGGTGGAGAATAGGCAGCGGGAGCTCAGCTGGGCAGCTTGTGTCGACGATTGAAGCGCGGCCACGGTATTACACAAGCTCGTGGGTCGGTTCGTCGATGAAGACTCCCGCCCTTCCATCGAGGGCCGAACGATCACGAGTGCGTGAGAGCTGCGCTGCGACACTTTTCTCTCTGTAGAGGCGAGCCAGTGCACAGCTGCGCCTACCAGCAAGCGCGCAGCTGAGTCTGTCGACGGCGACTCGGACCCGTCGCTGCCTGAAGCAATGCTCGAGGCAACAGCACGCCCTCGTCACTCACCAGCAGCGCACACCAGTACTCCTTGAGGGCGCCCTGGGCACTGCCGCCCACAAACGCCGCGTTGCCGGCCTCGCGGTGCGCCGCTGCGCGTGCGAGCTTCTCGTCGTACGAGAGCGGAGGCGCCATTGCGGTATGCAGTGTACGCAGGACAAGCGAGGTATAGGCAGCCAGCAGTGGAGAGGGTGATGAGTGTGTGAAGCACAGCTGTGCGCGCCGCGCCGTGGCTGCGCAAGCGGCGCGCGCCCCATGTGCAGCCGCTCTCCGTCTGCTGCGGCCGCGGCGGCGCGCGGCGGCGCGGCCGCGCCCCTTGGCGCAACGCGAAACGCGACACATGATGCTGCTCCGTGCGCCGCCGGCCTCATCTCCACTCCGCAGCGCACGTCCTACCGAGCGCATCAAGGACAGCCTATACAGCACAGCACCGGCCCTGCGTGGCAGTAGTAGTCATGCATTGCCCGCTGCTGGGCTGCAGAGAAAGAGACGCAAGTGTACACGCGGCAGGACTAGAGCGATCCGGAGAGGGAGCAGGCACGCGGGCGCGCAGACGGGGTAAATATGGAGCAGCCAGCCTAGTCCTTGACCGCCACGGAGCCAAGCGGAAGCGTGAAGTACGCTGGAGAAGGAGGCGTGAGCGGGTGAAGCGCTGTGTGGACGCAGCAGGAGGCACGCACAGATTGTTGGCGTGAGCAGCGAGCCGAAGGCAAGGTAGTACGCGACCAGAGCCGTCGCTGCGCAGGCACACAGCGTCAGCAGTAGCTCAATTAAGCCTTCGAACGTAACTCACCAATGCCAAATGCGCCGCCGGCCGTCTCGAGCTTGACGTTGCCGGTGTAGTAGAAGGAGCCGAGCAGCGCAAACGTAATGTCGAGCAGCACGAGCAGCACAATGAGCGTGATGGAGGAGCGGGCGGCGCCGATGGTGACGATGAGCGTGATGCCGAGCCAGACGAAGAGGAAGAGGCCGATGGCGCTCTCTGCCTCGGCGGCGGCCGAGCCAGTCATGCTGTACACGCCGGGCACGCCGTCGTACGTGCCCATCTCGCCGAAGAACTGCGGGCGGGCGGGTAAGCGAATAAGAATGCGGAGGCACAGCGAGCGCAGCACGCACCGGAATGAAGATCATGCTGAAGCCCCACCAGAAGCAGCCGTAGCAGACGAAGATCGTCGCGCCCAAAGTGTTGCCGGAGCAGAACTCGAGCAGGCCGGCGAGGTACTGCACGGTGCCGCCGTAGAAGAGCGAGAAGGTGAGGACGGCGTTGGGCACGGTGATGCCGTCGACGCGGATGTTGTAGAGCGAGAGTACGAGCGTCGTGGTCGCGAAGGACATGGCGCCCTGGCAAGATGCATGTCAGCGTGCGCCTCGGAGGGGCGCTGGAGGCCGTCGGCTCACCATCGGCAGCGGGTTGGCAAGCTTGCGGTGCGAGGCGCCAATGGCCACGAGGTCGTCGTTGACAATGTGGCCGCCGGGCGTGACGGCTGCCGGGGAGCGTCTCAGCATGCTGCGTGTGCGCTCTCGTCGTTGGCGGCGCCCGACTCACCGCGGCCAACCTGCTGTCCGCCCTGGAACTGCCCGGCGCCCTGCGCCTTCTCGGCGCCGTGCTCCGGGTCGTGCTGGTGCTGGTTGACGACCGACATTGCTGGGCTGGAGGTGTGGGTGGACAGGCTTGAGGAGAAGGGCGAGATGGTGGTTGTGGTGAGAAGGGCAGCGAGCGGTGCGGCGGGCTGACGGACACCGGGCGCCTCTGCCCTTACGGGGGCCTCTGCCCGTCACAGCCGGCGTACAACGCCATGCGCTGCTGCCTGGCGGTCCCGAGTGAGTGACGCTTGCGGGTGACGCTCTGCTGCTGCTCCAACCTGCTGGCCTCTCCACTGATGCTGGCGCTGGAGGCTGCGATTCCGCCGTGCTCGCATGCGGGGTGCGGGGTAGCTCGCTGCTGCTGGCCGCGGCTGCGCAGGAGCACCCTCGACAAAAGCAAGGCGCCGACCAAGCCCACGAGCCAGCACCAGCTGCAGCGCCAGGCGTGCAGTAGCGCGGCCGCTGCCGCCATGCCCGAGGCAGATGCGGGGGAACGGCCGCTCTGCCTCCATCGCAACCCCTCGGCGGCTTGTTGCGCCCCCTCCACCTCGCTCGCTGCGGTCGACCCTCGCCGCGCCGGCAGAGCGCAGCGGCAGCGGCGTCTCGCCGTCGATGCCGCGGGTCGGCGGCCGGCGGACTCTGAATCTGCGGCTGCAACGCGGGGTAAGGCGCTGTGCCGCACACGGCTCACCCTCACCTCCCTCCTCCTCGAGCGGCGTGCGGATTCGCCGATCTGTCGGACGCGCTAAGCTGCAAGCATGACGCCTGCGCGTGCGCAAACGAGACGCAGCTCGCATGACATGTCGTTGCCGCATCTCGCATGCCTGGCCGAGGCACCAATCGGCTGCGGCGGGAGCAAGCACGAAGGAGAGCTTGGGAGCCGAGCGAGCGCCGTCGTCACCTCAGACGCTGCAATCAGAATGCTGCTGGCCGCGCCACGTCTGCACTGGCCGCCCTCTGCCGTCAGCTGCAGGCGACACGGGTCAGAGAGCGGCGCTTGTGCTTATTGCGCCTGTCGCAGCTGCACGTCAGAGCGGCAGCGAGCCGGTGCAGCGAGGAGGTCGTGGGCGACGGCATATGGCCGCACGTTGGCGCGAGTGCGTGCGTGTTGGCCCTCCCTTCCTCTGAGATGCCGCGGCGCGCTGCGCGAGCCGGCGGCGCGGGGATGGCGGCTCGGACGGCGCAACGTCTGCAGCTGCGTGACCGTGCGATGCCGCATGCCGGCTGCGGGGGCGGCATGCTGCCTGCCTGCACGGCCAAGGGCAGCATCGTCAGACGATCTGGTGCCGTCCTGCGCCCTTCTCGCACCAGCCCAAATGTGGGGTAGCGCTGCGCTAGCGATCGGCCGAGCGAGCAGGAGGACGTGCTGGCGCCAGAAGGTCAGCGAGGCATGGCGGATACGACGGCGCTCGCACAGCCGCGTCCCTTCAGCGCTACAGCGCAGGCTCTCGTTGTGCCGCACCGGCTTGCGGCACGATGCCTCCGGACACGCAGCAGCAGAGGCGGATAGGGTCGAAGGCACAGATACACGGCCGCAGCCTTCAGGTGACATGCGATCCGAGAGGCGAGTCTAAGGAGGTGCGCAGCGTCCACTCGACTGGCGGTGCAGGAGCGCGGGGGTGGAGGCATGCATGGCAGCAGCAGCATGTCGGCGCTGCAGCGGCGTTGCGGTGACTTGCTGCCGCTGCCGAGGGCAAATCGCCATCGGCACATCCGCCCGCCGCATGTGCCGCCAGCATCAACGCAGCGGCGAGACGCAGCAGCCGCAGCGCGATGCGGGGTTGGTGCAGCGCGGCAGCGTTGGTGCGCCGTGGGCCGCCGCGACGTCGCGCCGCTCCCCTCGCGCAGGCCCCTGGACCGGCGGTGCAGCAGCGCAGCACCAGCAGTGCAGATGCTGCCTCGGGCATGCGCGATGGCTGCCACTAACGCAGCACAGGCGCTGCACGGCGGATGCGGAGCAGGCAGCGCCCGTCATGACGCTGCCGCGAGTGGAGAGTCGACGGCCAGCCCCAGCACGGCGTTGGGCTGCCCGCTGCACCGCCCGCCTTGCTCGTCGACGTCTGGCGCTCTCGCTCCTCTCCACCACCACCTCCCAAGCACCCTCACCCCCGCCGCAAGCTCCACCATGTCGCGCACCCTCAAGCAGCAGATGGGCCTCGAGGCCGACCCGCACGCGCCCGAGCACGTCATGACCGGCGGGCAGCGCCTTACCAAGGTCTACACGCAGGGCGGCCACGAGCAGGACAGCGGCCAGCCGGGCCTGCCCACGTACCACCGCCGCATCGCCAACCCCTTCCCGCTCTTTGCCATCGGCATCGGCGCCTCGCTGCTCATCCTCGGCCTCGTCTTTGTCGAAGTGCGCGGCCTGCGCAACCCGCAGATCTTCCTCAACATCGGTGCGTCGCCCGGCGCCGCAGGCTCGCATATGACTGACCGTCTTGCTCTCCAGGCCTACCGCTCGGCGGCGTCGGCGTGCTCACGGCCATGGTCTTCTCCTTCGTCGAGGGCAACACGTTCCTCACCACGGCCGCCGGCTCGCTCGGAGGCCTCGTCGGCGGCGTCAGCCTCATCTTCCTGCCGTGGACGGGTATTCAGGGTGAGCGACATGAGATAGCACAGGCCTGCACAGCGTCTGACGCAACCCTTGCGCGCAGCTACGTATGTCGAGGAGGCGGGCGGCGTTGCGCCGGGCACCATTGCCCTCTACCAGGTACGTCTGCCGGCCCGAGCCCGCCTCCGATCGCGCACTCACACATGCTTGCCCCAGGCGCTGCAAGTCGTCTTCCTCGTCGCCTTCGTGCCCGTCTTTGCGGTCTTCGTGTCGAGCTTCAAGACGGCAGCGCCCGTCTCGTTCTCAGCCCTGCTCATCGTCATTGCGCTCTTCCTCCTCGGCGCCGCCTTCAAGGACTTCCCGCGCGAGAGCCTGCAGACGGCTGCCGGCGCCCTCTTCATCGTTGTCGGCGTGTCGCTCTTCTACAGCGCCACGAGCGTGCTACTGGCGGAGGAAGGCATCAAGTTCCTGCCCGTGCTGCCGCTGCCGCGCGGCGACTAGACGCTGCTTCTGGCTGTCTGCTGCGCCTCTTCGCCCCGTGTCCTGCATCCCCATCCCCCGGAGCGCAAGCCTGCCTCTCTGCCCGTGACCTGTCCCCGCGCTTGTGCGCCCCTGCTATATCAATTATTTCTCTCGATCTGTGTGGGGCGCCGCGTCTCCGCTGCGCTGCAGCGCATGGCCGTTCTCTTCGCCATCGCAGGCACACGAGACAAGACATCTGACACAACCCCGCAGGTGCTGTCAAAGGAATGCATTTGCAGAGCAGCGAGCAGGACAGGCACAGCAAGGAAGAGGTATGCGGGCGCAGCAGGCGCACGTGGCGCAGGGGCGGTATCGAGCGGAGCAGGAAGCATATGTACAGGGCAGAGGCATCACTACTGGCCGACGATGGCCAGCAGCATGCGCCCAAAGTCGCCGCTCGTCTCGCCGTCCACACGGCTGCGCAGGCCCTTCTTGTGCACGCTGCCGGCGTATACCTGCTTGATGTGGGCAAAGCGCTGCACGTTCCACGATGCACGGATCTGGGCACAGCGCGGTCAGGTCAAGCTCGAGCGGTGTGGCAGCAGAAGCATCTACTCACGAGGCGGTACGCGAGCCGCTCGTCCTTCGTGCCCATGCCGGCCATCGACGCCTCGATCAGCCGTGCGTCGCGCTCGACGCCCCAGCCGTCCTTCTCCACGCCGTTGGCAATGTACAGCAGCGCGTCCTTCATGTGGCCCGAGAACTCGCTCTCGACCATCTTGCTGAGGCCGTTGCTGCCGTACGCGCGTGCAATGGCCTGCAGGTGCGGCGTGGAGCGCGACACGAGGATGGAGCAGATGGCGATCTCGTCTGTGCCGGCGCCGCGTGCAGCCGACTTGAGGGCCTTGACATCGGCCGAGACCTGCGCCGAGTCGACGGGCGCCGCATCCTCCTGCCGCGCGCCGCCGAGCGCCATGGTGAAGAGCCGCTTCGTCTTCTGCGTGTGGGAAGCGCGTGAGCTGCGGCTCCGTGTCGCAGCTGAAAGCACACGCACCATGCTGAGCTCGCCGTCAACGACCTGCACGAGATCCTTGCCGTACACGGCGCGGTAGGCCTGCTTGAGAATGTAGATGTCGTTGTTGGTGCGCAGCAGCAGCAGCTCGTTGAGCAGGTCCTCGTGCGTGCCGAGCCCGTCGCAAGCGCGGTGCAGGAGCCACACGTCGCCGCCGACGGGGCCAAGAGCCTTGAGCCGCAGCGCGTACTCGAAGTAGCCAGACGTCTGAAGCAACGACGTCAGGCTGTACGCGCGGTGCTTGCGCCGTGACTGACTCACCTCCTTCTCGATCACCTTGATGAGGTCCTTCCCCACTGTCATGCGGAACTGCTTCTCGACAGCATCGGCTGCGAAGGCGTCGAGCGGGGCAAGCGCGCTGTGATGAGGTAGTCAGTATGACGAAATCGCAAGACGACAAGGGATGGGAGAGGCTGGGTGCGCAGCGTGCAGACTGGACAGAGCGGAGCGCTCTCCTTGCAGCTCCGCGGATGCCGAGCGAGCGAGCCGCTGCGCATGACCGCCCTCTGAGGCGTTGGACTCACGCAATCAGCGACTTCTCGTCGGTGCCGAAGCCCTTGGTCGCCTTGCGGATCTGCTCGACGGTCGCCATCGTCGCCGGGTTCCCGCCCGCGGCAGCAGGCGGCGCGCCGGGCGGCGGCGGGATCGGCAGGCCGTTGTAGGTGTAGCCGCCCTGGCCAAAGGCGTGCGGCGGAGCCTGAGGCGCGACCTGCATGGGGGGCGGGGCGTGCGCTGGCGCTGCGTGCGCTTGCGGCGCGCCATACGGGTTGGGTGCGGGTGCGCCGTATGGGTTCGCTGCTGGTGCGCCGTACGGGTTCGGTGCTGGTGCGCCGTATGGGTTGCCGGGCGGCGCGCCGTAGCCCTGCTGCGGCTGCTGCGGGTACCCTTGCGGCGGCTGCTGAGGGTAGCCCTGCGGCGGCGGCTGAGGGTAGCCCTGTTGCGGGTAGCCGCTGTGGAAGCCCGTCGGCGGCGCGCCCGGCGGCGGCGCATAGCCCTGGCCAGGCGGGCCGGGCGGCGGCGCCCACTGCTGGCCGCCGTGCTGCGGCGGCGGGCCGGGCGGGGCGCCGTACGGGACTTGAGGTGCGCCGTTTGCGTAGGGGTTGGACATGGCGGGCTGTTGTGCGAAGAGGATGTGGTGGTGGGTCGGGCGGCGGTGGGTGCCGAGCGCGCGGCTTATGAGGCGAGCGGCGCCAAGGCGAGCACAGCTAGCTCAGCACACGGGCTTCGCAGCCCCGCACAGCCTCACCACGCGCGCTGCGTGCAGGTGGTCCGCGCGCCCAGACTGACAGCGCCGCGTGGGAACACATGACGCACCGCGCGCCGCTGCGCCCGCTGCACCGCCACATCACCCCCCATCTGGTCGTCACAGCCACACCTGAGCCGCCACGTCTCGCTGCAGGTTCCACTCCAGTCGCTTATCCATGGCCGGTGCGCGGTGTTAACTCGAGGGCACTCACGCGGCCAGGCCCGGGTGCCGGTGCGCGTCCGAGGTTCTGCAGAGAGAGGCACGGCGCGCTCGCGGATGTGGCGCGCAGTCGACCCAGCATCGCCGTGATCCCTCGTTCGCGCAAGCTGTCGCCGCCAGGGGGCCACGAGATGGTACTTTTGGCATCAGAATCATCTCCCAGGCGCAGTTGCTGGTCGGGCGAAGGACGGAGACAGTCTGAGTACGAGCCGCTGAGCAGAGCTGAGCTCAGTGCCCTTCAGTCTGTGCCGCGTGCTTGCCCGACTCGCGGCAGGTCATGCTCCCTCGAGACTGTTGACCATGCCCTCGAGACTGTTGACCATGGGTCGCCAGTGCGTCCCAGCACGCTATGTCAGGAGCAGAGAGAGCACATCCCATCTCCCATCTGTACCTCCCATCTCACGCTCGCCAGACGTTGGCACCCGAGGAACGCTTGCGACAGCTGTCAGCTGCGGGGGCTGAGACCAGATACTCGCAGACGGTGCGACCACGAGGAGCCCCAACGCCGAGCCGCCAGAAGCACGGCTGCAGATGCATATCACGGTGAGGACTTGGCCCGACAGCTGCATTCCGCAGAGCACAGGCGGGCGCAGCGGGTGGTGGTGGTGCGGAAGTGAGCAGGTGACGGCGGCGAGTGCAAGGCAAATGGGGGGGGGGGGGCGGCGCGCGGCCCGACGCGGCCGACAACGCCGAACGCGCCGGCACAACAAAGCACGTGATCTCGCGCCGCGCGGGACCTGCACGGCCTCGCGCGCGCCGCGCCTCTGCTGCTGCTGGGCTACGCGTGGCAGGCGTCTCGCTGCTCTCCTGCAGCCCGCAACGCACCTATGTCTGGCTGCAGCTACTGCCTGCGCTCTGGACTCTCCGCTTCTCGCGCCAGTGCTTCATTGCGTCGCCGTAGCACAGACGAGCTTGACGCCTTGCCTTCGCTCGAGCACCTGGGAAGGTCACGACGTTGCGTCTCTCAGGCTTGAACAGCAGTGGTCAAGCACACTCCAAGCTCTCTGGCCTCTTGGCCGGCGTCTCTCACATGTGGCGGGCCGTGTAGCATGCTCCACGCGCCCTCCAATGCGCCCGAAGGGGCGGTCTGGAGCGGCGTGGTGGCCTGCGTAGGCGCCTGTGCGCCCACAGCATGAAGACATCGTGCGCATCTGTCGAGGCCTCGCAAAGTTGACCGTGAGACACGGGCCGCTCTCTGGCGTTCACGCTGTGAGTGCAGTCCGTGCTTCTCATGCGCAGGAGCATGCGTGTGATCTCTCTCTCAGGCTGTCTCGCGAGGCTGTTCGAGGCTTGTGCACCATGACAACGCGTGACAACTAGGCGCGCGCAGGTCTGGCGCGCTGCTGCAGAAAAGCTCGCTGAATCGGCGCGCGCGGCGGCATTAGGCGCGTGTTCATTTTGTGCCGCAAGAGCCCGTGCATGCGTTTTCGGCGTGTGCCGCGCCGTCGCGCGCTGCAACCGGGTAGATACGCGCCAGCACTGCGCATCGATGCCTGTAGAGGTCTCTCCCATGCGCTCGGATGCCCGCAGAACTTGTCTATAGGTGTCTGCCCACCCGCCGCACCGCTGGCAGTGAGGTGCGATAGATGATCAGGAGAGTGTCTGCCGGTACGAGGGCGCGTCAGCGGACGCAGGCATAGTTGGTCGCACTGGGCGCAGAAGCTGACCCGTCACCCAGACGACGGATGAGACGATAGCCTGACGCACTCGCACTGGCGCACGACACAGCCGCCCGCAGACAAGACACACGCCATCGCTCGTTAGATCATGCATTGCGTTTCGTTCACAAGCAGGATGCAGCATCCCGTCTCCGGACCGGTCCCCTCTCCTGGCACAGCCGGCGCCACCTGGGTGTAGAGAGCGCACGGTCACCACTTGCCCTCGTAGTTGTTGACGCTGGGAGTGAACGACCAGACGCCCTGCGCGTTGACGACGTTGACGACGAAGAAGCGCGAGCGGCCGACCTGCCGTGTGCCGGTGGAGACGGTGACCGACGTGCTGGGCGCCTGACGGGGCGCAGGGGTGGGTGAGCGACGCGTCGGAGGTGTGCGCGCGAGCTCGACTCACCTGCACGCGGCGGCCGCGGATGGTCGTGTAGTAGCTCGTCTCGCCTGCACCGCCGGTGTATGTCTGGAGGATGACGCTGTACGAGGCTGCGCCCGACACGGCGGCCCAGCTCAGCTCGTAGTCGCCGGCGTCGTTGGTGCGGCGCGCCGCCGTGATGCGCGCCTGGGCGGGGCGCGAGACGCCGCGCGTGACGGCAATCTGCCGCGACTTGAACCAGTTCTGGCCGTTGTTTGCGCACTGGATGCCCGACGGCTTGACGATGTAGAACTGCCAGCTGACGGGTGCGGCGCCGTTGCGGCACACGTTGGTGAACTCGTGGACCGAGATGTAGTCGCTGCGGCGGCGTCGAGTGGGTGAGCTCGGGCAGCACACCGGCGATCGCTCGAGCAGAACTCACCCCTCGACCTGCGTGGTGCGGTAGTTCTGGCCGCCGCTCGTCGTGTAGTCCGGGTCGCTGACGGCCAGGCGGCCGAAGTCGCGGATGGGCTCGTGCTCGACGCTGGGAGAGCGGTGCGTCAGCCCTGTGCGGCCGCGTCGCCGACTGGTCTGTGCTTACCGAGATCCGTCGGCGTAGATGGCGTCGAAGGCCCAGTTGTAGATGACGCTGCGGCGGTCGCGCAGCATCGACAGCTGCGCCGTGCAGTCACCAAAGTCGAAGGCCTTGAACTCGCCGGGCGGGAAGTGGGCGCAGCGTGCCGGGTTCGAGCGGTCCTCGCGCCACTCGAAGCTGTACTTGGGGTCGTTGGGGTCGAGCGCGCGCTTGGAGAGGGCCGCAGACTCGTCGCGCTGCTCGGCCAGCACCGGCGAGGCGGCGGCGTGCGACAGGCAGGCGAGCGCGACGAGGAGAGCAGAGGCGGAGAAGCGCATGGCGGAGCGGAGGCGGCTGTGAAGGACGACGGTGGGCGCAACGAGAGCGAGCGAAGGCACCGGCTATTTGTACCCCTGCCTCTCAGTCAGTGATGTGCTTGTGCGGGCCTGGCTTGCGGCTGGCACGGGCGTGCTGCTCTGTGACGCGGCCCGGGACGTGCGGGCAACGCTGGGCGCTGCTGCGCCTGCGACGGCACCGTGCATGGCCGCTCCCGAGGATGCAGACGTGGACAAGGTGATAGCGGAGCGCGTGCCTGAGGCTAATGCAAGCCAAGAGCCGGCAGAGAGGGCGTCCGGGAGAGTACGCCGACGGAGGAGGGATGGGGGCGAGAAGGAAAGGCGCGGCCCCGCGTTCGCACGGCGCCTGACGTCACGCGCGGGCGCGCTGTGCGGCCAGCTGCTGCCGCCGGCCGCAGCGCCGAGGCGCGCTAGAAGGCGGAGCTCGCACCCAACGTTCGCCCTCGCCCAGAGCAACACCATCGCTTGCTGTGCGAGGGGTGCGGAGGCTTCATGCTTGCAGCGCCAGGTCTTGGCAGATCTGCGCGAGCCGGCGGAGCTTTGCATCTGGCGGAGCACCACGCATCTCGCATCCCAGCCTGCGCTGCGGTACCGGCGACCTCGATCGCGAGCTGCTGCAACACCGCGTCGCTGATGCAGCGGCAGCGATAAGCTGCGTCCTCGCCGCAGCAGCAAGCAGCACGGCCTTCAGGGAGCACACGGGCAAGAACACCGCTCAGAGCTCCGCCATGCGATCGCAAATGCACTCCCATTGCGCCCGACGGCGGCTGCCTACCACGCCGGCGTTCCCACGACGACGCTCCCGACGGCCGTCGAGAACGCCGCAATCGAGACGGCGACGCGCACGTTGTGCAGCGCAGCCCACCTGCGAGGAAGTCGAGCAGATCAGGACTTTGATCGCGCCGCAGCTTCTCTCTTTCTCTCTCTCTCCCCCTCTCTCTCCGCGTGGAGTTATGCACCCACTTTTTGAAAAGCGACTCGACCTCGGGCGCCTGGACCTCCTCGCCCTTGTTGGCCGCGATGCGCAGCTCGGCCAGGCGCATGTTGACGGGCATGATGCAGAGCAGCGTGAAGGGGATGATCGACACGTGCAGCACGCTGGCGCCGAGCAGCCAGCGCCGCAGCGGCACTGCGGCGTGCTGTCCGGCGCCAGCCAGCGCACAAGCTGCTGATACAGCAAATACGGGGACATAATGGCCGAGACCGTAGGCCCGATTCCAGAGCGTCAGGCGCTGCGCAAGGTTGAGGTTTGCGCTCGCGGCGGCGGGCATGACGGCGTCGCCCTGCGCCGAGGCGAAGTGCGGGTTGACGAGCAGCGGGAACGCGAGCGCCAGGCCTGCACCGCGGCGAGGTCAGCACGGCGTCCTGGCCCTCGCTGCTCGGCGCACGCACCTGAGGCGAGGCCAGACGCCACGAGGCCGACGGCACACAGGCGCAGACGCAGCATGCTGGAGATGCAGAGGAGAGGGCAGGCAGCGTCTGGGCGTTGGAGGAGATGCGTCGCACGGAGACGGCTGGAGGCGGGATGCAGGAGGTCGCGAGGGAGCCGGCCGCGGCATGGCGGCATTCGCCAGCGAGCGCATCCGCGCCCAGCACCGCTTTGCCAGCCCGGCGCCTCTTCAGACGCACCTCGCGGTCCGCCTGCGCACGGACCCTGGCTGCGCACCGCAGACATGCTCACGCCTTTGTCTTCTGCATGCTCTCACCCGCAAGCCATCCGCCTCATGCTGTGGTCTACAGCGCCTCACGGCCCGGCTCACAAAGCCGCGGCGCGTGTGCGGTTCCGGCACGGCGCTGCAAGCTCTGCCGGGCTCTTCTCGCAGGGTTATCCCAGTCACCCGTGCTCTGTGCACGCAGTTGATTTCCTCCATGCCTCCCTGTCTGCCGCACATGCCATCACTTTGTCATGTCGTGGCCCCAGTTGGCGAGGCTCTTGAAGCTCTTCGTCTCGCGCAGCTCGGCCTCGCTCTTCTTGTCCTTGAGCTGCGACTCCTCTGGGCGCCGGCAGGGCATGTCAGCAGACGCAAGGCGTCCCAAGACCCGATAGGCACTCACGGGCCAGGTGGCGCTTGCAGTACGAGGCGACCTTGCGCATGTGGGCCAGGTCCTCGTCTGGAGCGCCGCAGTGTCAGCCGCTGCTGCAACGCCCGCTGCGCACGGCACGCACCCGTGTACTTGCTCGGGTCCTTCTTCGGGTTACGCTGAAGGATGTCAACGATCTTTCGTCCACTTTGATGTCCTACGCTCTCATCGCCGTCGCCCCAGCCGGCGCCCTGCGAGTCCTCCGTCTGGCGGCGCGTGCGGGTCAGCCAGCCGCGCTTGGCCGCCTCCGCTGCAGCCGGCTCACCTCAAGCCACGCCTCGAGCTCCTTGACGGACATGTTCACATACTCGTTGAACTCCTCGATGACGGTGTCGTCAGACTTGCCTGGCATGATGTCGCTTGGGGATGCTTGGAGGTGGGGTGGTGGTGGTGAGAGGCTGGGCACGAGGCCCATCCGGTGCCCGTCTCAAGCTTCTCAGGCTGTGTCAGCTGCAGCACCTGCTGCGTCTGCCGAGCGGCTGCTTCGGCCTGCGAGCTGTGTCTCTGCCGTTGCATGGGGCATCAAAGCGGCAAGCGGCGCTTTCCCCCGCACAGCAGCGCAGCTGGGCAGAGCAGCCGCTCAGGGCCGCATGACGCACGCGTGTGGACCCTGCGCCTTGATCGGCGTTGGCGCGTGACCACCGCTCGCCCTCACGTAAGACGCCGTTGCCGACAGCGCTGCAAGCCGTCGGCCGTTGCGGCGACCCGAGAAGTCTGGATGCACCACCTCCGCAAGTGGCTCGCCTGTTGCGACCACCACCCACCAAGCAGCATGGCCCGCATGGTGTCCCGCACCGCCGCAAAGCGCGCCGCCGCAGCCATGCACACCTCGCCGGCGCCACAGGGCCCGCCGGCGCGCCAGGGCCGAACGCACAGCCCGCCCGACGCAGATGCTGCAGCTGGCACACCGAGCAAGCGCACTCGCCGCAGCAGTCCGGCGTCGGGCAGCGCTGCGCCTGCCGCGGCTGGGACGGCGGCGGGCAAGCGGCCAATGGCCGTCACGCGAGCTCGCGAGGGCGTCGAAGGCGCTGGCGATGCAGACGCGCTTCCTTGGCCTGTGCCAGCAACGGCGCTGGCGCAGGGGCGCTGCTTTATCGCCCGCATGGCTGCCGTCGCCAAGGCCTGCCATGCGGCCGATCCAGCAGGGCCGAGCCCGATCCTGCTGCTGCCCGACAAGGACGCCGACGGCCTGTCTGCCGGCGCCATCCTCCACCGCACGCTCCTCCGCGTGTACGGCGTGCCCGACGCCGCGATCCGGGTGCACCACGTCGGCAGAGGTGCCAGCCCCGGAAGCGCGGCAGAGCGCGAGGCAATGGCGGCCTCTCAAGCTCGCTGGATCGTCGTCCTCGACCAGGGCAGCCGCCACGGGCCGGGCTTGACAGTCGCAGCGGAGCGAGGCTGGGAGTGGGACGATTCGGAGGCGCCCGAAGAGCAAGCGCGGCGAGAGATGTCCGACGTCGAGCCCCGCGTGCGCAGTCTCATCATCGACCACCACCACCTGGCGTCCGGCGAAGTTGGGCCCAAGGGCGCGCTCATGCTCAACGCATGCGCGTACGAGCCGGTGGCAACGTCGGCGCTCCTGACGTGGTGCATATGCCGGCCTCTTTGGACGGCAGCGGAGAGCGATGCCGTAGCTGGGCCCTCGCAAAGCCAGCTCGCTGGCGGGCTTGTGGCCCACACGGAGAGCGAAGCGCAGGCCGCCCTCGACTATCTGGCCCTGATCGGCACGTGTGGCGACCTCGGCGTGCAGGTCAAGTGGGCGCCCCCGTGGCCGGACCTCGAGCCAGAGCTGAAGCGCTGCACCCGCAAGCGCATCGGCGAGATCGTCAGTGCGATCAATGCGCGTGCGTACGCAGCGGCACAGACATACGGCTGCACGCTGATGCCCAGTCTCGTCCAGCACGTCGCTCGCCGCGGTTCGACGTCTCGAGCGCGTACCTCTCTCTCCTGACAAGCACAGGCGCCGCCGATGTGCTGGACCCACAAGCGAACAGGCACGCCGCCGGACTGATGGAAGCACGGAGCGAAGTGGCAGCGCAGGTGGCCCGCTTCTCCCACACTGCCCCCAAGTTCTCCAAGGCGAGTGGCACGAGCTGCTCTCGCGGGGCTTCGTGCTGACTCAAGATGCAGGACGGGCGCATCGCCCTCCTCACCATCTCGACGCCCTACCAGGTGCATCCCAGCATCGCCACACGCTGGGCCGGCAGCCTGCGCGGCGCCAAGAAGCTCGAAGGGGTGTTCTGTGCGAACGTAGGCTACGCAGCCGACCCGCCGGCCTCGGATGGCGGCCAGCGTCCGGTCCACTTCAGCGGCCGTGTAGCAAAAGCTGCCAGAGATCGGTGAGTCCGCTCGCAGTGTAGTCTCTTGTCTCTGCCGACTGACTCGGCTTTCCCAGTGGTGAGGACCCTTCGCTCATCGAGCTGCTGCACTCGTACGCCTCCAGGGATGCCACGTTCCTGCAGGACCTCTGCGAAGAGGAGGGAGTGGACCATACGAGCGCGCTGAGCTTTGCCCGGGGACATCGACAGGCCAGCGGCGGCATCATGCCCGCATCCTTCTGGGAGCGCTTCACGCTGCTCATGGGCATCGGCGAGCGGCCGTCGCCGGACCCGAGCGCCTCGAGCCCGCGCAAGCGAAGCAGCGCTGCGCCGACGCAGAACAACAAGCTGACGAGCTACTTCAAGCGCACCTGAGTGCTGCCCCCATTATACCCCACCTTCATCGACCATTGTGCTCTGTGATGTGTGGCTATTGTCGAGACGCGACACTGCTTCCAGCAAAGCGCGCAGTCCTCCGTGCCGCGTGTCGGCGGTCTGAGCGGAGCGGCATTGCTGGGACCAGCGGCTGAAGTGCCGAGCGGGTCGAGAGGTGCAGTCGGAGAATATTGAGGGTGTCCTGTGAGGTTTCCGCTGCGCCGGCGGGCAGAGCAAGAGGCACAGCTGGAGCGGGAGCGCGCAGAGGGAAGTCGCCAGCGCGCCCACGGGGGCGGTCGCGCCCTTTCCACAACGGCAGCACGGCGGCTCGTGCGCGAAAGCAACGCTAAGGCTCGGCCCTGGCGCCGCGCTGCATGCCTGCCTCCCACCCTCACACTCCCGCCCACCTCGACCCGCCCCACCGCCTGGCACAAAGCCTCACCACTCCTCCGCTCCTCTGAGCCTGCTGCTTCGCTCCTTCGGCGGCTGTGCAGCTGCAGCATGGCCGACGAGTCGCTGCGCGCCGCCGCCGCCGCGGCGCGGCCGACCCCGCCGCCGACTCGCTTCGGCATGCTCGCCTCGTACTTTCGCGGGGCGCCGCGCAGCGACGAGCTGGCGCAGAGTGCCGGCAGCACCAAGGCACATCCCGCAGCGAGCTCAGACCAGCAGGCGGACACGTCGCGCCGGGACGTCTCTGGGCCCATCACGGCACCGGGCGGCTGGGGCGCCCTCCTCACCTGGCGCGGCGCACCGCCGATCGACTCAGCAGCGGCGGACGAGGCAAGCACAGCGTCGCACAAGGATGCAGAGACGTCTGCCCATGCCCATCTGGCTGAGACAACCGACGTGCGGCGAGACACGCGCTCCCACTCGGGCACTCAGCCGCGCCGATCTCGCGCGGCCATCCCGTTCAGCAGGGACAGCACCTCGGACGCTGCGCTCGGACACTTCGGCAGCGGCACCGCTACGGCACTGCCGCACGAAGCCAGGGACAGACAGGCCGTTGCGCCGCACATGATCCCTCAAACAGATCAGCTGGCCGCCAAGCTGGCGGAAGCTGCAAGCCCCGCCGTTGTCGCAGGCGACGCACCCACGCCGGCGTATGCGACCCTGTCGCGCCTGTCGAAGAGACCGTCGTTCGCCCCGATGCACCATGTCGATGAGGCGCAAGGCGTGCGGAGGCCTTCTGGGCAAGCGCCGCGCGCAGTCGACGCGACCGTATGGCGCGACGAGTGGACGGCAGAGAAGGAGGCACACGAGAAGATCGACGAGGTCGTGCGGTTGTGCATCAGTCAGGCCGGGCTTGACTGGGAGTGAGTGCCGCGCTACTCGCGCATGCTTGCCAGAGCTGACGAGACGCGTTCCGATGTCAGGCTTCGCCCGCTCGTCGTTCTGAGCGTCGCCTCGCTGCCGGATCAGCGCCGCGTGGACTACGATGCGCTGCTCGAGCGCCTTCTTGCCGCGCTGAGCCTCTATGTTGAGTCGGAGTACTCGGTCGTGCTGCTCGCTGCCGGCGGCAAGCACCGGCCCGCCTGGAGCTGGATCTGGAAGGCGCACCGCATCATCGACCGGAAGTGAGTGACGCGCGTCCCCTGGCTAGTCTCGAGCTGATCCGCGTGCCGAGCAGATACCGCAAGAACCTCAAGAAGCTGTACATCGTTCATCCAACGCTTTTCACGCGCACGCTCGTGCAGTTCGTCTCGAAGGGCTCGTACTTCGTCTCGCCCAAGTTCGCGCGCAAGATTGTGCAATGTGCCAGCCTGTCTGAGCTGGCCAGCCACGTGCCGCTGTCGCAGATCGAGCTTCCGCCGGAGGTGCTGGTGCACGATCTGAGCCTGTCCGACGGGCTGCAGACCCGCAACGCGGCCGAAGAGGGCGAGCAGAGATCGACAGCCATCTTTGGCGTGCCGCTCGACCAGCTGATGGGCCCTGTCGGCGAGCGCGACACCCTGCCACGCGTTGTGCGGGACTGCGTAGAAGCTCTGCGCCACGACGTCGGCCCCACAGGACAGGGCATCTCGGGCCTCGACACTGATGGCATCTTCCGCCGCTCGCCGTCGTCGGTGCTCCTCCGCGCGGCTCAGACTGCCTACGACGGCGGCCATCCCGTCGTGCTCGCTCGGTACGGAGACATGCATCTCCCGGCGGCGCTTCTCAAGACGTATCTGCGCGAGCTGCCACCCATCTTTCCATCGGAGCTGTACCCGCTCATCAGCGCGTGTCCGTCGCCTTTCGCTGCCGAGGAAGAGGCGCTCCAGTTCATAAGACAGCGCATCCTGCCCGCCGTGCAGCCGCCGTGCAATCTGCTGCTGCTCGGGTATGTCATCGAGCTGATGCACGATGTCGCCGCCCGCTCAAGCCGCAACCGGATGGACGCTGCAAATTTGGCAACCGTGCTGGCGCCCAATCTGGTGCGCAGCAGCGATCCGCTTCGCGATATTGCCATCTGCCGCGTAGACGGCCTGCAGTCGCGCGACACGTCGACCAAGAGTCAGCTGGAGAAGCGCGGCTCGGCGTCGACCGGTCCCACCACCCTCGGCACTGTGCTGCGCTTGTGCATCGAGCGCGCGTACGAGCTCTTCGAGCAGGTTGCTTCCGAGCCACCCACGCTGCCTCGCCATGACCTGTCTGAGGGCCCCAACGAGCCGGGTGCCCAGGCGAGCAGCACCATCGCCGATGCGGTGTTGAGGCGCGCCCGCGCCACCACGTCATCGTCGCTCGGTACCGTCTCCGCGTCTTCCTCGGCACAGAGCTCGCCGACGCTGGAGAGGCCGCCGTGGCTAAAGTCGGGCACCGTCTCGCCCGTTCTGCCTGCATCGCCGCAGCCCGTGCCGACAGCGCTGGCCAGCACAAGCACCGCCACTCGAGCATCCGCATCAGCAGAGAGGCCCGCGTCTTCCACAGACGCGCTGACTTCGCCAGCGTCGCGAAAGACTGCACGAAGCATCGTCGGAACGACCGGCGACAGCACGACACACCGCGCATCACGCTTCTCAGGCACACTCGGCAGGAGCTCGTCGACGTCGCTGCGCCTCACGAGCGCGCGTCTCCAGTCGTCTGGCAGCATTCGCAGTCCCAGCTCGCCTGCTGCAGCGTCCGGCGCCACGTTTGCCGCCGTCAGCCCCTCTGCTAGCGCCACAGACATCTGCCAGCTGCTGGGCTCCACGTCCGGCGTTGCTCTGGCCGGCATCAGTGCCTCGGGCTCCTTTACTGGGGGCCCGCGCATTGTCTCGGGTCCGGGACCTGCCGGGGCGGCGACGGCGCCTGAGCCGCGAGCGATCGCCAGTGGCCATGCGGCCGGAGCTGCTCTAGGCGATGCGCCTGCCACGCCAATGCGCCTTCATGCTCCGACGGCGCCACGTCCGCTTTCCGAAGTCGTCGAGGCGGCGGATGCCACCGGATCATGACGCCGCCGCCACCTACTCACCTAGCTGTTTCCTCCCTTCCTGTCACCATCTGTCACCTTTCACATGTTACCCCGCGCGAGCCTCACGCGCACGTCATGAGGTATCGGGTTCATTCGCTCTCGATCACGCGCGGAGCAGCCGAAGCGGCAGCGTAGCGTGCGCGCGGCGAGAGAGGCCCTGACGGTCGCAGACCGCTCGTGTGTGCGCCTCTAGTGAGATGTCGGAAGTGTGCCCGCTCGGCCGCTCTACACGAGCGTCTGCACCCACGCCTTGAGGTCCACCTTGTCTCGCTCGGATTCGACGACGAACGGATGTGTCGTGAGGTCCTTCGGACTCGGACGGAGGACCGGGTCCTTCAGCAGACACGTGTCGACGAACGTCTCGAGGCTGTGCGGGAAGCCGCCGTCGGCCGGCAGGCGGGGCGGCGGCTCGTTGACGATGTGCTGCAACAGATCGAGGATGCTCATCTGTGCCCCCGTGCCCTCCAGCGAGACACCGGCCCGCGCTCCGCCCTGGCCCGCTCGCCGTGAAGGATTTGTGGGCGAGAGCGTGCCCCGCAGCTCCTCCGGCACCTCGTCGTCCGATTCTGAAGCCTCGGCAAAGGGGAAGCGCCCCAGCACCAGCTCGATGACCGAGATGCCGAGCGACCACACGTCCGACTTGACGCTGTACTGATCGCCCTGGATCCGTTCGGGCTACGAGGGAGCGCTTGAGCGCGAGCGCGCGAAGCTGAGCAGGCCGGCAGACTCACACTCATGTACGTGCTGGTGCCCACGAACGTGTCCGCGATGGAGTTGATGAGCTCGCCCGACACGCCAAAGTCGCAGATCTTGATCTGCCCTTGCCCGTTGACCAGAATGTTGCTCGGCTTGACGTCTGACGGCCAGACGGCGTCAGGCACCGAGTCGAAGGCATGTGTCACCCGCCACGCCCAGCACCACTCGGCCTACTGCAGCACCCCAGCGATCGGACGGCGGCTACTCACCGCGATGGATGATGCGGTGCACGTCGTACAGATATGTGAGGCCTTGCACGACAACGACCACGATCCTGCCGACGACGTCGACCGGCACCGGGCCCCACTTCTTGTAGATATTGTCGAGCGACCTGGTCGATGCGCATCAGCCTCGCTCCGCAGCGCGCGCACCACAGGCCCCGCATGCGCTCACCCCTTGTCCATGAACTCCATGCACATGCAGATGTGCGGCTCGGAGATGTAGGCGCCGTAGAAGGACACGATGTATTTTGAGTTGCACTCGTGCAGGATCTGCAGCTCGCGCAATATTTGCTTGCGCACCGTGGGCTTGGCGTCGATGAAGACGACCTGGCGCGCAGGCCTCAGCACGGCTCAGAGCGCATCGACAAGGACGCGACTCACCTTCTTGGCCATGGTGGTGGCGCTCTTCTCGTGCAGCACCTGCGTTATAGCACGCGTAAGTATAGAGCCACGCAGCATGCGGTACCCGCAACCTGATGCGCGCGCTCCCAGCTCCATCAAAGCGGCGCGATGCTCTCTCTCTCGCCAGCCTGCCGCTGCCAGCCGCGCTGCTCACCTTGGTCACCGTGCCGCTGTTGCCGCTGCCGAGCTCGCTCAGGTGCTTGAGGTCCTCATTCTTTAGATCGAGCTTGTACTCGATGCCGAGCTCGAGGTTGGCCAGCTGCTCGGACAGCTTGTTGTGGTAGTTGGCGCCGCTCGCCGGGTCGATGGCCGAGCCGGCGCCGCCGCGCAGCGCCAGCGACGCCGACGAGCCCGACGCAAGGGCCGAGGGCAGCGCCGAGCCCGATGCGCGGCCCGAAGCAGCACCCGCCGTGCTCTGCGGCGAGGGCGTGGAGAGCGGCGACTCGGCCAGCGCCAGGCCCTTAAAGTTGCGCTTCTTGCGGATCGACGCCATCACGAACGCGGCGCACGAGGGTTCACGCGAGCAGCCGCGGCACCGGCAGAGAGGCAGAGACGACGCTGCAGCACGCGGCACAGTTGAGACCCAAGACGGTCGGCGACTGGCGTGGCGCACAAGCGGCAGTCACAGCACAGGCCGGCAGCGGAAGCAGGCCGGGGCAGAGCAAGGGCAGCAGGCGGCGCGACACGGGCCGTGCGGTGGGCGGGCACCGCGCAGCGGGATGCTGTGCGGCTGGGCGAAGGTGCCAGCTGCTACTGCTGTGTGTCGAAGGAGCGGTGTCGTCGACGGGGCGCACGCGAGGCAGCGAGCAGGAGGAGGTGGTGCTGGTGCTGCAACAGGCCAGAGGCCGGGCTGCGCCGCGCGCGGCACGCACGCGAGCCGGCCCGCCTGCTGCTGCTGCGCCAGCGAAACGCGGCCAGCATCGCAGCGGCAGCACAGCTTGCGCCGCGACGGCGCGCGGGCGGCTCCGCACAGCAAGCCGCACTGCCGCACAGCGCCGGCGGCGTGCTGCTCCCACGAGCCTCGGCACCGAAGCGAGCGCCACACCGTCGCAAGGACGCAACCGTCACCGCCAGCCGGCCGCGCCGCAGAGACATCAGCTGGGCCTGCTCACATGCAGCATCTGCAGTCGCAGCGGCAGGCGATGCTACTCCACGTTGTCCGCGCCGAGGAATGGCGCCCGGGATGCGGCGAGGGCCAGGAGCAGCAGCGTTCCCACGCGGGCGCCGCGGACTCCGCGGCGCGCGCCAGGCCCTGCTGAGGCTGACTTGACCACGACGGACGTGCGCAGCGGCGCGGCCTTGCGTTGCACCCTGCCTCCGTCCCCTCAACCTCGCCGCCCAGCCGTGCACTCTCGCCGACCTTGCACCTGCGCGCTGCTGCCAGCTCAGTGCGCCGCAGAACTCCTGCCAGCTGCAGCGCAACGCACCCGACCTCTCGCCCGCTGCTGGAGCTGCTGCACGGCGGCGTGCGCGGGTCCGAGGCCTGCCTGCTCTGCAGGAGCGCAGCGAGGCACAGCTGCACTTCGCCCCTCCGCACCTTGGCAGCGCAGCCCGCTCGGGTGGCTGATACGCTCGTGTCCGCACCGCGGCAGCTCAGACCATGTCCTCCGCTCCCACCGCGCCAGACGGCGAGTACGACCCCTATGCTCCCGTGCAGTGGGCCGAGTCTTCCAGCGAGCAGCACGGGCAGCGGCCGCAGCAGCAGCGGCAGGCGCCGCAGCCGGAGCGCAGCGAATCGCAGCGGCATCCGCACGCCCAGGAGCAGGTGCCGCCGCGCCGCCCTCCTGGGCAGTCCGCAACCGCGAGCACGTCTCGGCGCACGCCGCCCACGACCGCCCTGCCGGCGCACGCTTCCATCGACGTGCCAGAGGAGCCGGCGTTTGGCGGACGGCCATTCGCCGAGGCGCATCGCCTGCGCAATGCGCGCGATCCGCCGACAGACGCGTCGTCTGAGCAGCAGCGTGATCACGAAGAAGAACAGGACCTGTACAGCATCCTGAACGTCCCGAATGACGCAAGCAGCGAGGCCATCCGCGAGGCCTGGCGCAGCGTCGCCGGTGAGTGAGAGCTCGTCCGGCACGCGCGTGTACTCAGGCTAATGCAGACTGAGCCCCAGTCATGCTTCACCCCGACAAGCAGCCCACGCCGGCTCTCAAGACACGCGCCGAGTCGCAGTTCCGCGCAGCACAGCGCGCCTACGAGGTGCTCTCCGACCCCGAGACGCGCGCGGTGTACGACGCTCTGGGCCATCGGGGCCTGACGCACTCGTGGGCCCTGACAACGACGCGCGGGACGAGTCCGCAGGACTTGATGCGGGAGCTGGAGCAGGCGAGCATGCGCAAGGCCGCAGAAGACGCAGAGGCGCTGGTGAAGAACAAGAGCGACGTCGAGATGCGCATCGACGCCTCGACGCTCTTCTGCGACGCCGCGCGCGTGCCGAGAATCGACCCGCAGGCGCCCGCCACGTTCGGCGACCGCTTCCACCGCGTCGGCACGACGCAGCTCAGCGCGCGGCACGGCTTCGACGTGCCCCTCACGCAGCACACGAGTGCCAATGTCGCCGCGCAGATGGTCAGCCGCGGCCGCGTGGGCGGCGGCAACCTAGTCGGCACCATCAAGACTCAGTGGCGCCCGCAGCTCTGGACGGAGCTGACGGCCACGGCGATCCGCCCGCACATGGGCTCGCTGAAGGCGCAGTGGGACGTCAGCCAGCAAACGTGAGTCAGGCGGGTGCGAGAAGCCGTGCGAAGCCGTCGCTCAACGCCTGTCGCAGCTTCTTTGCATTGGCAGCGTCGCAGCAGACGCTTGCTGCGCCTCCAGTCATCGCGCTGACGTATGGCCAGCGGCTGAGTCCCTCGGCGCCGCTCATGGGCTTCACGTCGTTCAAGACGGGACACTACACGCTCGGCGCATGGGGCGCGGCGCTTCCGCTCATGGCACGCGAGCCGCCGTCGATCTCAGTCGGCATGACGTCGCAGGACGGCGCCGACTCTGGCTGGACCGTCCAGTCGTCGCTAGCTCTGCAGAATCAGGGCCTCTCGGTGAACTGGGCGCGCCGCGTCGCACTGCTGGGCGGAGCGCGCATTAGCACGGGCCTCGACTTTGGCACCGCGTCGGGCGTGGAGGCCTTCTTCAACACCGAGCGGCGCATCACAGAAACGCTTCGCGTGACGGTGGGCGTCTCGACTGGGCTGCCGCGGGGCGGCGTGACGCTCAACATCAAGGCCAACCGCCTGGGTCAGAAGGTCTCGGTGCCCATCCTGATGGCGCCCGAGTATCGCTCGGACGTCGTCGGCGCATGCATCGTCCTGCCAGTACTTGGCTTCGTCGCGCTGGAGCACCTGTACCTCCGGCCGGCGAAGCGAGCACGGATCACCGACCGCCTGCGTACGCTGCGCGAGAAGAACCGCGACGTGATCGTGGAGCGCCGCGTTGCTGCCCAGGAGGCGCAGGAGGTCATGTTCGCCAGCACGCGGACCAAGGCGCGCCGAGCGTGGCAGCAGGGCGGCCTCGTCGTGCTCGAGGCGTGGTACGGCCGCCGCCAGCACTTTCCGCAGGCGACGGACGGCGACCCGCAGGCTCTGTATGAAAGCGTATGGGAGCACGCCGCGGCCGATCAGTCGCCAGCCAGTGCGCTCGAGGGTGATGTGTGGGACGTGCGAGTGCCGCTCCAGGCGCTCATCAGCAAAGGCCAGCTGCTTGTGCCGGGCGGGCGGGCAAAGGTGCGTCTTGCGCTGGGCCTCTGCAGCGACCAGCTACTGACGACCCGCAGTCGTCGCTGCTCGGCTTCTACGACCCGTGCATGGGCGAGCGCAAGCACCTCTTTGTCCGCTACAGCTTCCGCGGGCGGATGCACGAGACCATCGTGGGCGACACGGAGGAGTTCGCGGCGCCGCTGCGCGGTGCGTGCTGCCGGTCGTGCGCTCCCGCTCGCGCGAGACTGACTTGCCCTCGCAGACCCCTAGCGATGACCTGCACGCACTTTGACTCCTCGCACTGCGCAATGCCACCACTTGATCAGCCGCATCGGCCGTTGGGAGCGCTGCAGAGCCGGGGGGAGAGGCTGGCAAGGGAGCGCCGATCACGTGACCGCGGCTCGGCGGCGCCTCGAGAAGGTCGCGCAAGGTGGGCCGGCGCAGCGCGTTGCTTCTTACCACCACCACATCCTCGCTCACTTCTGCTTCTGCGCCAGCCGGGCTCGCTCGCTTCTGTGCTTGTCTGCGCACGACCCTTTCTGCTGCCGAGCCTGCGTTTCCGGCCTATCCGCCTAGCGCGCCGCCCGCCATGTCGGCCCAGGCCGAGTCGCAGCAGCAGTCGCGCATCCTCTTCATCAAGAACCTCAACTATGGCGTGACGGGCGCGGACCTGTACAAGCTCTTCGGCAGCTACGGCGCCATCCGCCAGGTGCGCCTGGGCGACGTGGCGGGCAAGACGCGCGGCACTGCGTTTGTCGTCTTCGACGAGATCGGCGATGCGAAGAGTGCGTTGGACCACCTCAATGGCTTCCACCTGATGGAGCGGTACATTGTCGGTGAGTAGAACGGGCTGCGAGAGCTCTCCTGCGCTGTCGAGAGTCCGATCTATCCGCATGGAGAGGTGGCGCGCGCGCCCGGCGCCAGTGACGGTCCGGCGACGAGGTGGTGGCAGCACCGCTCTCCGTGCAGGGGCTCGGCGCCACCGGTGCCAGCTCATGGGAGCACAGCTGTCCCAATCACGCACTTCTCGTCTTCGTGGCATGCAGTGGAGCCTCTCGCGACCGGCGCTTGCTTGCTTGCCGAGCAGTGGAGCGGCAGCTGATTGCTGACGCTTGCTCCCAGTCCTCTACCACATGCCTGCGCGCGCCAGCGCCAAGGCCGACCTTGCCGCGAGGGAAGCTCAGCTGGCCGAGCTGAAGCGCAAGCATGAGATCGCCGAGGCTGCATAGCTCGGCCACCCGCTCTCTGCCGCTGGCCGCTGCGAGCTCGGCAGGGCTGCGCTGCACGCCCGACGCTCCACTGCCCCGCCAACATACCCAAAATGCCCGGCGACCTGCGCCTGCGAGGCTGCCGACGACATGCACGCGCGAGACTGGCGCTGGGAGCGCACACCCAGCGGCGATACCGCGCTGCGCCACGCATCAGCACGCCCCATCTCCACGCCGCCTGGGCGCTCGCCTTGCCTCGCCATCACATGTAGCATTACAATCATACACTGCGCCTCCATTTGGCCCGCACCATCTCCCACGGCAGCCGCCAGCCGCGGCCCTGCGCGTGCAGCTGCATCGATGCGTCAAAGACGTTGAACTGCGCCGCCTCGAGGCGGGTGAGATAGTGGCGTGCTTGGATCTGCGTGGGGGTGTGAGCGTGGCGCACCGGCGCTCTGGCGCGACCGAACGCACCGCATTCATGAGCGGGCCAAGCGCCAGCTCGGGCAGCTTTCCGCCGTCGAGCTGGGCAATGGCCGTCCGCGCGCTGATGAGATAGTCGTTGGCGCGCGTGGCAGTGTCGAAGACGGCGTCGGTAAGGCCGGGCGCCTGTGGTCCGAGGCGGTAGACCTCCTCCTCGACGACACCGTGCGCGTGCGCATACTCGCGCGGCAGTGCCAGCCGCCGCTGCGTGCTCAGAGCGCTGCGTGAGGCGCGGCCGGACTGCGGTATTGGCGCCTGGGACTGCGCCGTGAAGCCGGCCGAGTGCGGCAGCGATGCGAGCAGCGTGGAGAGGCCGATGGCCTTGCCCAGATGCGAGAAGATCTCGTCGAGCTCGGGCGCGGAGAGGGCCACCAGGTTGAGGGACAGGTAGAGCAGGCGCGACGACGTGCGCTCGGCGTACATCTCGATGTCGGCGAGCAGCGGCGGCACGCTCGGCGCGGCGACGTCCTCCTCCTGTGGCGGGCGTCAGTCTGCGGCGCTGGGGCTGCTGCGGTTGCCACGCACCCGTGCATCGACGATGCGCAGAAAGTGGTCCTCGACAAGGCCGCCGCCGCGCAGCACAGCAGGGTCGTGGATCGCCGCACGCAGGGCCTCGAGCGTGGGATGCGGCGAGGGCTTGTTCTGGCGGAATGCGTCAGTAGAAGTGCGGGGCGACGAGTAGGCGCACGCACATCGAATGCGCCGCGCACGGCATCACGCCACCAGCCCACGCGGATGCGCCCGAGCGTCTCGTTGCTGACGTTGTCCTTGATCGTCGCCGTCTCGACGTTGAAGGCGCGCAGTGCGAGGTAGTGCGGGCGCAGCGCCGCCGGGTAGAAGGCTGCTGCCAGATGCGCCGGGTGGTCCGACGTGCGCACCAGCGCCGCCGTGGCTGCCTCGGGTGTGAGGCCGGGCTTGGCGGCTGCCGCGCTGCTGCTCGCTCTGCTGCTGCCTCGAACGGCACATGGCCGGCCGGTCGGCGCGGTACGGCGCAGCAGGCCGCCGCTGGCCCGCAGCGCAGCGCGAGGCGGCATGTGGTGTGTGGGCAGAGCGACTGTGCGATGCGGCTTGTGCTGCTGCGTAGGAAGAGACCAGGCCAAAGGAGACAGGCGAGGCGGTTGTAGATGAGAGACAAGGAGGCCGACGTCGAGCCACCCGTGGCTTACTCCACCTCGCGAGCGGCTCCGCTGCGCCTTCTTCTCGCACGGCACGCTTACGGCCGCCGCGGCGTGGGTCCGAGCGGGAGGCGCGCCCTCGGAGCAGCTCTGGTGCGCGCCGGCATCCTTCCTCCCGACCCGCTCCTGCACATCCTCTGTTGCGCCCCTGCCGCCATGCCGGAGCCTGCCGTGCTCGTCTTTGTGCGCCGCGTCGCGACGGCGTTCCAGCGCGCCGGCGGCCACGACGCCAACTGCTTCCCCTCGCTGCGCATCCTCGCCGCGCGCCCCGGCCTCGTGCGCGCCTCGGTGCGCATCCGCAGCGAGAACCTGAACCGCCTCGGCACGCTGCACGGCGGCGCCATCTGCAGCCTCACCGACACGCTCGGCAGCCTGGCGCTTGCCAGCCGCGGCCTGTACTCGACGGGCGTCAGCACGGACATCAAGTGAGTGGGTGTCTGATGGGCGGTAGCGTGGCGTGAGACGTGCGGCAGTGCGGCAGTATGCGCGCATCAATGGCGCATGACGCAGCAGCCGCAGCCGCCTGTGCTGCTGCATGTCTCCGGCCGACTGCTGATCATGTGCGCTCAGCACGACGTTTGTCAAGGCCGGCGGCACCACCGGCGACGAGGTGCATGTCGTCGGCACCGTCGTCAGCCTCGGTGCGTAGGATCGTCTGTGCGCGCCCGCCTTGCTGCTCACGCCCACCGGCAGGCAAGACACTGGCCACGACGCGCATCGAGCTGCGCCATCCCGTCAGCGATGCGCTGCTGGCCTTTGGCTCGCACACAAAGTTCATCGGCAAGGCGGCCGGGCATCCGGAGAACGTCAGTGAGTAGCGTGCTGCAGCGCTCCTGGCACCCGCTGAGCTCGCAGCAGAGTTCGACGAGAGCGGCGAGCGTGTCATCGAGGGCAAGGCGGTGGAGGAGTGGGGCGAAGACTAGCGCTGCATTGCTATGGAAGGTTCGTCACCCAGCGCCCGTTGACGAGAGTCTGCGTCGCCTTGGTCGGCGGCAGCTCCCAGCCGGGCCCCGCGTTGCGCTCCTCGGGCTCTGCCGCCGGCCCGGTGCCGTAGCTCGGCACGAGGACGATGTCGCGCTGCGTCTGGTCCGTCTTGGCGGCGGCGAGCAGCGCAGCAGTGCCGCCGGACGGCTCAGCGGGCTTTGCGAAGCTGCACAGCGGGCGCGCCAGGCTCTGCAGCCACGCGGGGTTGATGCGCGTGACGGTGCGCAGCCACACCTTGCCGGCCGCAGCGCCCGCCGAGCCGCGGTAGAGCTCGTCGAAGATGAGCCACGGCGGCGGCGGTCCGTGGAAGAGCGCCGAGCTGGGGTGCACGAAGCACGCCTGTCCGGGCGCCGAGCGGACGAGGTACGCCACGCCGCGCGTCGACGCGAGCTTTGCACCGCGCCGCACCTGCAGCGAGTACTGCCGGCCGGCCTCGGTCGACTCGTCGGCAAGAGAGCCCAGCATCGCCGCCGCCTCGGGCACCAGGTCCGCGCGCACGGCGACTTGGTCGACGTACGCCGAGGCCAGCAGCTGGCGCAGCACCTTGAGCTGCGTCTCGCTCGGCGGCGGCAGCTGGGGGTCCTCGAGGCAGCGCAGGTCCGTGCCCGGCGCCGCGCGCGACTTGACGATGGCGCCAAGCTGCGCACGCAGCTTGTGGATCTCCTGCATCGCCTTGGGCCGCAGGAAGTTGCGCTCGCAGAACGACGTGCCGCCCTGCTCGTACTCGTACGCGCCAACGGCCGCGAGCAGGCGGAATGTGTCGCTGCTGCCGCCGCCAAGCGCACTGAAGGCGCTCATCGCAGTGAAGTAGCGCTTGCGGCGTTCCTTGTTGGCCTCTTGCTGGCGGAGCGCTTCGCTGCGCAGGCCAGAGGCCTCGGGCGGCAGGGTGTCTTCGTCGTCCGCTGCGCCCGACAGTGCCTGTTCGCGCACGAAAGGGTCGCCAACGCTCAGCGCGGACACGAGCGCAATCACGTACGGCAGGCAGCCGTGCTGCTGGCCCTGCACAAGCAGCTTGGCGAAGCGCGGCGAGAGCGGAAAGAGGCTCATCGCCTGGCCGAGCTCGGTGGCGCGCGCGGCTTGCGTCTTGCGCGCCGTGTCGGCCATCTCGAGCGCGCCCAGACGGACGAGCGTGCGCTCGGCGCGCCGCAGCGCCGCGCGGTCCGGCGGCGTGGGGAAGGGAAAGTTGGCCACCGAGTCGAGGTGCATTGCGTGCATCTGCAGCACGAGGCCCTCGACGGGCGTGCGCAGGATCTCGGGCACTGCAAACTGCGGCAGCGTGTCCTCGAAGATGGCGCTCGAGTACAGGCGGTAGCAGTGGCCCGGGCCTGTGCGGCCCGCGCGGCCAGAGCGCTGCGACGCACTCGCCTTGCTGATCCAGCGCACGTCGAAGCTCTGCACGCCCGTCGCCGCGTCGTAGCTGCGCTCCTTGGAGCGGCCGCAGTCGACGACGTACGTGATGCCGGGGATGGTGAGCGACGTCTCGGCGACGTTGGTCGCGACGACGCACAGCCGCGTGCCCTCTGGCGGCGCGGCAAAGACGCGCATCTGCCGCTCGCTCGGCAGGAGCGAGTAGAGGGGCAGGATGTGCAGCGGCACGTCGGAGTCGTCCTTGAGGTGCTCGGGCAGGTCTGCATCGTGGTCCGCCGGCGCGGCGTCGTCGTCCGAGTCGAGGGCGTCGGGGTCGTCGGGCGCATCTGCGGCGTCGCCATCGACATCGAGCGCCAGCGTGTCGGGTCCGGCGTCCTGCTGGCCGAGGTCCATCTCTTCCGCCTCGACGTCTCCGTCGCGCGCGCCAAACTCGATGAGGTCCTCGCGCCCGTCGTCGGCGTGCGCGGCGGTGCGCAGGTGCGTGCGTGCGCGCTTGCGCTCCTCGATGGCGCGGCGGCCGAAGCGTGCCTCGAGCCGCTTGCACATCGTCGCGATCTCCTGCTGGCCGGTGAGGAAGATGAGAATGCCACCGGCCGGCAGGCGCGCGTGGATCTTGATGGCCTTCTTCGTTGCCTCGTCGACGTAATCGTGCTTCGTGCGGCGCGCAAAGTGCACCGTCACCGGGTGCTGCCGTGCTTCGACGTTGATAATCGGCGGCGGCTGCGGGAAGAGCGTCGTGTTCTCGGCAAAGTCGGACACGCGCAGCGTGGCGCTCATGATGACGAGGCGCAGCGGCCGCGCGCCCTGCTCGCCGTCGATCCAGCGCTGCGCGCGCAGCGGCACGACGCGCGACAGCACGCCGATGAGCACGTCGGTGTTGGTGCTGCGCTCGTGCGCCTCGTCGACGAGCACGACGCTGTAGCGGCTGAGCAGAAAGTCGCTCGCCAGCTCGCGCAGCAGCACGCCGTCGGTCATGAACTTGATGCTCGTCGACGGCGACACGGTTGCGTCGTAGCGGATCTGGTGCGACACGCGCGACGCGGGCAGTGCCAGCTCGGCGCCGACGCGTGCGGCCATGGACAGGGCGGCGACTCGCCGCGGCTGTGTCACGCCGATCATGCCGGGATTGCCTGCCAAGGAATGAGAAGTCAACACTTGCGGCGGCCAACACTGGCAGAGCGGAAGAGCCAAGACTGTCCGGCGCCCGGCCGGGGGGGGGGGGGGGGGGGGGGGGGGGTGGGGCACCACTGCTTGCGCAACTCACTGCTGCCGGGGCTGCCGAAGCCCGCCTCGTAGAGGAACTGCGGCACCTGCGTCGTCTTGCCTGAGCCCGTCTCACCGCACAGCACCGTCACGGGGTTCTCGAGGATCGTGCGTGTGATGAGGTCCTCCTCGCGCATGACGGGCAGCTGCAGCCGCGACTCTTGGATCGCCGGGTCGCGCGTGACGGCGACGGCATTGGCCGAGCCGCCCTCCCGCGACTCCTCGAAGTAGCGCGTGGCAAACGGCGACAGCGGAGCGATGGCGCCGCCGAGCGGGCCGCGGGCGACGCCGTCCTGCGGGCCGAGGTCGCCGACGCGCTGCACGAGGCCCTGCACCGGCGTCGGGCCGACGTAGGGGCCGTCTGCGGCATCAGCCGAGGTAGGTGTCCCAGGTGCGAGGCCCATCTCGGCGCGTGCCCAGTCCTTGAAGCCCGATGCGCGCTCGGTGTTGTGCTTGCGCGCTGCTTTTGGGCGCAGTGGCCGGGATGAGGAGGATCCCGACGCAGAGGACGAGGACGATGACTCTGCGTCTGATGCCTCGCGAGCGTCGTCCGCCCCGCCAGCCTCGTCCTCGCTCGCAAAGCCGAGCCATGCGGGGCTGCCTGGGCTCTCTTCCTCTTCGGTCGCAGACGCGCCGCTGCTCTCGGCGTCTGCCGCGGCATCCATCTCTGGGACCCACATGCCGCGCCGGCGCATCGCCTCGCGGAAGATGGCGTCTTCCTCCTCGTCCGTCTCGCCCGCCGCAGAGCCGCCACCAGCCTCAGACCCCTCCTCGTCCGAGAACTCGTCCGAGCCAGCATCGCCGGCATCTTCGTCTGCGCCCGGCCACTGGATGCCCCGCGCCTTCATCGCGGCCTCCAGCACATCGTCGGCGACGTCCTCCTCGCCCCCAGAGCTCTCGCTGCTGTCGAAGCTGCTCTCGGACGGCGAGGGCGTGGGTGTCTTGCGCCGCCGCCGGGCCCGCTTGCGCATCGGCGGCGGTGGCGCCGCTAGCGCAGATCCGAGCGCTGCAGAAGCCGCCACTGAAGGGCCAGCAACAGGAGCCTCGTCCACCGCGGCAGCAGCGGCGGCAGGCGGTGCCTCCTCTGCCTGCGGCGCAGCGAAGCGGGCGGCGACGACCTGGATGCGCGCGCGCCGGGCCGGATCCTCGAGCTGCTCGCCCTCAGGCCGATTCACGCTGCCCTCGGCCATGTCGTCGAGGTCTGCGTCGCGCTCGTCTTCGGTGCTCGCCTCGCGGTGCCGCCGCTTGCGGTCCGCCTTGCGCTCGAGGCCCTCGAGGCGCTGCTTGCCGCTGAGCGCGCGGCCCGTGCCGAGCGTCGCGGCCGACAGCAGCGCCGCGCGGTCGCCCACCTCTGCCGAGCTGCTCTCGAGCTTGCGCAGCAGCTCGCCCTTGCGCTCCTTTTGCAGCCCGCGCGCGATGAAGGCGTCGAGGCGCTTGCGCTTCTTGGCGCTCATGCCAGCCGGCGCTCCGAGCGCCGCCCTTCGCGCGGCCATCTCTTCGCGCTGGCGCGCAGCGGCCTCATCGTCGATGAGCGGCGCATTCGGGTCCAGCGTCGTCTCGGAGTGCGGCCGCTTGCCCTTGTGCGTGCGCCCGCCGACGGTCGAGCGGCGCGCGGCGGCGTTGTAGCGCTCGCGCTGCGGCGCCATGCCAGCAAAATCTAGACGAGGAGATGCGGGGCGGCAGATGTGCGGGAGTGGACGCGGACAAGAGTGAAGGCGGCGATGGCGAGCGGGTGGTAGTGATGCGGTAGAGGCGGTGGTGGAAGCTCGGCGAGGGGAAGGCGAGAAGCTCGGGCACAAAGTCGCGGCTCGCACTTTTTTGGTCGGCGCTTGCGGCGCGCTTCTCGCACGAGACGTCGGCCTCTGCCCGCGCCGCTGTAACATTTTCCTCCACCTGACTGCCCTGCAGGGTCAAAAGCCTATGCCTCCAGCACCTGGAGCTCTTTGGCAGAGCCTAAAGTCCTGCGCAGAGTGGCACTGTTGCCAGCAGCATGGCCCAAAGCCCCAACCCTATTGCCAGCCTCTCATGTAACTCTGACCCTAAAGATTTCATGACATGTGCAGCACCAAGTACAAGTGACCTTCTGCAGCATACAGCCAGGCAATGTTGGCCAGGGCGCAATCTTGGTAGGGATACATCCATTGAGCGCCTGTCCTTGGCTGTCACCCTTGGCTGCTGCACAAGTGAGTCTAGCTTGCTTCTTGCCAGGAGGGCATGGGTCATACAGGGATTGCCAGCACAGGTCTTTGGCTGCTGCTTACAAGGCGGTGCCCACCAGAGATGGAAACTGCCACTTGGGCAGGTGGTGAAAGCCCCCAGATGCCAGGGATGCTGAAATTTGCTAAGCTTTTGAGTGAGTAACTTTTGTCGTCATCATCCAAAAACAGGTCTGGCGCGCAACTTTTGGCTGGTGAGCTCAAAAGGGTTAGGGTTAGGGTTAGGGTTAGGGTTAGGGTTAGGGTTAGGGTTAGGGTTAGGGTTAGGGTTAGGGTTAGGGTTAGGGTTAGGGTTAGGGT